ATACCCATCCCGCCCCTCCTTCAACTTCCACACCTCATCCCCCTCCCCCCCCACCTGCACGAACCATCTTGGCGTCCACCGCTCCCCATGCTCCTCCATCACCCTCCGCCTCGCCCGCTGCCGCTCCTCCAACCGCGCCTTTAACGCCTCCGCGCGATCCAAATCCCCCTCCTCCGCCGCCCGCTGATCCGGGCGCAGCCGCGAGTCCGTCACGGGGATGGCCCCTCGCTCGACCGGCGTGATTTCGTTCAGCGCGGCGGCGAAGGTCGGGAAGCCATAGCGTGCCGGGGCGTGGTCGACAAGCTGGCCAACGGTCCAGATGGGGGGGCCGGTGTCGACGCCGTCGTGGGTGAGGTGGAGGTGAGAGGTCCATTTGCCGTGGAGGCCGAGGGGGAGGCGTTGGGCGGCGGCGTTGAAGGCGGTGACGGAGACGTCCTCGCTGCGGCCGGAGAAGAGACCGCCGGCTTTAAAGGTGGCGAGGGCTTTGGCGCCGGTGGTCTCATTGAAGATGGTCATGGTGTTGACGGGCTCGATGTATTTCTCGCCGGCGATGATGTTGCGGAGGAAGGAGGTGGCGAGGGTCCAGCTGTAGTGCTCGTCGACGGAGTGAAGGAAGAGGTGCACGGGGCCGTCCGTGTTGAGTTCCATGGATTTGCCCCAGAACTTCTGGACCGGCATTGGGGACTGGGTGAGGGTCCAGGTGGCGCTTTCGGCTTGACAGGCCATGCGGACGGGCCGGTGCGTGACCTTCTCGGCGATGAAGCGGTAGCCTTTGTCTTCGCGGACGAGCTCGTACGTCTCGCCGAGCATGGGGTTGAACGGTTTGCGGATCGCTCGCTCCTTCACTCGGGAGTTGGAGAACGCCGAGATGGCGAATGCGGCGATATAAAGAAGCCTCTCACCGGTCTCACTTGGTTTCGTCGTCGCCGCGTCGATAAGCCCTGTGTATTCCAGCTGCTCTGCAACGCGTTGGAGGCCCGACATCGGCTCGTTCGCGGAAACGGGCATAGCAATGGTCGACAGATCCTGGCCGACGTTTTTCCGAAGGAAGCTGATCAGGCTTGGGGGGTTTAACTTCGCCGTCGGCACGCTGGTCCTTCTCGGAACCGGGTCGAGGGGAAGGGGGGCTAACGTCTTCGGTCGGACGGGGTAAATCGATAGTTCGCCCGCCCCGCTCTTCCGCTCAAACGTCGCGAGGCTAGCGAATTCACTGCTCGATTCCGAGGCTCGGTCCGACACATGAGAGATTTCATCGCTCTCCTCGCTGTCTCGGTCGATATTCATTATGCCGACCCGTGGCGTTTGGGCGTCGGGCGCGTCGAAGAACTCCTCTCTGGAGGACATCGAATCGGTGCTCTGGCGCGATAGTGCGGTCCTACTCTGCGGCCGTCGTCGCTGCTTGGATTCTGACAGGAGCTCGGAGAACTTGGCGACGGTTTCATCGAGGTCCTTGAGCAGGGCCATGCAATGATCGTGGATGCCCGCGTCTTTCTCCGCGTTGTTCACATATTGAAGCTTCGGGACTTGTCCATTGCTTGCGGCACTTGCAGGGGATGGTACCGCGAGCTGCGCCGACACACTCCTCTTGAATAGCGAATTGGCCGTGCCATTCACGTTTGGCTTTCGCTTCCAGAACGCTTTCTTCTCTTTGTGATCGGCTGTCTTGCTGAAGGGATCGCCATTCTCCGATTCCGATGGACTCGTGGTTTCACTGATGTCGCTCATTCCCGGCCCATGCGCGGTCGACAAACGCGGCAGATATTTGGGGTCCGTATTCTGCGCCAACCTTCGCACCGCGTCTCGTATCCCCGCGACCTTCCCCACCAATGATTGCACCTGATCCCACTCCTGTTCCTCCGCTGGATCCACCGCCCGCGCCGGGCGCGCCGGCTGGGCAGGCTCATGCTTCTCCTTCGCCGCCGAGCTACTGGCGATGTTCGCCGCCTTCTCCAACGCCGCCTTCCACCCCTGGAAGTCTTTCGCATTGTTCGCCCGCAGATGCCACACCTCCGCGCCCGAGTCGACCGTGATGTAGCGCGATTTCTCGTCTACGCTGACCGCCGCGAGAGAGAGCGGGATAGTGCCGCGCAGCGCGGAGGAGTTGCGGTTGTGGTAGTAGGAGAGGGTGGAGGTGGTGAAGTCGAGGGAGAAATACCGGCGCGCGAACCCTTGGTTCCTCTTGCGTCGCTTTTTTTGTAGGATGCCGGTATAGAACGGTGGTCCTGGTCCGTGGCTTTCCGAGCCTTGTCGAGAGCCGGTCGCGAACGTCACTCGGTGCGTGGTGCCGTCCAGCGGGAGGGATTCTTGGGAGTCGGCGACTGGACGCATCGCCGGACTGGACTTGGCGGTCGGTAGGCTGGTCGAACTCCCGTCGGCGTGCGCGTACTGAGGACCGCCTGACTTCGGAGGCGCATGCGACGGATGCGTCATGATCACCACGGTGGCTGTCTTGGAGACCGCCTTAGAGAAGGTGTTGTCGAACACCAGGCCGTACATGCCCGCTTCGTTGTCGGGGACATCATATTTCCCGGTGGTGACCTTGTCCGCTTCGCATTTTCCGAACCAGTGGACCAGCTTCAACCCCTTGGATTGCAGGGTCTCCACGACGGTCGAGTTGTCGTTCGGGGTCTTCGATTTCGTGCGTCCGTCGGTGTGCGGTGCTGGAGGAGCGTCGTCGGTTCCGGTGGTGGGAAGGGCGGTTCCAGACCTGCTTGCACCGGCGTGTTTGAATAGCGCGAAGTTAATAGACTTCTTGTGCGGTTGGACGGTCCATGAGATAGTGTAGGCGGGAGAAACGCCGATCCATCGCACGAGATACGACTGGAAATGTCATGATTAGCAAAGCCTTCGTTTCGATATCTGGATGATGTTCGTACCTTGCTGTGGATTTCTACCTGCTCCATGCCAAATACGGGTAGCCTAATGTCTCTCTAATGGAGGAGTGTGACACAAAGCAGTGGCATTGGATGAAAGCAACCAAAGAGCGACAATGCACGAATTCGCGCTTGAGCTCTAGAGTGGTAGAATCCTTTAATAAAGAACGGGGAATTGATCGAATATCAGGAATGGCAACAAGCACCAGCAAAGCAATGAATCTGTAATCAGTCGGTCACCTGCGGATGGTCACCCGGGAGGAAGTCAGCCCTGTGGCGGGCGTTGCCTGGATCGATCGGTTGGTGTACAGGTACAGATTTAGATCAACCCTTCCAATTCGGGGTTGCAGTCAGCTTGTGGATTAGAAGAATCTCCAATGGACAAATGTCTCCTAAGGGTAAGCTCTATGGGAGAGATGGGGAGTTGGAGTCTTGGAGATGACAGACGTCAGATCAACATCTACGAATGCCACCAATTTTAGAACAGGGGGAATAGCTCGGAACTGGACAGATGTACGGAGTAACGGTCGAACTAAATAAATAATGCCGATACCAATCTATTCCAGTCTCATACATAACCGGTTTCTCTTTAAATATGATAAATGGACATAAGAGAATCTCATATAACAATATCAATCAGGCAACGTCGCCAATCCTAACCCCGACACTGGTCTTCTTGATGGGGATTCTAAGGATTAGGTCCTTCTAGAACGAAGCTGACGCGGCGAATCTGGATGGATTCTCGCCAGCTATCTTCATTCGGGACCTTCACTCGGCTTGATTACTATGAACGGAACCGAATCCTGATTCCTGCGACATGCGTTGTCGTAGACATCCACGCTAATCGACGAAGCTGTCTCCGTACAGTAGTCTTCCTGGTAAGTGAGCTTCTGCATGCATGACGTATGTCTCTCCAGGCGGCAGTCGAAAGCTTCATTCATCCCCTATTCTGGGATATCGCGAACGGAGAGCTCGATGCGTTACTCATAGGTTGACACTCTTGGCCCAAATCCTTAGAGGCCAGCGTACCTTTCGCCAATCGGCATAAGTCCAATCTTACAACGCTCAGTGGTATCATCAATCTATTCCAGCCCTACAGCCTACAGGGCACATCATCCCCCCTCCTCCCGCCCCTGTCCCTCCACCCTCGCCGCACCCGCCACCCCAAACAACACCCCCATCACCCAACTCCCCCACCCCCCCTGGCTCCGATCCTCTCCCTCAATCCCTCCAATCCTCTCCTCCAACTCCCTCACCGCCCCCCCAAACTCCCCCACCGCCTCCTCCACACCCTCCACCTTATTCCGTAGCGCCGCCATCTCGTACTCCAGCCGCGACGCCAGCACCTCCACCTCCCGGACCGCGTCCATCAGCTTCCCCCGCTCCGATTCGAGCGTATCGTGCATCGCGTCGCGCGCCTGCCCGTATGTCTCTAGACTCGGCTCGTACAGCCCCTCCACGGTTCCCTGGTCCGCCGCCGCGGTATCCAGCACCGTCACAAGCCGCTGTAGCTGCGGCGCGACACTCCCTTCATGTAGACATGAGAGCTCGCGCAGCCGCTCGCGCAACCGCCGCAGCGTGCCGCCGTCGTAGAGAAGCGCGTGGTATTCGGCGTGGAGGCCGGGGTGCGGGGAGGAGGACCCGGTGTCGAGTTTCGACCAGGTGAGGATGCTGGATTCGGCGACGCTGAAAGAAAGGTGGCGGGGCCACTTGACATCGTGGGGGGGTGGGGGGGTGGGATCGGGGAGGTTGGACGGGTTGGGTGGGAGGGCGCGGAGGGCGCGGAGGGTGGGGAGGTTGCTGGTGCTGTAGGTGGTGCGGAGGAGGGGGCTGATTTCTTGGTTGGTGTCGATGCCGAAGAGGTCGTTGAGATCGACGCCGTGGTAGGTCGGGCCGGTGAGGAGGGGCTTGATGGGAGATCGGGACTTTGGCTCGGGCTCTAGGTGGATAGGGGCACCAAGTTCGGGTTTGGTTGCATTAGAAGCGCCTAGTTCTGGTTGAGTGGCATTGGTGGGAGCGACGGGTTCGGTCTTGGTCCCGATATTAGGCGCCGACAGTTGTAGAGTTGGCGAAGAAAAGAGGTTTCGTGACGCTACTGACGGAGTCTCTGTCATCGCTGACGCGAAAGTCGGTATCTTCGAAAGGACACTCTGGGATTCCGACGGAGAGTTGGTGTGATCTTTTGCAACCTGATCAACCGAAACGGCGGTCGGACTGGGTGGGATCGAAGTGAGGATTTGTTTCGAATCGTCCGCCTCCTCGGGATATAGCGTGCCGTCTTTGGCATCTTTCGAACCCTTGGGTTGGTGACGTTTGCCGCTGACCGTATCTTTGACTTTGATTCCCGCTCGCTGTAGTGCGTGTCTGCGGGACTTTCGGTCACGATCGCCGTCCATCGCACTCTCTGGCTCCCGAATCGAGGATTGTCGTACTATATCGCTCGTGACCGATGCGCCGTCCTCGACGGTATTCTGCTTCCGCAATGTCGGCGGCTCCGTTTTCCCAGCCTCCGAAATCTTCCTCGAGAGTGGATGGTCTTTCTCGCCTGTGGTACCCGACGCATACTTGCCAGACACGTCGCTCGACTGAAATTTCTTGCCCTTCCCATGCCAGAGCCACTTAGCGCTGCCGCCACCCAGGAGATCGATGAAGGTTTCAAAGTCCACCGTTTCGACAGCCGCAATGCCGGCTTTCTCCCCGCCTCCCCGCCCGACCATTTCCATCACCATTTCCCCCCCCTTTCCACTGAGTTCCGCGACCGTGCTCTTCACCGCCCGCGGCACCGTCCATCCCTCCCCGCTCTTCTGTTCCGCCGCCTTCGCCGTCGCGGAGTGCAACCGCTGCAACGTCCTCCGGTCCAGCCGCCGCGTCTTGGGCAGTCTCGACGCCTTCTGAAAGTACGCTATCGCCCGCTTCGTGGCCTCCACCTCGAACACGTCCTTTGACACAGGCGCGCCGTACGCGTGCAGCCGGTTGCGCGCACCCATCACCAGACCGACCAACGCAGCCACGGTCGTCGGACCCAGGATGCCGTCGTTCGGTTCGATGGAGAAGAATTCAGCGCCGAACTCGACCCACCAGTCCTTGATGGCCGCCTCAGTCACGTCGCAGAGCAGCCCGTCGCCGTAGTCGAGCGGCAGTTTCCCGAAGAGGACCAATGCAAGCTGGCAGAGCTTCACCAGGTCCATGACGCTTTGATATAGTGGGACCTTCTCGCTGGTGCGGTACAGCTGATGAAATTTGGCGACCGTGGCGCTGGTTGGCTGCGTCAACGTCAACCCCGCCCGTCCCGCGCATCCCAGCCGCTTGAGGTCCTCGTTCACCACGAAGTCCTCCCAGTGCTTCCTGACGTTTCCCTCGGGCACCTTGATCAGCGTCAGACTGCTGGGAAAGCTGGACAGGTTCGTCGCCATGAGCATCCCCAAGGCCGTCTCGCGCGGCCGCGCGTAGTGCTGCTGCAAGGCGTCGAAATACGCCCGCACCTTCGGACTCCAGTCGTTTTGATCGAGCGGGGCGCTCAGCACGGCGACGGTGGTCGTATGCGACAGGTCACCGGTGTACGTGGAGATCACGTACGTTGGACGTGCGCGATTGCAGGCCCACTGCTCCACCAGGTAGGTCTCGAATCCGGGGAGGGTCTCCCGGTGGGCCAGCACGTTTGTGGAGGGTTCATCTTCGAGGAATCGGGCGGCGACGGGGTCGGCGATGACGAGGGAGCGGTAGGGGAGGTCCTTGGAGGTGATGGAGGTTTGGGGGGGTGAAGAGCCGGTGCTTTCGAAGGAGGAGCGAGGTTGAGTGGCCATAGTGGACAGAGATGGCGGTGTACGCTATTTCAACCTGTTGAGTTTTCGGATGTCACCCTCCATGCCTTGGACCTGGGAATGTAAGTAGGGTCATATGCAGCCAGTTCCGGAAGCTATACTCTATTATTCCGACTTTGAACTCCCCGACATGTCATGAGGGTAGAGACAAAGGTGTTCAAAAAGGAGGGGGAGACATAAGGGTGGGTGAAGTGGAAGCGGCAGCCATCAATATCAATATGCCATGTCACAATAGCAAGCGCCCGAGAGGTCCCGAAATTATATAGACGAGTCTAGTCTGAGTCCTGATGATTTTATATCTTCGTATGGAATATCAATTTGAATCATTGGCATGTGAATTGGATTCTTTCTTGACATCTCCAGCCTTGCACCGGCACGTCACTGTCCGACACCATGAAAGCGGGGCCAATCACCAGCTGATGCCATCCATCAATCAATCACCTGGAGAGAAGCTCCGACTTCCGCTCACACGACCACCACGTTCGTTATATCACCAATACCACCTAGTATCCATGGTTGCCATGAGTGTGGCTTTTTCAAATTCAAGACCCAGCTGATCGAGGTCTTCGTGTTGCTTAAGACGCCGTCAGACAGCACCAACGTACCTGAACTGCTATCGTAGCTTTGATATGCCTTCCGCCGATCCGCCTCCGCCAGCCGGGCTGGCCGACCTCCATACATGCTTGGGGGATATGCAGAGGAAAGATCATACGTTACAAGCCGCGATCGACGAAGTCCAAGTCCTCATAGATATGGTGGAGAATGCCAAACGAACCATTACTGCTGGTCCGTCTGAGCCCTCCTCTAGATATCACGACGCTGATCTGTATAGATCCCTCAAACGCTGCCACAACCCTCGTCAAACTACAATCGTTATCGAAGCAATCCCTCGACAAGCTCTACAGCAATGTTCCCAAAAAACCACATGCTCTGCGAGGCATGCACAACGCCCTGGGAGCGTATGAGAAGGCCTTAAACAAGGTATCCTCCCTCGACCTCTACTGATAGTGGCTGCCCCTTGACAATAGTGTACTGACATGGACGTTAGAGATTCAAAGATAAACCCTTTCCCAGTGCCTCAAACGATGTAGTCTCTTCACAACCGCACTTACTCAACCGGGCCATAGCTATGCACCTCCTCCGCGAAGGCCAGTTCAACGTGGCGAACACCTTTATACTCGAAGCGAAGTCGAAATCCCCCCATCTAAACGATCTCCCAGACATAAGCGCCGCCGGTGCCTCCCTGTTAAGTTCCCACTCGTTATTCAGCAGTCAAGAAGACGACACCGACGCCATGGACGAGGACCCAGCCGCCGCGGAGCTCGCCCCCACCTCCCTCCAACAAGAATTTGCCGCCATGCATCACATCCTCCACGACCTCCGCATCAACCACAACCTCCTCCCCGCCATCGACTGGGCCCGCCGCAACAGCCACGTCCTCGAAACCCGCGGCAGCAACCTCGAATTCGAGCTCTGCCGCCTCGAATTCATCCGCCAATTCGTCGATTCCGCGCAAGAGCACGGCGACCACACCCTCCCGCTCCGCGCCTGGGCGTACGCCCGCTCCGAGCTCGCCTCCTTCGCCGGCCGCTACGCGCGGGAAATCCACCAGCTCTCCGCGGCGCTGGCGTTCTGGCCAAATATAGCCACGAGTCCGTACCGGCACCTCTTCGACGCCGCGAGTGCGTGGGAGGAGGTGGCGGGGTCGTTCACGCGGGAGTTCTGTTCGCTGCTGGAGCTGAGCGCGGACAGTCCGCTGTACGTCGCGGCGACGGCGGGGGCGGTGGCGTTGCCGCCGTTGATGCGGGTGCAGAAGATCCTAGCGAACCGGAAGGCGGAGTGGACGAGTCGGGAGGAGTTGCCGGTATGTTGCTCTCCTAAACGACTATTTCACACCGAGACTAATATTCTTTCTGCTAGGTTGAGATCCCCCTTCCTCCTGCATACCATTTCCACTCCGTCTTCGTCTGCCCCGTCTCCAAAGAGCAGTCCACCGACTCGAACCCACCCATGCTGCTCCCGTGCGGCCACGTCATCGCCAAAGAGTCCCTGGAGAAGATCAGCAAAGGCACGCGGTTCAAGTGCCCTTACTGCCCGATGGAGTGTCACCCGCGGGACGCGAAGAAGGTGTACGTCTAGTTTGTAGATAGGGGGTGACTGAGGCGGCATTGCACGGCGTATAGGCGGGTACGGATATCTGGGAATGCGTAGGTGTTGGGGGATTTTCTTTTATTACGATACTAGCAATGCCACTCGCTTTATTCTCTTCTCTTAATCTTCTACTGTGTCTGAATGAGGCTTGATATGTCGGTGACCGTGCTTAGCTGTATTGAAGCTGCAAACTGTGGTATTAGCCAGACAGCTATGCTGTTTCTCAACCAACGTCGGGATTTATCAATAAATATCATACTTACAGTAGCCAGTCAATACACTCTCTGGTTTGGTGAGATCTGATCTCATCATCTGCATTCAGGCCTCCATGGGGGAAGAAATTGATGGCTCATACAAAGCGTCTTGGCACTGAATCCCCACCACCAAATATATTGATATATCGCTGTCTACCACAATGGAGTCTTAATAAAGTCTCCCTTATTGTCTACAACTAGATGGCATCTGTATGGCATCTCTGCAATTCTCTTACGTACTTCCTCCATCGTGATTTTATCCCATCCATCAATCAGTATCTGTTTGAGCTCTTCCATGGTCTGCCATACCCGCTTGCGTACCCTCTGTTTCAGAATCCCCCAGAGCGCTTTCATAGGGCTCAGGTCTGGAGATTGTGATGGATGTTGTAAGCAATCGATCCAATTGATATGCTTTAATGAAGATGCGACGTTATTTGACTGTGTACCGTGCGATGGATCGTTATCTTCCTGAAGAGTCAAAAGTGGCCCACAAACGTCTGCACCAAACGACCCGCGATGGTGTAAACGGGCGGCCTCAATACGCGCAATATTAGCAGGGAGGATGTGTTTGGCGTAATACTCCTGTGTCATGGAGTTCCCCTTCTGTTTGACCTCAACTTTGTGGGGCAGTTTCGCCTTCCAATCTTGTAATCGTTGGGAGAACTGTTCGTCCGTTTCAGTCTGTTTTTGCCTAGGTTTCCCTGGCTTTTGCGGCTTTGGAGGATCTTCAGACTTGTCGTGATAGAACTTGAGGCTGCTTTTGGAATACCAATTGCAAGACGCAGCAATATGGAGCACCATGCCCTGTGTCGCTGGCCGGTTTTGGATATTCTCCGGTCGGTAGCCCGTGCCCTTTTGGCGAATGATACGCTCTCGTGCTTGTTCCGTAGGATCGTAATGCATCTCGTCTGTAAATTCAATGGAGTCCCAATAACCGATCAAGGGTTGTTCCATCCCAAAGCGACCGTATACTTCCCGCAACTTGCGATTCTCAGCGGATACAGGTTTGCCTTGCTCTCGTTCAAAACGCCCTGCATCTCGTCGTGTTTGTAGATTCTCACGGAGGCTGCGCCCTATTGTGATATCAAGGTCAAAATGCGAGATGTTAGCTTCGTATGGAAGCTCCCGAACAGGATTATTTGAAGAAAGAATAGCATCTAATTGAGGAGATGTAATTGCGCGGAGCCCGCGAAGTCCAACTGCACGCGTCCACGTCGCCGCGGGTGGAAACATTGATAGAGAAGAGTTCTCTATTAATGGCTAAGTGCAGTGGCGATGAGAGAGATGCACGCGTCGCGCGTGCAGGTCGCAGGCGTTGAGCGTGGTATCGCCATACCACCAACACCAGCACGACTGTGTCTACTGCCTCCGCTTAGACACGGTGTCCTTTCATCAAGGGAGGCCTCTTGAGGGATACAAAGGGATACGAGAACCATCCGATAGGGGTCTATCTAGCTCGCAGCTGGATCCGGAAGCCTGACTTATTATTAGGTGGATGAGGACGCGTCCTAGGCCTCTAACAGGACACCCTCAGGCTCGCCTACTCTGGGGTTATGCGTGAGCAACGAGCTGCGTGTAGCGAGGGTTTGGAACAATCCTAATTCTAAAGAACTCGTTAAGGCTAACTTGTATAAATCTAGGCGAACTCTGTTAAGGCCGGAGGGCCTCTTCGCAACGGGAGCGCTTGTTAAGGCCCCTCTATCGGAACCTGTTAATACCACAACGACACGAGCTCACCGGGCGCGACAAGCACGACAGCTTACGGAACTGGAGTTACAGGCCAGTCGATAGAGGGGAAACACAGGTATGCTCCTGGTGGAGGCTCGATGGAGACACAGACCCGTCGCTCGGATCTATACAATGGGAGAATCACGGGCCAACTCAAGATGATGGAGGACTCGAGCTTGGTTAGTGGGATGAGGCTGCATGCGTTGCCCGGTGCGGAACGCATGCGAAAACCCTGAACTGCATAATCGAGCTACAAGCTCAAACCTGCCTCATCCTGCAAGACACGGTCGGCCCATCAGAGGGAGACCTCTATGGGCAACGCGAAACGATGACTGTTTACAGGAGTCGCGGGGCGTAGTGCGTGGTAGCCACTGCTGGCTCCAAGGACCTCATCCCTTCAATGGGCTCTGACCCTCGGTGAACCTGAAAGCAGGCGGGATCAAACCCCGGCCGGAGAGACTACTACGTGGCTCGAGAGAACGGATGCGCGTGTCGGTATACAAAAAGACAGGACTGGCCGCTTAGGTCAGAACGCTGGTGATGTATGCTTATGGAGCAAACAGGCGTTACACAGGCAGGAACCCTTTTTGCCTGGGGGGGTAACTGCGGACAAGCGGAGCAACGAGCAAGCTTTGAAAACTGTGGCAGGAGTCTGGATAAGTGGACTGGCGAAACCTGCTGTTGTATATAAACGCAATATGATGACCTGCTCCTTGCATTTTGCCCGCAGCGGACCGACCAGAGGATCGAGCTCCTCCAACGAGCTGGAACAACGGACTTTAAGAGGATATTGCATGACAGGGACAAGGTGCGCCACGCAGCAAGGTGGCTGATCGATGCGGGAGGCCTAGAGCAATACCGGGTGGCCAAGGAAGTTGAGGAGGAGGTAATAGAGGACTGGAAACCGTTCCAGTTCCTCCACGACGTGCCAGAATAAGCTCTCCGCGTAGGCGGAAACACCGACTCTTACGGATAGATGATAAACGTTTGAGATAGTCTACTAAAGGGAGGAGGCGGGATTTTATGTACCCGCAGCCTCAGGGCTACGGGGAAACTTTTGCCCGCGGCAGACCAGATAGAATATCGTGCTCATAGACCCGAAAGGGATCCAGATAGTACGTTAAATTGATTCTTATTATTATTATTAATTGCGCGGTTTCGCCCTAATTTGTCGCTATTGGGCCGGGTTCGTCTGTATGCCTCTTTTCCAAGGCGACGTCGTTCACTTAGCCAACGGTTTGCTGTACGTCGAGAAAGATCCAGCTTGCGGAGAATATCGGACAATGGTTGACCTTCGGTACGGCTATCATACGCTTCGAAAAAGCGAGATTTTTCGGGTGTGTTATGTTCTTGGCGCTTAATTGGCCTATCTGGCGTAATTGGACGCTCCATGAAGAGAAGACAGTGGCGTTGTAGTAGATTGGAGTTTGTAATCTGTTAGTTGTGATTTGTAGAGCTCTGGAAAACTGGTGATGTAATTCGTGCCAAGACGCTTTGTATGGGCCATCAATTTCTTCCCCCAAGAGAGCAGTGGGTGCCTTATAGCCTCACAAGCGAAACTGTGTTTGCCTTACAACCTCAGGCACAAAACCTACATCAACATTGATCCAGATCAATCCAAGTCTCAAGATCATCTTTTTCCAACCGCGACTTCACCCAGCACCTCCCCCATTACTAGATACTTACCATGTCTCTTCCGGGCGGCAGCGGCTTCCCCTTCCCCCAGCGGCCGGGGGGCGGGCCGGCGGCAGGCATGAGCCACCAAGAACAACAATACGTGAAAGCGGTACGCCTCCTTCAACCCCGAGTCCAGCCTCGTACCTCCGCATGCTAACCATCACCCGCAGATCGAGGGCGCCGGCGAGAGTTGTGCGTTTAAGAGCTGCATGGCGGCGGTCATGGGCGCGGGATTAGGAGCGATGTTCGGCGTGTTCACCTCCGCGGTAGGTCTACTCCAACTCCCTAACCTCTGGGCCCCCTTCATTCCTCCACCATATCCTAACACCCACCCAGATGCGCTACGACACCCCTCTCTCCCCCACCGCCCCCGAAATCTCCACCCTCCCCCTCCGCCAACAACTCAAACTCGGCTTCGCCGAAACCGGCCGCGCCGCCCTCTCCACCGGCCGCAACTTCGGCACCGTCGGCTTCCTGTTCAGCGGGCTGGAGTGCGGCGTCAGCGCGCTGCGGGCGAAGGACGACATGTGGAACGGGATCTGGGCGGGGGCGTTCGCGGGGGGAATTTTGGCGCGGAAGACGGGGCCGCGGGGGGCGGCGGTGGGGGCCGGGGGGTTTGCGTTGTTTAGTGTGGGGATTGAGTGGTGGTTGAGGAAGGGGGAGGATGAGAAGCGGTTTGCGGTGGAGTGAGGGAAGGGGTGGTTGTACGTGTACGATATGGATAAAAGCATGGTGGGTTGGCTGTTTTGGCTGTTGGAACGAGATTTGCATGGGATGGCGCTGGGATTGTTCAGATGGTGATGGCGTACACTTTGCTGTGGGCTAAAATAATAGATGATACCCTACACTCTGAGATATATAAAAGTTGTCATGTCGATTTGTGGATATGGTTTATAATGGACCCGCAAGGATATCATAGAGACTCGATAGAGATGGTCATAACATTCCTTCATAAACATATATCATACGTATCTGGGTTCTCCAACGCAATCCATCCAAATACAGCTAAATCCAACGTAAATCTACCCCGGATATCTCCGCACGCTCAACCCGCTCAACCCAAATGAACAAACTCCAGCCCCACCTACCCCCGCTCAATCGGGGCATCCCCCTCCCTCCTCGCAATCCTTCCCAACAAACTCCCCTCCGCAAACCGACTCTGCTCCCTCACATCCACCATCGGCCCCCTCGCCTGCGTCCCACTCATCACCCCCCTTCCCTTCCCCACCCCCTGCCCGCTCCGACTCCCCGCCAACAGCCCCCCACCCGTAAATCCCGCCTCCTCTCCTCCCTGATACCCAGCCCCCGACGATACGTGCTGCACCTTCACCCCTTGCCCCCGCAAACTCTTACCCCGCTCCACCCCGACCGCGCGCTCTGGACTGCAAAGGTCATACCCATCAGGCCCGACAGCGCGGCCTGCGAGCCCGATCAGCACGCCACCTGACGAGGGGAGGGGCACGCCACGGCCTTTGCGGGCGTGTTGGGGCGGGGGACGGTAGGTTGGGGTGAGGTCGACGAGGGGTTTGGTGTCGGTGGAGGGGCGGGGATGGGAGGAGCGGGTGGAGGTGGTGCGGGCGGGGGGGTTGGATGCGGTGGCAGTGGGGGGACGGTCGGAGAAGGGTTTCGGAGGGGCGTTGCGGTCGCGGTCTTGTTGGGCTTTTTGGCGTTGGGTGTAGGTGCGGCCGAGAAGGGAGGTGGGGACGAAGACGTCGGGGTCGGCGAGGGTGAGGAGGGGTTGGTGGGGTGGGTTGACGTCAGGGGGGCTGGAGGGAGGGGTGGTGTCGGTGGCGTAGCGGGCGGGGAAGGCGCTTGGGGGGGCGCGGGTGCGGAGGGAGGGTTTGCGGGTGTGGAGGGCGCGGGGGGTATCGATGGAAGGTCGGGGATGGGTGGAGGGGTTGGTGGTGGCGCTGGGTTGGCGGACGTGAGAGCTGGTGAACTCCGAGAAGTCGAGGAGGGGTTGGAAGGAACCGAGTTGGTAGTGGGATTCGATGGAGTTGGTGGAGTTGCGGCGAAGGCGTGCGGCGGCGGTGGTATTCGACCTCCCGAGCGGTGGGCCCTCTCGCTGGTCGCTGCGTTTCGGACTGGGCTTCTTTTCCCCTTCGCCGAGGACGTGGACAAGATACCAGCTCCGCCAGCCTTGGACGGCTCGATAGAAGTCGTCGGCGAGTTGCTTGTCGGGGGTGCAGAAGAAGTGCACAAAGGTCGAGGTGGACATAAACATGCTCGATTTCTGTTGGCTCTTGATGGCGAAGCAATGCTTTTTCGGGGGCTTCACCTTGTGTTTCCGCTGCCGTGGGGTCGGGGTGTAGATATCGAAGTCGGAGAGATGACACACGTTGGTTTGGTCTTTTGTGGAAGCGTCGCGATTCTTGGAGACCGTCACTTGTCCGTCTTGGTTGATGTAAACCCAGCGTTTCGACCATTTGGACGGGGTTTGAGAGTACAGGACCGGCCAGGACCCCTTTGGTTTTTGGCGGGGAACCGTTTCCGCGACGAGGTCATCATTGTTCTCGGCGGAGGAAGGGATGAGGATTAAGGTATTGGAAGTGTCCTCGTCCCAAGAGTTGAGCACGTCTCGGATATGCTCGTATCTTCGTACCGGTCGTTGTACGCCAACTTTCTCGAATAGCTCGAGGACCACGGCCGTCTTCGTGTCGACGGCCTGTGACAAACAGATCTCCGCTGACCGGATCAAGTCCATGGGTGTCGTCGTAGGAGTTACCGGAAGCATGATACGCGAGTTCTCGCACTCAATCGTGACACGTCGGTCTCCAGCATTGACAGCCGATAGTGGCGCATCGACGCGAGGGACGATCCCGCCTCCACCTGGCCGAATCGTTGCTTCGATGTATGGTTTCGTTTCTTTTAGAAGCTGAGTTGGCGCATCGTGTTCTTTCTTCCTCAAGAAGCCAAATCCCATCTTCGAATGCGACGGTTCCTTGTCCGTCCCCGAGCTTGGGAGGCTCTTGGGCAGGCTCTTGGGCAGGCTCTTAGGCAGGCTCGCTTCCCTTGTGGCTGGTAATCGTGCCGGTTCCTGGTCATGGGATCTGGAATGGTTGCTGAGCTTGCTCATCGCCTTCGCCCTCTCCCTTTCGACATGCTCCTGTTCCTTTTGTAATCGCTGGGCCTCCTTGTCCTCCTCTTCCCGACCCCTGCGTTCCACTTCCGCTTCCCGCTGCAGCAATCGCTCCCGTTCCCGCTTCTCCTGCTGTTGTTTCTCCCGCATCCGCCTCTGCCGCTCCGTCTCATTAGCGATCAACTGACGTGCCTCCTCATGCGCCGTGAGGGGTTGATGTGGTTGCGGCATGTACGTGGGCGCGGTTTGCGCATTGCGCGCCGAGGTGAAGGGACGCGCGGCTTGTGAGACCATTCCAGATCGTGATTGCGATGGAATCGGCGAGGTTGGAACAGTGTTGCTACCGTCACTGGTGGGGGAGCGGCCAGGGTTCGTCGTCGATCGCATCCGCATCCCCTCGTTCGGGGGTGACCCTGGAGCTGTATTTGGCGGGCTGCGCATCGCAGGGACGACCGGGGCGTTGGCACTCCTCACAGATTTCGAGCGATGATAACGCGACATGCTGCGTGCCACGCCTACGGGAGCCGGATTTGCGTCTGGCATGGGGAGGGAAGGAAGCGGGTCGGCAGGCGCGGTGTCGAGGTGTTGCTGCTGGGCCTTTCGCACGGAGCGGTAGCGCGACATTTTGGGAGGACGGTCGACAGTCTCCATGATGGCTATCGGGGAAGGGAATGCAAGTGGTTTTCGTGAGGAATTTGGGTGTCGCACAACATGAAGACGAGAAAGCGAAGGTTACGGAGTCTAGATCACACGATGCGCTGGCGAGGGAGAGTTAGGGGACACGACCGCAAGGTGAGCTGGCATGGAGCAGAGGATCAATCCCGACGGTTAATTGGATGTCTCCTAGATAATTGTCTGGGCAGCATTGCCAAGGTGGTAGAAGGAATTATAGAATTGGGGGATAAAAGGGAGGAATGCAACATGCGATTTGACGGATCTCGTAAATTGCATCTGGAAGGATTTCAGCGGGGAAAGAGCAGAGGGGGAAGGAGCAGACGGCGATCGGCACTGGCACTGGCACAGGCACTGGCACAGCACAGGCAGATATACAAGGCATCAAGGCGGAAAATAAGGCATCAATACATTAAGGCAATACCTCCATAGTCCATAGTCCCAGGCTCCCAGCCATACATGGTGCCAGCCTGCCAGGCCCCAGGGCATCATTATTGGAACTTATGTCATCAACGACTCTAGGGTTTTACTTGAAGGGACTCCAGTGTACATTATAACAATCAGTTACTGAATTAAAAAACCAAGCATTTTATCATGCAAGTCTCGATCCATCTTGGAAGAGAGAGGCAGGAATACGAGTAGAGAGCCCAATAAACAATCATGGTTGGCTGTTGAGACAATCGTGGAATATCCCTTATAATGAACTTTCGAGACTGGAACTTGGACTTGGCAATCGAATATAAATAATGTGGCTGCCTGATGTCGCCTCAGGCCAATATCTTCTAACTGAGCAACTTCACATAACATCCACTGCGTCCATTCGGTTCATCTATTCATGGAATATCTAAGCCTCCTACAACATTGTAGATCGAACGAGACTCTCCCGACAATTGTTCTTGTCAGCTGGAGTATGCTACCCAGTAACCCAGTGCACGTTCAATTGTAAGCAATACCGCGTTCGGGGTCATTGACCCGCCCTGAGCTGACTGGGTAGGGACTCTCCTCCGCCCGCTCGTTCCACCCATTGCTGACGACATCTTCAGGTTTCATGTCACTTTCCACCCTTCATGCGTAGCCGTGCTTTACACCGTGGTGGTCCTCACATGTTGCCCTCACATGTTGCCCTCACATGTTGTCCTCAACATAAACATACTTCATACACGGCTTTTCCGTCTCTACACAAGGGATGTCCTTGATCAAATCCCATTCCCCCAATCTTCAACCAGCACCCCTCACTCGGCTTTCAACTGGCTTTGTTAGTACGAGATTCAGCCTACGGGCTGGGAGGCTGACCTCCGATCCTCCGTAAACGCATAACCTCTCCCAACATGTTCTCCTACCTCCGCTCCCATAAACGCTCCGGCTCCACGCCTGTTTCTCCCGACTCCGCCGCTCCCCCCGACTCCTTCGCTGCACCGCTATCTGGTCTGGGCATCTCCGAATCGCAACCTACCTCCGCGCACTCGCCGATATCGCCATATCCGCCCATTCTCCCCCCCATTCCTCGGGTCGCGTCGCAGCATGGTCCGTCATCCCTATCGCAAGCCCCGAATGCGTTTCGACCAACATCCGGGAATGATCAGTCGTCGAACCGGAGAGGGGATGCGGAGGAGATGCTGCCCACATTGCAGGAACGGCCGATGGAGCCTCTAGAGAGGGTTGAAAGCGAACCGAAAGCGGATCCTCGACCAACAATGCAGAGAAGCCAAGATGCTGCAAGGAGATCGTATACCCCAGGAACGACAGGCTTTCGAAATCGTGGACAATATACGTTTGGACAAACACCGTCTTACCAGCCAAGGGACACGCAACAAGAAAGGGATCGTGAATTACCGCCAGTACCGTCATCAAGCCTGTATCTCTCTCCTACCACTTCTCGAGATGCTGCGCCCCAAGAACGACCGTCTTCCTCCAAGCAACTTCCTCCTCTGCCACCACCGCCTCCACAGCCAATCTCAGCGAAACAGGGGAGGACAAAACTTAACTTGCGAAACCCCATGTCGTTGCTCTTGCGGCGACGTTCAGGAGCGGTCCTGGAATTGGCCGACGACTCCCTTGTGAGCCGTCGGAATCGGACGGTACCGGATTTACCAGACGACTATGATCCTCGAATTATTGGCAAAGGTGTGCATGACTTCAGCGTCCCAAGGCCCAAGCGGAACATATCGTCGAACAACGTCGGACACGTAGCACCATCATCCGAGGAATCCAGGACAAACACAAGACGCGGAAGCGCTGATGGACGCGCCGCCGACTTGCGGCCGGATATGGAGCACACGCCGGTTTTTCGAGAACATTTCGACGAACAACCGAGCCTGGACAACTCACAATCCGGGGTTCGAGCCGAAGCGCTTGCAAACCAGAACTTCATTGCGAGAAATTCGATGCTGCCCCCACCCCCCGAGCGAGAGCCTCCGCCGGTACCTAGAAAGTCACCGTCTCCTACTCTAATGCCGGAATCGCGGCCAACGCACAGTCTCGTCGACCAAGAACAGGAAACCTGGGAGGTGGTGGAATCGATCCCGGGGTCAGCCCGCGAGAGTCGCAAAACCGCCTCCCACACCCTCTCCCAACGAACCACCGCCAGTTCCCGCACGAGCTCCAGCCTCCACCGCCTCCTTCCCCACAAAACCAGCAACGCCTCCCGCTTCAGCTTCCAGTTGGGCAGCGGCGACTCCGCGCTCCAAGAGCGGATCCTGGAGGAACGACACAAGCAGAAAGCCGCCGCGCGTGCCACGAAGCACGATTCGCGAGAGGACGCGGAGGACGACTACAATGACATGTACGATATGGACGAGTTCGATGACTTCGAGGAGCAAATCCCTGGAGTTAATTGCGATGATGAGGAGGATGAGATGGCGGCGTATAATCGGATCGCTAATCAGTCGTCTATCGACGTCTCCGCGGTGATGCTGAATGGGAACGCTTCGAGTGCCGTGGGGAGCGAGCATCCCTTCAACGGACTTCCAACGCACGGTTCTATGTATGGGACGGCTGAAAACGTGCTGGGCGGCCGACCGCTGGCAGACGCGCCAGACCAACCTCAGTCGAATACTACATTCACCGCCCAGGGACTGGAAATCAATGGCTCCGACGGCGCCATCCAAGTGACCATGGACCCGAGCACGCAGATCTCGAATTTCCCAACGACCTCCCTGCAACCCTCGGGTAGCCAAAGCCGTCGATTCAAGTCGGATTTCGGCGACGAGAACCTGTATTTTGACGACGGGGTGATGGGGGAGGTTGGAGAGAGCGAGTTCGACGAGTCGATCTTTGACGATCCGGATCACCCGTTGAATCAAAGGTTCAATAAGGGACGGGTGCCGCCGGTTGGAGAGAAGGAGTCCACTTTAGATCCGGGTGGCTTTATCGGCAGCGAGTCCCACAGCGGTGGGATCAGACGGGCTGCACAAAATGCAAAGCCACGGTTGAAAATGAGCACCAACTTCGCGACGTTGTCAGACTACCACGGAGCATTGGCTGAAGCTGCTAACCGTGCTGCGGACTCCGGCCGTTTCACTCGCAAGGCCAGTATCGATGTCCCCGTCCCTGAGAACGCAGCTGCCGGCCAGCACTCCGACGCTACCGACCTCAGCACCTCTCAGGCCTCGTCCTCCTTCGAGGCAGATAGAGATGAAGGCCATTCTCCCGCTCGGTCCGACCCATCCCTCTCCTCCCGTCCGAGCCTCATCCCTTCTTCCGGCCACCTCAGCCTATCCACGGCAGTCTCCCCACCAGCACCCCACACCGTCTCTTTCACGCCCTCATCCATGGGATTCTTCTCGGACTCTGACGATCCATCCGACCCCTTCTCCGGAAAGCTCTTCATCGACTACGACTCCGACCTCGATCCGTCCCTCGCCTCCGATCCCATGATCGCCGCTGCCAACGCCGAAGCCCTCGCCTACGACTCCGACGGCGAATACGGCCGGGAATTCGGCTTCTACGCCTCCTCCGCCCAGCTCGGCCCCGCCGCCGTCACCGAAGCCTCCAGCATCGGCGGTGTCTTTGCTCCCCGCGGCATCGACCCCGTCGCTCGCTCCCGTAGCGTCCGCGAACCGAACTTGACGCCCATCACGGAGCGCAGCGAGCAGAGCACGCGGAACTCGTTCGCGAGTGTAGGGAGCTTCATGAGCGGCGCGAACGCCGTGCTGGGCCCCGCGGCGGCGACGGCGGCGGTGGCGAGCCCTGGCCTCGCGCAGCTGGCGCAGATTGGTTGGGATGAGGAGGAAATGAGCTTGAATCAGCTGATGCGGCTCCGGCGCGGCGCGTTTGGAGCTAGCGAGGTCAGTTTGGGGAGTGCGGGGTCGAGCCACGGCGGGGGATCGCGGGGGGGCAGTCCGATTGCGACGACGGGGGGCGGGTTTGGGGTGAGTCCTGTGGGGGGGAGGCGGGGGAGTCCGCGGTTTGGGGCGATGGTTTCGGGGTTGAGTTATGTTGATGCGGAGGGGGATGAGGGGAGCGACGGCGGGGTGGTGGGGTATGACGTCGAGGAAGAGCGGCCGCGGCTCGTGAAAGACCCCACGGCCACCGATGTCGTCCTCCTTCACCCACCGACCGCGCACGGCGAATCCGATCCCGACAGCCCAACCGCACCCGCAAACCTCTCCACCTCCCCACCCCATCCCACCAGCTTCTCCCCCAGCAGCTCCATCAGCAACGACTCCATCCCCTCCCTCCCCACCCCCGCCCCCCTCTTCTCCTCCCCGCCCCTCAAACCCCTCCCCCAACCCCCGCCCTATAGCCCCACGACCTACGCATCCCCGACGTCGCCATCGCATGCGCACAGCGGTAGCGGCAGCGGAGCGGACACGGTGTCGTACGTGCGCGAGGCGGACGGAGGGAAGGGTGGGGAGTTTCATTGGGTGGTGGAGCGGCGGCGGACAGCGGAGAGTGGGGAGATGGAGGTAGTGGGGCGGGAGATTGTGAGGGGGGGAAGGATTTAATTTGACAGAGGGGTTTTTGATACCCGTCTGTGTTGCGGACGGGTTGTGCGATGTTACTGTTTTGACGGGTGTGATATGGCGTTTGGGTGGGGAGGCAGTTGAGCGATGATTGATACCACACCATAATACTTTCACATAACGACGGGTTCTGCATCCAGACTACCTAGGGCCCAGTCATTTATAGCACTCCATAGCTATAGTCACAGCACGGAATGCATAATATGAACAGTTGTCTGGATTCGCTCACACTCATCAGCACCATTCTATCTATCTCGTCTACTAACATGCCAAAACCACTCCAACAACCCTACAACCCAAACCGGAGCCCCTGGCCGTCGAATCCGACATCGATCGTAACCGGATCACCATCAACGCCCTTCGCGTCTCCCCGGATTCTCCCCAACAACATCAACAAAGCAAATCGGCGCACTCTTCGCGTCCCTCGTGATATCCCCATGGCCGTGCCCATTCCCCGAACCTTTCGCCCCCGCTCCGACTCGTTTCGCCTCGCGACGCGCGATGTACGTCTCTAGCGCCATCCCCTTCTCCGCTGCACGCGCAGCGTAGCGTTTCTGCTGCTTCGTCGACAGCGCGGCGCTTGAGTCGACGTGCGCTGGTTTCTCCTCTCGGCGGTTCTTCTTCGACGTGCGTGAGGATGGGTCCGCTGAACAGTTGCGCTTCTCGGGCCGGGTGGCGGATTTGGATGTGGGGGATGGGGCGCGGTGCTGGAGCGCGGTGGCACGAGAGGCTTGAAATTCGGTCAGCGTTGGATTCTCGGGCTCCTCAGGCTTCAGATTCAGGACGCCGTTCATCGCTGGTGCTTTCGACTTTCTCTCCTCTTTCTTTTCCTTCTTCTCTTTCTCCCCCTTTTTCTTCTTCTCCCTCTTCTCGTCTTCCTCTACCAACTCTTCTTCTCCAGTCTCGTCATATTTCTCCTCAGGGAAGTACTCCACCCACAGACGCTTCATGTGAGCCTTCTTCGCCTCCTTCTTCAACTCCTTAGCAGCCTTTGCTTCATCTGAAGAGTGACTCCGATGCGGTGGAGCGAGACCGTATTTCCCCTCGGCCATTTCTTGCTTGATCAGACGCTTCACTCGGCGATTGAGTTTCCGCTCCTTCCTCTGCCGTTGTTCCACGGCGCGATCCGGAACGTCCTTCGATTTGGTCTCGTCTTTCCTGCTCGAGTCGTTGAGATGGGCTCGCTCCGTTCGGTCCATCTTCGTTCGCTTTCGTGTGTCGCCTTGTGACGAGTCCGCAGCTTTGCGCTTCCGCTTCGAGGTATCGGCAGAGGCTGGCTTCGGTACAGCGGCTGTGGATATAGTGGATAGAGCAGCTTCGATAGAGGTTTCGTGAATAGTTCCGTGTAGACTCTCGCCTTTCACAAAGAACCCGTAGAGTCCACCCCTCCTAACGCCGCCTTCTCGAATCTGCGAGAGTGCACTCTGTTCTCCCAATTAGTACCCAAGCCAGACGGCTAACAGGAATTGCCCACGCACTTGTTTCCCGGTACCAATATCGTTCAACGAGTCATTGAACGCTCGCAACCACCACTGATCGCTCGTCAGCGACTTCGGTTTCCCCAATCCTAGCACGTTGTCTTTCTGCGAGATGAGGAGAGGTTTTTTGATGCCACGGCCGGTTCGGTCGAGGGAATGTCCAGCACCTTGCCAGCCATGGCTTTTAAGATAGGCCTCCGCGTCCATGTAAACGACGGGATGCTGGGATCGTCAAACGCGGTCGAGCTGTCAGGTGGCAGTGGGGGAAAAATATTGCGTGCGGGAAATGCATCTTTGATTCTTTTGATAATAATTTGATATCAATCTTGATCGGCGTTTCCAACCTCCGATTGTCAAGGATGAAGTGTCCCGCCGCTATTCCGTTTTAGGATTAGTCAGCTCTGGAGGTCAACATCAGATAATTAATGGTATCTGCTTGATGTGACATCTTCCCGATCTATCTCAACAATAGGAAACATCATTACTCCTTGCATTGCTCTATTCTAATGGCGCTTCGAACTGGCGTCCTGGGAGGTGCCACATACAGTGCTGTAACTAACCTGGTACCAAGCACACTGACTTACTTTCCACGAAGAAGACCTGTATTCCTGCACGGAACGTTGCTGTCTCAGGATGTTTATTCGATGAGATTGTGCTTTATCGATTGGCAATCAGGAAAGCCAGTCGCAGTCCTAGTCAATATGCAGTTGTTCCTAATTTGATTCATGCCTAAAGTGACATACCGGCCTTCTTCACCAAGATCGGCAACCATCTCATCCGTTGCGTGTCTCACAGGGAACAAGCGGTTGGGGACCAACATCTCTTTGCTACCACACAATACTATCTGTCATTCTCGATAGATCTAACTACTACAGAACCCGAACTCATCCGTCAATAGCGGAGTCACGTCACTGTCCCTCCCTACTATGGCTGTCTGTAGTTGCCAACTGGGCAGTTTGCTCCACCAGGATGGTACTAACAGGACAGAAGTCTGGTCATGCCTCACCAAAGCCTCACCAAAAGTCGCGCCTTTCGACCTCTAAAATCAGCCACTAATTATTAATAAACATAGTTAAGTTAACACTTTTCATTTTACAATGCCTTAATTCTTAACTTGAATAACTAAACTTTTATATAGTTAAGCAAGTAAAGTTAAAAGCCCCGAAAATGTAGCAAAATTTCGAGATTTTGGTGAGGAATCACCCATTTAAACAATCTGACGGCAGATTGAACGGAGCGAAGCACAGTGATACCAGTAAGTAGCTTAGCCTTCTCTTCCATAACTATTGCTGTATTTCTCTGACGCTGGATAGATACTGGATAGATACGGTGCCTATACCGGAAAAGACACCAAGAAGATGTACCAAGCCATATCAATCAACGTATTGCACAACTTTTTCCACTGGCTGCTCAGCCAGCGCCGCGGGAAGGAGGGACGGCGACTTCGAGGGACCAAACTGGCCATTTCTATGGGCACATACTGGAAAATATATCGGCTTGTGTATGAGCGAGCCACTGGCGACGAGATCAACGGTCCGACGACACGTGGGATGTATAAGGTTAAACAATGGTGAAAATGTCCTCGTACATGTGACCTGAGACAGGTTCGTCCTGGTACTTCATTTGTCCTAATCCTACGGACTGGACTCCTGGAGCAATTCCGGGCAGTTCCGTCCACAGTACTCAAATGCACCTAGTGAGGACGAGTGATTAACGGTATACAGAAGCAGAGGAGGGCCAGGAAAGGCCTGACAAGTATATAGATGTAGAAGAGCTATCCGAGCAAAGTGCAACGGTTCAGAGCAGAGGAAGAGGATGCAACTCTGACGGGAGCGGCTTGATTTCTGAAAGCGAAGGGCGGGAGCACCATATTTATAGCTGTACGCTGCATAGCTACCACTAGGACGGTTGGGACAGCCTATGAATTAATCAACCAACAAATCAATCGTCTGAGGCCCTAGGACGCCTGAGAGGCCGGGACACTTATTATATTAAGACACCCGATGTACTATGATGTTATTGTGAGAACGCCAGGTTTGCTCGTTTCATAGTTCTTCTTCCTGGTCTACAGGCACAGTAAATGATTTTCCAGCCTTATAGCCAATATTGAGATCCCTTCGAGAACGACGACTCTGAGAACATTTGCTTGGCGTTAACAATGTCGACGCTGTCGGCTTTGGTGTATTCCCGGTAAGGTTGGGGGCAGTTGGACTTGTGGACATTCCAATGGCCTGCTTCGCCCTTTGAAAGTCGCCTGTGAGCGGCTGCGCATGTGTCGTATTTCCGTTAAAATCGAATGGTTGTGGATCGGTGGAGCTCGACGGAGTATTGAGTGTGGTCTGAGGGCCAAGCTCACTCGAGATCTTGGACTTAACTACTTCTGATCAGTTACTAGCAGGAGTCTATTTGGAGGGTCTGTGTGCATCATACCTGATGCTTCTTCCACTTCAAAAAGCTGTTCTTTCTTATGGTCCCACTGTTGTGTTCTAACCTGTTCTTCCACATCCGGCGGGTCTGTGCTCTTGTCAGATAAGTTCGGGGTCTGATATTTCTAGTCACTCACTATCTGGAAATGCTAGCCCCGTGCTTCTTAGATTCTTGAGATCAATGAGCCCCGTCTCGAGTGCTTCTAGCTTTTTAGTAAGATCCCTTCTCTTGGACTTTGAATCAACTCGTTCTTCAACGAGGTAGAGCCGATCACTCTTAGGTATCGCATCTAGATTCTTGATGGAAAAGATATCCTCAAGTTTGTGAAGAAGACACCGCTCCACACCCAACATAGTGACATTGTCAATAAATGTTGGAAGTTTGATCTCATAGAACGCCAAGGTGCACTCCAGAGTGTCGACCAGTGTTTTGGTTTCGTCGTTGGCGTCTCCCAGGCGAGATTGCTTAAGATTCCTGATTTTGTCCTTGAAATTCAAGTCGAATGTGGCGATCAGCCCTTCTTCATGTGGTGCATAGAAACCGTTGCACGCTCTGCTAAGCTTCTTTCTACGCTCCAATAAGGCTGGCGCAACAATCCCATCCATGATCCGCTTCGCGACGTGATCGTCAGTTCGAGACTTGATGATTTCCTGGAAAAAGTCCCAGACCGCCTTATTTATTTCATCTTGGTAGTTTTGCATAATACCCTTCCAGTTCTTGACAAGCCGCAAGTACAATTGAGACACGACCTGGGGGTTTTGGAATACTCCAGGCGGATGCCCTGTGTTGAATTCCCGACTGATTTCAGTTGCTTGTGCAATGGCCTCGGTGTGGAGCTCGTGTTTCTCTCCTGACTTCGAGTCAAGTATTAGGAAAGATTTGCCATTTAAGAGCATGTCATCTCTAAATTTCTCCCCGATAATTTGCGCCTTGGCGCGAAGGTTTCTATGAGACGTTCCTCCACGTGCAGAAGTGAAGAATGACTCAATCCAGACTCCCACCCTGGCGTCGCGGATGAACAGTCGCATTTCCTCGGCAAGCGATCGAAGATACTTATCCATTTCTTCGTCTCCATCTCGCGATGGTCCAAGTTGTTCGAGGTCTTTCTGGGCCTTGTCGATCTCCTTTTGGATATCCGCAATCACTGGGCCTAGGTTTTGATTCACGACCCGCTGAGTGAGTTCGCTTAAGCGGACTCGCAACGAATCTATCCCCTTGTTCTTCCAATCCAACTCTTCCCAAATACCTCTCTCCAGGAACCTTCTCTCAACTTCGTCTCGCTTTTGAGAGGTGTAGTCCGTTTCTTTCGAACCTCGATTTCTCACAACGTGCCAGCCATGTGTGTATTGCGCAGTCTCATGTTGATTCATCGCCAATCTCAAATAATCTTCTTCTCTGTCGCGATTGTCGCATCGATCGACCTGCGTTATGATACCAATCGTTCGATGTTCGTGGAGGTCGAATTTTTTCACTTCATCAAGGATATCATTGGTATTGACGTCAACAGCCGCATTTACTACAGCCATAATGATGGCCCGAGGATTCCTTAAGTACTTTCTCATGAAAGCGAATGGAATGCTTTTCTTCAGCGCATCATCAGCGGATCCAATGACACCGGGAAGGTCGACAAGACTCAGATGTGGCAAATCTGGTCCTTGAATCTTGATTCTGAGTATGTCTTCACACATTTTGTCTTTGGGCCCATTTTCTTTAAGGCGTGCCTGTGCGCGTTGCATAGCTTCGGCGATGCCATCGAAGGAGTCTGCATTATAAAACGTCTGAAAGAGAGGGTCAAAGTGTCCCGTAGGGATGGTATTTCCAAAAGCATGCTGAATTTCGACTGTAGAACTGCACTTGTCAGACCGTCGCAGGATTAGCTCGGTTGCCCACCTTGTCCCGAGCCCTGCCTTCACAGGGAACTTGAAGCCTGAAATAGCCTCAAGAACAGAAGATTTGCCGGACGACTGATTGCCGCAGACCACGAGCTGCGGGAGCGGAATAAATCGATCAATATGCTGCAGACGCAACTTATCAATTTCGTCCAACAGCGGATTCTTCAATTGGCCTAATTTCTCCTGATCGACTTGGATATTAGCGGTCTTGAGATCCACTTGGTGAACAATAGGAGGTGCCATTTTAACACAGTTAGATGTAGTAGTCAAGAGACCGAGAACAAGAAAGAGAGTTGTGCGTGAGCTTCGATTCGGAAATATGTGAACAAGATCAAGGACAAATTGAACAGACTGAAGACGTGAGTTGCGTCTGTGATGGAGGGTAGTTAAAGCAAGTATTAGACAATACCAGAGACTGATTTTATGGAGGAACATGGTAGGGGCCAAAGGGTGCTCTCATGGGGAGCCTGCATACGCGCTGGGGTGATATTAAGCACTGCATTTGCTGTGCCGCAATTATAAACAGATAGCGCGGGCATATGAAATGCCATCATGGTCGCGAGACGGCGCGTGTCCGAGCTACCAAATCATAATCGTTCTCATTTTCTTCTGAAGCAGTAACTGAAACAATGAGTTTCGAGCCGAAATACTCCAAGGGAGATGGCGTGCAGGTTCGTTGTAAAGAACGCTTTGAAGTGGTTCAGCTGAGTTGGATGACCACTGGAGGCTCGCGATGTGTACCATAAGTCCATAACCCCTGTTGTCCGGTATCGACTGAAGCGACTGGGGTCCGCACCCCAGTGGTCAACATCTGACACCTACGGAACAAGCACGAGGGCATATCATTCGCGAAAAGGGTACGCGCTACCGACCGGAGAACATCCAAAACCGACCAGCGACAAAGGGCATAGTGCTCCATATTGCTGCGTCTTGCAATTGGTATTCCAAAAGCAGCCTTAAGTTCTATCACGACAAGTCTGAAGATCCTCCAAAGCCGCAAACGCCAAGGAAACCGAGGCAAAAACAGACCGAAACAGACGAATAGTTCTCCCAACGATTACAAGATTGGAAGGCGAAACTGCCCCACAAAGTTGAGGTCAAACAGAAGGGGAACTCCATGACACAGGAGTATTACGCCAAATACATCCTCCCTGGTTACATTGCGCATATTGAGGCCGCTCGTTTACACCATCGCGGGTCGTTTGGTGCAGACGTTTGTGGGCCACTTTTGACTCTTCAGGAAGATAACGATCCATCGCACGGTACACGGTCAAATAACGTCGCATCTTCATTGAAGCATATCAATTGGATTGATTGCTTACATCATCCATCACAATCTCCAGACCTGAACCCTATGGAAGCGCTCTGGGGGATCCTGAAACAGAGGGTACGCAAGCGGGTATGGCAGACCATGGAAGAGCTCAAACAGATACTGATTGATGAATGGGATAAAATCACGATGGAGGAAGTACATAAGATGATTGCAGAGATGCCATACAGATGCCATCTAGTTGTAGATAATAAGGGAGACTTTATTAAGACTCCATTGTGGTAGACAGCGATATATCAATATATTTGGTGGTGGGAATATAGTGCCAAGACACTTTGTAAGGGCCATCAATTTCTTCCCCCACGGAGGCCATTTTATTGATGCCTTTCTGCCTCAGGCATAAATTCCTGAAAAAAAGGTACATGATCTCTTGCGCACTCCGTAACTCTCCTAAACTAAGTTACACTTGATTTTAATAATATACCGATTAGTATACTTCTTCAGATATAGAGCTACATTTTGATATACAGATCGATATGAAAAGTATATGCGTTGCCTACTCCCATTTTGGCCGTCTTCTCGCCATGGTGCATGATGTGATCCGTTGCCCCAAGCAACTACTGCCAAAATTGTAGCATTTTACTTCACCTGCTAATAACTCTAGATATACTACTTGGATTGCAAACCCAAATATTTAAATGTATTATTATTGGCCTCATCTGGAGCTTCGATTCGATATATATTTTGGTATATCCATGCATCATTAGGAATAGTTAATCTTTCATCATCGGTAGGGATAGAAAGATACGAATTTTCATGTTTGGGTTTGGGGTCATTTTATTCATCAACTACCTAACTTCCGGGTAATGCGACTGAATCAGCTCCAAATTTAAATTCATATACATCTATTTACTCGTCTCGACGAGATCTATCGATCTACCTACTTTTCATGTTCATATAGCTATGCCGAAGGTTGGAAAAAATCGCGATGCCATCTTTTACAAGAATTTCGAGCCAACGGCCGCCGACCGTTGGGCTTGTAAGCACTGCAAATGGGAGCGCACCAAAAACGTCACGGAGATGAAAAAGCACCTCCCTAAATGTCCAGCGATCAATCAGAAGGCTACTGATGACTCTACGTCTACAGATCTATCTTCCTGTACAACCCTTACCCCATCATGTACCTCATCTTTACGCCAGACGACTATCTTCTCCAGTCGCGGGTTCTCCACTACCTCTACAAGCGAACGGGAACAAGAAGCCCTAGAGCTCCTCCTTACCAAATTTGTGGTGATGTCTGGATCACCATTTAACATCGTGGAAGACGAGGATTTCCACCGTTTTGTGAAGAGGCTATGCCCTTCCTTCAAAGTCCCATCATGCCCTACGGTCTCTGGACCGCTCCTCGATCAACTATACACAGAGACGAGGAATCAAGTGGATACTGTCTTATCAGGGTTTGGTAATGACTTCCAGTTAAATATCACAATTGATGAGTCTCAGAACCGTGCAGGCGATCGAACGATTAATTTCTCAATCACGCACGATACCTTCGGTTCGCTTATGATACAGACAAGACCAGCACCTCGGACGGCGACCCTCGACGCTAAATTCCTTCTCGAATACGTACGCGAAGTCCTACAGGATACAATTGGTGGACAGATGAGGAGGGTAAACAGTCTCTCTACAGATACCTGTTCCTCTATGCGTAAGCTGTGGAGACTGATTGGTGAAGATCCAGAGCTCAGGCATATACTCTGTATTCCGTGTCAGGCACACAGTCTCGCCCTCCTCATCAAAGATATCCTTGCGATGCCTCGTTTTAAGCATCACTTTGACTTGTTCAAGGACCTCATACGCGATATCCGATCCTCCTCGAAAGTAATGAGCGAGATACGCCTTAGGCAGAGGGAGCGATACGGGAAGACGCGGGTCCTTGTCGCATCAGTCGAGACGCGATGGGGAAGTCACGTCGGGAGCCTGAATTCGCTCAAGGCGAACAAGGAAGCCATCCAGGACTTCTTCCAGGATCAATTAGACGATATCACGATCGGCGACGCAGTGAAACGACGCCTCCTTGAATACCAAAGCAAGATCCTAGGCACAGAGCTCTGGAGGGAGCTCGATAGGACCATCGCGATCATCGGTCCTGTTTCAAAGCTCCTCGTACAGACTGAATCTACACGCCTTGATATTGGGACCGTGATAGAGAGGTGGGCAGCCCTTAGGAAGGCAATCAGCGGAGTGGGTTTCCAGGAACGCGATCCTATCCTCCATGCAGAGCTTGATCGCGTGGTCCAAAAGCGATATAATCAGCAGGTTGGTATACCACTCCATCACCTTGCTTATCACCTCCATCCAAGTCATCGCACGGCTCAAATTTCACCCGAAGACTTTACCTCTATGTATGAGTTCGTCAAGAAGATGTTTTGTCACGAGGAACAGGATGCGCAGGCGTTCTGCGATGAATTTTACAGCTACAAGAGCCCGGATACCGCGTTCGCGAAGAACGCCTTCCTCATGCGACGGGAGGCGGATCCCATCCTATATTGGAGATGCGCGGGTGGTATGTTTCAGATGAAATGGCTCAGTTCTATTGCGTTACGCGTTTTCAGCGCCCCATCAAGCTCAGTCCCATCGGAACGATCATTCTCAATCCAGAACTTCCTGGTGGACTCAAAATGGGCACGCCTAGATGCGCTTCGCGTTGACAAGATGATGTACATCTATATGAACAAGCGGGCCCTCCGGTTGGCTAGGACCATGAAGCGCGACGGGACTAAGATGGTGCTTCCATCGCAGGATGAGATCATGGGGCGAATGGAGGAAGATACCTTGTACAGCCAGATGGCGATGGAGGAGATGATCTAACCGCATCGTTTTCACACAGTATATGCATTTGTATACGTATCTAGATATGCGCCAATCGCCAGCAACATCTCCAAAAACGCACTCTTTGCGATCAGTACATCTTCTTCGAGCCAATCAGATCACAGGATTTCTGTATCTCGTGATGCCAGAGCCGAGTTGGTTCGTTCTTCACGGAAATTCCTTGGGCCCACCAAAAAACGCCTGTAAACTTGGCATGTAACGGAAAATTTTTGTAATACGTAAATTACTGTAATTCTAGAAATTTTGTAAGGCTGGTGAGATTTTCCCCCTCAAAGGTATCAAAACTGTTGTGAAAGGCGACAAAAGTAGAAGACTATCCCCTTCATGGCTGCAGTGCTCAAAGACCGGGGTTTCGACCAGGATCCCTGTATTTGCCAAGCTCCCACCAAATTCCCTCCCAAATTGTATACAGACGCGTCTGAGGACAGGAAATTTAATCAATTCGTTTCGACTATGGGTGTTTTTGGTATTGAATATGGGTGTTTTCGGTATTTCGAAGCCTTTCGACGTGGATCTCGTACCTACCGGTGAGGTGGCCCATTTTGAGACCCGCGAAGAGCTCCTCAAGACAGGTTGTGCGATCGGTGAAGGTGAAGATCTAGATCGCGTCAACGTGTCGCAGGAAAACGATGGAGATCTTAAGATACAGACCTCTCAAGACACACTATCTCAAGAACTCCTATCTCAAGGCAAACCGCAGGCGAAGAGAGGAGGAAAGAGGGGGAAACAGGCTCAAGCTGAGAGCACGCCTACAGTACCAAAAGCCCCCAAAAACACCCAGAATCCACCGCCCCCAGACCCATCGCCTATCGTCGATTTCGATCCCTTAATAATACCGGAGAAGGTTTCGCATGGTATATTGCCTGATACCGTCAGGTTTCACGATCCTGGAGCGATCATAGACCTCATCTTTACCACAGAATTTTACCATACTCTCTGTGTGAGTACTAACCTGCACGCCCACCATGCACCCGAGAAGGAACTGAACAGCCCACGCCCATGGACCGATGTTACGGAGGAGGATCTCCGCGCCTATCTTGCGATCTTGATCTATATGGGTCTACATCGCGAACCACGCGTGGAATATTACTGGAACGTGTTATGGTCCCAGGCCTGCGGCCTGTTCCCTTGGTTGTGGCTGAAGACGTGGCTGGTGGATTATATCAGAGAAGCAAACAAACATGGTAACACAGCAGTAGGGCATTGGAGAGGAGAGTCGCTATCTCGCGCACAAAGGTGCCGGGAGATTTCTTCTCTCTCTCTCTCTTCAGTTTAGATTAATGGAACTTGGTAATCGCAGACCTTGCGCATCCAGACCGTGTCAGAACGAGCTTAATCCTAATCTCCCACTCCACCCAACGGTTCGTCGGTATATGGGTCGTGTTCATTGGCAACAGATTGATCGATATATCGCGTGGCATATACCTATAGCCCCAAAGAAGTTAACACCTCTGGAGAAGGTTCATTCTATGGTGAAGTTCCTTACCTTGAAATTCCAGGAACTCTGGCGCCCTGGATCCTATTGTGCGATAGACGAGGCGATGGTTCGCTTCCTTGGGCGGGCAAAGGAAACCGTGAATATCCCCTCGAAGCCCACGCCTATAGGGTACAAGGTCTAGGTCCTTGCATTCCATGGATACGTGTGGGATATGAGGCTACACGCGTATACCGCAGGTCCGTTCGGCATAGAGAAGAGGTAAGCATGGTCTAAAATAGTATACTTTCGTAAAGATGGTGGGAAACGCGTTATCTCCGCACCAGTGGAGGTGGTGTATGACACCAGCTCCTAAGTCTCAGTCCGCGAAAACGGCTCTAACCACGGTGCCCATACCGTACAGGATATGGCTATATCTACCACTGTCTCTCTCCTAATATTGTGTTTTTGAGGTCCTTGGCTAACGAGTGAAATATATAGGTCAAGAAGCCGTACGAGTTTACCCCCACGCAGGCTGTTGTCCTGGATCTCGTCATCCCGCTGCGTGCAAAAGCCGAGCGCCCTATTGCTGTATGGCTTGATAACCTCTCCACCACCAACAAACTCCTCCGTGTCCTACGAAACGAGTTCGATATAGGTGCTGCAGGGACTGTCCGGTTCGTCAAAACTGAACGGGAGAAGCTCCTTCTGAAGGATAAACCTCTTCAGGATTATATTGATCCAGACCTTTCAGACTTGATGACCAAATACAATTCTAAAAAGGCGAACGCCCATGCGTTATACACGGCGACTGATAAGTCGAATACAGTCCTACAGTGCGCCTGGATGGATGCGAAATTGGTCTATTTTATGACCACTGTTTCTCAGCGTAGGTTTATATCTATACCGGTTATAATAGAAAGTAAATAAGATGCCTGGGTACGGCGCAAAGCGTTAGAATATATATGAAATTTCATATATATATATTAGGACGCCTTAAGCCGTGTCATGGCATTCTATCTGCTTCACTATTCCGCCCTTAAGTTTTACTGACTTACTAACTTCTATATAGCGACGAAGGCCTAAGGACTCCAGCTCTGCGGACCAGGTCCGAAAGCAGCTATTCGCGCCTGGTGAATACAGGAAACCGCTCCCTATCCCCGAGTTCATAAACAACTACAACCATAATATGAATGGAGTAGATATAGCCGACCAATTACGGTGTCGGTGGGCGATCGCTAGGCGGTGCAAGAAGACGTGGAAACCGCTGTTTCTGTATCTGGTAGAGACTGCGATCTGTAACGCATACATGATCGCGATGACTCCCGCGCCGCCCACCACGCATCACCAGGATCACCTTACAATCTACAGTGGTGCGGTTGGCCGGTTACCATCCCCTTACCATGGTGCCCCTGAAAAGCTCTTTGAACACGCAAAACAGTATGTTTCCTGTCTAACAGCCGGTCGCACTGCATTGCCTGATCCGGAAAGGAGGAAACCGCTGACAGAGCTCTCTGTTAATACGATCCGTGGGGCTGCAGGATCCAATGGGCGGAAGAAAAGTGCTCCAAAAACTCGGTATGGATGCAATCGGTGTAGGACCCCACTGTGTAAAAATCTCATATGTTGGTCTGCCCATCTGAACGAGGCACAGCGTCAAGCATAGCACATATTTTCCCTTTCTGAATTTTTTAATAATATCTCATGCTCCCTTTTTGTAATTACCTGTAATTTCCGCCCGAAATTTCTATGTAATTAGGTGGTGGTGTGGCACATTGGCAGTTTTGGTGGTTACAATCTGATTTTGGTGAGGAAGTTGAGCACTGCAGCGACGGCCATAGAGGGGATACCCCTATTCTTTCCCTTTTTAGGGAAATGATCACCATTGTAAACCATATAAAGTAGCTGCAGGAACAGCCTGTTTTCGTAGGATCCGGCTCTGTAGGATCAAGGCCAATCTATCTACGCTCTTTTGGAATCTAACGGTGTTTTCCCACTGTGTCGCTGCATTAATCACCTGATTGAGCGAAACCGCTATTTATCTCACAATAACAGCCGTGACCCAAACCGCCGTTCCGTATACATATCGTCCACTCGGAGAGAAGAGTTCACACATCACCATGTCAGCGCTGAATGTCATAGTCTTGGGCTGGTCGCCCAGACTTGTGGTAGTTGGCCTTGCGGCCTGACGATGTGTTGCACTTTGTTTATATAGATCTTTTCAGAGGAGACTTGGAGCTTCTTTTTCGCTAGTAAATCCCATAATGTAAGAACTGGACTCACTAGTTATCCATTTACGTGATCCGTTATATTGAGGCGGTATATACGAACCCGATCACTCTTTATGCCATTTTACGACAGCATATAATGCACTCGTAATCCCTAGTTCATCATCGCGTCGCTCCTTATTCCTAAAACCACTACCTATCCCTCTCCCGGCCACGCAGCAACACATCCAGCATGCAATAACAACCGATGTCCGGACCGTACGTCGTCTGCGTGACGTCCGCCATGTAGCTGCTGAGCAGCGGATCGAGCGGCAGCGCCAGCCAATCCTGGTCTCCGAGCCCGAAGTCGCCCATGACATTGTCGCTGCCATCATTCGCGGTTTCTGCTCAGGGCGCGCTGGCGCTGTCGCCACTAGCCGCAGTGTGTTTCCCTCCCTCTCCCAGAGCCGATGTCAGGCATACCGGTGCTTAGGTCAAACCCAATCGCGCCGAAACTCGGAAGGGGCATGATGTTGATGCCGCTATGCTCGAAGCCCAATGATGCCCTAAAGTATCTGATTGTTCGGTTGGTTCCTGCCACTCAATTTGAGAGCGGGTGAGCTAGGAGATGGCCCTGGTGGCATTTCTCCAGTCCACTGCGGCGTGCCGGTCGACAAACGCCCGAAGAGCTGTGAAAATGGTGTGGTGGCGCATTGTGCCGGTGTTCGGAGGTCCTGCGGTGCGAGCAGTCCCGCGCAACGACGTCAGTGAATGGTAAATAGTAGATTATCCACAGTATGAGTTGAATCCAGGTATTCATGCCATCCACCGACAGCGACCATGACCAATTGGATATCAGACGGTGATGCCCAGCGTACATGACCTACAGTATACGTATGACACCATTGGCAGAACAATATGTTTACATGTCAACCTTTCACGTACGTTGGAGAATTTAACGACTTCCTTGTTCCCCGCTGTGTCAAGTGCCTATCTCTGGGGTCTAGACGGTTGGACGACACTGCAAGCCCGTAACTCGGCCCCTCGGGTCGGCAATCTAAATACCTCTAATTACCCCACTGCTCTGCCACGATGTATTCAGGAATATATTTTGTCTCGTACCTGGCTTGACAGACAATCGCAACATTGCTAGTTATAGAGATCTATACTAACCCGATCTGTAAGTCACTGGCGAAAGTGTACAGTTCCCAAGCTCACCTTAAAAAAGCAGGGGAACTTATTCAGCTATGCCATCTTCATCCAAAGCGCTCGAGGAGAGCATTTCACAGCAGCTTGACGACTACATATCCGATTTTAACAAAGGAGACTTCGACAAGGCCGCAACAAACTACCTCGAGCCTGCAGTGACCCTGTCCGCTAGTTCGGTGTCAATTCTCTCTAACCGTCAAGATCTGGCAGATATGCTCTCCAGCGCCGTTACACGGCTTCGTAAGGACGGCTTTGATCACTCCGAATATGTCGGTCCCAAAAAGATTATCATCCTGGATGACAAGGGTCTTGCCCTGGCTAGCTGTGCAACCAAGCGACTACGAAAGGACGGCACCTCATGCGAGGAGTTCACTGCGACCTACACTCTTCGAAGGACGGATGAATCTGGGTGGTTGATTGCGGCGATTCATTCACACCCAATAGATAGTCAATTGAAATAGAAGGGGATGGGAATTCCTACAGTATGTATTGGCTCCAGCTCCGCCATGTCAGCTCCAACAAAGCTCACTGCTAAAGCTGCTGCTGCACGTGCCCAACCCACTTCCCAACGCTTTCCAAATGTGGACGACAGAGGTGCGGTATTAGGGTATTCGTGTCATGATCACAGAAATGTCCCGGGTTCATCATGTCCTTACCGTAGGGCTAAACTGCTGGGCCTTGAGAGCAATTTACATCTCGGGATTGAAGCCTCCACTAGGACTAATCTTCTTGACCTTTCTTGTAGAGGTCCTAAGAGAAGACTATGTTCGAGCCACCGGTCAGGGGAATCCATTTAGCGTCTGGAATGCACATTGCCTGCTCGATCGCAGCGGTGTCTATCCCAATCCCATCGTATATTCCGTCGTCGGAATGAACCCAGTTAGGGCCCTCGACGAGAGCTCCCCTGGATGTGCCGATTTCGAATGGCAAGCGTGGAATATAATTTGTATTCAACCAGTGAGGAATAAGTTCCTTGGTCCATTCTCTTGCAAAAGCGTCTTTCAAGATCTTCCTACCATCATCCTGTTCCTCACCGCATACACATGCCGGTGCTAAGTTACGTTAGATGGGACAAACGTTAGGGATAATTCTCTGGGCTATGGATGAGCTGTTTGCCGTGGGCATGAGTACCCGACAAATCCAGGCGCTGCAGCATGGAGCCCGAAGCGGCAGGCTACCATGAGGGCCTAACCCAAAGAAGCAAGCCGGCTATTAATCCACTCGGTGCCACTCCAGGTAACACTCTGTGCCATTGAGAGTGCTCGATACCAAAGAATCGAATTCATCTTGTGCACCTGGGTGACCAGGCCGCAACTTCAATCGAGCAGGCCACTGGCCAATGATGCTGTTGCGTTTCTTCACCTTTGCTTTTGCCAGTTGCTCAATGAGATCGAATTTGCTTCGCTTCATAAACCTGATTTGTGGTTAAAACCGACTTTTATATTCTTTCTGCTGGAAGTCTTTACTCACTTTTCAAGGTATCGGCCCCCATCTCGAACCAGCGATTTTGCAGACAAGGCTTGCAAGAGGGCTGGGTCGTGCCGATGCATACCTGGACGATATGGCATATACTTCATTATCCGCTGCAATTCCCGTTGCATGACTTGAACATTGTACTGATCTCCACAGTGGTGGTACTCCTCTTCAACCGCATTCATGAACAAGGTGATTAAAGAAGCATGAGGGTTGGTAGTACGCTTCTGAAGGAATGGTGCAAATATGCAAACAGTGGGAGCCGGACCTAGGTATGGACCGTCACAGATATTCGAAACCTAATAGTAGTCAAACGAAAGGTATTCACCACAACTATCTTGGCAGTAGATTTACCTCAATTCGTGCTAGTGTGTCAACCTTGAGATGATCAGTGAGTTCTCTGGCATCGAGCTGGAAGAGATGGAAAACGACTTCCAATGATCGCAGACGTTTGTGGACCGATGTGAGGACATCCTTGACATGAAAGTACAGCTTCCCATAAACATCGTTGTAGACACTACCAATGGAAGTGTTCCAGACGTCTTTGTGCGACCATCCGGCCGTTGGATCGGCTGCGTCTTTCAATAGCCACGTGTTCGAACTCTGGAAGAATGTCCTTTTAGAAGAGGTTAGCCGCTCATCGTCATCTAGCAAATAGGAGAAGGCTTACGGGTTCGGGATGTTGTAGGCGTGTCGAGAGTGACCGAAGGGCAACAAGATGCCGTCTTGACGAAATTTCATGAAACCCACGCGCCGAGCTGGAGCTTGAGCAAACAAATGGCGTTCCAAATGATCTTTGCGCTCCGGTGCTAACGTCACAGCGGTTCGTACCTTATGGGCACGCTCTGAAGTCAGTTCCGCCGGCATATCCAGGTATGACAATGTTGCAATCCAGGCCTGTTTCGTGAGTGCAATTCGAATTCCTCGCTTCCCGAAATGCCAAGTCTTCGCAAGGAGCTTTCCGTCCGGCTTTTCGACGATTTTGGTACACATATCCTGGAGCAAAGGACGGACAGTGGTGTCGAGAAGGTCGAGGTGTGTTTTCGAGATCTGTGCTGAGTACCAAGTATGCACGACACAGTCTACCGCGGTCTCCGGTTCCTCAACAGCCAGCAGAAGGATCAGCATGATTGCGTTGCGTGCAACAATATCCAACTCATGGTCGTTTAGGGTAATAGCCAACTGCATATTGTACGTCGTTGGCAACGAGGCAATTGTCTTTAGGACGTTTCGAATATCCCCAGAGGCTGTTTGACGTCCAATCTCGTTAGAATGCTCGGAAATGTTATTTGAACGCAAATCGTACCGGCGAAAAGAAGGCTTAGGTCCTTCCCATACTCCAAGCCTTCATTGTTCTTCAGTGCAAGCACGTCAATCGCTGGCACGTTTCCCCAGAGATATTTCCCTCCCCCAAATGATGTGTAAGGCTGAGCATTATTGTTGATGAAAGTCGGGGTGCGATTTTCAATATGCCACGAAGGAGTCCACGTGGGTTTCATCATCGGGGATTTGCAATCTTTCTTATGATCACTCCAGTGAGACCTCTGGCAGGACTGGTTGCAATACTGTGACACTCATGATTAATATATGATTGGACGAGGGTGGACATATAGTAGACACAACATACCAAGACCATTCGGCAGGCCGAGCAGGCAGATTTGCCCTCATTTTGACAGGAGGCGGAGGCTGACTGATTCGCACAAGGGAATCGGCGTAGTACAATTGCCGACTGCATGACAGTATCTAAATAGTACTTATAGTACCATGGCAGAAGTCGAATTTGTAACGTGAAAGGGTGACGGGGGTGGAGGTGTGAGAGTTGAGGTAAGAGTTGAGGTGAGAGTGAAGGTGAGAGTGGAAATGAAGGATGAGAGTAGAAGTGTGTTATCAGCGGGCGATGTGTTGCGGCCTGTTGACTTGGGCTCTGCTTATTGGTTTGATAATTTTAGTAGTAGTAGTATCAGTGATTGAGATCTGATGGCCTGGCCAGGCACATGCATGTAGATACCTACTCCAAGGCAGCTTGCTTCTGTGTAGTGACTGACTACCAGATGGACCTTGAGTACACCTCTCTAGGAATCAAAGTTGCCGAGGAAGAGTCACTCCCCTTTTACAAACTCTGCCCCGGATACGCACAGGAAACATTGCGCCACTGGGATGGTTGATAAAGATCGTTATTATCGACCTGAATTCGGTAGTAGTACTAACGATTGTCCGCATACAGATCCAGAGTGTAGTACAGCTCAACTAGGTGTCCTCCCTTCCTCAATAGTATCAATATCGTAAGGAAAAGGTGTGCCCAATGCCGTCCTATCCCCTTCTTTGCTTTTCTCCTCAAGAAGCTTGTACCAGTAGATAGAGAAGGTAGGCCTGCAGATCATAGCTAGCACAGCATCCTTTGTCAGTGGCTCGTCTGGTGAGTACTCCCCGATAGAGTGAGCCAAAAGCGCACGTATCTCGTGGTGACAGTATTTGCATAGTGCCTCAGCATGCAATGGAAACAGTGGCTTTTTGTCCTGACGCACAATGATGACACTTCCCACGCTATTCTGCCACTGCCGGGAAGCCCACGCCCAGCCTATGACCCCTCTGCTAAGGTCGAACTTAGCCTTCGGATCGCAGCAAAGATGTAGGAATGTAGCATCCTGATTGTTGAAAGGGCTCTCGTGTTTGAAGATCTTGTTGTCCTCATCGTTCGCCCACTTTGGGTTGGGACGACAGCGCCGGGTGAAGATGGGTAGTCCGATGCGGTCTGCAATGTCGGAGGTGTCATCGGGTTTGGAAAATATAGGATCAGTAGGAGAAATCTCCACTGCCTCGAAGTCGGGTTTATTGAACATCTTCTGGTCGCCGATGCAATTGATCCTGACAGCCTTGATCTTTGGGCCGATAGGTTGCTGAGTCGCAGGTACAGATTTACGACCGTACGAGAGGAAGTAGTCGGTGATATGCCGGAAGTGATCCATGTCAAGGTCTTTGCAAGCGATTTGATCGATGCCTAGTCCTACCATGCCACAAGCAACGATGGGACCTCGCCAGTCATGGTATAGCCCCGGTTTGGTAGCGGTAATAGCTGCAATGCTGTTGTTGGATTTCGATCCATCGATAAGGAAAGTGTCACGATGGTAGATGCGCATTGTATCTGACAGTTGCCTCTTCAGCACTGGATTGTACTGGACTAATTTGGGGGTCCTAATATAATCGGCGCCTAGCAATGAGGCAGTTTCGGGATACTGATACCGGCTGTGGTCATCATTATCGACGCGCCACTTGCAATGAAGCCAGATGAGTCTCGGCTTCTTGTCATCCACAGGAAATAGGATCCCTCGGAAGTGTTCGTCAGATGGTCGGCTCGAAATATGAAACTCGGAGAAGGTTTCGCAGAGGAGTTTGTGGAGAGGCCAATCAGCACGTTGGCATGCCTTTGAGCAGTAGCGGCTGCTCTTGCATCCATTGCAAAAATGAGCATTGGATTTGTTGCACACAGTGCACAATTTCAATGTGCTAGGGCCCTCCATCATGCCTTCTGCCCACGGAATAGGTTGATTTGAAGAAAGATCTAGTGATTGTGAGATGGGCAATTTAATTCAAAGGTGGAAGAGGTGAAGGGGTTTGCGTAACATGCCAACACACACTGAGCCTGGTTTACAGTTACTGGTCCATTGATGCAGCGATAATACATGAACAAACAAACGAAGGCCAGGCTACGGCTGGCAGCAGCCTCCGAGGGAATTCCCTCACATCCCGTGATCATCTTGTATCTTGCAGTGATCTTCTCCAGGCCATAATCACACCCAGAGCTTGCTGGCCTTGCCAGACTGCACTGCTAGTTGTGATTCCCATGGAATATATAGTACTTATACCTCGTGATTCATAATGCCTTGTCTTGGGTGTGTTAGTACCAGAGCAGATCTGCCAAAAGCCATGAAAGGGAGATAGGACAGGCCATATACCCTGCTTTTATGTGGTGACTTCAGATACTTATGTGAATTATGAATTGTGAATTGTGATGCTGTACTTGAGTTGCTGTTGTTTGTCTTTTTTGACATCGGATGAACATGCCGATGAGGTGTGAAGTCAATAAAAGGTGGGGCTGCATGGATAACCCCTGATAAACACGTGAAGCTTTATAGCCCTGCGGAATGAGGGCCGAACCTCCGCGGCTGGTGTGACGACAGTGACGTGCTCCATACTAACGCTATTTATCATCCCACTACCACCGGTCTGTCGCCGATACCGTAAACACCCGTTTCCATCTTTGAGAAATGCGATAGAACTGGGCAATTCCTTTCCTTTTCTGTTATTGAACTCAAAGATGAGTACCTCACGGTTGGTCGTACGGCCACTCCGCAGGTTGCGAAGCGACAATGCCCGTATCCGACAGTGGTGTAGTACACGCCCATTCTCAAGCACCCAAATAGCACAAGATAAGCTACGAATAGGCTACGTACCAGGTCAATCTCCCTGAGAATAACGATTCCGGATATTCAAAGCTTATAGATTACAACAGAGCATTTCTCCACGCCCCTCCACTTCGCCCAGAAGCACTATGGCCTCGACGCGTCCCTCATTCCCTTCCCATCAGGCACCGGCCACATGGTCGAGTCCCTCAAAGCCAAAGACATCGATATCGGCATGGGCCTCACGGAAGGCTGGGTCGCCGGCCTAGGGAAGGCAGGCAGCCCGGGCCCGCCATTCCCGTTCAAAATCGTCGGCACATACGTCTCGACCCCGCTCAGCTGGGCGATCAGCACGGGCAAAGGACGGAAAGGCGAGTTTAAAGCGAAGCTCGGGGGCGATGAATCGTCCGCGCTGCAGGGGAAGAAAATGGGCGTGAGTCGGATAGGAAGGTAATTTCCGAATTGAACGCTCATCGGACTTGACACTTACCTCCCTAGCGGCTCCTACGTCATGGGCTACGTCCTCGCCGACACGCGCGGCTGGCTCCGCCACACCACCTCGCCTTTCGAGGTGATCCCCGCCGATAACTTCCAAGGGCTCCGCGACGCTGTTAACTCGGGGAAAGCCGACTTCTTCATGTGGGAGCACTACACGTCCAACCGCTACTACGAGCAGGGAGCAATCGAGAACATCGGGTGGATCGACACGCCATGGAGCAGCTGGAAGATCGTAGCGGCGGATCCGGAGGATTGGCGGCTGGGAGACTTTGCGAAGCGGTTGAATAAGGGGGTGGAGCACTTCAATCAGAACGGGGAGGAGGCGGTGGAGTATATCAGCACGCAGTTGGATTACAGTGCGGCGGACGCGCGGGCATGGATGAAGACGGTGGAGTTTCCGACGGATGTGAGGAAGGTGGATCAACGGGTGATTCGGTTGACGATTGATTTGTTGGCGAAGGCGGGGGTGATTGAGAAGGATCGGCTGATACCGGCGGATATCATTCGGGAGATCGATTAGAGGGTTGCATGGCGGATGGTGGATGGCATCGTAGACTATATTATGAGTTGAACAGGATACCGGATAATCATTTACAGGCGTTGGAAATCGAAAACGCGCTGCTCTTTTCCTTTAGGCTCCCTGCTCTCTCCCCCGACAGTATCTCTTCATCCTTAGCATTTCCCATCCAAACCACCCTCCTCATCCTCCTCCACACCATCTTCATCCGAGCTCGCCTCCTCCTCCCCAGTATCCTGCACCTTCTTCCTCTCGAAGTCCTGCGCATGCGCCTCATGCATATGCACCGCCATGGTCGACAACCCCCTTACCATCGGGCTCGGGTGCGTCGCGAAGCTCCGCGCATGACGACGCACCGGGTTCATGTCAGCCTGTTCAACATCAACTCCCGTCGCGGTATGTGTACGATCCAGCGCAATCGGTTCCTCCGGTTCCCCAGTCGCCGGTCGGCCCGGCTCCTGCGCCGCCGCTTCAGCCTGAGCGTCCGGCCCACCCAGCAGCGACGTGGCCGACGAGTCGGGCAGGGAGAACGGTAAGGGCACGTCGCGCGAGGCGCGGAAGCGGCCAACGTTGGTGCAGTGTTCGTTTTCGACGCGGAAGAGGGTCCACATGCCGCGGCGGAGGATCTCGGAGAGGGAGAGGACGAAGGAGAGGAGGGCGGAGTGTTGGAGGTCGGAGGAGAAGATGACATAAAAGATCCAATTGAAGCGGAGGATGGGGTCGAGGAGCATGGCGGTGTAATAGATCCAGGGTTGGCGGTATCCGAGGGTTTTTCGGAGGAAGCGGTTGGGGGCGTAGGGGTCGAGGAGGCCTGGTTTGGTAAGCATGGTGCCATCTGTTGGTGTGGAAGACTTACTCCAATCCATTGCCAGGTCCCAGATGCTGCAATATATACTATTGATAGAAGACACGGCGATGAAGAGCGCTAGGTATCCTGTGGATCTATCTATGCGATATAGACTCAAGGACATGTATTGCAGGATCGTGAACGTATATTTGCCGAAATTCACTAGGTGTGGGAAGACGTTACGGGTATCTTTATAACGACGAAGGCATTGAAGCGCGCGCCAGATGCCAGGCAAGGTAGTGAAGAACCCAAGGAGTCGTGAGTGGTTCGAGTTGCACATCGGCGGCTCGTCCCAATCCTGCGCGTAAAGGCAGAAGAAGAGCTCGATATTCTGGGTTTTATTAGTATTTTCCGGTAGGATGATTCAACCCCACTTACACCCATGCTATATGTTTGAGAACAGAGCATGTCGCCCATGAAAAAGTCACGGAACTCAACGGGGTATAATCCGGAGAAGAAGAGGCGCCACTGGCAAGGTAAGTTCATGCCCCTCTCAATCATGTACGGACTTACTAGGGTATATAGTAACCACTGCCTTGTCTTGTGGTAAAAGTAAGGTACTGGCAGAAACATAAGGATGATCGTGATGCCCATCAGAATAACCGGCCAATAGAGATATAGCGTCTCTCCACCAGGGACGATCTCGAAATTGAACCACATGGTCAGGCCCAACAGGAGCGTGAAGAAAGAAGGAAGCTAGAACGGTTTAGTCTGAAGAATGTGCAGCATTGCAATCGATTTACCTGGGTCACTTGTCGCCAGTCCAAGTGGGATCGGTTATCGAACTCGAACACGAAGACATAGTTGATCTTCGACTTCGCCCAAAACCGACAAGCAAGGCAGAAGAGGAAGAAGTGCGCCAATATCATGAAGTAGCCACCATATATCTAGAGACGTTAGCACGTATCAGAATTGCGGTCATGACCAAACGAACCTGCAGCAAATACCCCGTCTGCTCAGCGAAGTCCTCGTCGTCACTATATAGCGAGATAGCGGCGCGAACCAGAGCTTGAATCCCAAAGACAGCCCCAAGCCCCAGCATCAGTCCATTCCGAAACATATTCCCCCCGAACTCCCCATGTTTCACCATCTTCGCCCGCAGCTTCCCCGCGGCGATCTTATGGCTCCCCCGCTCGAAGTAGCGCGCATACAGGTCCTCCACCGCCTTGATATGCCTGTCGAGCACGTCGCTCTGAACGAACCACGCCTTGTTCACCCGCCCGTTCATGAACCGCATGGGCGACTTGGTGTTCAAGAGCTTGTCGTATTTCTTGTTGATCTTGCGGAAGGCGGTGCGGTTGAGGAGGACGTATGACTTCAGCAGTTCGAGGCCGCGGTAGTATTCTTGGAGGGCGAGCTTGAGCTTGGGTTTGGCGGTGCGGTACGGCACCTCGGGAGCGGTGGAACGGCGCGTGTAATCGCGACTCAGGTCGTTTCCGGAGGGACCTTCGGGAGTGGCAAGGCCTTGCATGGCGTGGGTCGTCTTCCCGAATCGCCTTCCGCTCACTCGGTCCTTGGCGGCGACCAATGGCTTAGTCCATACATTTCGTAGATTGGTTTCGCCATTCTGAGAATAGCTTGCCGCCTCGCCCGATCGGGGATCATTGGCATCGCCGGTTTCGTTGGAAGAAGACTTATTTCCCCCCTTCGCGCTCTGCAGCTCTTGTAATCGCTGATCTCGCATGATGTGGAGCTGTTGCCGCAAAACAACCAGACGTTCCGTAGCTTCGACCTCCTTCTCTCGGTAGAACAGCTCGATCTTATCCAGTTGCTCGTTAAGGAAGCGGTGAAACTCATATTGACGGAAATCCAATTCCCGATGCGCTTCAACCGGGACGTCAGGCGAGTGGGATGGCGTCGATGGCTGTCCGCTTAAGGTCACCCTCCTCAGCAACGAAGGCCGCCTGTCACGGTCCGCCGTTGTCGAGCGCCTGAAAATCGACGGATTCACGGTCCCAGCGCGTAATGAATTTTGCGCCGGACTCCGCGCCTCGATCGGCTCGAGCACGGTCGTGGGTGTGCGCCCTAACTCCCCCGGACCTCGTCGATCGTCCCCAGACACAGCCGGGCCCTGCTGCTGTTCTTTGGACGCACGCGACGCATGCGACGCTGCCGACGAGTGGAGCGCGGGGCCTGGAAGTTCTAGTGACGGCAGCCCTTTCTGGAGTTCGGGGAGGTCGCTCTCTTCTGGTGGGGTACCGATGATGCTTCCATATCTCCCGAAGCCGGAGTAGTCGGGGCTTTCGTGGAGCGGCTGCTTCTCCGCTGCTCGGCCGGGGACGTTGATCGGATTCGGGGGCTCTGTCGCTAAGTTCCGCTCAGGAGATTTGGCAGATGCGGCGTCTGGCGTCCGCGCTGCATTTCGATTTGGGAAGTTGCGCCTAGCAGTGTCTTCCTCGGCCGATTGAAGCAAATTTTGGGGACGGATTGCGTCGTTTGTGAAGCGAGGCGTAAATATACCTTTGCGCTTCGCGCTCAATGCTGCTCGGGGTGTTCCAGTGAGATTACGGTACGCCCGAGCAAGTGCTTTCAACCTCTTCTTCCCTTCCTGCGCGTTGTTAGTGGTGATGTCGTAATATGCACATGGGGGTTCATTTGATACCTTGTAATTCATGTACTTCGCCCTCCATTCTGGGACCAGCTCCGCTTCAAGTTCTCTGCAATTGAGTGTTATCAAGGTGACCGCAATAAAGGAGCTTGTTTAGACGCACTTTGCAAACTTCATTATGCTAAGATCTGCTCACTCAAACGGCGGCAGGGGCGTAATTTCTTCCTACAATACATGACAGTTGGCCGTTTACACATCTAACAAATATTCACATGCTCTCCTTTTGAAGGGGATCTTGGCTTTCCTCTTTAACTAGTGTCGAAATCTCCGACCTTCTCCAGCTATCCCTAGGTACATTCGGCATTCGTTCGTTGGTGTTTTGTCTTACGGAATACGAGGTGGGAAAGCTTTTCTGAGAGCACGTGACTCGACCTATGGCATGTGATTGGCCGATCAAGTTTTTGGACATCCACGCATTCACGTCTTCCATCCGCTTGGTTTCTTGATTTGGGTGCATTTGCTATCTTAAGCCTAGAAAACTCCTATTTGGAAAGGAGCCTGCGCTTCTCTTCACTGAAAGGTATCCAATGTCGGCAACTCCGCGTGTCGCATGTGCCGTGCGACAACTCCCATCACGATGTCTCCCTAAATCCGCCTCGAGCTCAACACGGGCACTCTATAAATGTCCCTTCTCAACATCCGCAAAATCAAATCAAGGGGAACACGAGCCATATCGTCCGCGATGGCAACAGACGCCTCCCTCTTTGCGGGCACCCGTGCGACTACGGGCGTCGAGGAGTAACCTCCCTTTCACTGTGAACGACGACCCGAAAGTCCTCGACGACTTCTACCGGCGATTTCTGGGGAGCAGACCGGAACTGGTGCCATCGGAGGAGGTGCGGTGGATCGCCATCACACATAAGAGCTTCGATCAGGGCGCCCGGGGTTACAACGCGCGATTAGCGTATATGGGTATGAGAACAATGAAAGGAATCGTCGCCAGAGACTAACCAGTTGCAGGCAAACGGATCGCGGACCTGCAGACGTCACTCGCACTGCTACAACCGAGCCATGCTGTCACACCTATTCCGGACCCTTATGGACGGACGCCTTTCACGCACCCTGCCCTTGATCAATTGGACAATTTGTCACCGGCCCGGAAATTGGAGATCTTGAGTCCTACGCGAATAGCCCCGCTCGCGGAGACATATGGTTTGAACCACGTCGTGAGATGGACTCCTCGAATGGTACGCAGCTGAGATATACGATCCCTGGGTGAAAATGCTGACTTCTTTGTAGCCGGACAACCTTAAGGAATCGGGTATTGATTCGGTCCTTGCGCAGGCCATGTATGCCATCATCGGAGCGATTGCGCTGGAGCATGGCGGTGCCGCTGCGAAGGCGGTCTTTGACAGTCAGATTTTGAAATCTCTGAAGATTTGAGTTGTGCCACCGACGATCGAAGCAAAATTACTGAGAATTGAATTGGGCACAGCGGTGAGATTTAGGGGATGGTTCGAATGGTCCAGGGTCCAGATACCTTGGGTCTCATATCGGGTCCTTCAGTTCGCTCGAGCGTTGGATTCCCCATAGCCACCGATAGCATTGGAGGGGAAGCACATCACCGCTTTATTCCGCTGGTTTCCAGGATTCATCGAGCGATAGCAGGGAACGGCGAATGATTTGCTTTCAAATCCTGTATTGTACATAGCGACCGCGTATCCCTCACAGTCATTGTAAAATATTGTACATCACCAAAGCATAGACATCCAACCCCATCCACGCCCGGCCTGCCTTCACTTCCACCCCACCTATCCCCCCTATTTCTTAACCTTCCCCTGTTTCCCCTTCTTCGCCTTCCTCCCCACTGACTTGGTCTCCGAAATGCGCCGATGTCGCGCCGCCGCCCGCCGCCACGCGCGGAACCGATCCTTGCGCACGAACTTCGTCGCCGTCACCCCGGCCTTCTCGGCCGTGCGGCCGATCTCCCAGTTCGATTCGCGGACCACGTAGTCTTTTCGTCTGCGGCGCTTGGCGAGCTCGCCCTCTCCCATGCTGCTTTCTTCCGGGGATGTTGCCGCGACGGCCACGCCGGGTAGTCCGGCGGCTTCTCCGTCCAGACCGGCGGGTGTCAACGGGCTCAGCGAACCCACTTGTCCTTCTGACTCCCGAGGGACGGCGAGCATTCCCAGACGTCGTCGGCGTGGTTCACCAACGGGGACCGGCAGGCGCCAATGTCGTTCGAACACCACCCCGATGTACTTCTTCTTCGGATTCCGATTGGGGTCTCTGTAGTACTTGACGTATCCTTTCTCGGTCGCGTAGATGGTGTGGTCGCGGCCCATAGCGCAGTTCTCGCCCGGATGCCATTTTGACCCTCGCTGTCGAAATATAATGACGCCTGGCACGACGAGTTCCTCTATTGCGATTGTTAGAAGTACCCCAACCCAGCATTTTTCAGCCAAACTGTCCACCCATAACATACCAGCTCCTTTTTTCAACCCCAATCGTTTTCCCGCTCCCTTCTTCGCTCCATTGGCTCGTCCTTCAGCGGCGTGGGCGGCGTTTCGGACCTGGGAGATGGGGAGGAGACGGAGGCATGGCTGGAATCGGAGGAGAGATTCGCCTGCTATTGAGCGGAGGGGCGCTGAGAATAAGGACTTGGACCACATGGATCCCAACATTGGCGCGACAAACGCTATTCGATTGCTCGGATGGGATGGTGGATATATTCTGGGGGAAGGAGTCGGAATCTCAACTTTCGTGATGGAATATGAGGGTCACGTGATGGCGATCAACTGAGCAACGTCAAGCCTCAAGACTTAAGACTTAAGGCATCGACCGGGTGATTTGCGATTGATTTCTTGTCGTCATTCCGATTAACGTTGCTTTCATCTATGTACACAACTTTCTACACCTCAAATCCTCCTCTATGTTTGCCATTCTACGCTAACCCACATGTTCCTGGATGCCGTCCTAACCCGTCTCAACACATGCGCCTCACCCTCCATTCCCGCTATTCATGAGGATGTACCGAACCTCAAGCGCCGTCAGAGCGTTGACACGCACTCGAAGACCACTCACCTTCTATCACCCTCAATTCCGGAGATACCACAATGATTCGGGCCATCAGCATATCCAAACCGTCAAGTTTGCCTCGCCACGGTACACAACCAGGTAAGTCCCTCGAGCCGTCGCCATGAACGAGGCTGATAGGTGTAGGCGGTTGGCCATATGGGCGCTTAAAACCGCTATAGTGGTCGTGGCCGTCCAATCCGCATTCGGCTACTTCTTCAAAGTCGAGATCGAGGAGACGGAAGAGGAGGAAGAGGAAGTGGAACTGCAGGAGGGCGAAGGGCAGCCGCCCGAAGAAGGCGAGACGATCGTAATGAACGACGGAAATCTTCTGTTCATCCCTCTCGGGCCCACGACACAGCTGCCCAAGACGTTTTACAAGGGATCGGACCCGGAATGGCAGGATTTCAAAAAATTGGCCGCGGATCGGCAGAAGTTGGTGGATATTCGACGTGAGTAAGACGCTCCGCTCAAGGGACATAGACTGACCGCACCAGGGGCACTCGCATATTTCGTCCGGACGCAGATGATGAACGATCCACGGTTTAAGATGGTGGGGCAGGTGGATGTCAAGAAGGGGAAGTTCTGGCTCGACGTCGTCTTCCCCGACGGCCCAGCTCCGGAGTATGAGCAGACGGGGTAAGCCGCGTCCTAACATGCTCGAAAGTTCTACATCTAACAGCGGACAGACTTGTATTCGCTCCAAACTACATCGCCTGGGCCGCCCGCACGCTCTCCCAAGAAGAATACCGCAAACGCCAGCGCATCTTCATGCCCGTCGGCATGCTGCAGGCGTCCTACGACAGCTTCCAGGCCATCTACCAACAGCAGATCAAGCGATTCAGAGGCATGTTGTCCGCACCCGGCGACCCGTCCGACGACGCCGACTCCCCCAGCATCACCCAGAAAAAGCGCCGCACTAACGTCGATTTCGAGCGCGTCGTAGACGGCCCGCCGCGACCAAACACCCCACGCACAGGCGGCCTCACCGCCGACGACGCGAATGACAACGCGCAAGGCCAAACCCCCGAAACCAACAGCAAATTCCCCCGCCTTCCCGGCGTTCTCCAGATGCCCGGCACCGACGACCAATCCATCACCCGCATCTTCCGGCGCGCGCTCACGGTCGCGTCGATGCAGGACAAGGCAAATATGGAAGCGCCGCGCGGGACGGTGGTGGTGACGGGGCTGGTGGAGACGATCGGGACGAACGGGCGGTCGACGATCGATACGGTGGCGTTCTATGATCCGCGGACGGATCGGTATGTGCATTTTAAGGGGGCGATAAGGACGATGATGCCGTTGCGGCAGGGGCCAAGGGGAGGAGAGTAGCGGAGGGTAGAGTAACGCCGGGTATTTGACCGGCGTTTTCATTGCATGCGGTGGAGTTTTCCGGTTGGCGTTGGTCACGACTTACGGCAGCATTGTTTCGGAGTTCGATACCTTTCTGGGGACCGATCGATAGCCGAGTTGGAGCGGGAGATGGTTTTGGTGGTGAGGTATATACTAGCTAGGTGTGTCCAATACGACTATGGCGCCCGAGCTTCTGTGGTCTTTGATCCATCGCGGCCTCGTTGATCTAACCATTGACTATGCTCGGATTATGTACACTTTTCATTGCCATTTCCAGAGGCATATAGTGATTGGAATATGTTTATACACCCATTCCAGGATTGGCCAGCTATAACCAGATTAGCTGCTCCAATGGAGCCCGAGGTTGCCGCTCTACGCGGAGTTGCTTCCGTCTCCTCTTATACCTATCCTGATCCCATTTCCTCTCCTGCTCCTCCATCTCTCCTTTTCTCTATACCTCCGATTCTACTCCCGCCTCTCCCCCCCAATTCTTCGCCTCTTCTTTCTTCATCGTCGCCGCCCACTTCTTCGTCTCATCTTCTTTGTTACCTCCTCCCTTAGCTCCCTCTCCTCGGTGAGCTGATCCCATTCATCGACTTCCGCAAGAGGGCGCCTCACAAACGGCTACACTGAATGGATCGACCTCCCGGGACCAGGTACCGAGGACATGGAGCCCAGCAGCGGGGCGGCAATGGGGTAGTTAGGAGGTGGTCGCCGTCCGATTTGAAAGCGGCTCTTCTGACCCCGTGCCGCCTGTCAGTGCTAGACTTCGTGCCCTGCTACCGCTGCGGTCGTGCTGTGGAAGCGGTGGCAGGTTTCGCTCTACCCGCCTTACTTCTCCTGAGAGCTGGCCTTCTTACAATAGATCATAACTAGCCACGCCGTGGAAGCTCTAGACACATCAGAGGAAACAGTTGAAGGACGAAAAATCCATATACCAATATCATTACCGATAATAGAAAGAATTTTTCTGTCACCGCCCTGCTCTCACTGTGTGTCTGACTCATGATCTGATTCACAATCAATTTCAGGAAGCATATTTGGAAGAAGAACTTGACTTTCATGGTCTTGATGTATTGTATGAAGAAGACTGATTGATGAACTATCTGGAATGCTACATCACTAGTTAGTTATGAAAAATGAGTAAACAGTACTCCCTACAATTCTGGAGGTAGCAGAAGGGATTAGAGACTAAAGTTACGAGCCATCCTGTTTCGAACGAAGAAGCTGAAACCTTGCCATTCATAAACGCCTATAACTCCAGTAGTTCTAGCCATCGAACGTAGCTTCTGGAAATGATCCATCTGCTCCCCTGTCCGCTATCCACTGGATTGTCCTGGCTGAGCTTGTCCATCCGACAGGACATTTTCCCTGTAGATCATTTCAATTCCATTCCAGCTATACGGCTACTCAAAACCGTGCGGGATAATCAGGGGAAGTATATCGCGCCAGGTTGTGCATTGCAACCTCGGCCGGCGCTACTGATGGGCTAAAATCCACAACGACCCTTCAAGTCAACTTCCCTCTAGATGGTACACCATCGTGTCATCCGAACTGGATTGTCCGCGATCAGATAGATCTATGGCTGTGTTGAGATTTGCCACTAGCTTGCCCTCATCGCTAGTGATGGTATCTACGGTTATCTGACTCGTCTGAGGCTTCACAGCATCAAATTGGACAGACGATCCATTACAGTGAAACAGGGATATGTTTAAGCGGATGGAAGGATGTCCTAGGAAGTGTTTGTTCCACCATGTATGTAATATGGCGGGGTCACCAAGTTTGCTTCTATTCTGGTCAGCATGGTGGCCTTTCAGGGGGTGGATGCTGGGAGTAATTTTCTAAGGCCGCTCATATCTCCCTTTGAAGAAGGTTGGACAATGGATATCTAATCGTTGTCAGATCTGAGAGCATGTGTGCATCGATGCGGTGAGATTGCATCTAGGGCTACCATCTCGTGCGAGCCGTTGGAAGGTGTCGAAGAGTAAAGATACAGCTGGGGCCTGTTGATAATGGCCAGAGGTTAGATAGGTATCAGAGCAGACACATTGGGATCGCTGCTTGCCGATACCAAACGAGTATCGTCTGGCAGAAGAGCCTGCAGAAAATAGAAGATAGTTGTGTCATCTACCCATTCGGAGGGCCACAGGGTGGTAGAGTCCGCCTGACACGCATTGTGATGTCCAGTTTTCGGTTCTGATGCAGAGGCATCATTTCTGTGCTGTTTCTCGTCTTGAATGTCAGCTGAATTGCTGTAGGTGGATTTATTTTGTTTTATTCTTAACTCCCTCTCATCCAGATGGGTAAATGAATCTGGTGATAGGGGCCGATATTGAACGTGGATAGACTTAAAAGACTGCCTTACACTGGCATAGAGCCCGTCGAGGATGGAACGAGCGAATCGAAACTGCAAGGTCGCTGTTGATCGCGTATTCGACTTTCTGACTGCTCTTGCAGCTTCTATTGCAAATTTTACGCCCGCATACACTGGTTGACTGACTGGCTCGCCAGCTAGCCATTGGTTGTTATACTGCTTGACTTTCTGGCTACGTTTCCAAATTAAAGGCAACTGTATGAAGGGTCGTATTCATTTTTCCACCTTCTTTAACAAGAACCGCGTCTGTGTCGGTAGGCGACAGCGGCAAACCGCTCTTCGACTGATTTAAGGGTGCTGAGTCAAAGCTCATTACCGAGATCAGTGACCTCCGTGTTCGGGATCAGCGAGGCGATGCATCTAGGGCGTTCGCACTTCACCCTCCATCCGCAACCGGACGACGGAGAAGAGAATGAAGCATCCGGCAGAAAGACTATGAGCTGCTACACCCGTAGGCGCCGTACGAAAAACAAGATTCGCGATCCCGTGACGTGATGCAGTCTCTTGGAGATGTGAAGAGATAAGCTGAATAACAAAAGACTTATAAATCCCTGCCTCGCAAATCAACGTTGATGAGAACCTAACGAGGAGCATTCCCAGCGAGATACGTCCAAAATGAGTAGTCGCAATGTTGTATATCATGCGCTGTTTGACGTTAAGTTTGTTAAGTATCGGTGCAAAGGAAAGAAAGCCGAGTTTCGGAGCCATCGCCGGCGATAGGGAGAATCTCGTCCATTTTTGCATCCGCTTCTTCTTTGTCAAGTCCACCTTCTGCTGCGAAAGCGGTTGGACACCTTCTCATCCCCTCTCATATGCTTTGCTAGGCAATTTTTCGGCACCCCGGTGAACCCCACGTGGTGAATATCGGGCCACGCTTTGGCCTGGCTATCGGGGGGAGAGCGTCTGGATCGAAGAAATACCTCTTCATTGGAGAGGGAATCAGGCGAAGCAATGCGTTCGATATTAAGCCCCATGTCAATGATCTCTTGTAGTGTTCCAATGGGGCCAATCATCCAAAGAATGATGTTTGGGCTCGCTCAGAGAGGAATCAAGTCTCCAAATTCATCGATGGCGTTAATACTAATCCTCGTACTCGATTTTATCGGCCCGCAGGGTTGTCTGGCCATTCCTGTTTGCGGAGGTTACCGACCGTTCAGATCAGGTCCTTCAACGCCAATTGAAATATAGATTTTCGCTTAGGAAATGTCTAAGGGATACATTTATATTGAGATACGTTTGCTGAAGGTTTTAGGCAAGGATTGGTCGGTCCACCATGACTTGAAGACAGAAGCCGTGAAGAAGGGATATCCTGAAATCCCGTTCAGTTCCACGTTCATTGCCTGAGTGAATTTGTGCAGGCTGTTGTAATACTGGTACTTATAGTGCCAATAACTTTGAATAGGCCTTCAATTCCTTCTTATCGACCATGTCATCGGTTATATAGCGCAAGGTTACTATGAGATTGCTACAGACTGAGTTCTACATTCACACTCTCAACGAGAATTCTAGAAACGAGGAAGTTAAAAATAATATAATGCAGCACTATGACACTAGTATACGATTCACATAAGGTGTAAGAAAATATAATGCATCAGGTTCAGACTGGGTTCGTGACGACTTGGAAAGTTCTGCAAATGGCTGATTTAAAAATGCAGACCGGAGACCTGAGCGAGACTTGGGCGATATATAAAGCAAACATGAAGCAAACGGAATTGAGTAAACGTGATGATGTAGGAGAGAGAATAATGAAACAAACAGCGGTAAAAGTGAAGGTCGAGCAAACGGAAGGGTTCAGGGGGTGTCGTCACGTGCGCTACTGTAGCACCATCCCCTGAATTGAGTCCGGAGTCTGGACAATAGGATTATGACTTCTGATCCCGAACGATACCAAGCCCACACGATCTGTAGAACATATCAGAGGTCAACAATCGCCAGAAACAATTCAATTCATCCTCTACAGCTGCGGTCTCGACTCAAAGCTGAAGATGTTCCTCTGCGGATCGTCCTTCGCCTGCCACACCCACCCCGACCTTCCAATCGGCTCCTTCTCCCAGCTCGCCAGCTCCTTCAGCGTCCTTGCATCGGCATGATTCGCAAGGAACCGCTTGCCGTTGCTCGTTAACCTGCCGACGACATGGCCCCGTTCGGGTGAACCGTCTCGGCTGAATTCGACGGTGTATGTCTGGTGGAAAGTTAGTCATACTCATCCAAATACCATGGTTCGACTGGAATAACGTACCTCAACGACCGCCTCGCCCTCCGCGACCTCTGCGATCTCCGGAACAGCCACATCCGTAATCACCTCCGGTAATACGTCCTCCAACGGATACGCGCCCCCATCCTTCCTCGGCTTCGTCCCCAAGCAGACGACATACTGATACGTCAACCACCCACCATTCGCCAAAATCAACCCATTCGCACCCCCCTTCTTCGCCTTCCGGTCGCGCAACTGCCGCGTCATTTCCGTGATCGCATGCATACTGTAATTATTCCCTGCCCCCCCAAAACTCGTCAACCCGCCCAGCAGCGTCAGCTTCTTCTCCCCACCGTAGAACGGCAGCCCTAGATGCTGCGCCGCCAGCTTCGGCACGATCGGGAAGCAGCTGTAGAAATCATACAGGTCGACGTCGTCGGTGCGTAGACCGGACACCGATAGCGCTGCGTCCAGGCTCCGCGTCAAACACGGCGACGAATGATAGTCCGGGCGCTTCCAAAACTCCCCCGCGTCCGCCGTCCCCGCGCCACCGAGTGGATAAATCCACCGTTCCTCCGGGATCCCCATGCGCGTCGCTACCTCCGTATTCGTCAATAGCGCCGCGGCCGCCAAATTCACCGTGTTAAACGCATTCATCAGCAACGGATACGGGAAGCAGATCATCCGATTCTTTCCCCCCACTGTCTCGATGTCCCCCATCGTCACCTTCTTCCCCTTTCCCCATGCATACTCCGTCCCCTCTGCCACCCCCGCAAATTCCCCATACACCCTCGCGCTCTCCTGATGGTTATCCCGCACTCCCTGCCCCCGTCGTGCCCGAAACCCATTCTCATACAGCGGATAGATGTGGATCGGGGCCCCGATATTGTGATGGGCCCCGACGTCCGCGCCCAGTTCCCGCGTCGTCGGTGAAAATACCGCGTCGATCGGTGTGGCCGGCTCGCTCCAGCCGTCAGGCGGCAGCTTCCCAGCGGCGGCACAGGCGGACAAGGAGGCAAGGGCTTCGCCGCCGCAGACGATGGCGGCGGAGGAGATACCCGCAGCGATGCGGCGGGCGGCGGCGTCGAGGACCTTGGCGGGTTGGTTGCCGCCGTGGGCGGAGTAGTGCTTCTGTTTGAGTTCGGGGAGGTGGAGGTTTTGCGCGAGGAGGGCGGGGAGGTCGGGGTAGTCCCAGGTCCAGGTTTTGATGACGGAGAGGTCGGTGATGAGGGGTAGGAGGGAGGTGGGGGAGGCGTAAGACGGGGAGAGGGCGTCGGTGAGGGCGGCGGTGATGGCGGCGGTGATGAGGGTGGCGGGTTCGAGGGCGGAGGAGGGGGCGGTGGAGCGGTTGACGATGTCAGCGACGCCGATGATGATGGGAGTGAAGGTTTTGGGGGGGGGGAGGGGTTTGGTGGCCATGGTGGTGGGATATGGGATGGGGCGGTTTAGTTTAGAGAGCGGTCAATGAAGTGAGGGAACTATGCAAAAGGGACTCGTGCCGTCATGAACTGCTTCTCTGGTATTACGATAACTTTGCTGTATTACTATGACAAGGAGAATCTTTCGTCGACTTAATAGACTTCGTGAACGCGTGAGACTGAGGGAAAGCTCTGCGGAGATACCTGATCATGCTTGTTGCCGAGGTTACCCTTGGAGAAGTTCAACCGGTAAGGTGAGCTTGAAGCAGGATGATGAGGAATGGAGATGCAGAAAAGGAGAAAGGAACAGACCCATTGTGTTCTCCAAACCTAGGACGACACCCGAGTCAATGACAATAACCTTGAGACTGACGGAGTACTGTTTGCATGATAGTACGGGTACCTTAATCCAGGGCATGAAGCTATGGATAGGATGTACCATAAGCCCATTCAGGACGTCGCTAATTGGCTGGCTGTTCTAGCACATGGTGGAGTCACGTGGAGAGAGAAGGCAAACCTGCTCCTCCGACTTTCGACTTTTGAATGATGGGCGGGCATGGACGATCCGAACCGTTCCCTGAATGATGATCTGGCCATCTTAAGCAGCTTTTAAATCGTGCGAGAAACACCCCAAGCCCCAATCTAACATCTCGCGCCTGTCATTTCCAAAATCCACGGCCCCGTCCATGTCCGATGTAAATGAACGTCCGTTCGCTTCTAGAAGCCGGCGAAGTCCCTCGGCGTAAGCTGACCCCCAGCCGACGCCTGCGGGATCCCTGTGGGCCGTGGGCCGTGGGGGAGCGTCAACCGGAGGACAGCCGAAGCCGATGGGGATCAGGGACCGGTGGGATCCGGGGGGTTGCGCGTGCCATTGGATGGGAGATGGATGGGCGATGGATCCGAAATTGGAGCCGAAATTGAATGAGAACCGGGCAGAGAATGGGGCTTTTATTGAGGCGAAATTGAGTGAAGATGGAATTATTGGAAAGCCCCGCGTCCGGATTTCCGTTCTGTTTTCACGATTTGGTTTCGGAGTTTTCGTCCAAGGTCACGAGTCGATTTTATGCCTTTGATGCCTTTGATGCCTTAAATTTCAGGTGTCCTTCACATGTTAATATTGCCCAGACCAGACACATTTCTGAAATGAAACTGACGAAGCAAAGAATCGAAGAAGCGTGATCAGAAGGGAGACGCGATTCAAGCAAAGACATTCTGGCACATGATCGCATTTCCACTGGTTCACATGCCACATGCCACATACTGCGCGTTGGTTGATGCAGAGATGGAAATTGAATCATCGATCGTCAGCGGCTGCAAAAGACAACCATTTGGTGGTTCATTACCTATTATTTCCGGGACTATTATTCCCACTCATGGTGAAAGCAAATCAAGTCAATAACAAGAAGTGAAACAATATCCATTGTGGCACCGCCGTATTATTCTGCCCGGTTGCCTCAAGGCCCAAGTCCAAGTCTCAGTCGTCGTTCGCATTGTCATAGAATAATAGAACTCATTCCCATGCGTCAATCCTCGGACAAAGCTCCAACATCAAGTAGTGCACCGAGATTATATAAGAGGATAAGACGTTTTAGCCTCGTGCACTCCGAAGAATTGGATTGCCCGACCTTTCATTCGTAGAGAGGAACCCAGACGGAACCCAGCACACGCCGAGGCAAATTCCTACCTAGGCAACGTGCCGCCAAAACCCTCTGGCCACAACCAACTGCTCCACCATACAAGAACATCCGACAACCCGTCCCCCATTCCGTTTCTTCCCCGACTTCACATCCTTCTTTTCTCTAGAGTTCATCACCCGTCTCTACTATCTCCTTGTCCCTTAAACCTAACTCATATTCAATCCTCGACAATGCCTGAGAGAGTCATCGTCGTTGGTGCCGGCTGTAAGTTGTCCATCCATCCCCGCATTCCCATCGACATCATCGGATCCGGCATCTAATCACTCCAAAACAGTGTCCGGATTGAGCGCAGCGCACACTGTCTACCTCGCCGGTGGCAATGTCCTGCTTCTCGACAAGAACAGTACGTATTCTCCATTCCCATCGGACCCGGCGTCCAAAATGCTGATCCTTGCGCTCCAGACTTCATGGGAGGCAACTCCACGAAGGCTACCTCGGGTATCAACGGTGCCCTCACCCGGACTCAAGTCGACCACAAGATCCAAGATAGCGTCAAGCAATTCTATGACGACACCCTCAAATCCGCCCGTGACAAGGCACGACCGGATCTCATCAAGGTCCTGACGTACAAGTCCTCCGCCGCCGTTGAGTGGTTGCAGGATGTTTTCAACCTCGACCTCACCCTCGTCTCCCGTCTCGGGTAAGTTTTCGACCGTCCATATATCCACCGCAGACACTAACAATCCGCAGTGGTCATTCACAACCCCGAACGCACCGTGGCCACGATGCCAAGTTCCCCGGTATGGCCATCACCTATGCGCTGATGCAGCGATTCGAGGAGCTCGCCGAGGCCGAGCCGGAGCGCGTCCAGCTCGTCAAGAAGGCCAAGGTTACCAAGGTCCTCAAGGATGGCAACTTGGCCACCGGTGTCAGCTACGAGCAGAACGGCGAGGAAGTCTCCGTCAACGGCCCCGTCATCCTTGCGACGGGTGGTTATGCCGCTGATTTCGGCCCCACCTCGCTCCTCCAGAAACACAGGCCTGATACCGTCGGCCTGGCCACCACCAACGGTGTCCACGCCACCGGTGACGGTCACAAGATGTTGATGGAGATCGGTGCCAACGGCATTGATATGGACAAGGTTCAGGTCCATCCGACCGGTTTGGTCGACCCCAAAGACCCCGGCTCAAAGTGGAAGTTCCTGGCTGCCGAGGGTAAGTTTCATCTCTCAAACGTATGACAAAATCTGACATTTTTCAGCTCTCCGTGGTGAGGGTGGTCTCCTGCTCAACAGCAAGGGCGAGCGATTCTGCGACGAGCTCGGTCACCGTGACTACGTCTCCGGCAAGGAGTGGGAAGAGAAGGAGGCCGGCAACTGGCCGATCCGCCTCGTCCTCAACTCCAAAGCCTCCAACGTCCTCGACTTCCACACCCGCCACTACTCCGGTCGCGGCCTTATGAAGAAGATGACCGGCGCCGAGCTCATCAAGGAGATGGGCTGCGGCGAAGCCGCCCTGGCCAAGACCTTCGCCACTTACAACGACATCGCTGCCGGCAAGGCCAAGGACCCATGGGGCAAGAAATACTTCCACAACCTCCCCTTCGATGTCAACGACACCTTCCACGTCTCCATCATGGAGCCTGTTCTCCACTTCACCATGGGCGGCATCGAGATCAATGACAAAGCCCAGGTCCTCAACTCCGAGGGCCAGCCCTTCGACGGCCTCTTCGTCTGCGGCGAGCTTGCCGGTGGCGTTCACGGCGCCAACCGCCTCGGCGGCTCCTCCCTCCTCGGCTGCGTCGTCTACGGCCGCGTCGCCGGCGATTCCGCCTCCAAGTACCTCTTCCAGAAGCTCCTCAACGGTGGCGCCTCCGCCGCCCAGCAGCGTCTCGGCCAGATCTCCCTGCACCTCGACCCCGCTCAGCCCGGCAAGCTCTCCGTCGAGTGGTCCGGTGCGTCGGGTGTCTCCGCTCCCGCGCAGCAGCAGGTCGCCGCCCCCGCCGCCGCGCCGGCCGCCAAGGCCGAACCGGCGAAGTTCAGCGTCCCGGAGAAGGAGTACACGCTCGAGGAGGTGGCTAAGCACAACAAGAAGGACGACCTGTGGATCGCGGTCAAGGGCGTTGTCCTGGATCTGACGAACTGGGTGGACGAGCACCCGGGCGGCCCGCAGGCGCTGTACAGCCACATGGGGCGAGACGCGAGCGAGGAGTTCGAGATGTTGCATGACGACGAGGTGATTCCGAAGTATGCGCCGGAGGTTGTGATCGGGCGGGTGAAGGGGCAGAAGATCACGTTGGAGTATTAGACGGTGATGTTGCTGATGAGGTGTTGGGGGGGCGGGGTTGTCAAACGACATAGAGGCGACTCGAGGAAGCAAAAAACTATTTTTTGGGGCCTCGGAATTCCATGGATGCGGGGCGGTGTTGAACGAAGGACCTGTATCGATATATTTTGATCTTGTTTCTTTTGCGGGGGTTTCATCGTCACTTTTTAGTTGTTAGGACCAAATTAGAGGGATCTTTGTGCATACTTGACGGGGTTCGGCTTGTGTTTCGTGTTGATGTATGTGAGTTGTGGACGAGAATACAGTGGTGAGGCCTGAGTTTCTATTGATTCCTCGCATGGGTACATATGGTTTTCTACTGCAATCTGAAGCTATGCGTCCCCTCGCGGATATCTATTCCTGTTCCATTGTTGGGAAAACCCGGTCTCTGAACATTCAGCCATTCAGATACGGCATGGGTGAAACATTAGAATTGATCCTTCATAAACCGCCGTTCAAATCAATATCGTTGAACTGGGAGACATGCGGTCGTATTAGGCATTCCTTCTATTCTTCCTTATTGCTCTCCCATAAACACATGTTAATATTCAAATACATACACCTCGAGTCAAGGTATCATCCAGATTTATACAGTTCGGTATATGTACACAGGCCCAACCCAATCACGCCTTCATCCCCTCCACCCCCCTCACCACCTCCACCATCTTCGCAACCTCCTTCCCACCTATTCTCCCCCCAACCGTCGCCCCCCTCTTCACCGCCTCCACCACCCCATCACCCCTCACCAACGTATATCTCCCCCCCTCCACTTTCCCTCTCCCCCTCCCCAACCACCCCAACTCAAACCCCCCATACCCCTCCACCGGCAACACCTTCTTCAACTCCTCCGCCTCTGCCGCCGTCATCTCCTGCTCCTTCTCCCGCTTCCCATCATCCTCCCCCCACGCGCCACGTGCTGCGTCGTCGCGCTTCGGCTTGCGGCGTCGCCCGCCTGGTGGTCCGGTGGTTGTGGTGCCGGTTGCGCCAACGCGGAGGGCGCCGGTTGGGCGGGTGCCGGGTGGGCGGGTGCCAGGGGTGGTTGGGCGGCGGGGCAGGCGGGGTCCGTTGGGGCGGGGTCCATTAGGGCGGGTGGTTTGAGGGGGGGCATCGACGTGGATGATGCGGAGGCCGCTGGGGCGATCGGCGTCGGTGGAGGAGGTGGAGGTGGGCGGGGAGGGTTTGCGGGGGATGACGCGGCGGCGGGCGAGTTTGGGGGTAGAGGAGGTGGTGGCGCCGAGGGAGCGGAGATCGATTGGTTTGGGGGGTACTGGAGGGGGTTAGTTGGGGAATGGAATCGCTAGTTGAGGGTGGGAACTTACCGTCGGAGCTGTTGTCAGCGCATCGAGATGTTGATTGATGGAATTGACGGGCGGAGGAGAGGAATGGTTGGACGGAGTGATGGCATTGATTGGGATAGAGGCGAGATGCCCTGTTTAGGGCAATGTTTACTCGTGTCGTCATGGTTTTGGAGTTTGGTGCCTCTTGGAAATTTTATGGCGATGTTGGAGTTGAATTGAGGTTGGAATATATCAGTCACGTGCAAAAACCCTAGGGTGGAGAGCTTGGATAGTTTTGTTGACGTTCACTCTGTACAACGACAATAACGTCGATTTTGTGGATAAATTTAAGCCAGCGTTGGAAATACAGCTCCTTCTGAGATTCTTTAATCCAATTTATCATTATTTTCATCCCCATCAAACACCTCACCACTCCTCAACTTGCGTTAGTTCTCCATCAACATGTTACGCCGCAAGCCCACCGCAATCACGCTCACTACCGACGACATCAAAACCTTCGACGAGAACCTTCAACGCAAAATGTGGGAACAAAGGCAAGCCCACGAGTCCAAGGTGGCGATCGACGGCGCTCGAGGGAACAATGGTGGCCCCCAAGCTGCTGATAGCGCCGCGGGTGCAAGACCTGGACGATCAAGAGATGAGAGAATCATGGGCGCGAATGCTGGAAATGGGCATTGAGCATGATCGAAGTGTATCAAGTCGGAGAGGTGCGCCCATTCAGGATGCCGTGCTGCAGAGTACTCAGCTACAGCTCCGCGATGAATGGCAAGCAAGGCTATCCTCCCACCGTCCAACGACTTGCGACGGGTCCACTAGCCTTGTCAATTAAATCCACCAAGGGATGCGAGGTCCTCGAAAGAATTTTGGAAAGGACTGAAAAATCTGTGACTGAATGTCCGGTACGCCAGTTTCGGACTGTCGTTTCACAGGCATTCCTTCCAGCATACGGGTTTCACAGTGTGGAATTTGAATGAAAAGTGCGTCCCCAGGACGCGTCGTTCTATGGGATCCGATCGATGAACGGCGTTTGGAACAGTATTCTCGAAACGCCGATCGTCCTGTGGATTGGATAGATGCCCAGCCAGGCTCGAACGAGAATGCTTTGCTGTTGGTTAAACACATCCAGCCACAAGTACTATTGTACTACATACCCCTATCTTCGACTTTCTGCACAGTCTTCTGGTCATTCGGCGGTGCCTAAGCCGTCATTATGATCTTGCTTCTATCGAGATGTCGGCGGCTGGTCCTGTGTCTCTGCTTGCTACCCTAATGATTACAACGGTCTATATACGCTTGAACTGGAACTAGATGTGGGGGTTCAAAAACACATATTCCCCAAGCAAATTTTGGATAGGAGAACATGCCGAACGCTGGCATCGAACGGCACATGTGCAAGGCGAACACGCACTATATCCGAAATTACATGGCATTCTGGATGTAAACCGGAATTTCTCGTCCGACGGAGGCCGACATACACGACGTCCGGCTAGACGATATCATATCTATCAAGACTCACTGGTCTGCAACATGCGATGGAACCACCGACGACACTACCGCCATCCATGTAAGCCAATCCCAACAAGCTACGTGTCGGTTTTTGGGTAGCACTTGATACAACAATCCGCATTTCACATAATATGGTTTCCACCCGAGATTTTACTAGAGCATCGCCATGAATATCTACTGCAGCAACTATGTCTACGTCGTCGCGTAGACTTCTACTCTCCTTTCGAAACTATGATATAAGTTGCATCGTTACAAGCGACTGCCAAACGGACATCATCATGATCGACGAGTCGGCGGGCATCTATCTGTTTGCGGTGGTTGCCCTTGGATCTGCATATATCATTACGGCGGGTTGTGTTGGACCAGGGAAAGCTGTTTGTTCTCCGAATGGGCTTTGCCAGAATATGCCGATGTTTGAGTACTGTGGCTGATTATTTTGGGTTATTTGGGATACCGTGGGGTAGTTCCATGCATAACTCGAGTGCCTTTTGTGAAATATCTGTAGCAATTTTGAGCCATCATGTAGGATGGCTGTAAAACCGGACTGGGTTCATTCCGTTTGTTCTAAGATTATTCTTGCAGTGACTTAGTTAATAGATACTAACTTCCACCTTAGATCTGCCTGCAGACAGACCAGTCACGCTCAGGTCAGATAACTGGATAGTGGGTGAAGATGGTTATCTTGTCAATTTTAATAAGTCTCTATTTCTTGGAAGGCCGTTTACATAGAGTTAACTGATTCTATTGCTCCACATCTTCATGATGGTGATGTTAAGATTGAAGTCTTTCTCAATGGCAAGTTGGTTTGGCACTCAGTCACTCTGTATGGCGGTGAGGATGAGGCAACGGAAATTAGCAACGGCACATCATGGGAGACTATCTCTGCATATACTCCTTGTGATGAGACTGTCAGGGTCAAGACAGGCGATGCGCTATCCCTGACAGCAGATTATGACCTAACCAAACACAAACCGTAAGTGAACTTGAATATAGTCCCTTTTCTTGGGTATATGGATATTGACCTGAACTAATTTAGGAGGCCTGACTCTATGAATCATGACATGGGGGTGAGAGCCATGGCTTTGATAAAGTTTATATTTGCACGGGAACCGCCAGAATAGGTGTTGTGTGGCCACAATGGTCAAATGTAGTCACTACGGCCATATCGGTCGTCAAGAGCTAGGAGTACTATGCTATGAGGAGGGCCTTTATATTTCAACACATGAAGGGGAGAGGGACTTCAGACCTCTGGACCTCCTGTTCAACTCATGTTATGTTCAGATTGATTACTGGCTTACTTGAATCAATATCCTCGGACATATCAGACCATCTAGTTTGCTATATCGGTGGGTTAAGGACGACTTGTGGGAGGATAATAGTTCACGTTGACTGGCAGATTAAATATCTTTGACCAACGAACTTCGGCTGCGGGAGTGTGCAGCACAATGTCCATTTGTAGTTCGACGGCGGCAAGGCGTATGCAAGGCACCCTCAGCGACGGAAAGGCAATTCTGATGACGACACTAGCACAGCCGCTCTCCAACATATACGCAGTAGGACCGTAATATAATTATACAACGGCACAAGCGACGTAACGAATGTCGCAAGGAGATTAGATATTTCAATAACGACCAGCAATGTCGGCAGGTAAGAAAAACGATCTACCTGGCTACGAAGACGGGAAGTTAGGGGCCGAATCCGTATGGGACAAGAAGCACCCCACTCCTCCATGCAAGCCACCGCCAGAATATCTAGCATGGTCTTCAACTGCGTAAGTTGCAGCTCAGGAACACTGACCCCATACCATCCATCTAACACGCAGCCAGTGGCCCCGTCACCCCAGGCGGAACATCTCCCGATGAAATCGTGCTAGTCCCATTCTTCCACACAGTCCAGAAACGTACAATCAAAGATTTCTTGACCGGCCGTCGGGTGTACGAGACGAAGATCTCCGCGCGCGAGATGAAGCGCTCGCACTACGATCGGCACTATGCCACGGACAGCGACGGGAAGTATATCGGGACGGGAAAGGCGGCGATCGATGCGCCGATGGTGTACGTGCCGACAAAGAGCACGCCAGAATATATACAGGAGCAGCTGAATAAGGTGGCATTTGGGAAGGAGCATAGGTTCGTGACGACGCAGGTGGGGGAGACGGGGTATGCGTGAGGTTGGATACTTTTTGGATGGGTAGGCTGGTTGATGCGGCTGGGAGAGAGATGGCCATTGTCGTGTTTTGAGATCATGGTCATGGATACGCTGAGCGTTCGATGGTAGGCCTTGGTAGCAGTGCTCCAAATCAACGAATATGACGCTCTTACCATTCGAAGCTGATTCCGCTAGTGGCACTTACCAAGTGCGAACCCTCTGACTTCGCCAGTATTCGCCAGATACACCCTTGATATCACCCAGCGCCAGCATCACCGGTGTCTGCGCCCCGTCATCTGGTGTCCTGCTCCCCCTTCCCTTCGTCATATCCGTCGGCACGAGTCCAGGACAGCACGCGTTGATCAGTCGCTCCCCCTCCGTGCCTCCATTCCTCGCCTTCTCCTCGGCCCCGATCATCCTCGTCATCCCGATCACCCCAGCTTTTGACGCCGCATACGCAGCGCTCGTCCATCCTTCTTCCTGCTCCCGCCCTTGCGCGACCGCCGCGGCGAAACTTTGCATGATCTGTGTGACGTCGTCGACCGATTTCGCGTGACGGAACCGGTCTTGAAGTGCCTGCGAATATTTCTCGATGGAGCCTGCGCTACTGGCTACGTTAACTAGGCGTCCGGTAGGTTTGATCAGAGGGAGTAGTTCGCGCGTGGCGGAAAGCGTGCCGTAGTAGTTGCAATGCAACGTTTCTTTGACGATGTGGTTGTCGAACCCGTCCATGGCAATGCCCGCGTTGTTGATGACGAAATCGATGCCTTCGGGATGCTCTTTCTTCAGAAACTGGCCGAAAATTTGGATGCTTGCTGCATCGCTAATATCGAGGGTATGGAATCGAATGTCGGATAGTCCACCGTGTGTAGACAGGACCTTGGCGGCTCGGAGCTGATCATCGGCGAGCAGTCGTTGAACGGCGCCCTCTCCTCGCGCTTTGTCGCGTGCCGTGAGGTAGATAAGTAGTGGTCCATTGTTGAACCTTGAGGATGGATACTGTAATGCAAGCTGGCGCACTTGATGATCTCGTTAATCTCAACGTAATAGAGTAGGAGCTTGGGGTTGGATGATGCCGCACCTATGGCAAAGCCAATGCCTTTGTTGGCACCTGTTACGGCTGCTACTCGACTGTATGCTGGAGTCATGGTAAGTGAGATACTGGAGAATTTACAATGCAGTGTAGCTCAAAGGTTTAAGATAAAGTCCGGTGCAATCGGTATTTGTCATCGAGGGAACTGGACAGAATCGGTACCAGTTCATCTCTGGCTCGAAACAGGACTGTTTCTAAATCGTAGACGTTCTACGAGTTAAACATATGGCGATGTAGTAGATATTTCTAAGAAATCAATAATATTTCATAAGATCTCAGGATTTCTTTACAGAATGTTGACCAGGTTCAGCATTAGCTACAGATGAGCTGAAAGTGGTCAGGGATGTGGTCATCTCCATGGCAACGCAATAGGTAAACATCGACTTCCCTAACTTTAGAGGACCATCTCCAGAACTCTAGACCCTAACAATCTATAAGGTTTCAATCCTCACTGGACCTTGCGAAATAGCCTTGGGAAATCACTTCATCCACCCAGCCACTACCTCGTTTCATTCGTGATATACCGGTTGCCTACAATGGGCTTCAATTCCTCTACTCCTCCTCTCTCCGAGATCCCTCATCACCGGCGGAATAGATCTGCCGCGGTGCTGAAGTCTATCATACTACCCAAGTCGAACAAGAAAGGACAAGCACCAAATGAACAGAATCTCCAGCATACACCACAGCATCGCCGTGCAGGCATGCCGCTTCTCCCCCCGGATCATCCTCATGTCTCTGGCCATCGAGACAACCCGCAGCCATCCCGACCAGGTGATAAGAACAAGGAGAATGGTCCTGCGAGACCTGGATTGCATAAGAAGACGAAGAGTACTACATCTCTGAAAGGCTTTGGGAACGACAAAGTCAAGGACGAGTCCAAAGTTCTTACAGAAGGAAACCGAGAGAATGGATCGGGGAAGAAACCGAGGAAGTCCAAGTCCTCCACAAGCCTTGCAACGATCTTTGGAAAGTCGAAATCAGGAAAGTCTGAGTCCAGTCCCAAGAAGTCGAAAGAGAAGGACAAGGAGAATACCTCACCGCCCCGGTCTGCGGAGCCACAGAACCACACTCCAATCTGGGCCCAGTATTCCTCTCAGCCATTCCAGGAGATTACAACAACAACTAACGTACCCCTCAATGATCAATCCCAAATGCAGAAGGAGATCGATCTGTTCACGCCGAAGATTTACACCCCATCCAAGCAGCGGAACTTCCATAATGTTCAGCCCGTGCTTGCTACCAGGAACCAGCGACCAAAGTCGGAAGTCATCATCGGAACGGAGAGGCTGGGAGTATCCGGGCCCGGAATGCAATTCTCTGGTCTCACCTCACCTTCAGCACATCGAGAGAATGCAAATCCTACCTTAACAAAAGCGAAGAAGGAGCACGCGTCCGATCGACGTGGATCCCGAGTCATGAACTTCGTCGCCCAGTTCAACGAGCGCGCCCAACGGGCGGCTGAACCAACCCCCATGTCCCCGCAAGACCTGAAGAAGCTTGAAACCGACTTCGAAGCCGTGCTCGAGAAGCGGCAGATCCCCGAAGCGACGCGCGACAAAATGCGGACGATGAACGGCGAAATGAAGTTGAAGTTCATTCGCGCGGAGGCCATGCCGAGCACACCGACAGAGCCGGAGCCGCCGCAGGTCCCGACGAAGACCGAGACGCACGCGGAGGGGAAGAAGAAGCATATCCGCACCCGCAGCGGGTTCAGCACGCACAGCAACAAAGGCGGCAAGGAAAACGTCAAGGAAGAGGATGAAAAGCGACCCAACTCCAAAGATGGCTCCAAGAAGCGGAGACCACGAAGCCGCACCTTCACGTTCGGTAAAGGCGAGTCTTCACCGTCCAAGAAACAAAAGGCCGAAGGTGAATCGTGGTCGAAGCGCTCGACGAACGTCCCCAAGTCACCGTCCAGCACGAGCCTTGCGTCTGTCAAGTCCTCCGCGAGCGGGAAGGAGAAGAAACCGAAGACGGCGAACCCGAAGGAGTTCGTGAAGTACTTGAGACAGGCTCAGCGGCCGCAGGAGGCGGAAGTAGGGAAGCTCCATAAGCTGCGGTTGTTGATCAGGAACGAGACGGTTGAATGGGTGGATTTGTTCATTGGTGAAGGCGGGATGGTGGAGATCGTGGGATTGCTACATCGGATCATGAAAGTGGAGTGGAGGTATGTTCACTGCTTCAAGTCCACATTTGTCTGACGTTGACTAACGCGATTACAGAGAGGAACATGAAGACCAGTTGCTGCATGAAACGTTGCTCTGCCTGAAAGGCCTTTGCACGACTGCTCTGGCGCTCCAGAAGCTGTGTGATATTGAGAAAGAGCTCTTCCCGGCACTTCTTGGGATGCTCTTCGACGAGGAACATAAAGGTCCTAGCGAGTTCACGACTCGGACCGTGATCATCAACATCATCTGTGAGCGGCTCGTCTCACCCCTATTCTGAATATTATTCTGACCGCTGCAGTCACTCACCTATCGTCTGCCCCCGCGTCTGAGCTTGAAACCCGCGCGAGGAAGCTTCTCGGATATCTCCAAGACCCAACCGGACCCGACGACAAACAGCCGCTCCCGTTCATCATGGAGATGCACAAACCTCGTCCATATCGCGTGTGGTGCAAGGAGGTAGTCAACGTGACTAAAGAAGTGTTCTGGATCTTCCTCCACAGCCTCAACACCATCCCTCTCCCCAAATGCACCGACGCCGATGCAGCCAACGATGCCACCAAGCCCACCACCATCGACCAACCCCCCACCACCCAATCCTACAACAAACGCCACTTCCCTTCCCCCCGCCCCCCCGTCCCAGCCGCCCCCTACGTTGGCGGCGTCGAATGGGACGCCACCAACTACATGGCCGCGCACCTCGACCTCCTCAACGGGATCCTTGCCTCCCTCCCCACCACCGAGCGCACCGCCCTCCGCGACGCCCTCCGCGCCTCCGGCTGGGAGAAGCTCATGGGCCAAACCCTCCGCACGTGCAAGGAGAAATTCTACGGCGCCGTGCACGACGGGCTGCGCACGTGGGTGGCGGCGGCGGCGGAGGATGGATGGGACGCCTATGGCGTGCGCACGGGGAAGGGGGCGGGACAGGTGGAGCGGACACCGAGTCCGAAGAAGAGTCCGAGGAAGAAGCGGGAAGGCGAGGGGGAGGCGCCTAGGGTGGATTTCGAGGCGCAGAGGAGGGAAGGGAAGTTTGATATTGGGTTGGGGTTGGGGTTGTCGTTGGCGGAGGCGCATCATAAGTGGAGGGATGCGCAACGGGAGGCGGGGGAGATTTGAGAAGGGGGAGGGTGAGGGATGACTTTGATGAGGGATTGGATGAGACGATGAGGATGACTGAACTGTATGAAAATGATGCTTTGGAGACTGAGAGCGTTCATGTTTCTTCAAGTATGTTTAATGACTGGGGATGGAGTATCTTCTTATGACGGAGTTGCTGGGTTTCTTAGCATCGACATGATTCAGACTGCAAATGAGACCAATGGAGTTTCTTTCTACCTTTTCACAGAATCAACCCTCTTCTTCTTACTGATCTCCGGAATTGATGGCTGTCATCGATACATTCGTTACCATTGCGATTCCGAACTAAGTGACATCTGAGATTCCGAATAATTAGGGAGTATCAATGGTTGTCCAAATTCGGCGATAGGTACGAAGTATTGGCTATCAATATCGGCAAGCATCGGAATAACACGGCTCTCGGCATCCCGAATCCATCTCGTATTATCGTGAAGTTGTTAAGTAAGAAATTCGGCCCCGCCATCGACTTTTCGCCTCTCCTCCGTTGGCCCGCAATTGGACAACCACACTAACCAAACAAACTACCGAGACTCCGTAATGTCTCGTACATCACATGCCATGATGATTCCCCGTCCTTTCTCGTGATTCTTTAGCTGCATCGTCTTGACTTTTTCTTTCCCACCTCCACACGAATCCATCCTATACCTATCCCCATCCCCACCTCCGCAATGGCTCGATCACCCGCCCTCCTCTCCCGCGCGTGGGCGACCTCACGCCCATCACGAGCCTTCTCCACTTCCCGCCGCTCGCATCGAGAAGTCCGGGATGCTTACATCCTCAGCGGTTCCCGGACGCCCGTCGGAGTGGTAAGCCACCTCTGTCCCATTCCGGCGGAACCAAACTAACTCTCTCTCCTCCAGTTCGGCGGCTCGTTCGCCAACGTCCCCGCACCCGCCCTCGGCTCCCACGCCATCAAATCTGCCCTTGAGAAAGCCCCCAATGCTCGCGACCACATCACCGCAGTCTACATGGGCCAAGTGCTCCAAGCCGGTTCCGGCCAATCCCCCGCCCGCCAGGCCTCCATCGGCGCGGGGCTCTCCTCCGCCGTCGAAGCTACCACGATCAATAAAGTCTGCTCCTCCGGACTAAAGGCCGTGACGCTAGCCGCGCAGGCGATCCAACTCGGCGAGACCGACGCCATGGTGGCCGGCGGCATGGAGAACATGACGCGCGTGCCCTACTACCTCCCCCGCTCGACCCTGCAGCCCGCGTTCGGCGACCAGAAGCTCGCGGACGGCCTGATCGGTGACGGGCTCTGGGACGTCTACAACCAGATCCACATGGGCAACTGCGCCGAGAATACTGTCAAGAAATACGGCATCACCCGCGCCGCGCAGGACGCGTACGCCGTCGATTCCTACAAGCGCGCCCAGGCCGCTTGGGCGTCCGGCGCCTTCACCGAAGAAGTTGTCCCCGTCACAGTGAAAGGTAAGCGGGGGAAGGAGACCGTCGTTGCGGAGGACGAGGGCTACAACAAGCTGAAGCTCGAAAAGATCGCGACGCTCAAGCCCGCGTTCGACCGCTCGGGCGCCGGCTCCGTGACGGCGGCGAACTCCTCGTCGTTCAACGACGGCGCGTCGGCGCTAGTGCTGGGATCGAAGGACCTGGCGCGCGAGGCGGCAGGGTCGAGCCGCGTGCTGGCGCGCATCGTGGCGTCGGCGGACGCGGCGGTGGATCCGATTGACTTCCCGATCGCGCCGGCGGCGGTGGTTCCGAAGCTGTTGGAGCGGGCGGGGTTGACGATGCAGGATATTAGCGTGTGGGAGTTCAACGAGGCGTTCGCGGCGGTAATTTTGGCGAACGCGAAGCTTTTGGAACTGGAGGGCACAGAGGCGGGCGCGAGGGTGAATCCGAGGGGCGGGGCGATAGCGTTGGGACATGCGATTGGGAGTAGTGGGAGTCGGATTTTGGTGACGTTGTTGCATCAATTGGAGGTGGGGCAGTTTGGAGTTGCGGCGATTTGTAATGGAGGTGGCGCGGCGACGGGGATCTTGGTGCAGAGGGTTGGGCAGGGCGATATCTGAGCGAGTTCGAGTACTGTATGTTTGTGAAGGGTATCTGAGCTATGGTGGTTTTATATGGGCGATTTGTAGGGAAATTCCCTGTCGGACTTGGGCGGATGGAGGCAATTATATTTTCGATGTGATTATTTATACCCTTGAGGCAGAGTCACTTCATCCCTTCAACCCTCTGCGGCTAGCATCGACAGATAAAATCAAGAGCATTTCAGCACTAGAGCCCTCAGCAGTCAGCACTGGAGCCTATCTCCTGGAGGTAGTGCCGTTCCCGGAGCTAGTCCCGCTCCCGGGGGTGGTGCTGTTCCCGGAAGAAGTGCCGTTCCCGAGGATGGGGCTATCCGTAACGGCCATCGGAGCGAAGGTCAGATCCCACATGCCCATAACCTCAGCACCGTGACCATCGCCGTGACCAGCCCCCTCATCTCTCGAACGGTGTGAATGTCCCCCCATTTCCATCCCCTCCATCCCGCCGGAAGTGGCTCCTTGTGTTCGGCTGTTTAACCCTGTTAGTTCCAACTGGTCGAGGAATATCTCGACAAGAGAACAAGGAAACTTACAGAGGGTGGAGTTTAAGGTCATACACGGCCGTCATGGTGATGTAGTCTCCTTTCTTGATAGGAATTGGCTCCGGGCATCGGTTCATATTAGAGATGGTCTCCCATTTCTCTCCGTCGAGCTCCATCGTGCCACCAGCGCCACCATATGTGGCTTTGCTGGTGCACACCTCCTTGTCGTTAACGAGGAGGATCATCGAGACGCCGCCGTCGTGCAAGTGTCCCTCTGATTTGGTCGGATTATTAGTACGGTCTTTACCGAACAAGGGTCTGGATTGGCAACTCACTTCCATTGATGATGTATCCGTCTTCAAGGATTGCGAATTTGTCGCTCGTCGTTCGCGACTCACCGGCAGTGTCCAGCTTGATCTCACGGCCCGTGCAGCCTTGGATGTTCATCAACTTGGTCTTCGTGTCGGGGCCAAATTTGCCCGGCATGTACTCCAAATCCATGGACAAGTATACCTCGAGCGGTTCGTCCTTGTAGTTGACAAGGTCGGACTGAACGGTAATCTCCGCATCAGCAGGGAGATAGTAACCGCTCTCCAACTTTCCATCTGGGTCTGTGTAGTAGACAGGTGCGTTGCCATTGTCTTCACCAACCATGAGGAAGGCGGAGATCCCAAGGCCACCAATCTGGCGTCGTCGGTGAGAATGGCTGTGTCCCCCAGATGCTGCCCCCGCAGAAGATGACGCGGGTGTGGTGGCCGACCCTGATGTATCGTTAGTAGCGTCCATGTAAGAAATACCACCGGAACTGCTAGCCGACACACGAATAGAGGGGATGCCCTTACCTGAACCAGAGGCCCCACCAGCGCTTGATGCTCCTCCAAGGAGTCCTGACAACCCTGAGGATCCACCCGAGCCACTTGAGCCACCAAATAGACTAGACAACCCGGACGAACCAGACGAGCCACCTGCGCCGGAAAATAAGCCTGCCAAACCCGAAGCAGGCTCGCCACTGGGGTCAATCGTCGATTTATCACACTCCGCGATCCAAGAATTGCTCTTCTTGTTCACGAACGTCAGCATGTGGTGGGTATACAAGCCGGCCTCCACTCCAGCCGGCTCGCCATCAGCCAACTTGACTTCGAACTGCCCAGCGAGGACGGACGCGTCCTTCGGGAAGCCCTCCTTCAAGATTGACATGAACGTCTCGCCTCGTGGGTCCATGGAGAAGGATCCGAAGGGCTTATCAGCGTTACCAGGAACCATCTCGATCGGTCCCCAGGTGACCACGGTGCGCTTCGCATCGGGTCGGATGGCTGGAGTCTTCTCGGTAGTGTTGACGACGGGGAGAGTATCCAGAAACAGGTCCATGAGGCCGCGTTTGCTCTGGGGATTGCTGGTCGGCACCGCCGAAGCCAGCAAAGGCAGGGAAAAGAGAATGAGTGACTTCATTATGACTAGAGAATGACAGAAACAGAAACTAGATAGACGAACAAGGAACGACTAAGGAAGCGAAAACAAACTTGCTTGACAGGTCTCTACTTATATCTAATGCATGTGGCACCAAAAGAGTTAAGCCATTTTGTGGAGTTCATCTATCGTTGCCCCTTCTGAATATAAAGTTATACTCGTAACGCGCAAGTACGCACTGCTGACTGTGGAAGCCCTTCATCCTGCGAGAAATGTTCCGAATACGACAGTCGACGATGCGACGTTGGTGGAGCCTCATCTGCATCCCAGTCCTGTCAAACCACGCCTCCCATGGGTGTATAGTCCTAGCTAGACCAATCGTATTCGGGAGTCGGCGTATATATGTGAGAACGAAGGCCGCGAGATCCGACAGGGCGAAGTACACTTTCCTTATTAATTCATTTATTTACAGTGATTGAAGATTTGGGGACGAAGAGCGATAGATATTAATAAAATAAGAAACATTAGCGTCTTGGCATTTATTGGCAACGGAGACGTCAACCTCAACTTCTGTCATCGGATCTTGCAAAACACATCATCCACTGTAAATCTTGGAGCGTCATGCCGCTCCTGGAATATATCATGCCGCTGGATGGTTTCTGTCCTATAAATTTAACTATTCCTTCCTGATTCCAACTTCCCTCGACATAGTTTGTCTCTCCATTGTGTGATACCTTGAATCGTACAATCCAAATGGCGAGAATCAACCTGACCAGCAGGACGACTTTCTCCATAATGTGGCTGAGTGTCTTGAACAGAAGGGGGGCATATTGATCATATATCGTCTCACGTCTGATTTAGATTGCTAAATTCGTTACGAGACCACAATCGGGCTTCTCTGCCACTGAGTCTCGTAGAGAGCGATTTAGATCCGGCCAAGGATCAGAGTTCAAAGCCAATAGGAGGCGTATCTATTTACTCAAGTCTAGCTTTTTCTCATCATGATTCATGCTTTCATCTCCGAGATCCTCGATCACTATTCTGAAATACACATGGTGTACTGAAAAGCGAGCGATTCGGTGGGTGGTTCTGATATTAGTGCTGGCCGCCAAACGGATTCTCGAAGAACATTGAGCTAAGTTCATCGCGGCAGAGCTAGAAACTTTATATCTATGCGGACGAAACGGGTGCAACAACCCTAGACATGTCGTTCTTGAAACACGTTCGGCTAACACTGCTTGAGTCCCCTGTCACTGAGCGCAGGATTATCGTTGCTAAACTTCCGGGGTGGATGGACTACCGTAAATTTTCCGTATCTAGTTAAATTCGCGAGCGCAACATACCTTTCAAAGTATAGTGGCGCTTTTTACTAGCGTAAAAGAGTACAAGAGAATCATTCGATCTCTGGCAACACAGGATACTGAGGTCCTCCGAGCCTGTACATGATGTGACGACTAGCTTACAAACATGGTACAGCTGTACCTACATTTGGAAACGCATCTAGGTCTTCATCTGAACAATATCATTCATTATATCCCGACAGGTACGTGTCTTGCTTGTCAAGAGCAGGTTAATATATCCACATGCCGTGTGACTACCTCCATGCTAGCGAGGCAGAGAAGGCCTCGCCTAGGGGAGCACGGTCGTCGAGTAGGAGGAACACGTAATTAGTTGCTTCCGTACAGATACTGCTGAAAAATACGCTAACGCAGCGTATTAACTTCAAACCACTGCCAGAGAGCGAAAGGGGGAAATGCCGAGAGGATCCATCAACGCTAGATTTCGGAAAGAGAAAATGGAAAATTGGCCTGAAATGTTTTGCCCCTGGACTCGGGAGGCTCACAATCACCTGGATCCTCCGGATTGAAAGAGAGGTTTACTACTTTGCTTGGATATTACCAACCTGAGAGAAGAAATCCACCATATTCAACGATGCAAATGCTGGTTTGTCTCAAAGGGAGGCTACACCAGCCAAGGACACGGCTGTAATAGTAAGCAACCCTCTATTCAGTTTGAAAAAGACAGTGGTCACTTAATCTGGCCAGACCGTGACATTTACGTTACTGATTGGCCGCGTAAAAGCGACACAATGACTCGGTTATTTCCGAGGAACAAAGTCGCACCGGCCCCCCGGATATAGATCACATGCCCCTTAACTAGGGTTTGGTAGGGTTGGCAGCGATGAGGATTAGAGCAATGGAAGGTCGAGGGTCTCCAGAGCCTCAAGCATAGTTTCCGATGATCTGATGCCTGGACCAGAAGGGGAGTCGCCTACGGAAGAGTTGGGTGCTCAACCATCTGCTCAACCATCTGTCAAGATACCAGACGACAACAATGACTTCGTGCCTCGTATGGATGAAAAGACAGTGGGCCTATCGGGCTTGCTACCGAGACATTGTTTGAATGACGACGTAATATATATTGTCAGGCTGAGCTCCCTGCCAAAGCCGACACGCCTTGTATGGTAGAAACCATTGCCATTGCACCCGGAACACTAGTGCCCAGAGGCCACCTACACCATGCGTCCAGCTCATCCCAGTGCCTGTTTGCCTTTACATCTCGGCAGAGAGCAACACTGGATGCTCATCCTCTTATAGCTGGAGAACTGCGTCGCCAAAACCTACGATCCGCTGCGTCGAAGTCAGAATATCGATCAAATGAAGATACTAGCCAGGAGACTTATCGTGGCCGTCAGCCACAATTGGGTTGATGAGGGGTGGGTAGCCCAAGAACTTGAAGTAAGTTTTAACGAGGCACGTCTACTTGTAATACGTCCATTAGCTTACATGTCAAAAAATTCACAGCAGACCGGCGGCACTGACTGTAGAGTGTATGTTCTTGTGGCAGCGATCTATCAGGCGTGGGTGGATGAAGGCTTGTTCAATTTATTCATCTTGAAACTTATACGAGACCTTCCTAGTAGCCAGGACAGACGATACTAAGCTTTATTTTGAATTACTAAGATGCACACAGGAGTGGAACTGTATCTATGTTGTGTTATTATTAGTGTTGTAGGTCGAAGTCAAAATTAGTTCTGTCACTTTGTCTGGATAATCAAATTCACGATGTTGTAAGTGAATACACTTTCCACTGATAAGGAGAACTGATTCTATTGATAGGTACCTAGATCAATAGAACTCAAGTGTATGCTATTGTTGTTCACCTCACTATGCTTCTTGATTGAATACTCCTATGCACCGTATACTAGTAGAATTGCTCAGTGCCTTAGTAGGGCCCAATCCCAAGCCCGTCTCCTCGTTGCACATAATTTGTACTTCTTCCTCTTTTCTCTTCAATCACACGCACTCACTTTCCCAACCAATCCAATCACAAACCAACACATAACAACCACCACCACAACCACGCCTCTGACCCCTGAAACCATTGCGGACCACCTCAGCGCCCTGGCGGCCCGGTCCCGCAAGCGAAAAAACACCTACGCCATCCAACGGGGTCTAGATGCGTGTGCCGACCGCCTGTTGGCACATGCGGCAGACAAAACCTCCTCCACGAAGCGGCGGCGCATAATGCCAAGCGAACGGCACAAGGTGGCGTGGAAGATGTGGAGGGCGAGCGGGCTCGCAGAGTTGGGGACAAGAGAGCGGGAGAAAGCGAGGGAGTGGTGGATTGAGGCGCGGGGGATGAGGGAGCGGTTGATGACGGGGAGGATGGGGAGGATGCACGCGCCGGTTCTAGTGCCGAAGAAGAAAGGGTAAGTTTGCTTGTTCCCTAAGTCATCCTCACTCGATTCAGTGCTGATATTGGTTTAGGATTCGCAGGACTGTCGCGTTAGCGGCCTGGGGGAGACGCCGTGAGTTCTGGCGGAGTAAGGATGACGCTGTACCGGAGAGGTGGGTGGCGCGTCTCGTTATTCCCGAGAGAGAACGTGGACTGCGGCCGAGGAGGCGGTTTAGGGTGGAGGGATGCCGGGAGCACGGGGGGGTGAAGGACTGGTGTCCTTTGAAGGTGGAATTGGGGCGGGCGGCAGTAGTGGGGGAAGGGAGTGAGGACGAGGAGGTGGAGGAGAAGGAAAAGGAGTGGCGGGAGGGGGAGGATGAGGATGAGGATGAAGTTGAAGACGAGGAGGATGAGGATGATGAGGATGATGATGAGGAGAACGAGGAAGACGGCATCCCCTCCGGGTTGCCAGAATGGTGACGAACGCTCTTGCAGTGAGATCCCCTGGTGGGAGTAATGGCCGATATTGTACCAAAATCAAAAATGAGGGTATCGTAGGCACTTTCACCACGTCAACTCGCTGCGTGATCATCTTGAGCCACATAGCAGTCATTAGCTTCTTCCTGTTTTCCTGGATAATGGATGCTTCGGGGTTATAGGATAGGATGCACAGCTTTACCACGTTGTATCTTGAACTTTTCGTGTTCGCACTCCCAAGGGGTGGGAATGTTCCCCTGAAGTTCGTTTAGTGTTCTGAACCGACGATCATCCGGCGACAACACTCTCGATTTAGAAAGCCATTCATATGGACTGGACCGCCTTGCCCTTCCTGAAACGAAGGGAAGCTGTAGGGGACTACCATCCATAGTCTCTGTGGTATTCAAAAGCCGAGGAGAAGTTGTCCAGGACTAAGAAAGATCAATTCTTCACTTCGGCAAAAAGGAGGCGGATTTGAATGAAAGAATGGCCTCGAAATAGAGCTAAAGGGGAGGAGATATCATTTGGCAGTCGTATGAATATGAATATGGGACCAAACGGGCCAACGAACCTGATCAGAACGGACACACTCCACTGCCAATGCCTCAACACTCATAACTTGATATTGTAACCAACCAACAATCCTCATGCCTTAATACATTCATCTCGTTCCGATCGTGTCCCCGAGCACCACTCCCACCTTACTTCCCACCAAACCACCCGCCAAGCCAACTCTTACTCTTCGACGCCCCCTCCTCCACCTTGTGATCGAACTTATCCACCGCACCCATCAATTTCGTCTCCGATTCCCTCCGTGCCGTATTGATCTTATTCTCCGCGCCTTGTCGGTAGTCCTCTAGCTTATGGTCCACCTTGCTTGTCTGATCTCGCGCGTTGGCGACGACCTGGTCGAATTGCTTACCGGCCTCCGTACCATATTTCTTGGCGGCGGTCTTCGCCTCTTTTTCGGCTCCGGGGAGGTGGGATTTTACGTTGGCCGATAGACGGGCTGCATCATCTATTTCGAGGGTTAGCATGCTTGGGCGGGGGATCAGACGGTAGGGCCAGGTGGGACGGAAGCGGGGAACGTACGTTCGAATTCCTTCTCTGCGACTTTTGGGCTTCCACCGGCTTTGTAAAAGTAATATGCGGCACCACCAGCGGCAGCGGCACCACCGAATTTAAGGATTCGTCCGGACATTGTGTGGGATGGGGAAAAGGTTAGGATCAGGAGATTGGAGGTGGTATGTCTGCTCGGTGCCGCAAAGAGCTACCAATAGTAGTCAGTTAGATTAGATGATACTGGAGGTATTGGACAGGAACGAAATACCTTGTTGATGAGTATATATTGGATGAGGTACGTATAGATTCAAGATAGCTCAGGATAGAGGAGAGAAAGGGGAATAATAATAAGGGAGACGAAAGCAGGTGATGATACGAGACACCAGGATGAGGAATGACGTCGCATTCCGTCTCCCGAATCGACTAGAATGCCAAGATTCGGGGAGGGCAAGCGCCAGCCACACGCGACAAGGGTTGGGGTCGCAACTGCCGTCTTCGTCATTGCTCAATTCTGCTGCACGTGAAAGGTTACGTGCAGTGCATTCCTCACGTGTTCCTGTGCCAACCACGATGTCGTCATCCCTAACATCTGAATTCAACAACTGGAAACCATCCAGGAATCGAATAACGGTGGGTACTGGTTATCAGAATACCGGTATGGGATATTACTAGACGAATGCGACATCATCGTTACTTCAATTGCTCTAGAACTTCTTGGAACAAATCTTGAATATGCCATGATCGTTGAATCAACCATGGACGGTCAGCAAGAGGACACCAGTTCTACCTTATTCGTCATGACTAAACCATTACTGGCACATAACCATTCCCTGCTTCCCACGCCCGACAGTTTGCGAACCATTCAAGTCAACTAGGCTCGAGATGAGCCTCTAGTGGACCCTTGCATCCAGACGGCATCCGTTGTCCCGAGTCGTATCCAACATGTCCACCCCTTCAACGCCCATAACTCCCATCCATACCCACGCCCGCATCCCCTCTCGGGAGTCGAATATTTCTGAAGGCATCGCCGAACCAACCCACCGAATCTTCCTTGTTGATCGTACTCGGTCACGACTTTCCAATGACCCGCGACCTACAGCAGCTACTCAAATATCAGATGGACCGCCAAGCAACCCTACAAGAATCTCGATTACGACCGCCTCGCCTCCTGGATCACCGTCGTTAAAACCCTCGGGGCTTCGCGAAGAAGTAGAACTGGATAGTTGCGATGGCAAGAGCCCCAGCATCGCCGCAACCCGGACACGGACACACGGCACTTTACGAGCTGGGATCGCGAAGAGGAAGTGGCGGAAATGGCAGGCATCCAAACTAGGAATCGACCTCGAGGATTCAGATCTTTCCGATGAAGAGTCGGAACAGCCGGGCGAATTTACGGAGAGGCCTACCCCTCGGAGCGATGGTGGGCAGGATGCAGAGACGGCTCGGAAACGGCGACAGGTGACGAGCATGGCGGCAATTGCGCCGGAAAGTCGGACGAGAATGCGGTTACGGCTGGATATCGAAGGGGCGAGATCATATACGCTGCACACAAAGAAAGGGAAGAAAGGAGACGTCGTCTATGATGTCTTACTCGAGCACCAACGCGGCGCATTCATATTGGGCCTCCCCCTATTTAGCTCAAAGAGCTTGCTGAACCTTGATACACCCGCATGGGTGCATGGAAGATCAGGTCTCCCATCTCTCGTCGACATCACGAACGCCGTCCCGCCTCCTGGCTGGCGGTGGGACTGGGATCGCTGGTATGTCGACATGGGGGGCAGAGGAGACGCCGCCGCTAGCAACGTGGAAGCCGGCTGGGCTGGTGATGTGGATGAGGAAGGGTGGGAGTACTCCGGCGGATTTGGTATGTCTTTGGGGTACTGGAGGCGAAAGACAGGTAACACAGTCACGACAAGGAAACCGAGCGGGAATCTTTCAGGAGAAGGCCCCAGTCCCGCTCAGGGCGATGAAGGAACCGTGGACGTCACCGACCATGGTCTTGGTGGGCCGATCAAAGGCCGTAAGTTCCGTAGTAAATGGCATGGCACCCATCCATTCTGGAACTCCTTCGTCCGACGCCGCCACTGGGTCCGCAAACGAGTCCGCATCCCCGGCTTCGCCCGCACCGGGAAAGAGAATGCATCCCACCATCCCCACAAGCTCACAAGCGACTACTTCACCATTCACCCCGCCGGTCCCAATGCCGTCGACTCCGGCCCCGAAAGCCTCTTCAGCGAAAGCTCCAGCACCCTTGCACCCACCGGCGCTATCAGCCGCTGGCAACACCTCGTCGCCGACCCCGACCCCTCCGCGTCCCCCACCGACGCAATCGAGAACATCGGATCCCTCCTGCGCGCCCTCCGCTTCGCGTCCATCGACCGCGAGAAGATCACCCTTGTCCAGAGCTTCCTCGACCACGGTGGCGAGGAACTGCACTACCTCGCGGAGACGATGCCGGAGATCATGGCGAAGTTCGTGTTCCAGCAGTCGCGGCGACGGTTGCTTGCGCGGCTGCGGGAGCAGATTCGCCAGGCGGAGGAGCATCGGAAGGAACATGAGCGGAGGGGGGAGAGTGAGGAGGAGAGGGAGGCGAGGATGATTGATGATCTGCTGAGGGCGGTGGAGGCGGCGGATTGGGAGTGTGGGAGGTTGCAGTATTGGAGTGATGTGAGGGAGATGGAGCGGCGGGCGGAGGGGGGGCGGGCGAAGGGGAGTGTCGCGTGGGTGACGGATCGGTGGTCGCATGGGTGGCAGGACGAGAGTGCCTCTGAGTTAGGGGAGGGAGGGGCGCAGGAGGAGGAGCCGTCGAGTCAGGTTGGAGTCACTGCTTCTGATAAGGGGAAAGGGAAGGTACGTGAACCGCCCACTCGGCAGCCAACCTGGGCCACTGCAAAGGAGGAGCAGGACGACGACCCGACTTTCATGATCACGGAGCTGGATCGTGCTGGTGAAAGTCCTCCGATGACCGATGTGGGGACGGAGAAGGAGATGGTTGAGGACATATCAGACTTAATTGGCAAGGCTCTTTCGAAAACACCACGGAAACCAGAGGAGGATGACGGGGAGCACGGTTCAGAAGCGCATGCTGCTCAGGGCGGGCAAGAAGAGGTAGAAGGGGAGCATATAGGTGGCAAGGTCCATGACAATTCGGTTGTCAGGGAAGGTGGAAAACATCAGGACATATCTGATCATCCTTCAGAGGAACCGGATAAAGATCCAGAGATGGCATTGGAGGAGACGCAGTCCCATCAACCATGATGTCCGCACCCAGCTCGGGTGCTTTTATCCATAACATAGCGATCGACGTTCTTGTAGTGAGGATACATGTACATTTCTATATTCTAACAGCACTTTGTAACCAGATTGCCATATTTTCCATTCAGCTAGCATGTTCAAGTGATATATTGGATATCATTGAGCCGATGTTACCCTCCGCTATGGTAGGGATTGGCGGTTGATACGAGACGAGACAACTCACCTTCCCCTTGCAGTCTTCCCCCCACCTCCTGTAAGATTTCTGCATACTCCGTAATTACCACTAATCACTATCAAGCTATTGTACCGCCACTGACTTCACCACATCTCCCCGCACTCTCCTCTTTCAATGAAACTCTTTCCCTTCTCTCCATCACGTCTTCCTAGAATCTCCCATTTCCACGTTCCTCGGACCCGCGTCGTCTCATATCGACCCTTCCAACTCCGCCAAAGCACCACCGGCACCCCCGATCCGACGAAAAACTCCGACCGCACCTGGCCGTATCTCTACAAGCCGAAATCAGCAATGGCGCCGCAACTCGACAACTACTTTGCGACGGTGGACAACATGGCAGAGTCGTTCATCGACCGCCTGCGGAAAGCCGTCGCCATCCCCTCCGTGTCGGCCGACGAAGAGCGCCGCGGCGATGTTGTCAAGGTAAATCTCCTAATTGCCACCGCAACGCTCCCCTACGAATGCGCTTCTTTCATCACCGGAGCATGCATAGGAATAGACACTAACCCCTCCCTCAGATGGGCGAATTCCTCGCCACCGAACTCCGCACCCTCGGTGCCGAAGTCGAACTCCGCGAACTCGGCAAGCAGCCGCACAAAGAGCACCTCGACCTCCCCCCCGTCATCCTGGCGCGCTACGGCTCGTCCCCCGACAAGCGCACGATCCTGGTCTACGGGCACTACGACGTGCAGCCGGCGCTGAAGGAGGACGGGTGGGCGACCGACCCGTTCACGCTGACGGTCGATGATAAAGGGCGGATGTACGGGCGGGGCAGCACGGATGACAAGGGGCCGGTGCTGGGGTGGGTGAACGCGATCGAGGCGCATCAGAAGGCGGGGATGGAGTTCCCGGTGAATCTGCTGATGTGCTTCGAGGGTATGGAGGAGTATGGGAGCGAGGGGCTGGATGATCTGATTGTGGAGGAGGCGCCGAAGTTCTTCAAGGATGCGGACGCGGTGTGCATATCGGATAACTACTGGTTGGGCACCGAAAAGCCCTGCTTGACGTATGGGTTGAGAGGGTGCAATTACTACAGCGTCGAGATCAGTGGGCCCGCGCAGGATTTGCATTCCGGTGTGTTCGGCGGCACCGCGCACGAGCCGATGACGGATCTGGTGAAGGTGCTGGGCTCGTTGGTTGATGTCGACGGAAACATCGCGATTCCTGGGATCAGCGACCTGGTCGCGCCGCTGACCGACGAGGAGAAGGCCCTCTACAAAGACATCGCCTTCACCATGGACAACCTGTACGAATCCCTCGGCAGCAAGACGGGGCTCTTCGACAACAAGGAGCGCACCCTCATGGGCCGCTGGCGCTTCCCCTCGCTCTCCGTCCACGGCGTCGAGGGCGCTTTCTCCGCCGGTGGCGCCAAGACCGTCATCCCCGCCAAGGTCACCGGGAAGTTCTCCATCCGCACCGTGCCGAACATGGAGATCGAGGCAGTCGACGCGCTCGTCCTCGCGCACATCAACAAGGTATTCGCCGCGTTGGGCTCCAAGAACACCTGCAAGCCGTACCTGCAGCATGCAGGGAAATGGTGGGTCGCGAGCCCGAGTCACTGGAACTTCACGGCGGCCGGGAAGGCGGTCGAGCATGTGTGGGGGGTCAAGCCGGATTTGACGCGGGAGGGCGGCAGCATCCCGGTGACGTTGACGTTCGAACAGGCAACGGGGAAGAACGTGCTGCTGTTGCCGATGGGGAGTAGCACGGATGCGGCGCACAGTGTAAACGAGAAGTTGGACCGGAAGAATTACGTGGAGGGGATCAAGTTGCTGGGAGCGTATTTGCATTACGTCGCGGATGAGCCGATGAGTTAGAGGATGGCATGGTCAGGGGCGCAGGCAAATTCACTTGCGGGTATGGATTACATCGGAACAATGTATTTTGTTAAGTATATTGATATCCCTGCTGAAAGAAACCCAAGCATTCTGAAAAACGTGCATGTCGTTAACTTATTCGTCATTTTCCATCCATATATTGAGGTGAGATTGCAAGGCGATTCACACACATCGCCCATCACTACCCGGCCATCTCCAGATCAGACACCTCACCCCTTTCCCCCGAACGAACCGAATTGTGCGGAGCATGCTCAGAAGCGTAAATCCCGCCCATATATGGCTTCTCCTGAAACGCCGCCGGCCGCTCGATCACCCCCAACGGTCGTTGCGGACGCACCTCGAACCGGGCCAACGACGTGGACAGATTCCGACCCTTGCTCGCTCGCCCGCCGTGGAGCCCCCTCCCTTGTGTCGGGCTTGGCAGAGGCGCGTACGCAGGCGCCAACTGGTGCAGAGGCGGGTGGGGTCGGTGATCGTGGTGGACCGGGTGAGTCAGGCCGTACTCTTGGTTGCGAAGCTGGGTTATAAACGCGATTTCGTCGGCGGACAGGTGGCCGTGTGGCGAAGGGATCGAGGACGGCTGAGATCCTGCGATGGGGCCGGGTTGCCTGTACGGTTGAAGCGGCTCAGGAACGGAGGCGGACAGTGTTGGTGTTGGTGCCTCGGGTAGTCCGATGAGGTTTCCCGCGGGAGAACGGTCATGGAACATGGTCGGGTTATCGGGTGCACCGGGGGAGAACATCGGTCGAGACTGCAGGTGAAGTGGTCCTCTGCCGCACGGGAAGACCGACGTGCCCACCGTCCAGTGGTGCGGCGGAACGAACGTCCCTCGATGAGGCGAGTCGCCAAGATCGAACAGTGGGCCACCTTGAGGCGGGCTGGTGTTTGGAGTGGCCCGGAGAGTATCAGCATCGCAGGAAGATCCCGACGAGCTAAAGCTAGTCTTCCTGGCCCCCTTCTCCGCGTCTTGTCCAGTGCGAGCGGCCCTAGGAGCATTGTGACCAACGACCAAGATGTTTGAAATCGATGGCGCGCGCTGCGCTTTCGCACCCAAAGCATGGGGTCGGGCTTGGGTTCCTTTAGTAGATAATGGACCCCAGCGACTGAGTTGCAGTCCGGATGATCGCACATCCGGCACACTGGATCTCGTCGTCGCCGGACCGGACTTCCCGATTTCGATGACCCGTCCCTTGGGTGTGCCCGGCTCTTTACGGCCGTCGATCTGCTCTAGCGTCGAACTTGACCGGATCTTGGCGGCCGTCTTGTCCACGTACCATTTCGGGACCTTCGGAATGCCGATCTTCGCCAGTGTGTCCTTGTCCGGCATCTCATGTTTGTACAGGCATCCCTGCTGGAGGAAGCTACATCCGCCGGTCTGGATCCAGTAGGTGCAATACTCTTTGCGAGACGGATCGGGCTCTTTGCCGGACGGTGGTAAGGGGCGCTTCGGGATGTAGCCAACGCTGGCGGCGAGCTTGGGGTCGCGTTTGGCGAGGAACTCGGTGATGTTCTGGGAGCGTTAACAGGAAGTTCGTGAAGAAGTCGCGGAAGGTTTACCCTGCACTCATCCTCTGGATCCTTCGGCAGTGTGACAGTGGATTTGTCTCGAGTGCAGTCGTCCTTGACCGGTTGCGTGCTGGCCTTGGGAATCGAAGCTTCAGCGGCCATTCGCTTCGCATTCATCTCTGCATCGGGGGCATTGTATGACTTCTTTGCCGGGAGAACTACCGAGGCTGGAACTCGTAAAGGCTGTCCACCGACGGTAACAGACAGAGTATCCGGTGGATTATGATGATGCCTGTCAAGGAATTTGAACCATTTGAGCTGATCAGCATCGAGTCGCTTGGGAATACCTTCGATGTCTAAGAAATGAGGGAGCTCGTCCACCGGTACCATAGGAACATTGATGCCGTTGCCGCGAGTGATATAATAGACCACCTTCGCAATGTCGAGCTGATTGGTAGAATCCATGACGGTATGGTTTAGGTGTTGCCGGTTTTTGGTCGGTTTAGCTCGTGACAAGAAGGGCGAGAAACGCGTATATATAGCGCTGAAGATCAAAAGTTTTGCTATTCCAGAGACCAACAACTGGACTCATCAAACCGTACGTCCCTCTGGTTTGTCAATCCTCGCTCAATTGCTTCGTGACAACGCCCAGTAACAAAAGTGACGACAAAAGTTTGAAACGGATGCGCTGTTGCTCTTGGATGGTCGCATAATATCGATGTGTGTGGATGTGACATATTTTGTACAAACTCGCTTTTCTCACCGATATTTGTGGGAAGCTTTTGCAATGTACATGCCCGGTTTGACGGCGCGGCGTTTGCATCGCCAGAAGTATCTCTCAGATAATGCTTCAATATGTGAGTGCGGATATGCAGTTGCCCGAAGCAGTTGAGAAAGTTCGATGCGGCGTATCGGATCTTGCCCGGGAAAGTCGCCAATGACGTTGGGATCCAAAGAGAATCAGGTCCTGGAGGGCGATGTTGACCTTTCTCCTAGAATTCTTCACGCAAGTCCAATGTGCTTTAAGCAATTCCGGGTTGAGAGCATCCGGTGCTGCAAGAAGCATCAGTTGCTGGATGCCGGAGCTCTGAAAAGTAATGACTCGGGTATGCGCCTGTTGGTGTGACGAAGTGCTCGGTCAAGCCATGACAAGTCAGCAGAAGCGGTCATTTTCCAACATCCGTACCCGATACTCCTACATCCAAGACCCGAAATCCCGTAGAGGCCAGTGCCGTTCGGTCTTTTCTATGCGCAAGGGACCTATTCTTCGACGAGACGGGATTTGAAATCCCGTCTCTCCAAATCGTGAACTTCTCGAAGACCCAACTGCCATAGAATGCTAAAAACATGGCAAAACCAACGATGGCAACGGTCAAAGATGCGCCAACAATCCAGAAGAGTCTCTGATCTGACTCGATCTCACGAATATCCGCAAAATTCATACCAAAAAAGCTCGTGACAAATGACAAAGGCAGGAAGATGATGGTGACAATCGTGAACACAATAATCGCTTTGCCGTGATCTTCGAGACGGATATTGACCAACTGCACGGTCCGATTGACCAAATTATTGCTGTTCTCGCGGAGGTCGCGGAGATCTCCAAACTCCAAATGAAGGTTTTCGAGGAGTTGAGACAATGGGTCGGTTAGAGTGGAGGAGGAATATTGTCCATAGGTGGCGCGGAATGGATTCATCGGTGGAAATGGCGTGATGGAATTGCATGAGGTCCCTCGACTCCTCATAGAAACATGGTCTGGGTTAAGGAGGTTGTTCTGTTTCCACTCCGATTGTATCGCGGTGATGAGATCGATTTGCTTTTGCATTATATTGATAATGATGTTCAACTCTTCCTGAACGTGGAGGAGGTCCATGACCAGCTTTGTACTTGGGGCACGGTGGAGTCGGTATTGCTGTTTGGGTCAGATATATCACCTAACGGCGTGAGATCTGCTCACCAGTTGCTCAAGGTATCCCGCATATCTGTCAGAAAGACATAAAACCAAGTCGGTCCAAAAACTCCTATGAAGCAGACCTACAGCGGCACCAAGAGTGACCACGACATGGGTGAAGGCATCGTATTCCTGTCGTTGGGTGGAGGTAAAGAACTTGTTACGGATCCCACGAAACGAGATTTCAACAATTCGGGAAGTCAGCTGCATGGGAGGCCATCTCGATTTCCACGTCTGGTTCGTTGAAAAGGTGACAACATGACGTGAATCGATCACGAGGATCCAAAGCTCATCCACGTTCAAAGTTGTGGGGTAATTCCCGTACCACCGACGGATTCGGAGGTCTAGGTTGCGGTTCTTAATCCATGGCTTGTGCTTGGAAAATACCTGATGATGTTCCCGGTCGCTTGTGTCCTCTAAGCGATAGAAATGCTGCAGGATGGAGCGAATAAGATGTGATGATCCACGACTGGACTGATACCCTTCTCTTGGATCGATCTGGAATCGCAGAGCAGGTGATTCTCCCGTGACTCCCCAGTCTAGGAAAGGTACGCTAATCAACATTGGCCCTGACTCCGCAGTTGAAGTCGCATCCTCTTTCAAGTTCTCGTTTAATGGCTGGTAGAAGGGGGCGAAGTACCGCCCATGTTTCGAGAAGCGCTCATTTTGCTGGATGCATACCTCAAGTTGACGAAGGCATTGCAACGGCTTTGATTGATCACCTGTCCAGTCGCTCAGGGCTAGGAGACACTTGGAGGATAATCAGCGCTTTGAAGCAAATGTAAGATAAATATAAGAAAATAGATGCGGAGATACAAGTTGCTGTACCCATGCGGTTCATAAACTGCAATACTAAAAGATGACTGAAAAGCCTTCGACATAGAAATAGAAATAAATCAGACTGAAAGCAACGTACGCCATGCAAGTACTCAGTATACTTGCTCGAAATATGGCTGCTTTGAGTTAGCAAAGCCATGGTCTCGGCATCGAGTTCCTGCTTACATCCAACGAAGCTTTCGCAAGTGCTCTGGATCATCGACAGATTCTTGAACACCTTGGCTACGCAAGCAGTTCATCCACCCATATTCATGTGAAAGCCTCGAGAGCAGCTGTCGCTCTTGAGCATAAGGGGTAAGAGATTCAACGTCCAATGTCTCCGATAGCTGGTCTCGCTTTTGTAAGGCCGGAATCAGGGTGGAAGGAAGCACCTCGTTGATTTCCAGCATCTCCTGCATATTATGACTTCCTCCCTGATTTGAAGGTTCCGTGCGGACATCATTGATCAGAATTTGAGGCGGAGAGATTCGACGCGTCTTCCAATAGCTGTCCGCGTTCCAATCGACCAGATGTTCTTGGGTCGTCATGACACATTCGCGATCCGAAGGATTAACTCCGTAAACATGAGAGTAATGGACTCTGAGAGACAACTACAGAATACAGAATTCGGTCTACTAGGCAACAACAAATCTTTTGAATCTGAGCTTTGGCTGCTCAGCATGGGGATCACAGCCTCTATTCGTATTGAGCGGAGAAAGGAGAGCAAGGGGCGGATGGAGCGGCGGAGTGGAGACTTGGCATCCAATCATTTAGCGTCCGCCACGTGACAGGGGTGCTCCAACGTCGTCGGTTTGACAATCGCAAACGCGATTCACGTCTGTCACGCGCAAGTGAATTGTATCAACACATTAACACAAAGGGATAACTGCATGTGAATTCACATCCACAAATGCAGCAATATCGAAATTATGGCCAGGGTGCTCCACCACCACAGCGCTCCCATCGGCCAGGTGAGTTTACTTCCTTTTCACCCGCCAGTCGCAAAACATCCTTTCCAGCGGAACAGCATCATCGAACACGCCTGATACCATGGATCCCATGGCTCGCCAACGGGCGATGATCGCCGCAAAAATGGAGGCCTTAGCTAGGAACCAATACTTGGAGGCCTATCATAGACATCATCTCCACTCCTTGCAACAGCACTACCCAACGGACAGATCCGCAATCCGCACTCAGGCGCAACAGGACCGGAGCCTTGCTGACTTGCACCATCGTTTTCGTCTTCTAGGAGCTCCTCAAATAAATCCATCCCAACCGCACGCGGGGCAACTACAACACCAAAACCTAAAAGCGGCCGATGATAAGCGCCGCGAGGCAGCATGGAGGCAAAGCCGGAAACCAACCGATCGAAGCCTGCCCGATGGAGTCGAGGACATCGTTATCGGGGACGGCGCGCAACGCTATAGGAGACTGAGGGAGGTGGAGCGCCAGCTGGATGCGATCATGGTGCGCAAGAGGTTGGAGATGAATGAAGTGCCCCATAATGCCAAACGCTATCGAACGATGCGCATTTGGGTCTCCAATACCGCCGAGAATCAACCCTGGCAGGACACCGCGATGCAGGCCGACGCGTTCGATTTTAGCAGTGAAAATCAAGGAACGTATCGTGTCAAGATCGAAGGGAAGTTACTCGACGAGGAAGACGCATTCGAAAGGGGGGATGAGGAGGCCACGAACGACGAGAAGGATCCCGATGCCATGGATCAAGACACCGCGGCAAAGGCCTCCAAACCAAGAGCCCTACCACCTCCTTCTACTAAGACGAAGCTCTCCCATTTCTTCCGACAGATCGTCATCGAGTTCGACCGGTCACGATCCCTAAGCAACCCAGACAGCTTCGCCCAGATTGAATGGAAACGTCCCGAGATTCCTCGAGGGAGCGCACCGACGCCCGAGATGGGTCAGGCGGCCAACTTCGACTTCCTCGACTTCGAAAGGAAAGGCGATGAGAATGCCAACATCATCATCAAGCTGTCGCGGGACGAGTTTCCGGAACGATTCCGTCTCAGTGATAAACTTGCTCGTCTATTAGATACCGACGAAGCAGATCGTGGGGAGGTGATGATGGGCTTGTGGCAGTATGTGAAAGCCATGAAGTTGCCCGAAGATGAAGAATCGCGTAGAATCCGCTGCGATGCCGCACTGCAGTCGGTGGGTGACCTATCCAACAAGAATCCCCTTCCCCATGTGCTGACGATATGACAGATTTTCAATACCGAAACTCTTTTCTTCCCCCACCTCGCCGACACCCTCCAAAAACACCTCAAGCCCCTCCCCCCCATCGAACTCCGCTACACCATCCGCGTCGATGCCGCCTACATCAACCAAAGCAGCCCGACCACCCCTCCCCCCGACGCAACCCCCTCCTCCACCCCCCAACCCGCCACCTACGGCAAATACACTGTCTACGACATCCCCGTCCCGATGCCCTCCGTCATGCGAAACGCCCCGCCTGTCCATAGCATCCCGACGCTCCAGCAGCTTGCCGCCCTCGACGACGCGCTGGCGGCCAACGTCCGCGCCATCAACGAGTCGCGCCTCAAGCACGCCTTCTTCGACGCCATGGCCGCCGATCCGGTCGGGTTCGTCCGCCGCTGGATCAGCAGCCAGACGCGGGATCTGGAGATTTTGATGGGCGAGTTGCCTGGGTTTGGGGAGGAGGGGCGCGGGGAAGAGTGGAGAAGGGGGGGGGAGACGGGGGTGTGGGGGAGTCGAGAGGCGAGGGAGGGGGTGGGGTTGTGGGTGGCGAGGAGAGGGGGCGTTCATTGATGGAAGGGGTTCTTTTGGGGCGGCCAGACGGTGTCATGGTGGCGTATCGGTTCGTCGATTTGCAATACTGTATGCTATGCGTTCATAATGGTTCGAAATCCCTCGTGAAAGACAGGTCTCAGCCGGGAAGATGAACCGGCGTTCATCCCAAAAATCAGCGGTGGAGTCAGGATTCGTCGGCGAAGAAGATTATATTACGGACGTGGATTCTCTATAGAGCCTCGAGTCATAAATGCAACTATGTAAAGATGAAGATCGGTGAGGTTATCGCTGTCATCCAATTAAGCCCGTATCCCAACCACGAGCAAAGTCAAATCGTGAAGTATAGGTGGTTAAAAAAACAACGATGCGCAATCCCCGAACCCGCGGAACCCGCCCTCGAACGATGGATCCGTATGATCGCTCAATCTGACATCGGATATGCAGCCTCATTCCAACCGGCCCTGATGACGCTAGAAAGCAAAAAACAACTCGGAAAACAAAACTCTATGCGAGCGCACCCAACCGTCCACGCACGACCACATGATGAGCAAATGAGGGGGGGCCGAGCAGCCGAGAAAACCCATGCCACGTTGCCAGGTGGAAACCCAAAGGAATGATAATATGCTCCAATATTCATATCAAAAAGGAAAGGTGGGATTACAAGGGTTTATTGGGGAAGGGAGGTGTGTGAAGAAAACATGGCCAGTGCCTGTCAATAAAGCAGGCGGAGTATTAGCTGTGAAGGTATATGGTGGGGGGTACGAGAGCGCCGTCATCAGAACACGGCAGCCAGACCGTTCTTCGAATGCCGGCGACTAAACCGCTTCATCCCCCTCCTCTCTTTCCCCTCCCGTTCCATCTCGACATGGTCGCGACTCGACGGGATATTCACGCCGTCCAGCTCGCCGCCGTGGCCGGTGACGTTCCCCGAGGCGTTGGCGCCGCCACCGCCGAGGGTGCTGGTGGGGCTGCTGATGGTCGAGCTGAGGTCGATGGTGGAGTCTTCGTAGGAGGCAGAGTAGGAGGCGTGGTGGGAGAGGGCGAGGTCCTTGGCGCGGGAGAGGGTGTCGAGCCATTCTTGGGTGGCGTAGATGGAGGAGGTGGGGTCGGAGGGGTGGAGTTTGGGGTCTTCGAAGGCAAAGTGCTTGTCCCTCTGTGGATGATGTTAGCGGGGAGAAGAAGAAATTCCACTAGAAGACAGCATACCGTGTCGATAGCCCAGCACGTCAGGCCCTTGGGGTCCTGGTAACTTCTCCATGTCGTGCCGGGTCCCAGCAAATTGATCTCCAATTTGGCCTTCTTTTCATCTCCTCCTGCCGCGGCCATGACAATGCGCGCGGTGCTGGTGATCATGACCAGTCTTTGTCGACGCTTTGTCGTGCTCCCGCCGAAGAATCGAGAGAATTTCTTTGGCGGTTCCGAGGGTTCGCCTCCCGGTGGCACGAATGGCGAGATGGTGACGACCAGGTTCCCGAGCTTGAGGATTCGCTCGTTCGCCCGCGTTAGGACAGGGGACCACTCGATGTCGAGTTGGCTGGGTGGTGGCAATTCCGTGATCAGGCGAGCTTGTTGCTGGCGCTGCGTCGTGGAAATCGGAGCCGATGTGGGACCTGCGAGTGTAAGCGATAGAAAGAACGCAGAGGCATACGACTTACCATTCAACCGGATGGGCTCCGTTATCGGCGTATATGCCTTTATTCGGGGCGCCCGTTGCTTCCAGAGTCCCGTTCCCCATGTGACGCCCTCGAAAAACTGATGATTCTTGATATGCTCAATTGGCAACCTCTTCGCGGGGTCCAACACCAGAAGCCGCTCGACAAGATCGCGAGCCACAACTGGAAACTCCCTCGGGAACTGATAGTCCAACCCCACAATCTTCTGGAATGTTTGGTATTCGTTCGCGGCTTTGAAAGGTGGCCTCCCGGCAAGCAACTGGTAGATGATACAGCCAAATGCCCATAAGTCGCTCGCTTTGCAGGCGTTCTTGTCTGTCAGCAGCTCTGGGCTCACATACTCCGCAGTCCCGACGAAAGACATGGCCCGATCCACCTCTGCGCCATCGAGAGGATCGCCAGCGAACGAGCCGCTACCGTTCTGCTGGGGTCTGGTATCAAGGATTTTGGCGGTTCCGAAATCGGTGATTTTGACGTGCATCTGCGTGTCGAGAAGGACATTCTCCGGCTTCAAATCTCGGTGGATGACGCCTTTCGAATGCATATACGCGATGGAATCCAGAATCTGGGCGCCATAGAATCTTGTGCATTCCTCGTCGAATGAACCCAGCTTTTTTAAAACCCCAAGAAGTTCACCATTGCTCGCTAGGTCTAGCACGAAGTATAACGAGCGTTCGTCCTGAAATGTGTAGTATAATCGAACGATCCCAGGGTGTTCCGTCAAGCGATTCAGTGTGTCCTTCTCGATGTTCACGTACTTGACTTTCTTCTCTTTAATGATATGTCGCTTGTCGAGCACTTTAATGGCATACTCGCGGAGGGTTTGACGATCGGTTGCTGCCAGAACTGTGCTGTAAGATCCCTCCCCTAGTGTTCGCCCAAAGTTGAAGTCTTTAACCCCCTTCTTCAGCACCTTGGAGATAGGTCTTCCGTTGGCATCGGTCTCGGTTCGGACTCGGACGGCAGCCCCCTTTTCTTTCCATTCGTCACTACTCGCGAGAGGGCCACCCTCCACATATGACGAGGAGGTGTAAGGTATCGACCCGGGGACTCCACTCTGGGGACCGCGTTTGGAGTTCCTTCGCGGAGGTAACGGTCCGTTCCCCGGGGTCAATTGTTGTGAGTGCCGATATGTTCGATCCGTCCGGCTCGATTCTCGTGACGGCACAGACCCAGGCATTTGAGATGTTCCGCGTCCGGAATTTGATGCGCTCGATGGTGTGACGGGGACAAAACCGTCGTCCCGATATCGGTATGCGCTTCGATTTGATGTGGAGGAGCTTGATGAAGGATTGGGATGGCTGTACATTGCTGAAATGGGCCGTTTGGAGGAGGATTGTGAGGCGTATGAGGAAGGTTGCGGGAAGGGCTGGGAGGATTGTTGCATAGGAGGCATTGACTGCCGATGGTCACGGGGAGGAATGTATTCGGCTCGGGAGCTCTCGGCCGTGCTCGTTGAATACGTACTCGGGTCGAAGTCGAGGGAACCGGAATGTATCGCCTGCGATGGAAGTTGTTCGAGCTGCGGCGCCGGCTTGGCGTCGGTGACGGTACTGGATGACGAGTGCGAAGAGGGCGGAGGCGGTTGTAGAGATTCGGCGATATTCGACGGTAGAGCGGAGGGAGGTGGTGAGGGGGAGTGGGAGGCATCTTCATCGGGATTGGCGATACGTAGCCCGCCCAGGGTCTGGGACAGGCTTATATCGCCGTTCATCATCGGGGTAGCGAGGGTTCACTGTCGAGTGAAGACTCCGAACAAGGGACTCGAGCGAACGACCATATATTAGGATTGCCGATGCAGATGCTATCCGATCGACTTCGAGGGCAATGGAAACGATGTCAGCGGCTGCACTGAGCGGAGGGTATGGTGTATGGCCTCGGATGGTGGTTATTGAGGACGGAGGGGCGAGGTGTGAGAGTCATAACATTCGGCAGGCGTAGAGGGCCAAAGGCAATTGAAATGTTCAATTATTCATTCAACTAACGGAGCCTTGCAAACAAATGCGCGCTGGGTACTGTGATCGAATCCCAGCCGAATGTCGAGGGAGTGTTAGCCACAGTGATGTTGTATCGATGTTGTACGGGAATGACTGATTGGATATCCGATGCTTGATGCCTTGACACCTAAGGCCGTAAAACTGGATTACTAGTATATATCATGTGATAAAGTTTCACGTGATATTGAATGACTAAGCCAAGTATTTGCTCCTCCAGCCTCGACTCAACGACCTCATTCCGGGAATCAAACACAGTGAAAACATCATAGGTCGTAGGTACACCTGCGTGTCCATCTTTTGCAGTAGCATATTAAGTAGTGATATTGTATGCGATGAATCCACCTAATCGCGTGATAGATAAGCGCATGATACTGCTGTCCATCGCGAACAGGACCGGAATCCGGTTGTTACTACCCTCAAATTAATGGCTCCTTGAGCAGCATCAGCAATGCAGTGGCCGTCAAGACGGTACCTAGGCAAGGGCCATACAGCACAATGGCTGGAGTACAGGTACAGGTATCTTTGGATATACAGTATAACACTTTCACGATGTTCCAACTTCAGTTGGATAAAGTGTCTCTCGTCGGCTTGTTGCAGTTTCGATTGTTCGTGTCGTGTGTCTCAACTTTCGCCGCTTTGAAAGGCTGCTTATCACAATCATTTCCGACAAGTCAAGTAAACCGGCAACATGTTAAGATGCAGTCCATCCGAGATCACCTTGACAATCGCAGATGTCAACCTCACTCGACAGCGTATGATGGCGCACCAGACTCGTCCCGGAACGTCTCCCAACTCCTCCGAGCGACTTGAAGAAGAGCTGAGAATATGGCGTCGAAATGGCATCGTTGGTAGTGGGAGGGACCCGGGCTTTGTCCAACCGCGACATGCTTTACAGGTCGACGGGGAGGCACCGTCTTTTCCACCATTGCCGACCTTGCTTGACTTCGACCCTGCAGAATCCTCTCAAGGCGAGGGAGCTCATTCGGAGTCACGGCGGACTAGAAGTTCTGGCTCGCACAGCGAGAGCTATTTAGAAGCGTCGGATATTTCTCCCGGTGCTCAAACCGCTCGTCCCATTACAGACTCTTCTGAGCAGGCAACGGACGTCCTCAGGGAATGCGTGGATCTACTGTCTGCAAGCATATCCACACAGCTGTCCCTGAATGCTGTGGAGGAAAGTGTTAGGGTGACTGCAGCGAATGTCCCCTCGTTCTCAATAGCCACCTCCGGAAACGAGCTTCCACCAATGGCGGCAGGATTGCCTGCGTCGACCCGTCCTGACAAGGCTAATTATGTTCGCCGGGGGAACCAGATATCTTTCAGTTACGTGACTGAAGAGGATAACAATTGCGACGCGGTCTTTCAGTCCCTCAACCCGATCACCGGAACTCCTTCATTGGAGATCGGTGTAGACCGCCCGTCGTCGAGCCGGTCGTCAGTGGAAGCCGTCTACCATTCTTTTGATCAAAGTCCATCAGAAAGCATCGTGGACCTCTCGGACAACAACGGAGAAGCCCGATCGCCCAAGAGCTCGAACGCAAAATGCTCCACCTTGGAGCCACCTGAACAAGATGTCCACTCTGGATTATCGAGTGCTCCATTGTCCACGTCGTTACAGATAGGACGTGGGCCATCGCCCGGACCGAACAGCACGGAACTCCGGAAACTTCACTTGGAACCAGGGCAACCGTCGCAGCCTTTCCTTGCGGCCAACCGACCTCATGTGCTCGATCTTACCAGCCCAACCTGGTCTAGTAGAGCACACCTGACGGTCGAACGACCTGCTGATGCTATACCACGAAGCAATCCTAGCGCCTCTAGAGAGATTTCAGAGCAATATCCTTCTACCAGCCGCCCTTTACGACATCCTACTTCTCCGCTGGTCATACCAGCATCTTCGCGAAGGCTTTCTCAAACACACGCATCCCCTCCAAATGCCTCGACATCGACAACAGTCCTTCACACGCCGCAAAACTCTACCCCGCGCACTCCATCGGCCACTAGAGCAATCAACGTTACCGAACCCCATCTAGAAGCTCCACCACGCCGACGCACGCGACGCCATCGAACCCAGAGTGAGCGATATCACCAGTCAAACCACGATCCCAGACGAAGCGCGGCGACTTCAGCCCACATTCACCCCGAGGCGGCAATTCCTCCAATACCGCCATGGCCCCGTCGACATTATTTTATCCCCGACCGTCCATCCGACTCTCAGGCGGGAGCATACCTGCTACCCCCGTCCCTACAAATTGGCGTCCCAATCATCCCTGCGCGGAGACCGATGCGACGCAATCAGGAGAACGTGTCCGAAGTCGACGACCAAGCGTTGCGAGAGGAAGCGAGGTCTGTAGCGGCGAGGAACGAGGGCGGGGCGGTCTTGAATGTTACTCCTCCACACGAGGGACGGTTGGAGGGCGAGTTTCGGAGGAGGTTCCAGGGTGCGTAGCGGAGTTTGGGGTTGCGTGGTTCTCGATTATTGGGGTCACATTAGTTGAGCTTTGGATATGATTATGCCGGGTGGAATATCTTGCAAAGTCATGGAATCATTGACATCGCTAAATATTCTGTTCCATCTCAGATTTCTGAGCATTCTTGATTTATTTTCCCGGTGGATTAGAGTAAGTGATCCAGTGATCTTGCCCGATGCACGCTCTTCTCCCCGCCGGGTCGATGCGGTGATCTGCATCGCATAAGTTAATTAGCCGATGCTACACCACCTCATCTTTTCCACTTCCGGCCACATCCTACGCACCTCCCATCCGCTTTGCCATCGACCCTGAGTTTTCAATTGGTACGACCCGTTCGGGTGACACGGGACGTGTGCGGGGAAATATGTATTGGGTTGAGGAGAACCTGGAGTGCGTCCATATTTCCTCATCTACCGTCGCTATTACCACCGATGCACGACTCCGAAACTGGGGTTTCTTCCACCCGAGATTTGATTGCACAGTGACTGCGGACACTGGCATTAGACACAACATGGGTCAGCTGCTATAGTAACATCAAACCGTCCTTTGGCAGGGCCTACGATGTTGAAGAGGCTAAATGGTCCTTATTATGTGGACTTTAAGAATTCGTCAGTCGCTCCCGAAGACCTCGTAGTTTCCTTTCCTTCGAGCACTGGTTTCCAAAGTTGGTAATTGTATAAAGGACGGGTTTTTAAATCCTTCTAGTATACCTACAGGCTTGGGACTATTTCGAGTCCTTCTCGCATTCAAGTGGCGGAGAAATTCCACTCGTTCTGTTGAACCTCTTCGCCCACAGCAACATTGAGAGGATGTCGCCGCGCGGATTTTCAGTCCTAGGGGCTCTACTTGCTATTGCTCAACTCACAGCTGGATTCGATGCATCACGGCGACAGTCTCCTAACAGCCACCCCGGAGAGTTCCGACCCGATGAAGATGGGAAATACACCATCGGAGACCTAGGAATCACGGCGCAATTCATCCCCTACGGAGCCAGCATCACCAACCTGTTTGTTAAGGACAGGCATGGCGTCGAAAGAGATATTGTACTGGGATACGACAATGCGAGTTACTATCCCATCGACGAGTCGCATCCTCACCTTGGTGGCGTCCCTGGGCGGTACGCAAACCGTATCAAGAATGGAACATATGATATTGATGGGGTCACATATCATACCGACCTGAACGACAATGATGGTCTCAACACCCTGCATGGCGGCAGGAATGGTTGGGATTATCGAAACTTCACCGTCGTTGCCCACTCGTCCGACCGAATCGTCTTTCGACTCATAGATGAAGACTGCTCTATGGGCTTCCCAGGGCGCGTGGAAGCAGAAATCGAGTACTCGGTCTCGGCCTTCACCTGGCATATCAAAATGTGGGCGAAGAATTTCACGGAAAAGACACCGATCATGCTTACCTCCCACACGTACTGGAATCTGGACGGCTTTCAGAATCCTGACACGCCGCAAGCGCTCGGCCACAAGCTCTGGACGCCGCGCTCGAAATCCAGAGTAGCGACAGACGGAATTTTGATACCAAACGGTGACATCCTGCCGAGCCAAGAAGGTTCTGTCAACGACTTCTGGAGCAAACCGAAGCCACTTGGCGCGTCGTTTGGTGACTCCGAGATTGAAGGGAACTGCGGGACCGATTGTCGCGGTTATGATACCTGCTACATTGTCACGCAAGAGAACGACCCTCGGGATCGGCGGCCCCTACCCCTTGCGCGGCTGGAGAGCGAGTCGTCAGGGATCGTTGTGGATATTTTTTCCGAACAGCACGCACTTCAGATGTATAGCTGCAACAATCAAGATGGTGAGGAATCAATGTCTACCGTGTTGAACATGAAGATGTGAACAGATTGACTGACTCCCACAGGTACTATGCCCCTGAAGAAAACTCAAGGCTTCTTTGATGACCCTACTCAACCTCGAACAGTACAGCAGTACGGCTGCGTAGTACTGGAAGCCCAAGACTGGATCGATGGGATCAATCACCCGGAATGGGAACGAGAGAAGAGACAGATCTTTGGACCGGGAGATGAGTATTTTCTGGAGATATCGCATACGTTTAGTCTCAGCCCGGATCAATGAGTGTTTCGATGGGTTGCACTTATGCAAATGAAGATCTAAACACAATGCAAAGTGATGGCACTGGAATAGTATATGTTCATGCTTCGCCGTTTGTCGATTCAGTTGTCATTTGATAGAATTACCATTCACCATATTATGACTACAGAAGGATAAGATACCCTGGCATAATGAGCATCGACTAGCATCTTAATTTGTTCTAATAACTATGCAGACACTCCTCGTTGCTGAACCCGCTCAGTCGACAACATTTCCACACGTATTCAATGACAGCACCGATTGTTTTGCCTTTTCGATTCATGTTTAGTGTTGGATGAATTCAGGCGGCCACTTCGTCCCATCTGATGTATTCACGTACAATCACGTAACACATTATCATTTAGGACTTTTGCTCCTTATCACCATTCTAGTTCAATCATGCAAGGATCCACACCCCCGACTGTACGTTCGCATACTCCTCCCTCTATTAGTGGCATAGATGTGTCCGAGCTACTCTTCGCACTCCCCTCGAGCACTGAAGGAGTCTCTCATGCCATCCGCGTCCGCCTCCCTGGGAGACAACCAACACCAGACGAGGCAGTGGAAGAAGGTCCACGCACACCACAGCAAGACGGCCCCACTCCTTTCACCTGGGCTGTCTCCAGGAAAGACTCAAAAGCGAAGATGGAATATAAATCCCACAAGATGAAGTCGAGGGGCAAATTGAGCGAGACCAGCTTTTTGCTTCAGCAGGTGTTGGGTGAACGGCCGGAGCCCCCAGCACCGCTCGTCGGTCCGCCTGTGCCGGAGGAATGGGAAGAGGAGTGTGAGTGATTGATGATAGGACTGATCAAATAGCATAAAACTAATATGAACCAGTGGAAGCCGCGGCAGCTGCGGACGCTGCTCGCCTACAGACCGCGAGAGCCGAGTTGGAACTCGCTGGTCAAGGTGGCTCTATCGATGACGAACCGGCACAATATGAATCAAATGATGATAGAGAGTCAGAAGACTACGAGGATAGCGACTCGGAATCGGAATCGTGGGTTGAGATGACTGAGCAAATCGAGCGCAATGGCATCGCCTTTTTGACCCCTCAACAACCCATCGATATGCTCGCCGATGTCAGTGTGGAGTGGGAAATGACATCCATCAGCGATTCAAATAACCAAACCTCCTCTTTCGACACCGATTTCAGCTCCTTCGTCCCAGAGGCTGATTCTTCCTGGGACATCCCTTGTACGCGATTGCTCCACAAACGAGAATCGAGCTCCGCTGGAGCGGATTCCGAGGCTCGCAAAAAACACAAACAAGATACCTCATCTTCCGATAATAGCACTTTCAACGTCCCTCCCCGCCGTCAGGCATCCTTTGGGGCGACATTTAGCTTCCTGCGAAACCAAGTGCCGAAGGAAGCCAGCCCTCGAGCGACTGAACATGTGGGCGGCGGGAGTACACCGCCATCTCCTAACACTGTCCTCTCGTCCTCGCCATTCCAGGCCCCCGAAGATCTTATATCGCCAACATTTGAAGATTATGAACCGCAATGGTGGCGTCCCGGTCTTGCGAGGTTGCTCAATCGATGGGAAAAAACTATTTCTGCCGCCACAGGCAAGCTGCCGCCTCGAGCAATGCCCTACGCAAAACAAGCTGTGTGTACTGGCATCACTTTCAGCAGTGTTGACCAGAGGAACGAGTCATTGGATCCGGTCCCAAATGTAAACATCCGCCTCGACTTCGAATCGGTCCGCAGGATTACGGTGTTTGAAGTCCACACGCATAGCTCGCTGGAGCAAATCGAAAAGGGGACGTATCCGTTTCAGTCATTGAAGCCAGAAGCGGGACTATGGACGGTTATCCGAATTGATGAGAAAGAAGAAGACTCGGATCTGGATGTCACTAGTACCTCGAGAGTGAACGCTCGACTTCGAAAGGATGGCCTTCGAAATGGGAGTCCCGTGTCTTCGGCCTGGCAGATTATCGCCTTCCCGTCCGAGATGATCACTTCTCGCCGTGTGTGGACATCGTCTGAGAAACCTTCGCAGCTCACCACATCGAAGACCTACCGTCCATCACCGGGGTTGCTGAGCGGTGGGGCCATACCTTTCTGGCTGCCCAACCTCGCCCCCTCTCCCCGCAACAAAGGCCGGCCAAGCTCTTACCCAGGCCCCAAAGCCGCGGGACCCATGCCAACAAAGTGCTTCGACAAGCGGCCCGCGGCATCTTCTGGATATACCCCACGGTCGCACCCAGAACTGACAGAGAAAGGCGAGCTGGTGCCATGCTTCGTGACGTCATCCCCAGCGTCTTCTAGCAAAATCCTTCGATCGCTTCCGAAACCGGCATATAAAGGCAAGATGGTGTCACGCTTCTTGCAGTGGGAGTTTGCCATGTTGGGACGCTTGCCCCTCATGGACGGAGAAGGCGTGGACCCGGGGTTTTGGGACTCGTGGATCACGGCGGTTGGGATGGGTTGTGGGCGCATCGTGATTGAACAGCAAACGTTGTCGGGAATTGGGTCCAAAAAGGTTGTCGATGGAGCATGGAAGGGGAGGAAAGGCCGCAGGAAAGGAAACATGTGCTGAGGAGTGCATTTCGGCATCAACGGGGTACCGAAGGCCTTCTAGGATCCTTGGCCGAAGGATAAACTAAAGGACAAGGGAAGCTCAATCATAACGAGGAATGCGGGTATGATGACGAGCCAAAGGCTTGAGCAGCAAGAAACAGAGACATAGGAACCGTGTCCGTAGATCGAACGGATGAGTGCGAGATAGTGTATAACAGCATTCATGAGATTCTTCAACCACAGCGTATATCATGTCAGAAGTATGCCAGCACACCTCGTCATCTCCGCGTTACTCATCAAGTTTCTCCATACCAAATGAGGCGAAGCCAAACATCTCAACAATGGGTATAATACGCGCAAACACCAAACAAAATCACTCCTCCTCCCACACCCAATCCCCCTCCCCCACCTTCACGCAAACCAAATACCCCCACCCCCATCCCCTCTCCCCATCCCCCCCTTGCACCTGCCCCGGCGCCTCCCCCTCCAACCAACACCGCCCCAACGCCCTCACCACCTCCCTCGCCAGATTCTTCAACTCCTCCACCCGCCGCTCGAACCGCCGCAGATTCTCCCGCGAATACGTGTCCGGATGCAGCTTCAGGAACGCCTTGATCTCCGCGTGCGGGAGGTACGCTGTCCCACCCGCCGCGAGCAGCGCGTACGTGTTCGAGATGTTGAACGGCGGCGGCGGCGCGGATGGGGTGGGCGCCGCTGCTGAGCGGGATGAGGAGCTGGTTCGGTGGCGGTGGGGGAGGATGGAGCGAGATGAGATGCGGGTGGTTGACGAGCTTGAGGGACCGCGGCCAGGCTGGGCGGCGGTGGTCGTCATGCTGGATTTCAAGATCGGCGCGGGCGGAGGAGTGAGGTTTTCGAGGATCCAGTGGCGGAAGAGGGAGACGGCGAGCCAGTCGAGCCACGCGGAGTGGGGGCCGACGCGGTCGCCGCGAGGGGTGGTGAGGGTGAGGCGGAAGAGGCGCGCCTCGACGCGCGCGGTGACGTCCTGGAGTTCGGCGACTTTGTCTTCGATGAGCTCCCATAGTGCTTGGGAGACTTGTCCGCGCAGCTGGGGGGCACCGGCTGGCCATTGGCCGATCACGTGGATGAGGGCTTCGGAGTAGATAGCCTTGCTACGGGCGAGGAAGCCGAGTTTTAGGTATGAGGGGGGGTATTTTGCGATTTGCTTCCATAGGCGCGAGTGGAAGCGGAGGAGGTGGTGGTCGATGCGTGGGCCGATGACGGATAATGCGTCGTAGAGGTCGGCGAGGTGGAGGAGTTGTTTGCACTCGACGTATGCGTTGGCGATGTTTACGGTGTCGAGGGATGGAGGATGGTTGTAGAAGATACGGAATAGATTGCTGTATGAGAGGACGAGGTCGGGGTAGGGGTCGTTTTCTTGCGATGGGTGGGAGGTGCTGGGTTGTTTCGAGGAGACTTGGAGGGCGGAGTAATTGGCCATGCTGCGGAAGAAACCTGAGGAAGGGGGATGGGGTTTGTTTTGTGGTGGCGGAGGTCGTGCAGAGGGGCCATGGCCGAATATGCCTCTTGTACCAGCAGACTATTGCTTGTTAGCGATTCCTGCTCTATGACTTCGTGGTTAATCCTTACCTGCTGAACAAGCAAGGGGACATCGTCCGGCCCAGAACCCCAATCCAACTGATATATCCACCTCTTCCTCTGCCCACCCAAAACGATCTCATCTCCCCTTACATATCGCTCATCGCTCCTCCTCCCACTTCCCTCCCCTCGCTCCGACTCCCTTCCCGTCTTCGCCACCCCCGATCCCACCCCCGATCCCGACCACTCCTCACTCGTCCCCGCCTCGAAGAATCCCGAGCACTGCGCCAAGATCAACCGATGCAACAAGAACCGCGTCTCTCTCCTCCCCTCGCGATCAGTGAGCAGGATCTCCACATCGCCGGTATGCGTGAAGATCGGGAACTCGTTCTGTGGCTGGTGCGAGCTAGTCCCCACATGCGACCGTGCATTCCGATGATGTCGCCGGTGAGTCAACGCCGTCCGTGTCGATGTGATGGACGGTGCGCGTCGTAGGGTTAGATCGCGGGAGTTGGACGCGGACGCCGTTGCTGGATTGAGAGGGTGGGAGACCATTGAGGACGGAGTCATATGGTCATGCACCTAGATCGAGGCATATGATGGACAAAGGAGGATTCGGATTCGAAGATCTCGAGTGCGATGCTAGCACTTTAGAGACGGAGGGGGTATGGTCGCGACGGCACGATGCCGCGCTTGCGGAGTGTTGCGAGGCGGACTTGTTATGAGTGTGTTGACTGTCGTAGAACCCGCAGACGCGACGAACAACTTGCTCCCTCTAATCCCAGTCGTATGCCCCGCTCGTGTGTATCCCAGCCGTTGGGGGGTGTGGCTGAATGACGGAAGGTCGACAACTTGTTGTGATATTGCCCCTCAAGCGCAAAAACATGTCCACATTGCGACCGCAGAACAGTTAGATATGGAGTAGACAATGAAAGAGAACATCACTCGAACAATTTGACTCTTAAGATCACAAGGAAAGAAAAGATAGCAGAGCGAGGCCGGGGCGTTGATCTAATGGATCTGATGGGGCTTTCACAACATGGATTCATGTTGAACAGAGACCTGGTGGTGGCGATGCAGTACGATCGCTCTACCAATCGGAACCGCACATCCACAACCGCCTAGTCGATTGGTGGCAGAGAGTAAACAGTGCGCACATGCAGATCCGATAATAGCCACAGGGAGTGCCACATATTCGCTTGCTCCGAGATATAGAGGCTCACATGATGCCGTGAATCGTGAATCGCTGTCACAGTTTGAGATGAGGGAGAATGAATACAAGGGGGTTGTGATCGAGATGATGTCTTGGATTCCTGCTAGCTTCAACAACTTTGTTGACTGTAAGAGTGTCGTCCATATGAACAGGTCTAATAGAAACCTTGTAGATACACGAATATACAATATACATACATCGAGAGATAATATATCCAAGGCGAGAAAATACCTAATCTGCAGAGGGCCTATCTTACAATACTCTACCTCTTCCCATCAATCCATTCCCTCCCACCCATCCAATTCTGCAACACCTCCGGTATCCTCACCGCCCTCCTCTTCTCATCCCACCCATGCTCCAATATAGCAGCCAACACCCGCGGAACAGCCATCGCCGTCCCATTCACCGTGTGAGGAAACGTCGTCGTCTTTCCCATTGGCATCGGCATGCGGACTCTCGTAGCCAGTCGCCGAGTCTGGTAGTCGGTACAAAGTGACGCCGAAGTGACCTCTCCATAACCGTCATCCTCGCTGCCTTTCGGGGACGATTGGTCGGTGGCACTGGAGGTAGGATGTCGTCGTCGGGAGGGGAATATAACTTCCATGTCGATCTTGCGGGTGGCAGAGGCGCCGAGATCCTGGGTGGGTTGTTCGAGGACGCGATAGGGAAGGCAGAGGGAGGAGAGGATCTCGCGTTGGACGGCGAGGATGGAGTCGAAAAGCTGGCCGGCGTGGGAGTAGTTGGTGGTTGCAAACGCAAACTGGTTGTCAGCATCGCTCGACGTGGTGGAAAATCTTCCAGTAGAATTGGGCGCCGACTCGGGTGTCGAGTCAGAGGAGATGCCCTTCTTTCCGACTGGAGTGTGATTGGAGTTCTCGTCGGGTAGACACCATCCGAAGAGTTCTACTTTCGAGAACTCATGTACACGATATAGCCCCTTGGTATCTACACCTCTGGCTCCCGCTTCGGCACGGTAACATCGGCTCACTCCGACGACCTTGTCGGGCAAATCTGTGTCCTCTAGAATGGTATTCGCCTTCATCCCCGCGAACGGGATCTCCGCCGTGCCTGTGAGAACCATGCTCGGCTTATTCCGATCTTTCTCCGCCTGCTGAATGTTGTACATCTGCGTTTCGCCATTCTGATCTCTCGGTTGAAAGCCCGCTGCCGATGCGATGTGCGAGTACACCAGACTCGGCGGCGTGACGATGCGGAACCCGTGCTCCATAGCGACTTCGAGCGCATACTGCACCAGCGCTTGTTCCAGCAACGCGCCGTCGTTCGTAAGGAAATACCACCCCCACCCAGACGTCGACGCCGCCGACGTGAAATCCATCAGCCGCAGCTCCGCGCCAATCTCCGCATGCGTGCGCCGGATCGTCGACGGCACCACATCCTCCGGATCCGGCTCATGCGTCTCCAACACGATCGGCTCGCTCCCCACCGGCGTCTCCGTGGAGCTCAGATTCGGCAACTGGAGCGCCATGTTCTCGATCCCGTCATTCAACGCCGCTTCCTCCCGCTCGATCTCGTCGAGTTGGGCCTTCACCTCCCGCGCTTCCTCGAGCAGCGTCGCCTGCTGTGCCCCCGCCTCTTGCACCGCATCGACATGCTCTTTTGTCCGTCCATACGGTGCGACGTCGCCCGAGAGATACGCCGCCTTGGCGAGGGTGGTGCGGAGGGCTTTGGCGCGCTCGCGGAGGGGTCGGGCGGCTTTGCCGATGGCGTTCAGTCGGTCGAAGTGGGCGATGATCTCGAATGGAAGGGGCGCGAGGGACGGGTAATTTCGGTCGACGCAGTTTTGGGAGTAGAGGCCGGGGCTGCGGCGGATGTGTTTGATGTCGGGGGAGGGCCGTGGTGCGACGCTATGGCGGACATAGGAGCGTTGGTGGAGGTTGCCGTAGACTGGGGTTGTGAGTTGGAGTTGGTGGCGACACGACCAGCATATTGAAGGAGGGCGGAATGGCCTCAATGGCATGGTCAGGTTTGTGGATAGGTTGGTTTGCAGCGAGATGATGATAATCTAGATGATAATCGCGACAATGGTTCCTAAATCTCTTGAATCCGAATTTCCTGATACCTCAATCTTCATGACTCGTGTTTAAAAACATCGACCAATCAGCTACTACTACTGACATGGAGTCACCACAGTAGCGGAACTTGCAGGGACCAATCAACCGTTGATCTACCGTTGATCCACCGTTGAAAAAAATCAACGGTTGATACGAATCAACGGAAGTTTCCCCGTTGATTTCACATCTTCGTATACGTATAGACGTATTCAACGGTATATCAACGGTTGATTGGTTTATCCACCGTTGATCTGCTGAACTACGGTATGCCCACGGTTGCCAGATCGTCTACTCATCACGCGGTTCACTTGCAGGAATGTTATACTCGTCACACGCAGCCCTCATGCTGCTTGAATGTTTTGCTAAGCTCATCGGAAAGCTGTGTATCATACATACATCGCTGTATCCCATGTAATACCACGTTCATGTTGAGAGTCGACCAGGATTGGGCGGGCCAGACATAGTGCGGTGCGCCTGTGATCGGTGTAGATACACTTGCCTTCCACGGTAGGGAGTATGTGTCGGTGTATTGTTCGCGTCCCATCATCCCAGATACCCATTTGATGCCACCAGTGCAACGATCTATCCATCCATTCATCTCGTCTATTTATCATACACTTTGCAAGCCATCAGAATCCACCCATCCATCCTTCCATCCAACGCTTTGCGAGCCACCAGAATCCATCCATAAAGCAAATCGTCCACCAGAGAGCCCTTCTCATTGCACCGATCCGTCTGATCTATCTCTCCTGACAGCCAGCTATCTTGAGCTTATCTGGTGCCAGGCACTACATAAAGTGGATCTTGGTCTAGTTTACATACAGCAGCGTTTCCGAATCCTTGTCCAACGACACCTCATTGCCGTGTCCGTCGTGTTCCTTGACGGGGAGGATAGGATCGACGCTGATAGCTTTGAGACTTGAGAGGGTGACAGGATGTAGAGGAACAGAGGAACAGAGGAACAGAGGAACAGAGGAACAGAGGAACAGAGGAACAGAGGAACAGAGGAACAGAGGAACTCAGGATAAGGAATAGGTAGGCGCTTGGTAGAAATGAGGAAGCCGTGGTACAAATAAGGAAACCGCGCTGTCTAGTAGTAGATCTACCGTAGATCAACGGTTGATTCTGTTCTCCGTAGAATTTCCCTCATCGTAGATTCCTATCTACCGTAAAGCACCTTCTTCGTATAGAAATTTACCACGAATATCTACCTTCAACCGTTGATTTACCGTTGATTCTCATCAACGGTAGATCAACGGTTGATTGAACCCTGCAGACTCCGCTACTGTAGTACTAATGCCTGAGGCTTAAAGGCCTTAACCTTTCTCTCCCAACACATTTCAGCTAAGTCGCTATTAGTGATCTAGGAACAAACGGCTGTGAGCCTGTGACTAACTACTGTGTACACTACTGTAGTTAGTACTGTTCCTCACTGTAGAACCCCACTCAGATCGTGGAATTCCACTTTTCCGACCACAAGATGTCGATTGGCTATATCGCCTATAGTTGTAGTCTAGCGCGCCAATTCACCCAATCAAGTCTCCCCAGTGCAAGGTAGACTTACCTACCACGTCTACCTAGTAGTAGTGGATTTGACCAGAGGCGCGACAGGCGCGGGCCTGGAGATAACTATGAGAAATGCAGCACTAATTCCGTGTTCCCTTTTCACACTCCTATTAAAAGCCCAAAGTTGTCATATGATCACTGTTATGCTGACAATTGTACAATTATTAATAGGACATCTGCTTGACACACTTTATGGAATGAGGCCAGAGATGTTCGTCCGCCGAAATTCGGACGATCAACTCGATTTCGAGGGGTCGTCTTACGTATCTGCATTTCAGTTTCGCAATTGCCATGTAATATATAAGTAGGTAATGCTTGAACCAATGCTCTCTACTTTGCATTCAATTCATTTTCAAAATCATTCGCATCCGTAACCATGGCACCAATTCGTACCGCTCTCATTGGCCTCCGCTCCAATTCGACGAGAGGAGCAGGCTGGGCTGCCTTAGCTCATCTTCCCTATCTCACGCAGTCTCCTAAGTATCAGATCGTTGCGCTTCTTAACAGCAGCAAAGAAGCAGCAGAAGCAGCCATCAAGAAGCACAACCTCCCAGGAGATACGAAGGCTTATGGCACCCCTGAAGAGCTGGCTGCGGACGATGAAGTGGATCTTGTCGTTTGTTGCACCCGTGTCGATACACACTACGTCAGCTTGAAACCCATTTTGGAACGAGGAAAGACGCCCGTGCTCTGTGAATGGCCGCTTGGGGCCAACTTGAGGGAGACTCATGAGATGACAGATGCCGTTGGGAAGTCCGGGGTGCGCAATGTCGTTAGTGTACAGGGCGGCTTCAGTCCTCTTGTCACCACTCTCAAGGCCCTCATTGCGGATGGGAAGATTGGAAAAGTCCTTTCCAGTAACGTGACGACCTCGGGCATGATTGGAGGCCCAACTACTGCGGCAGATTTTACATACAGTAACGAACGAAAAATTGGAGGAAATATGCTCACAATCATGTTTGGCCATCGTTAGTGTTTCAATTATGGAGCCCCGAACTGAGCTATCCACTGACCCTTCACAGTTTCCGAGATCATCTTCAACGTTCTTGGAGATTTGGGTTCATTCAACTCGATTTTACACACCAAATTTCCAACGGCCACCCTTGTTGACCCGCAGAATCCACTTGAAGTTGTCGGGACCCAGGAGCGGACCACGCCCGATGAACTACTCCTACAAGGGCGCCTCGAATCGGGAACCTTCCTGTCTGTCCACGTTCGAGGCGGGCCGCCGAATCGAAGCGCAGCGGTCCCCGACCTGGTTTGGAGAATCTATGGGGAGAAGGGTGAAATCACTGTCTCTTCCCCCCAACCCAACATTATCAACACCGCACAAGGGATAACCGTTGAGCTACACGATCATGCGAGTCACAAGGTGGAGAAGATCGAGACACTGAGCAATGAGCTGGAGCATTTGCCAGATCCCGCTAGGAACATTGCAAGACTTTATGAAGCGTATGCGGACAAGACATGGTATCCAGATTTCAAGCACGCTCTCAAGAGATACCAACTTATCGATGAGATGTACCGTCGCCTCGACAACGGACAGCAGGATATCAAGCCTAATTATGCCTAATTATGCCTAGGACTGGGTAGATACAAACACTAAATGAAAGTGGATAAAAAAATTGATGCTATCAAGACTCGAACCCTGCCAGAGCAGCCACCATAATATATTGCAGGGAGGTTGATTCCCAAGGAAACCTGACAACTATAACTGGTCAGTTGAGATTCTGGCTCCCATTAACCCGTTGAACCAGACGATTTTGGGCTATACACATCTTCTAACCACTCGAGCATTGCTCTTTTGTCACTAAAACATCGCCATTACGGCACACTTTGTTATCGTACCATTCGACGGATGAAGTGTCCTACCGACATTGACTCCATTTAGGGTCGAGCCAGTACTGCTCAGCCCAGCCATAGGGGGATATCTTTCGTCGACTTCCGACGCTCGATAGGGGACCCTATTAGACAATTCGAGTGCCGATAACACTGCGAGCTAGAACGGGGTCAGCAAGTATAATTGACCAAATTCTGGGAGTAGACGCGAACCGTCAATTTGCGCACAGCCCAAGAATCTGCGCGTCGAGGTCCTCCCGGAGCAAGGGATCGCAAAGATAGACTGCAACAGATCACAGTCTGAGTGTTTCTCATTTGCTTCGTTCCAATGCGATCTCCACGATTTGCCGTGCTCTTTCGCCTCCAATGAACTCCGTAGTCCCGTAGCCATCCATTTCCGCGTCCATGTCCAGCTCCAGGCTTGCCTCGTACGCTTTCACCACCATGTCTTCATCCACCCGGACACCAACTTCAACAAGCGCCTTGATCACTGCGGCGACGCGCGCGATCTCTCTCCGTGTGGCCGCTGGAATCGATGCGTTCTGGCTGGAGTACATCTCCTTCCCCACCACCTCCTCCATCCGATTGAACCCCACATCTTTCTCCTCCGTCGTGTCCCCAATCCGCATCGCGATCCAGACATATCCATTAACGCCGAGGATTACATCGAGCTCGCCACCGGCACCAGGTGTGGTCATAGTAAACATCTGCCTCCTCGACCGCACGACACCGCCCTTCTTCCGGCCGCCCGATGGACCGAGCGACCCCCCTGCGCCCGACACCGACATGAAGTATCCATTCCGTAGTTTCCCATATTTCAAACTTCGGGTATGCAGCACGGCGCTACCATCTTGATACAGCGCTTGTACCTCGGCGACGAGGAGATCACCTTCGGAGAAAAAACTCCGGATGTTGAGCTCGTCGACGGCGGTTCGCTTGCGCAGGGTGCCGCCGGGGAGATTGATGGCGGCGATTTGGAGCTGTGCGAGGAGCGGCGCCGCAACATCGACAAGCCAGCGGCGCGATTGGACTTGCACGATGCGTCCCACTAGAAGGTCACCGATCGATGGGCGGTATCGCGCGCGAAGCGGAGCGACGGAGAGGAGTTTGTTGGTTTTGATCAGGGTGCCTGCCAGCGTGCTGCAGATGGCATATTCACCTTCTTCCTGCGTGGTGCCATGTCCACTATATCCAAGATGATCAGCACGAATATTTGGAAATGCATGTCGCGCAACGGTTCCAGAGCCCTGCTTACCGCATCCATTGTGGATCATCTGTGATAACCTCCCCAGGGGTGACAATTGCGGCGTGGGATTCAAGGGCGGTCTTCAACGATAATCCTCCCATATCGACATCTCCCTCGTCATCAATGTCGACCGCCTGGGCCCCTTCATTCCCAAGCGAGATAGCCGGAGCCGGAGGCAATATTTGGATGGGCATCGTCGATTGCTAGAATCAGATGTTGTAGAATGCGCCGGTTGGTAGCGTGTAAACGTGTCGCGCAAATTGAGCCAAGTGTGGACGTGTAAAATTGGCTAGGATGAAACGAGCTGCTCTCGTCTTTCATCCATCTTGTTATACAGGCACTCTATAGACAGAAAAGACTATTGTCATGGTCTATCAGAGTGAGGAATTCGTTCCTTGGGGGAGGTTGCAAATAGCTGGCTGCCCCACTATGGTATCTGATTCGTCGAGTCTAACCACCACACATCATCCTTATGATCATCCTTTTGGTGATTCGCGATATCACAAATTTCTACTCGGATGTATGACAACTCTTCTCGGAAGAAGTACTTGGTTGCAGTTATTCCTTAATTCCGGGTGCGAGAAATCTGAGACATGTGATTTTCTCTGAGACTGCACCCGAGATCCATACAGGCCCGATTTCCAGGTCGTTGCGCAGTCTGCGACACGAATTGCCTCAAGCCAGACCTCCTTCAGTCCTTTTATACTTATCAGACTATGTTGCTGAATTAACTGACGTATAAATATTGACGAGGAAGGCGTATTCACTTTGGAGTAACTGCACTCAGATACTCGGCTGTAGGCTAGCCCGACCTTTCCATTTATTGTCTCCGTAGTTATCTCAAACCAGCTCAAAGTCAATCTCCGTTTCAATATCTCTTAAAGCGGACAAAATGGCCGGGCAATACCTCTTATCCCATGGGATCGATCTCGACGCCGAGATGGCAAAGATCCAATTCGGCACGAACAATCCCTCAACCTTGACCTCAACCTCTCCACCACCCGCATACTCCCCTTCCTTATCTCTGGCCAACTCCTCCAAACGGCGTTCTGATACCGCCATACAACCAAACATCTTATTCAATTCCATATCCGCGCTCGACTCCTCCAACAATACCACCGCAACCGCCGTTCAATCCATCAGCGCAACCCACATCCACCGCATCATTGGCGTCCGCCTCCCCCGACGATCCCCGCAAAAGCTCTACGACATCCTCCTGACGAAGGGGAAGATCGCCGAGGTCTCCCCTCACAACCCTCGCATGCCCTCGCTTTCCCACCTCCCAGGCATCCTCCTCGGCAACGGACGACTCATCGCCCCGAGCCTCTGCCACGCACACATCCACCTCGACAAGTGCTTCCTGCTCTCCGACCCCGCCTACTCCGACCTCTCGATCCAGCACGGCACGTTCGACGAAGCCATGTCGCTGACCCAGCAAGCCAAAGCGCGGTTCACCCACGACGACCTCCTGCGGCGCGGTCGGCGGCTCGTCCTCGAGAGTCTGCGCGCGGGCGTCACTGCCATGCGAGCGTTTGTGGAGGTGGACGCCACGGTCGAGATGCTCTGTCTGGACGCCGGGATTGAGCTGCAGGAGCAGTTCCGCGGGTTGTGCGAGATCCAGCTATGTGCGTTTGCGCAGGTGCCGTTGTTCTCGGGTACGGACGGCGGGGATGCGGCGCGGAAGTTGATGAGGGAGGCGGCGAAGCGGGGTGAGGTGGCGGTGGTGGGGTCGGCACCGTATGTGGAGGCAGAAGAGGTGAAGGCGCGGATGAACGTGCGGTGGTTAGCTGGGTTGGCGAAGGGAGAGGGAAAGGCGCTGGATTTCCATCTGGATTATTTCGGGATCGAGAGGCAGCCGATGGTGCATGATGTGGTTTCGATTTTGAAATCCGTGGCCTGGGTTGAGCAGAGGTCTGATACCCAACCGGTGTGTCTGGGCCATTGCACGCGGTTGGCGCGGTGGACGCCCGCGGAGTGGAGGCGGCTGAAGGAGCAGATCGAAGAGGCGAAACTGGACGTCAGTTTCGTCGGGTTGCCGACCAGCGACTTGTTCATGATGAAGGACAAGTCGACGTTGAATCCCGTCGAGCTGGTGAGAGATCATCAACTGAACGCCGCGATCGCGGTGAACAATGTTGGAAATGCGTTCACGCCACAGGGGAGTTGTGATCCAATCACGGTCGCAAGTCTAGGGGTTGGATTGTACAGTGCTGGAACGAAGTTCGATGCTAGTCTGCTATATGTGAGTCGTGTTTTCTTGCTTGACCGGTATCTCTCAGTGGATGAACTCCCAAATGCTAACAATCCCCCCTAGAACTGCGTGTCCTCCCGAGCGAAATCCGCAATCGGCCTAGATTCCATTCCGTCTCCAGGTCTTCATGAAGGCCAACCTGCAGATTTCGTCTTATTTGGTTCTGGAGAAAGTGACTGGACTTCTCCCCGAGCTGTTACAGATGTCGTGTACAATCCCGGTGCTGTTTCGAATCGGCAGATCATAAGTGCTGGACGATTATTGAATTTTTCTAGGTAGTGGATGACGAAGGCGTAGAGCGCTCCGAGCCCTGAGCCCTGGGGTTTACATCAGTGCATATCAATGCTTTGGATGATGGGCTGGCTGTGTTCTGGTATCTGGTGGCCTGAATGAATGCTTTAATGGCATTGAGACTGGGTATTCAGCCCCTCCGGATAGCCGAAAGAAATTAATTTGATCTTCGATTACAGTGTGGGACAGTTGTAGGGTCGAGAAACGTGCCTAACAGATAAATGAAAACGTTCAGCTGATATAATCCAGGCTGTTTGCTTTGGTTCGCTCTAGTAGAACTCTGTCATGGCCGTCGATGAAAAACTCCAACGCTTTAAGGTCGACATTCGAACATCCACCACCCTATGGGGCTGCATTGCTTTTCGCCCTCTGTCTACGATCAGTACAGCACGTCGTCAACAGACCAAGAACTTTCTTATAGGACTTCAATTTACATCTCCTTAACGGAGACCGAACACCCAGTGTCGTTTACAACCCGTACAGGGCCGATCCCAGTTTCGACAGCCTGCCGTTGGCTTCCCCAGCCTTGATGGCCTCCCTCTCGATTTCTGCAATCGGACTGACGAACCTGATGATGCCAGCATTGCGAAGTGGCAGAAGAGCATCTTTAACCCGGACTTGGCATGCAAATTCCTCGTTGGTGAGGGGTGACGGCTGTCCATCTGCCGCGACGCATCCCAGCGAGGTGGGGAGAAACTCTCAGTCCAGTCTCACGTCAGATAGCTGCATGGTAGCTGTTAAGAAGGCTGTATTATAATGGAAGCTTATTATCTATAGTATCGACTACGCAGAATATGAAGGAGGTAAAATTGGATTCATCATGTCATCATTCATAGAACCCCATGTTCCCTTGCAGTTAGTATCGGTCGAGTATCTGAATACGTGAACGTTCCTCAATATCGATAACTTCCACTATACTTCGACTTTCACAGCCACATTTTTCTGTCTCTCCATTAAACAGAAGATGACAACGGGGCAGTTCCATCCAGTACCCACCATCGAGGCTCCATCAACTCCCCTTGGATTCTAGATACTTCGTCCCTGTCTAGGCTCTCGATATCATAGGAGTGGGGCTTGAGGTCGCCTCGAAGTATAATCGTGCCCGAAGCCATTGGCTCATGATTGGACTGTGGGCATGTACCTACCGAAGTCTCGTGGTCAGTCACTAAAAGACAGTAGATTCCAGTCGTCCTCGAGTCAATGGCGTCCATTGGGTGGGGTAAAAGTATCACCAGAGACTTCATGGCTTCAGGCAATTCATCTCGGGGATGTAAGCTTAAAAGGCACCGACGACCGCCGGTCAGAGTGATGTCCCAGCGCAGGCTTTTATCAGCGGAGGGAAAGATCCGAATCGCATGGCAATGGCAAACAACCCCCCGTCCTCGTGGGTGGAGTCGAACGAACGGGCGGCGATACAGATGACCGGAAGCGCATTCGATCTCTCGGTTCAAATAAAGCCCGATTCCACTTTGAGGTAGCAGCATGGTAGTTGGGCACCATCGGTAGCCGGGGTGGGGGAGGCACTCGCGGACACTGTCATTGAACAAGATGTTGGGAGGAATTACCGGGAGCAGCTTCAGCAAGGCCACGATCTTGTCATTTGCTGATTGACAATTCTGAATCGATGCCGTAGGGCGCCCGAGAGTGGTGGCGATACAAACAGCCTCATCGTCCTTTCGACTGGTACTCCGGTATTGCAATGCACTCAGTACACTTTGACCCAAGTCTTCGAACTGACCCCAGTCCTCGGACCGACTCACGTCTTCAAACTGTGTATCTTCATCATTTAGCGAGCGTTGACGGATTCTAGGGTTTTCCCTCTGAGCCACGACACCACTAAGTCGGGCAAGTGAGGACCTCATCAAGCTTACTGGGCCCCTGTAATCCTCAACCCTTTCTAGTAGGTTGTCGTACCGGACTTTACCATCTCGGGTCCGTAGAAAGAGGACAGGAGGAAGCGCACCCTCTTGGAAGGTCCAGAGTCTCCCTGCCCAGTTGCTAAGGAGGACGCGAGTAAATATTTCTGCCGGTTGGGCGCGTTTGGACATGGATAGGGATATGTCCGCGTCGAGGACCAGTCCGTAACACGACTCCTTATAGATTGCATGCATCCTTTGGATGGAAAAGTCTCTGAGCTTCTGATATGCTTTCCCAACCGGGATGCAGAATGCATCGATCCAGAAAGCGGTACAACCATTGTCGCCCACGACTGGGTCGTGAAGAGCTTGGAGTAAAAAGATTAGCTGGCACCGGGGTATGGAGTTGTTCTTCTGATTTCCCAGGCCGTCACCCCAGACATGAGATAGGGCAACGTATTCTCCTAGAACGGCTTTCCTCACCGTAAATGAAAAAGGAGAGGAGGAATTTTTGGGAAGGTGGGCTTCAATAACCGGTATATGCCCATCCTCTAACAACTTGATGATTTCGCTCATCGGAGGCCCTTCATGTTGACAAACACAGTTTCGCAGGAGGTGATAAGGTTCGAAATCATCACCTGCCTTGGCTGCAACACATTCATGCCCAGTACAAGCATCCGATGCATTGCAATCAGGTCCCTTTGGAGTGGCAGGTTCAATCAAGAGTCTAGCTGGGCCTGACGGGTTGGCAATCTGTGAAGGGTCCTTGGGCTCTGCCTTGCAGAGACACTGGCCGACATTTCGGTGCTCATCGTGCCCGGATTTGTGACAAGGACAGGTGCAGTGAATGCGGCCATTGAGAATCAACCCAATCTGTGTCCCTCGGCAATGATGCGTTTTATCTTTGTCAAAACAATGGCGCCGGCGATATCGTATCAATCCAAAAGCATATGCTTGAATATCGGGTTCGTTCAGATTCGTGAACTGTTGCCTCGAATATTTGCACCAGCCTTCAACTCTTAATAGTTTTTGAAGAACTGGTATTTCACCAAGACAAAGAGGGGCCATATACTCCGAGGGTACGTCAAGTTGGTATTCCACGAAATGAGCAAGGGTCCCGACCAAAACTCCGGAGAAGAAATGTATCTCGTCAAACCTAGTGATCTCGAGGGAATCTTCGTCGAGATCAGATCCAAGGGTCGATTGGATCTGGTGAGCCGAGTCTAAGAGCGACATCAGTCTCGATATTTCGTCTTCCCATGCCTCCTTTCGTTCTCTGGGGTACCTTTCGAAGAAGGTTTTGCGATATTCTACCAAAAGACTTTCCAAACTTGCTGTGGTCAAAAGCGATTGACCGCAACAACTTAAATTGAGGATAAAACGAGCGGTATGAATCAGGATAGGGTCGCAAAGGTAGGTTAAGAGGCCAAAGAAGAGCCACGCTTGTAGAAAAGCCGCAAGTTCGGCTTCCATCGTTTCTCGAGTTTCGATGTCCATCTTTTGACGAAGTAGCCAGTCTTGAATATCCAGCCCAGCACCACATGGGTCTGTGGAGTACCACTCTGAGAAGTCCCATCCGCAGCGCTGCGGATATCCATCAAAGTCGTGGCCATCATATTCAAACCCGTCTTGCAGAAGGTAAGGCCACAGAAGTGGTGCCTGTCGCTTGTCAAGCATCAGATGTTCCTCTTGCAAACACCTAGGCATTCATTTGGTGTTATAGCCATCTCCATACTCTTTGAGAATCATTCAACATGTTGGACCAAGAAGCACGAACAGAAGAACGAAGCGAAGACATTGCTTTCTCGCCTGCCCGTGTTGGAACTTTTGACCTTGTCAAGTTCAAGCTCGGCTACTTACGGGAGCTACTAAATGACGATTCGATCCAGATGCAACGTCAGCGCAAGAACATTGAGTTTCTCATCGACTACTATGAGAATGGTGGGAAAGTTGCCGAACCGGGCCAAACTATTTGGCTTGTAGATGGCGTGGTCGTCAACAAGATGCCCAAGGGTTCTACTGGTAAAGCAATATGGAGGGAAGCGGTCCGTCTTCCCCTACCCTTATCTCCGTTACTTTGGCTCATTTTCTCTTCGTCTAGAGTATAGGCCATCAACTTATGCAGTCAAGCCCAGCTGCTTTGGCAGTAGATTCTTACGAATAGAAAATATTTCTATTCTAAAGCCTTGGGTTGATTGTAATAATAGTCGGGAGCTATACAAATGGCGCAGGCAACGTCCTTTGGGTTAAATGCTTCTGGAAGCATGCATGAGGTAACTATGTATATTTACCTCTCTCAACCATGTGGCTTTCTAACATCAGAAGATTCTTGCCAGGTTCCGACTCCCAGCGATGTTTGGTGGTGACCCAAGTATTACTACTGCCGTCGAGATCATGAACGACACTGGCTCAAATATTCAGACCGTCTTATTAATAGATTTAGCGGCACTCCAGTACAATCCATTGACGTACCTTGGCGACCTTGGTGCGTATCCTATAGAGACAACCAATGGCATCGCATATCGGCAGCAGATCATGATAGAGATGCAAATTATCAAGCTGGATGGTACCTCTGTTACAGGGTGGTTTGAGGAAGTCGCAGCAATTTTTCCTGGAACGGGTATACAATACCGGCTCTCAGGAGATGCGATGCGGAACCACCTTTACTTTGCGACTGCTCCGGGCAATGCGACTCTCTTTGTTGCGGTGAAGAGGAATGGTCTTATGAGTCAACTCCCTGTTGTGTAGATCAATATGGCCCGTTTTGACAAGACTATTACGTCTTGACCATGTTGCATGAGCTGAATTGTGGTTGATAGATAATCATTGTTCTATGTTGTGTGTTCTATGTCAATGCCTGGTTCCCCGGTCCTACAGATATAAGAGAGTCATGGCGAGATTATTAATGCAGTTTATAGCCTGAGGCTCCTAGAGCTCATGCCTTGGCCTGCGACAATATAACATAATAGCTGCTGTGGCTAATGTTTTGGTGACTGGTTCATGGTTGAAATAAAGTTTTGGCTGTGCTTGCGCAGAAGCCAATTTCGCTAGTGACTATATCTTCAATTCAACAAGTGATTCGATTTCAAGAGCAACAGGAGGAGACGCAGGCAAAGGATTTGCAGGTGTCGTAAGATGCCCCTGTTCGTTTCTACTGCCACGAAACATTTTTCTTCTGCCCATTACCCCTAGGCTAAGCCTATTTAGGGCTGCTCACTCATCTCCTATGTATTTACATAAGCTGGTGAGATTTCTCCCATCAGCCGAGTCAGAGGTCAGGTTTACAGCATATCTCTGTTTTACGGCATTTGCCGTTTTCCTTCCCGTGACCCCCCATACATACTTTGTTTTGGGTGGGATAGACCTCTGTCACAGAATATCTGTGTTTCTTGGCGTTTCCCCACGGCTTCATTCCGCATTCGATTATACACCCCTATTCTTTCCCTTTATATAGGGAATAGATCGCCATTGTAAACCATATAAAATAGCTGCAGGAACAGCCTGTTTTCGTAGGATCCGGCTCTTCAGGATCAAGTTCAATCCATCTACGCTCTTTTGGAATCTAACGGGGTTTTCCCACCGTGTCGTTGCATTAATCGCCTGATTGAGCGAAACCGCTATTTATCTCACATAGTTTAGGCGGTAGGCCTCCGCGCATTTATGGATTGATGGGTATTTTTGGTTTCTGAAAGCTTCAATAGCTTGAGAAATTGCTTCTCCATTTATGCGAGGCGTAGTAATCACAAATACATCGTGCTTGAAATTTTTTGCATTGTTCAATTTGGCTAATTATCTAGGAACGAATATTCCCATTTGAGATGGTCAGAATGTGTGTGGGGTGGTCAGAAATCGGGGCCCCTACCTTCTTATCCCAATTCCATTAATTAGTTATCCGTATCTCTGACATATCATAGTCCTGCCGATATTAAACTTTGAGCAGATATTTCGATGATAATTGATAAGTAATATTCCGTCTCTTTCTGCATATATTCCTTCCATAGCTCTACTATGTATACCATGCCCTGAAGTTGTTGCGACCCCGTGTTTCTATCAAATTCAAGTCACTCTGCACATTTCGGTCCCGGGAGTTTATGCAATGGCGGCACAAAAATATTTCGAACAAGCTCGGCACAATACTGGTCCTTACTCGTATCCGGTCCGTCATGGATTGTACGAAAGTCAAGGGTTCGACTCGGCGAATTAGATATCTTCTGCTAGGGGATGCTGATTTCCAAAATTCATCCCGAATCATTGATGCGGTCAAAAATGTATAGGCATGCCTTGGCCCTCTTTGGATGGTCCACCGAAACCAAAAATTATACACTTGAAAGCGGGGGTCAGAATTGATGTTGAAGGGGGGAATCAGTGGCCTCGGATCCTCAACTATCGGGTGCTCGTTTAGCATACGTAGATCAACGACATTGATATATATACAGACTTTCACGATGCCCCGAATTGTTCCACTCATCTATGGGAATGCGTACCATATGCTCGGCCATCTCTTGTGTCTGAAGTTCTTACAGAGGGTCGAAATACCATCCTGGGCCTCATTTCCGGGTTAATCTGTCTTTCTTCCACCCGAATTGATGTCTCTGTACAAGTCAGCCAATATGAACAAGTCAGTCATCTCATTTACAGCATGGCTAGTTCTCCTTTCAGCCATCCTCCGCGTGTCGTATGCTACGCAAAATAAAGGTGCCATCACCAGACGACAGGCAGCCAGAAACGACTCGAGTTCGCTCTATACTTCGCCATATATTGACGAAGATGAGTGGCGTGATCAGCCTTTGCGGCATCGCTATGTTCATGGGGGGTTCAATGGGACAGACTTGCGATTCTCATTCTACTTTCCTCCGAAGGATTTGTACAAAGGCCGCTTTTTTCAGCCACTCCCTGCAGTCTCTGGAAACGAGAGGCTTGTTTTGAGTCCGGAAGCCTTGGGCGCAATTATAGACGATATCGCGCCGTTCGCTTTCGAATCAGGGGCATATGTCGTTGAATCGAACCAAGGAAGCCTTACTGCGTTCCCTGGACTCGACCAGACCATTACGGGGTTTCGAGCGAGTGGAGCAGCCGCTACCTATTCGCGCAAAATAGCTCAGCAGATGTATGGTTCTCGTCATCCATACGGATATGTCTTTGGGGGCAGCGGTGGTGGTTTCAAGACTATTTCTTGCATGGAGAATACCGAAGTTTGGGATGCTGCTGTCCCGTTCATCATTGGCTCTCCTGCCAGTATACCGAACGTCTTCACCAGCCAAGCTTATGCTATGAGGCTGTTGGGTTCCAAGTTTCCTATGATTGTGGACAGCATCGAACCTGGTGGAAGCGGTGATATGTACAGTGGACTCAACGTTGAAGAACGTCAGGCTCTTGCAGAAGTAACGAAGATGGGGTTTCCTCCTCAGGCCTGGTTCCGATATGAGAAGATTGCGGTCGGGTATACCGGCGTGTTTTCCGCGTTGCTGGACACATTGGCATTGATCGATGGGAGTTACTTCCAGGACTTCTGGACCAAACCAGGCTATCTCGGAGCCGATCCACCCAAGTCGCTAACAGACGCGCGGATTCACCATAACACGTCGATTCAGAGGATCATATTTGCGGATGAAGCTCGGAGACTTGGTCTTCCCGTTACGCTCCCTGGAAATCTTGGTGGTGGACTGACTAACGTCCCAGCGGCGGTCATTCTGACCAGTCTTCCGACCGGTGATCTTCAAGGAGCGTCTTTGACACTGACATCTGGACCTAACATTGGGAGTAGATTTTTCATTGCTGGCATTGTCAACTCCACTGTTATCATCGGATTCGGCGCAACCAATCTTCAAGCGGTGCTCGGTTTGAAGGAAGGTGACGGTCTATTTTTGGACAACGACCTCTACCTCGCATCGCAGACCTATCATCGTCACCAGAGCCCGGGTCCCGAGTTTCCAGTCTGGCAACAATTCCAAAGTCAAGGCAAACCGATATACCCTCAACGCCTGCAGCTTTCCCAGCTTGGAGCAGCCCTTAGCGGCACTGGCACCGCGCAGACAGGGAAATTCCGAGGCAAGATGATCGTCATTGAAGCCGGGATGGACGAAGCCGCCTTCCCTTGGCAGGCCGACTGGTACAAACTGCAAGTCAAGAAAAATTTGGGCTCCGCAATCGATTCTCGATTCCGGTTGTGGATGGTGGAAAACTGTATGCACACATCCCCCCAGAAACCAACTCCTCAAGAGCCACGTCCTGTTGAGGCCACTCGTATCGTGTCGTACACACCTATCATCCAGCAAGCCCTTCGCGACCTCATTAACTGGGTGGAGAAAGACTTGCCGCCCCCACCAAGCACAAACTACACCTTCGTCGACGGCCAACTGGTTCTACCCCCGAGTGGGGATGAACGAAAGGGCGTCCAGCCGGTCACGAACCTGTCAGTGAATGGTACAGCCCGCGCAAACGCAAAAGTCGGCGTAGCGGTCGAATTCAACGGGACGATTTCCGTTCCACCATTCGGTGGCAGTGTCGTCGCCGCGGAATTCGATTTCGACGGCGCTGGGGCTTTCCCTGTGTCCGCACCGCTCCAGTTGAGGGACGGAACTGGCAGACAAGCGGTTGTGAAAGCGTCGTATACTTTCTCGCAACCAGGAACTTATTTCCCGGTACTGAAAGGCGTTTCGGCAAGGCAGGATCTGGTCCGAGGAAATGCCTCTGCTTTTGGTAGAGCTACGAACCTTGGGAGAGTTCGAGTCGTCGTTACATAGGAGGTGGGTCTACGGTAGTATGCTGGGTTGTTTGGATTGCGTTTCATCTCGGAGAATTCTTTAGCAAAAGATCTAGACACTGTATATAGCTCATATGAAACAGTTCGGGATCTCCCCTCAGGTGTAGAGAAGTCCCCCAATAGACGTCTTTGCCAGCGTTTCCTTTGCGGGATTTTGATGATAGTTTCGAGGGGGAGGCCGGAAGCGTTTGTTTTATTTCTTAGTTCTTACTAACGCACTGCAAACTCGACGCAAACTTGAACACAGGCATACAATTAAACATAGGCTATCATCACTAAAGCACACCTTTGACACTCGCAAGGCGCGAGCCATGATAAACAGGGAGCAACAAGTAGGTTAACCATATGTAATTAGTGAAATCCCATCCGCAGACCCATTCCCATGAAAACCCCGTACCCATAAACCCATAAAACAATCCCCCGAACCTAGTGACCATCCCAGTTTTGAAAAAGGAACCATAACCCCATTCCCATGAACCAATGACCTGCCCATTTTGAAAAGAGAAACCCGAGGACCATCGCCGAACCAAGCGAGCATGCCAAGGTCCAACGATGACATGCCGCCGATCGAGCATACGATCCCTCCTTCATTCAAACCAGTTTCCGCCCTGAAAGCACTCGTGTTTGACAGAACCACACGCTCCTAGCCAGACCGAACGAACATGTCAAAGCCCTCCAACGATGACATGTCGTTGACTAGCATCGATATCGCGTCCGTCCGACCCATGCTCGAAACCGCAGAACCATACACGAAACAACCCCGTGACTCATCGATCGACCAAGCAAGCATGACAAAACCTTCCAACAATGACACGCCGCCGGTGCGACGTCGCGTTCACTCAAATCCATTTCCACCCAACAAAGCACCCAGCCCCGACTTCTTCTGTGCGGTCTTCTTCTTCTTCATGACGACGCTTCCCGACGATGTTGCCTTCTCAATCGCCGCCCGCCGCTCCGCCTCACGAGCCTGATGATGGATGTTCGCCTTCTTTGTCCCGCCGATTCGGACGGAGCTTTCACTGGATCCACCGGATGTCGACACGCGAGTCGTGACGCCCGTGCCGGATCCGCTGTCGGTGGAGTTCGTACGTGCAGTGACGCGTCGAAGCAAGGTTGGCGGTTTGAATGTTGTGCTTCGGTCCGTTTGAGACGAGGTGACGAACGCTGATTTGTGAGATGTGTTGCTAGCGGATGTCGTTGCGCGGTGGGCGGAGTAGCGGTCTCTATAAGACTGGCTGCTTGAATCGGTGTCGACTCGTGTGAATGTGTGAGACTCTTCGGTCTCGGATTCGCTTTCCTGCGAATATGGGATGATTGTTTGTGAATCGTCTTCGCCGATAAGGAAAGAGACATTCTCGCGGATGTCGGCAATCGTGGTTGGCTTGCGAATGGGGTTGGCGGTACGGCGGAGAGCGGGAGGTGGCCGAGTTTCCTGCTCGTCGTTGGAATCTCGTGACCGCTTGAGAGAGTTGACTTTGTCGCCAGCAGCGTGATCGGTGGGTGACTGGAGTCTGGTAGAGTTTGCTCCTGGATGATCTTGAAAGTCTTGAGAATCTTGAGTTTGGGAATCGAGAGCCATGTCAGCTGGTTCCTCAGTAACAGTGAAAGTTCCCAGATCTTCGTCATGATCTTCGAGTGTGCGGAGGAATGCTTCCCGCTTCGGATTGCTCGCGATGGTCTGAATGTTTTCGTCTTCCAGCAACGCCTTTCGCATCTTCGCGAAATCTCTCTGTTTTCTGCGTCGCTGTTCCACCGCTTCATCCTCTGAATCGCTCAAGTCCAACCCATCTCGCTTGCGTCGCAACCCCCCTGTGTTGATGTCCTTGTAGAGTTTTTGGAGAAGTTTCTCTTCGTCTGCCCGAGCCTTGCCGGCGTAAAGGGCTGCGAGCTCTCTCTCATTCACATCGATGTGGCTCTCATCAATCATCTTCTGCATCTCTTCATCAACCTCTCCTGTGCTGTCATCATCGCTGGCACCGCCAAGACCAGCATATTCGTCTTCGGATTCTTCGGCTTGTTCATCAACCATGTTCTTTGCACCGCTCTTTTTCTTGTCAAATGATTGCTCTGCCCGCTTCACAGAACGCTTTTTTAGAATCTTAAACGCATCAAGGTGTTCCACCTCCTCATTGCCCGCAAGTCCGACAATGCCCTCGTCATTTTCGTCTTCGTCACTGAAAACAACCTCATGGTGCGACCTTTGACGAGTCGCATCAGCCGCACGCCGACCGATCGGTGGTTTTTCTCCAGGATTTCGACCGCTACGATGGACAGGAACTCGACCGGAACCATCCGACCGGGAAGATCGACGGCTTGAAAAGTGAATCATTCGCAAGGGTCCAGCTGCCGTGGTTGGTGATTGGGAACCCAATCCATTTTCGCCAGGTACTTCAAGGACATCATCGAGTGATTTCGACTCGGAATTGACCTGGGTAGACGGAGAGTTCGACAGATGCTCGCGACGTTGAAGTCGGCCACGGCGTTGAACTGGTGATTCAGGGTCCTGAACAGGGACAGTGGAAATCGTGGAGTGAGGTAGCGGTGGTGCTCCGATGGGTGAGTGGCTGAATTGAAACCCGGCGTCAGGTGTTGGATTTGGGAAGTCGGACATGTTGGATTGCGACAGAAATTGCGATGGCTCTTGTGATGCAAGCTGTGTGATGCCCAAGTCGAGAGGCTGTGATCGTGTCGGGTGGGACTGAGAATGGTCGGGTTGCATGTGCTGTGTAGCGTGATTCTGAGAGCCAAACACCAAATTATCGAATGATGGTAAAGTCGATGGAATAGCTCTTAGAAAATCGAGCGAGTCTTCCTGAAGATCATCTGCGTTTCCTTGCGGTGCTTCTTCTTGTGAACTGTCGGCCATGGTTCCAGCGAAAAGTTGTGTCAAGCCAGGCAACGAATCGGTAGCGGTGTCAGAGATGCCAAATGCAGCGGCGAGCGAGTCCTCTTGGTTCGTGGAGTGCGGTTGCTCGAGGTCAGAAGCGGCAGGTGAGTGAGCGTGTGAATGAGCTGGTAAGGGAATCTTGGAATCAGAGACGAGATCGCTGTCTTCCATATCGTCATCGTCGAGAATAATCCTGCGCTTTCGGGACAACCTCGATGGATGGTGCGGATCGCAGTGCTTTGACTGGCCCGTCTTTGAACATGAAATTCGGCCAGAGTCCTCCTCTCCGACCTCAAAATCATGTGTTCGTTCTGAACGTGTGGTTCTGTCAAGGTCCTCCTCCGAGACTTTCCCATCATCCGTCCTAGTGTGTGATAAGAAGGGCCGTGGCATGCCCGTGGAAAGACGTGAGGTTTCAGCGGAACTGGGCAAGACAGAACCACCTTCCCCTTCATGCGTCTGCGTGTGCAGATTGGAGGTACATGACTTGTCCGTCTGGTGAGGTGCACAACTCTGTAGTTTGCCTGTGACGAGATTGCTTCCATATTCTTCCCGCATTTCGTGAGCGTCGTTTTTCATGCCCTCTATGGTGTTGCTCTCATGACTCTTGATGTGTGAAGCAAAGATAAAACCGTCAGCTTGACTGTCTTCATCGCTGTCGTCCGCTTCGTTGTCCACAAGTATGCCGGCAATGCTCTCATCTGCATCGGAAGCATCATCATCCTCTGATCCAGAAAGTTCCAGATCCTCGTCTTCTTCAGCGCTGGCTTCAAATTCATCATCTTCATCACTGCTAGGCAATTCGTCTTCGCCAGGCTTTCTGTGAACCTTTTCTTTTTTTGCAAGTGTTGCTGCGTCTCGTCTAGCTTTCTCAAGAAGATTGTCGAGTTCAAGCTGTTCTTTTTCACGCTCTTCATCTGTTTGAACGACGATGCCCTTTGCTTTCAATGCTTCGATGCGTTCTTGTCGTTCGTTCTCAGCTTGTGCTTTGGCGCGTCGCTGAAGTGATGTTTGCAGTTCGGATGCAGTCATGTGGATAGGTGACCGCTTGCTTTTGCTTGGGGAATGAATGTGGGCAAGTGTCCGCAAGACGCGAAGAGAGTCGGGCTCAGTTGCTTTTGCAGAAGGGATATCGTCAAAGATCGGAAGATGTGATCGGTGAGGGCGGATTATTTCCAAGTCATCATCGGAATCAGAAAGGGTGTCGTGGGCAAGTGAGCTTCGATCCATGATGCGCTTGTGTGCTCGAGCGGTTGATGATTGCAAATCTGAATGAGGCTGTCTTTGAAGAAGTGAAGATCCAGTCTGGGCTTTATCTGCTGCTCGCGAGAAAGTGAATTTTCTGCCAACAGATTTGTTGTTGCGGGAAAGTGAAGTGAATTTCGTGGTGCCCAGCCCGTCGCTTGGTCTAGAATCAGCTTTGCTCTCATTGACTGGTTTGTTTTCGCTTGCTCGTGCCAATGCTTCATTGAGTGTGGGAAGCTCATCGTCGGACTCATCGTACAACGGATCGAAAGGCAACTTTGGGGGTTCATCATGCTGTGAATCTTTGGCTCGGTGCGAGGATACTGGCGCTGCAGCTGGACTTGTTGGTGGTGTCTCAACATCTGCGCCACGGTGCTCCTGGTCAGAAAAAGGCTGATCAGCTTCAGGTGAAGGCTCGTCGTTCTCGGCTGGGGATGTGAGCTCTTGGGCTCCAGATCGGTAATTGAACCGCTTGAGAAGGTCTGCAACTGGGAAGCGTTTCTTGGTTCGTGCTTGGTGCGTGAGTTGCGTGGACCGAGTCAACCGCTGTGTCTCTCTTGCCATCTCTTCTAGAGCCTTCTTGCTCGCCTTCCGTGTTGGCCGCGAGTCTGCCATTGCGTCGCCTGTCTCCATCGCGATAAACTTGCTGCAATTGTAGCCGTTGCCAGGTGAGGGACTGCTCGAGAAGAAACCGAAAGCTAAAATCGAGAATGAGAATGAGAACTGATCGAGGATACAAATGAAGACAGCAACAATGAAGAGGAATTGGTGATAGAACGTGTATGTAATGAGGGGAAACTGTGTGGTTGGGATGTGAGTGAGTACGCGAGTGAGTGAGGGAGGTTGATAATTGACACGGGCTGAGTGATTCCGACGCGTCCGACGCGTCTGTGTGTGTGGCCAATCAAAACACTGAAAGTCCACGCCCCTGCATTTCCTCACAGCCATACCCCACCAGACAATCCCACCAAATCCAAAATCCAAACCAACTCCAAGTCCAAACTCCAAACTCCATCTCAATATCGTTCTCGGGATTATCCAAGCTCGTCAACCACCTCTACTTACCGATGGATACGTGCTGCCTACCATTTCTTGTTCTGCTTCCTAGTCCGCTTAGGCTTGTTCGCCGCCGGACCACCAGGAAGCACCCATGGCTGGTATTGCCAACCATGCCCCGAGTCAAGAAACGGATCAAACTCAGTTGGAGTGAACGAATGCACAGGCCGAGCATCGTCATCTTCCCATTGGGTTGATCGTTTGCCAGGGACATACTTTCGGGCCTTGCCCCCAATTTCGTCTCCCCCATAAGCATTTCTGCGCCGCTTTCGCTGCTCCACATCCAATTTACGTTGAGCTTCTCGTTTCGCCTTTCGACTCTCGATCATCTCCTTAGAGGGGCGCCATCGAATGTCACGCGTTGAGTCCGGTGCCCGGGCGATGTCCTCCTGGGACTTCCTCAGTGATTCTTCGGGCTTAGTCCACACTGGGTAGTTGGACATGTCCATATTGTCGGAACCATCGCCCGGGCGGAACGCGCGCACACTGTATCCGTCTTTGGTCATCGGGACCTCAGGAGGTTCAACCCGATGGCGAGGTGGTTGATCCTGCCATCTCAAGGGCTCCCAGTCCTGGGCCGGAGGAGGATCGACTCTGGCCAAAATGGCCGCGGTCTCCGACCGCCTAGACTCCGCATTCTTATTTTTCTGGATTGTTCGAATGCGGGAGAGCCCCCACTGATCTACTACGGAGCCACCCTCAGGCAGCCCCTCAACTTCCCTCTCTTGGACCTTCCTCTTGCGTCCAGCAGCAGTAGGAGGAGGGGAAACGACCCGCTTAGCAAAGCGAGCTCGCTTCGGGTCACGGGCTTGTCGGCCCTCGATGCCTCTCCCAGGTTCTTTGGCTTTATGAGTGGGCTTCGCTACCCGGCCGGAGCGGCGCACCGGCTGGGAAGACCCCGCCCCTTCGACCCTCCCAGGTCTGGCGGCGCCGAGGACGGCGGGAGTTTCAACGCTGTAGACGATGTTGGTGTGGGTTTCAGTATCCTCCACTTCGATGGATTGGCTTGCGAGTGGAGGAGGGACGACAGGATAGAGCAGGCCGCTACTGGCGGATGCCAGCGCGTCTTTTCTGCTCTGAGTGCCAGAGGACACGGCGTTGCTATCTAGCTTTTTGCCCCTCTTGGTCACGTGACCAGAGAGGACTTTCTCCCCTAGGTTACCCGCAGGCTGGCTCTCCAACACCTGGGATTTTGACGACCGGTTAGTGACTGCTAGGCTCTGGAAGGCCGGAGCAATGCCAATGGTCTGCGATGCGGCAGACGACGTGGGTTCTGTGAAGATGTCAGTGGATGGTTTTCCGCGGTAAGACTAATGATATTGCTCACCTTGAGAACCAGCAGATTGAGTCTCTACCGGTTGGCTAGACGTCGTCGCTGCAGCAGCTTTCGAGGAGATTTCCTGAGGCTTGGAGGACGCCGCACGGGACTTGATGACACGGCCGCCCAGCACCATGTCAGCTGACACCGACGTTGTGATTCTGGCACTCCGACGGGTGGAGGGACCCGGGATTGCCATGTGTGCTAAGGCCGACACTGGGGGGTGATCAATGCCATCGGGGGCCGAGGCGGAGGGGGAGGATTCCGTGACGGCAGTTGCAGGAGGATTGCCAACTGCCCGGCGAGGTCGGCCGGACGACACGGCGGCTACAATCACGATCAGTAACAGTAAGGTTAGTTGAGGGCTCGAATGGCACTTACCGGCCTTCCGCGAAGTGGACGCTCTCGCGGAAGCCTTTGTCTTTCCTGCCGCGTTGGCAGGAGCGGTGGTTGCCGCGGGTGTGGGCGCCGGAAGAGACGCCCCAAAGTTCGGATGGGTTCGCGAGAACACCATCTTTCCTTTGATCTGCCGGGCGTAATGCACCTGCAGAGACCCTTGGCTGTTATTGCCACCGTTTACCTCGTTGTACTTGACAGCGAGGTCCTGCCAAGACAGCTTATCTGCCTCTTTCAAGTGGCAGATAAGCCGGTCGTTGGCCTCGGAGTACTCTCCTCGTGGCATTTTAATTACCAGAGAAGAGAAGGAATGTTAGGTCTGCTTGGTAAACAGTGAGTTTTTGTCGGCAGAAAAAGGACACGACTCGTCCGAGTCTCTTCAATGTGGAACTGATGATTGTTGGAGATAAATGTGTGAGTGCTTAGGTGCGCGATATGCTGTGTGCACAAATTGCGGGCAATAAAGTGAGATGAAGGAAAGAGGAAGAGGAAGAGAAGTAAGAGAAGTAAGATCGAAACGTAAGTTGGAGGGGAGGCAGTCGTGTGTTAGGTGTTTTAATTATTGAGTCAATTTTGGATCCAGTGAATGTGGAGGTGGGTAGCCCATTCGTCTACTTCAGGCTCGATCGAGTCCCAAGAAGTGAATGTGAAATCCGGCACGGCTGGAACACTCGCAGAGTTTCCAGGGGATTCCTACGGGCGGACCAGTGACTCAATCAAAACAGAACGAACATGGTCCATTTCGCTCGAGGGGGCTTTGGAGGAGGATATGAGGGCATCGTGGTGGGCATTCATTGACCGTTCAGGGCTCTATTTGGGCAGGAGAATGAATCAAGAGGAAGCAGTTGAAGGGACTTATGAGTCCTGAAAATCGAATGCTCTTCTGCTGAAGAGCTGTGTCTGCCAGAACAATGCGAGGTCAGCGTCTGTTGAGCAGAGACATGGATGAAGATGTTGACTAGCATGTGGGAGATGCTAGGATCCAGCTTGTTGGAATTGAAGCTATGCTTTTCGTTTCCAACGAGTGTGAGTGCTGTGAAAGAGATGGATAAGACTTTCAAGATATATAAAGATGTGCAGTTTCGATCGTCGGTTATGCTGAATCTGTTCAGAATGCGTGAACGATTGAAGTTTATTGAAGTTAAATAAATATGCAAGATGCAAGGTCTGACAGAAGTAGAAGACCTGAAGGTGAGGGTGGTGCTGTGGTGAATGAGTTAAGGAAGGTTGTTTTGAAATTGGGGGGTGGCAGTGCATGTATCTGAAGCACCACATACGTTCACCCCAATTCACTATTACCTTCGACCCGAACCTCGAGCAATGCCACCTTCGTCAGGTTCAATTTTGGCAGCCGGGACAGGTAGCATCGTTCAAGCGTCCTGGTGTCCAGGCCCTGGCCCGTCATTTCCCTGACGATTTCGGACCCAACCGTTTACTAGAGGTCTATAGCATCCCGTCGTCTGATGAAGCAGACAGGATCGGTTTCTTGCTCTCTGTGTGCCCTTCCACCTGCGCTCAGATATTACGAGAGCTCCGCGCTGGGCAATGGCCGCTTCACGTTGATGCCTTTCCCTCGAATCTCCATGGAGAAAAACACGAGGCGGGTATGGAGCTCGGTATATGGAGATATATCTACGAAATACGAACATCCGGGTATAAAGAGCTTGTTCAAATGTTATAGAGTGTTGTAGAAGGCCTCCCCGAAACACAATAACGAGCAGGCAGTGCGGGACAGAAAATAGGACTGGCCAGCGTGGGACGAGTTGCCGCTTTGGACTTGTCCGGATCGTCCAGCACCTTGATTGCCACATTATCAAATTTGATAATGGTAGTAAAGCCTCCTTTCAGCACGCTGAAGACAAATATTTTTCCACTCGGTTCTTGTCGAGTATACTTTCCTTGGTAACAGATCGATCCGGTTCGCAGTGCAAGCGTTCGGCTCGCTAGCCAGCGTCACATATCCGCCATTGTAATAATTTCGGCATTCTGGAATACAACACTATGGTCTATTCGAGGTTAGCAAGGTCCTCATCAATTTATCATATCGCGACATTACTTTCTGAGATGCTGATACAGCTTTGGGAAGTCTTCGTGAATGGAAGGCCGCTACGAGAAGTTATCTATCATGATTGTCTTGCATAGCGTCCCGGACTCTTGGGGTAAGAAGCCTTCCACAAGTCGGACAGTCTCAAGATACCGGAGGTATACTTACCATCATGCGATATTCTCATCGCTGAGAAATACCCAATTGTGTTTGTTGAATTCCGACCACCACTCCTCCAGATTGCTGATGTCACGCTCGCTTTCCACCAATTCCAGCTTCTCGTCGTTATCCACCATCGCCCCATCCTAAACAGGGAGGCTCCTATCCCCGACTGGTAGAGAAACCCTCTATTCTAGAAAATGACGGACCCCCGGTGGAATCTCGATTCCGAATATCCAATGTAGCCAATGGAGTGGTGGAATTTGGCTCCTGTTCGATAGGTGTGGACATCGTAGCCAACTCCATAGGATCCTAGGGAAACGGCCCCTGCTGAAACTCAATACCACCCATTGTGAGTCATTTTGTATGCTGGAAATTGGCTTCAGAAACCGACACAGGTTGAAGAAGGTTTAAATGGTCAAATGGTAGAGGATGGGTTGGGACAAAGCGTACTCTGAATCTATGCAAGAATAATTATCGGGTTGACCGCAGGTAAGTATTCCTTTAGAAGAGGTAAAGCAGCCCTCCGATCCAAATTGTTCACCTTAGCCCAAAGGTAAAAGTTAACAAATGGGAGAAATCCCTTCCCTGCTAGGGGCGCTGTATGGGAGTCTGGAATAGTCTCCGTAAGAGACTCCCATTTGCACAGGCGGTTATAAATGCGCTCTACCATATCCGATGAGGATGATCCGTTGCCGAAAAATGACTTCCGAATTATCTGGGTGGTAAACACTTGTGGCAGTAGACGTTCGCCCAAGGTGACCATTATCGTTCGTCCCTGGATTGTCGTGGGAGTGGAACCTCCTTGATAGGCTGCCAACATCATATCGGGAGAGGTCAAAATGTCGGAACCGATCGACCTAGGATGGGACGCGGTATATTCTTGAATACCAGCCACGAAGGCTTCAACCGCAGAGATCATTGATGGAAGGCATGGAGAAGTGAGGTCCATGATAGGTTCAGTGTGAGATGGAATACTGCTACGGATTTCTCGGTCTCTATTGGTAAATGTAAGGATCCCACGTGTGCCACCAGCCTCGAGATTTGCGTTTCCGGCTTCAAACAAACCGATTAGCACCTGTACTCGAATTCTGCGTCGTCGAGTCGCTGTGGATGTTGGCTGATTGTGTTGCTAAGGTCGGCCGGTGGTGGTATAAAATGCTAGGGGAATATAAGACATTCAGTGCGCAGAATATGTTATAAAGGAAACGAAAGGCAGATTTCCAACGTTATATCATGAGTAGAGTGTAAGAGTGTTGGGCTGTACGCCCAGACTGCTGGTTGTGGCCGGGCGGCCTCAGACCAGTATTGTGTGAATGAGCAAAACGTATATTTAGAACTCTGGAAGGAGAGAGAGGCCTTTTCCTCCTCCTCTTCTTTTCTCTGGCAATTTGATAATGTCTCCACCATTCATAATACTCATTGATTGTGAACCGTTACAGAGAGACTATATTTTGCCTTGATACAGTCGCTTCAGTCGTTTCAGTCGTTTCAGTCATGCTCATCCTCATCCTCTTGTATTGACAACGTAGCAACTCTATTCGTCTCTTTACTAACAGAGAAGTTGGTTCTTGTCAGGGCACGAAAGAATGAGGTCAAACTCTTTAATTCGTCATATACGAGAATCAATTCTACAAAGGAGGAAGGAAGATCTAAATACAAGCCGCTGTGTGAGGGAATGATAAGTAGGCCTCGGGGTGAACACAACACATCGTAAGGCCATAGGGCACCTACACCCCAAGGCATCAAACTGAATTCAGTCTTCGATCCTTCACAGTTTTGAAACTAGACTGTAGATATAAAAGCCATAGCAGAAACACAACAGAATGGAAGGAGGTAGGTTGGCGCTGGCGGAGAGGCTGGCGCAAAGGACCACGCTGGCACAGAGGCCGAGGTTATCGTAACGGGCGACGCTAGCATAGAGCTAAGTGAGTTATGTTTAGGGTCAATATCCGAGTTAGCAATGCCTACTAAGCTGTCTCTATCATGTCGCTTTAACTTACTTATAATAACTAACTAGAGTATCGAAACTATACGTTAAACAGCGGGAGATAGACTACAAGGGGAAGCAGATATTGTGAGGTAGCCTGTGGAGAGATTTATGTAAAGGTAGGAAGTGAGGTAAGTGATAGAGGCCCCTCAAAATCCTCGCAATTGCTCGTTCGGATTCTCGAGGCGAGGCGGATTAATTATACTACGATGCGTGGTTCGCATGCAAATACTATATAACAAGACAATTAGAATGGATATACAGTTTTTGACGGGATATCTTTTGGCTTGATCCAGCCGATCTACCAAGTGTCACAAAGGCTCTCTCCTAATTCGAAATCATGTCGGTATCCTAGGCGCCTTCTCGCTACATATAGGGCTAGCGATATTGGAATGGTGGTGCAAGTGGTCTTCAAGAGAACATGCCTGTGTGCGGACGGGAATGAATGCGTGGTTCCTTAAATGGCATGCTCTCGAATATGTTGGTTGAAGGGCCGATCAGGAAGCGAGAGGTTCAAAATGCAATACCTTAGAAGGATCTGACGGCAAAGTGACGTATTCTAACCGATTGACTCTTGGCAAAATGCACCTGATACGGAATAGAGCGCTCACGGTACAGAATTGGTGAGATTAATTCGTTGAACTGAATGATGGCCAATGTCCTGTGGGACTACATGATGGAGAGAAGAAGTGGTCAGCATTTTGGTAATGGGTTACATGTTAGTGGTAAGTATATTCGGTTGATCTTCAAGGCTGGATGAAATATCAACTCTAGACGACGTTCGAGAGAAGAAGTGAGCTTGATGAGCCACCAAGGGCTTCGTATATCAAGAATGGGTCACCCAATGGTTGGACCCCGTCCTGCTAGGCTCGGCTCGTGACGATCCGGCATGCTAAGCACACGGTTGTAGGCTGCTAGTATTTTCTCCCGACCAACCATGATGAAGTTGATTGTCCAGATTGGATTTCAAGATTATCTGTACATGATCGTGACATGACATTGAAGGAAGCTTAGCATGGCATTCTGACCCAAAACGATCCAACGAATCTTGATGCTTCTACTATAAAAAATGAAAAATATGCTTGATCACAAGACAGAGAAATCGAGGAAGATGCGCAACTAAGGCGGAGCAAGGGGAAATGGACCCTGAAGTGGAGAGTTCGGCGAAATCAACGAATGATTTAGAGAGGGTAGAAATATGTCTTAAAGCCCTGAAATATGCATAGTTAGTTAGTATTTCTCAGTAATAAACGTGGCTCCCCAGAACAGTGCATGACTCGAACTTCTGTAGAATAGATATTTAAAATGGCAGGAAAGAGTCCTAGAGGTGACTGTACCCACTGCGATCTCGCTATTCGGATAGCCAAACCGCCCAAAGACGGCTTAATGAGAGATAGAGAAGTCAAAGACAAACTTTAAGCGCAGAGTCAGATGCCACTGAAAATGTACTTGATCAGATTCATGACTCCAAGCAGACACTTATGGGGTTCAGTCTGGGAGGGAACCGCGAAGCTGCCCAGAACAAATTGGCAAATGACGTATAGAGTAGCACTTGCATGATTTGACATTGTAAATCTTATGCGGTCATTGTTCATTATTATGGGTGTCGCTGTGATCGGTGTAGATTGTTTGCTCCAGTCTAGTCGTTGCTATTTGAGAATTGAGGTGGTTCTGGGGGGGGGTTGCTTTAAGATTGCAGATTGATTGGGTGATTGTTCCTGACTGAGGCATCCTGAACGTGTTCTGGACTTCTAGTCCTGTGTCCTCCCCGTTCAAATCCATCATCCATGTGGCCGAGATAACCGCTGCCGATTGGCGGCGATTGCAGACAAATCGAACCCCTGACCACATGACGTGCATCTGGACCCAGTTATTGCCTGAGGCTACGGGGCTACAAGGCGCGTCATCCGCTTCTCCGTCCCGAAAGCGGCTGTCAGAGCCTCTCTTCCCCGGATTTTTGTCCTTTGCATGCAATGAGCCCTAAAGACGGGCCAGCAGTCAGGACGCGAGCCTAGTAATGCTGATCAATCCCAATGTCGCAAGCCAGCCCAGCTCCGAAGAGAGCCGAACCACCACGAAAGAGAACTAGAACCGGTTGTCTCAAGTGCCGGCAAAGACGACGGAAATGTACGTTGTACGACTACCGTATGGCGTTGAAGCTTTTGGCTGATCGATCTAGGCGACGAGGGCAAGCCGAAGTGTCAGAACTGTATATCGAAGAACTTTGAGTGTCGCTATGCGAATCCAGTTACCTTTCTTGCCAAAAATGCATACACAGTGCTTGAATCCTCGAAACCTGAGCAGATACCGACGTATACTAATCTGACCGTATGTTTCGGATCAGCATCAACACATGTGACCAAAGCTAACTGTTGCATAGCTTATCAATTCCACATCTCCTGCGACCAGGGGAGCCAATCCTTCTCCTCATCATGTGTCCTTTCAAACCCATGCCGAAGTGGACATCGACCCCCAGAATACCCCAACAGATCTCCCTCATGAAGGGTTAGACCAAATACCACCGGGTGACTCGTATGAGTCTGCCCTTCATGGCTTAATTGCTTTAGGGTCAAGGAACTCAGCCTTGCAAAGTCCATCTCCAGCACGGCATCTCCCTGTACCGATCCACTCCACGAACGATATTTCAGCGGACTTGATGCTCGAAGATGCTCGACTTCCGATCTCTGGATTCAGCATACCTGATCATCTACCTGGCCAAGATGATTTTCCTTCGATGGAAGTGGACTTGTCGGAGAAGCGAGTATTAGACCTATTGCGGTATTTCAGATATGAAGTTGCGCCGTGGTTGGACATATGTGATGTGGAACAGGACTTCGGGCTTGTCCTACCTAGACTCGCGATGGAGTCTCCAGCTCTGCGTTACGCCGTTCTAGCACTCTCATCACAGTCCATGACAGGTACACTGCAGCTTCCAAAGGCTTCAACGAACAACCAAGCCAGAGCGTACCTACAACTCATGAAATCTCACCTGAGTGAGGAAACCAATCCATTGGCGTGGTTTGCTTGCTCGGTCCTCTCCGTTCTCGTACCCCTTTTACATGACATGCCGGGAGCCTGGAAGGAGGAACTTTTAGTGAACGCCAATCCCGCCGATCTACCAAATTGGCCGCAAGATTATTCAACCGGGTTGGGATCTTCATTTTTATGGCTCTGGTTAAGACTGGAACTCGGTAAAGGGCTGGCGGAGTCTTCCCCTGTTACAATCCCACCCGTCGTTGAAACCGCCTTGCGAGAACAAATGATCAATGTCTTTGAGCAAGGGATCCAATACACGCACCAAGCCATCCTTTATTGCGTTGAAGCGGCAAACGTATGCTGGGGCGGACCAGAAATATCCCACCCCGAAACGCCTCGAAGACCACTAGTTGAAAGATGGCAACACTTGTACGATGAACTCGAAAGATGGTACAATTTCCGACCCGTCGAATTCCTCCCGATCGTCGATCTCGAGGTAGGACGCGGCCCAAGACGAGTAGAAAACTCAGCGTTTCCCGTCATTATCTTCACCAATGGAGGCAGCATACTCGGAAACCAGCTGCATCACACTGCCATGCTCATCCTCCTGCTCCACAAGCCACGAACGCTCAGACTATCTGCCGTTTCATCCTACACGTCTCCACTTTGGCATGCAGAGCGGTTGTGTGGGATAGCGCTGAGCAACAGCCACCGTGAGACGTGGGATCCGTGTCTTCTTGCGTCTTTGCTTTTAGCAGCTAGACGGATGACGCATGGTTCGCAACAGCAAGCATTGTTGGATGGATTCGAAAGAATCCGAACCCTTACAGGATTCGATGCTGGGTTTCTTTTGAATGACTTGAGGGGGTGCTGGGGGCCAGTGGCGCTCGTTTGAGAGGCTAAATCGCTTCTTTTGTGAAGGGTACGAAGACCTAGTATCCTTCAAGGCTTGCGAATCTTGTATCCCCAAGTTGTTTCCAGGTCTGCGATTCGCCAGCTGGTTACCCAGCCAGTTATGTCTTCGATGTTCTTGAAGAGTTTGATGATGATGGCATGCTCTGATCTATGTGTCAGATGGCGTCCGGCGATCCACAAAGGTTGGATTGCGTTGTTCAAGCATCCTTGATGAGGGTTCGTCACTGAAATACCGCAAATCCGCTTCGCATAACCGAGCGTCGCATCCGCCACGCTGACTTTGCCCTTCATCGACTTGGGAGCCATATTGAGGAGCAGGATACAGCCGGTATGGTGCAGCTGATTAGCTGAGATCGCCGCCCAATGTAGGAATAGAATAAACGGAAAGGGTTCTGCATCGATCGTTTGGATCGGCAGGAATTCTGCTGGTCGATCGTCGAGCCAACACTGCAGGTCGTCCCACAGTTGCATCCATCGCTCCACATAAACCTCGTCTGTGCAGCCATTCTCCTCGCCGAGTTCGACGTATTTCGTCCGGTCGGCGAGGAGCTCGCAGATTTGCGCGCAGAGATATACCGCGTAGTTCGCATGCATGTCTGATGAATGGGCTTGCGCAAACAGCGTATGAGCATCGTTGGCCGGAGTTCCTGGAGGTAGCCATTTGGAAGAATGGATCAAAGTTCCTTGTGTCCCATCGGACATTAACGCACCGCAGAGGTCTGTATGTGTCATGTCAGCGCTCAGGATGTCGTTTAAGCCAGGGGGGGAGCCAATTACCCATCCGCGCGTAACACCAGAAGAGAGCCTGCCATAGGCCGTTACTAAAGCCATGTACATTGAAAGAATCAAAAAGGGCGGCACAGCCATCGAGATGTCGATGCCAATCTTCTCCACTGGCAGACATCATCTCCATGCAGCATAATATGACGCAAACGGCGATCGCGTCTTGGTCACGAGATTGGAGAAGTGGTTTAAGCGATTTGATCGCTACTTGGTATAGCTCCAGGCTATCGTATGTGTGCCGCTTGCCTTCCTTCAATTCCATTTGCCTGGCAGAGAGGGCGAGGATGGAATAGAGTAAGGCAGGATTTCGGCACAATGCCGGAATTTGTATACCAAATGTTCGATGAGAGTCGAACATGTCAAGCTAGGGATCGTCGTCAGCCAAATTATATTTGTACGAAGTCTCATAGTTGTAGCATACCCATGGAGCTACTTGGCCAATATAATTCTTAAGATACTCCAGTCGCCGATGACTTGCAAGAATCTGTTGCATCTGCCGATACGCCCCCCCAACATCTGCGGTATCTGTATCGCCTCTTTCCGTCTCAGCATGAGAACCTAGACTTCCCCTCCTACTTGGCGCAGGTGTCTGGGCTGTGGTGAATAAGAGCGCCCGAAGCTCATCCTGCGAAGCGAGGAATGCCGGGTCGTTGATCGATCCTTGAAGACTCCAAGTCGTCATAGGAGAGACAGAGTCGTCCCCCTCCGGAAAAGGAGACATAATTGACTCCATTGTTGTCTAGCATCAAACGAGGAAAGTTGACGGAGTCTAGTCCATCCAGGGTGGAAGAAATTGATTGCCCTTCACCTTCGACGTCAATCTCCAGCATACGAAAACAGAGAATCGTATTGGCCTCCCAAATTAAAGGGAATATAAAGGAGGAACTCGATATATTTAGACAGGTAACAGGAGGCGAAAGCAGACAACGATTGAGAGTTATCAACGCTCGGGGAGAATGCTTCAGGAGCCAGGATCATCAATTTCTTCCCTTCGAGATGGTCAGTTTAGCGCTCTGGGGGTAGATTTCATAACAATAAAATCCCAATAAATTATCCGTCCTTCATAGAGAAGTATTCAATATTATTGTTTAGGAAATATTGTGCAATAATGCGATCGATGAGCAACACGGTTCAACCCAAAACTGGACCAAATAGGTGGGCACTACGAAGAGCGCAACAGAATATCAGCTTAGTAAACAGAACAATGAACCTCACCCACAGCTATCGATATTACGATCTTCGAAAGTCGCATGCGTCACAAAAGAGAGTATTATATACAGAGTATCAATCACGTGCCTCATACCCTCTGATGTTCTCCCGGCCTTGGTCTAACATCCTCCCCTACCTAGGCCTGAAACACCGGTTAATTAAGGCAAGACAGGAGACGCGAACCGGCAAGCGGTTCGCCCAAAAAGAGCCTTGAGGAACGAAGCTCGAGTTGGCGATTTCGAATTGGGAACGGACGGCGGCATAAACCTTGAGTCTCTTCGTTCCTCAAGGCACTACGTTCCTCCAGGCATGATCATCTTCTACTATTTCCGTCTTTGTAACGTCAGCGTATCTATTTTCGGACACCTGAGAGTCCCTGCGGACTGCCTACCGTCCAAACTGCATACCGTCCAAACTGCATACCGTCCAAACTGCCTACCATGCGGACTGCCCACCGTGCGGGACTTCTGAGTGATGATTATGCAAGTTCGCTGCATAAGCTCAGCTACTACAGTGACACAACGCAGGCTATCAATTATTGGCAATTCCCACTGTCGAGATGAAAGATCTAACTAGCAAAACAGTTAACGATGCATACATAGGAAAGGACTGAGCAGTCTTAATTTGGTTTAGCGCAGGGGTAATCGGCAACGATATTATTGCTGCCCTGTTCCATGACCATAAGCCTGCAAGATATTCGAAGCAATCACACGATAGTGACCATTTTCGATGTTCTCCTTTCTAAGAATTCCCGGCAATTTGAAGCATTAGAGGCCACAGATCTCCCATACTTGAATTGCAAAGTCAATACTCCCAGTCTTTTCCACACTTCTTCGTTCTTGACTGGGTCGAGTATGATGGCATAAGCTAAGTCGAAACTCTTAAAGCTAGAGACGGTCAAAAAGAGAGCAAGAACTGCGTCATTTAGTTCTTCACTATTTTGCCTATCCCAGAGAAGATGGGGGTCCAGGTGACTCAAGTCTTTCACCAAACTTGATGGTCCGCAGATTGTGATAGCTCCATCTTCAAGCTGACCAAGGTGGTTGTAGCCATCGACGGGTTTCACCTAAATGTCTAAAGCTTTGGCAACGTCCATTGGCAATCCATGCGGGTCTTGACTCTGATAAAAGTTCAGCGGGCCGTCCATACTTGCCCAGCTCCAAGATGGGGCGCGATATGTTGATGATCGTGTCACTTCAGCTGAAGCCGCCTTATCTCGTTCCCAGAGAAGGGACTTTGGTAGGGCAGATTTCAAGATGCCCGCGACAAGATTGTTCCCGGTTGTCTCTTCGTAGAATCGGGCTACTCCAGCCAGAGCAACCAACTTGTCCGCCATAGGATTGGAGTGCGAGAGGAGCGAATAATTGTTCAAGATATCAATCCAGTCTCGTATCCGGCCGCGTTCACTGTCCGATTTCGTAAGCCAATAATCGGTATAGATGTAGTTCTTCTGAGCGGTTACAAAGCCAGCCGGACATGACTCGCTGGCAATTGGACATCCAGCATATTCCCAAAATATCTCACCAGCGCAAAAATGAAGTGTTCTTGGGGAGAGAATGCGTTCGGAGAGGACCCATCCCCGAGAGCCAAGAGGTTCGGATGCAAGGGCAAAATCCGCAACATTGCTGAAAGTAATTAATACGTATTTCTTTGAAGGTGTTGAAAGAATTTTCTCAGCTTCGCTGCTCCTGAAGATAGGTCGGATAGGAGGCCAGTTTCGTGGGCCCAAAAACCCCTCGGCGGTTGATCTCGCCCGATCAGCTGATAAATTGAGGATGCAGTTCGAGTATATATTGCTCATTGTGCTCGAGTGTTCAATCCAATCTTGCCCTCCGTCGCCCTTTTGGATGATACAAAGGCTGTCAACCCAGATATAATTAATTCTTAGTCTTTTCGCAACATAAATGGCATCTTGAATTGTTTTGGAAAGCGAGGGAAAGGCAATATTTCTGCGAAACTCTTCCTCATTCGATGTAGTCAGGATAAGTTGCGTTGGTCCCTCACCCCAACAGTACGATAGAGCACAATAGGGTTCCTGGGTTGTTCCAAGAGCATCGAGAGACAAACAAAATGTTTCTCCACGGATATCAAGAAGTCGGCGCGGGCGAAACCCTGGTGTTGTTGATCGATTGCAATTATCGTGGCCTAATGATTCGGTGGTGCAATTTGAAAGCCATTGAGCTGCCAATTTGAACACAGCCGGATCATCCATGGATTCGCTTAATGGCGAGCTGCGACAAGTCTCTAGTGAGCGATGATAGCTTGGATCATCTTCTAGGAAAACATTAAGTCGAAGCTGCGTGTAGTGCGAAATTGGCTGCCAATGCTTCTCTCAGTGCTCCACCGTAAGGACGATGAATGCCGCCAGCGTTCTAGATTGAGATATAAGTACCAATAACGCGCTGCTTCTGAAATTTTCGTCTAAACTGCCATAAGTACGTAAGTGGTACCTCATAAAGATGTCGCAAATCCGACAGCCACGTTCCCCAGCGGCAAAGAAAGAGCGGCCGCATTCGTGGTGTTTCCCCAACCAGACTTCCGATTGGCTTGGAATTCGAGCTTCAAGTCGTACAACATAGTTAATGCGATATTCGCATCGCACACAGCTCTGCATTTTTATACAGCTGCTCAAATTCCTTGTCCAACGACAAAGCACACTCTACAACTCTCCGACAACCTGGTCAATTTCTAACCATAACCTCAGCTTATTTCAAACAAACTTAATATACCAAATAGAGGTATTATTTATATAAAAATTGGCCTAATGGTCTAGTCGTATGATTCCTGCTTTGGGCTTAGCTTAATTGCAGGAGGTCCCGCGTTCAATTCGCGGTTGGGCCCAATTATAATATCTTTTTGCATTGTTACAGAATGTTATATTTTGTAGAATTTTTATTTATTTAATTGAGATACGTTAAGATATGCACCTAGGAGTTACTCGGTCATCGTTGGTGTTAAGAAGCAAAAGAGATCTGACCCCAAAGGAATAATAGTACTTTGGAGCTTGGGGGGCAGACAAACAACCACTGGGCTTTTTAGGATTAGCTGGTCATGACCGACTGGCCCTGCCTTCAACCTGAAGGATTCCGTGTCGCAAACGTAATATCTCTTCGAACCCTTCGGTTTATTTATCAAACATCTCAACTTATTCCTTAATGCCTCATAAATTTGATCGTTATGCCAGGTAGAGTTTTATTACAGTACACCACTAGCATGATTGATTGTGGTGATCTTCTGACAATGACTGAGCAATTCAAAGTGCTGATCAAGCACTGTGAGGGACAATGGGTTCTAGGTCCTGAGGCTCTACTTCCCAGGGTTGCAAACATGTTCTGCTACGATAAAACTATCATCTGCGACCCAAGAATTAATCACAGCCATCATTCCTTGCTTAGGTATTATGGGTTTGAAGTTTCGAGGCCTGAAGATGTCCACCAGGGGGGGAGGAGCTCTGAACTCTGGAACCACGATGCGGTACTACAATAATTAATAATAATAGGCTCCTCATAAACTCTACCGGTAACAGGACCGACTAGTACCCTCGGAGAAATTATAACTATTGGCAGTCGCCCCCAGGAAACTTCTCATTCCTCAACTAGCCCTAAAAGCGTAATGGTAAGCGCTTCTCAGGGTCTGGACTGTCTACTGTGTACGAACAATTTGCGACACCTTCGGCGCAAGGAGAGCCGCAGGGCAGAAGGTGCTCTATATTCTCTTTGAGTTCGGCTTCATCGATATATGACATATTGTCAAAATTCCCGGGATTATCCATCTGGAACTTCACCAGTCGAGAAAGTTAGCACAATGGCACCTGCAGTGCTGGAAAACAGAACGAGAGACCACTTGCAGTTTACTCCCATCCTTCCAGCAAAGTCCGTTCCGCCTACAACTCTTACGACCACCCTTTCGAATCCGTCGATACAAGTTACCGCAGATCATCAGATCAAGCAAGTCAACGCTCCAGTTTACGCTCCCGGACGAGGGGAAGTCCTTCTACATATCAAGGCGACTGGGGTTTGCGGGTGAGTCCAGAATGCGGCGCTGTTGCATGGTTCTATTCGTGGGCAAACGCTCATATCGATGTTTGATACAGGTCAGACATCCATTTCTGGAAAACCGGGCGGATTGGATCGCTTGTTGTTGAAGGCGACTGCATCTTAGGCCATGAAGCTGCCGGCATCGTTTTGAAATGCGGAGAGGGGGTCACTGACTTGAAGCCTGGTAAGGACCGCTATGATTTCCAGGGTAGATATATGGCTAACATTGTTCAGGCGACAGAGTGGCGATGGAGCCGGGCGTGCCTTGTGGAACATGCTTCCTCTGTATGGACGGCCGATATAACCTTTGCGGAGACGTGAAATTTGCTGGCGTCTATCCTTACCATGGCAGTCTTCAGAGATATAAGGTCCATCCTGCGAAGTGGTTACACAAGTGAGGCACCCATCGACCGTGAGAGACCGGAGATATACCCAAACTACAGCATCGACATTTTTGGACCGCGCTGACATAGAATCCAGGCTCCCCGACAATGTTTCATTCGCCGAAGGCGCCCTAGTTGAGCCTCTTTCAGTTGTCATGCATGGCATCGACCGAGCCAGACTGAGTCTTGGTCATCCGGCTCTCGTCTGCGGTGCTGGTCCCATCGGGCTCATTGCGGTGGCAGCAGCACGAGCATCAGGTGCTCATCCTATCGTTATCACCGATCTGGATCCAGGACGACTTGCCTTTGCCAAAGAATTCGTTCCCTCCTGCACCACCTATCAAATTGACCGCTCATTAGACGCTGAAGGCAATGCCAAAGCGATCCGAAAGTTGTACGGCGAGACTGAGTATGTTGCTCCACAGACGGTTTTGGAGTGTACCGGAGTCGAAAGCAGCGTTTGCACCGCCGCGTTTGCGGTCAGAAGAGGTGGGACAGTCATGGTGATCGGTGTTGGACGAGAAATCATGAACAATCTCCCATTCATGCATCTATCACTTGCCGAGGTAAGTCAATTCACACGAATCGGACGCTACTCGACAGCGGCTAAGTTCGTATGATAGATCGACCTCAAATTCATCAACCGGTACCGTGATACCTGGCCCGCAGGCATCGCGTGCCTGAGCAGTGGCATCTTGGATCTGAAGAAACTCATATCGCATACATTCCCTCTCGAAAACGGGCTTGAGGCACTTCAGCTTTGCTCCGACATCACTAAAGGCGGTATTAAGGTCCAGATTATCGACGATGTCGATGTGAGTCTGTGATGCAGGTATGCCCTCTTAGATGAAAATCCAGTTTCGTTTAGAGCCTAGACCATAACCAATTTCGCTTCCCGAGTTCTGAACGGCATTTTGGCAAGGAGCGGTTGCACTGAACAATTGTAACTTAGCGTGGATACGGCCTTGGCTTGGGCGTTCGGCCCGGTGGTTTAGGCTAAAGATGATTCTACCGACCACGGTATCTCCACCTTTACGGCTAAGTTGCGCTTCACCTTACCGCTTCCAGTAATATTTCCGCCGCCCCCAATCGGGTCGTCAAGAAGTAAAATAAAGATGATCTCATAATACCCAAGCTGCCAGACTTGAGGAGCACTTCAAAAAATTAATTCAAACCTCGAAATTTTGTGTCTAGAACCTATCTTGTTTTACTTCATCATCAAAGTTTGAAGCCAATTTATTTCAAAATGCCAGGAGATCTTGTCACACTGGCCTCCGGCCACAAAATGCCCCTCGTGGGTTTCGGTCTCTGGAAAGTCCCAGCTGATACCGCAGCGGAGACTGTTTACAACGTGTGTTCCGGCGAGAGAGTTGGAATCGGATCACATCTAACGTATAGCAGGCGATCAAAACCGGTTACCGATTGTTCGATGGAGCATACGACTATGCGAACGAGAAGGAGGCTGGTCAAGGCATCAAGAGGGCCATTGATGAGGGCCTCGTGAAGCGAGAGGAGATTTTTGTCACGACCAAGCTATGGAACAACTACCACGAGAAGAACCATGCGTTGAAAATGGCCAAGTCGCAGAACGAGGCATGGGGATTGGGATACATTGACTTGTACCTCATTCACTTCCCGGTTCCACTGAAGTACATTGAGCCTGAGACCCTCCAGTTCCCCGTAGGTTTTCTCTTCCTTGATTAGCATAGTCCTTGAAGCTCACTGCCGTATGCACAGGGTTGGTGGATGGACAAGGAGCAGAAGCTGATCGAGAAGGCGAATGTTCCTCTCCACGAGACCTGGGAGGCCCTCGAGGAGATTGTCGACTCCGGCATCGCCAAATCGATCGGTATCTCCAACGCCAACGCGCAGACTCTCTATGACCTGCAGACGTATGCCCGTCACCCCATCTCCGCCCTCCAAATCGAACATCACCCCTACCTCGCCCAGCCGGAGCTCATTGCCATGGCTCAGGAAAACAACATCGCTGTCACCGGCTACTCATCTTTCGGACCACAATCGTTCCTGGAGCTCCCAGAGGCATTCCGCCGCCGAACAAAGGATATAACTCTCCTCTTCGACGTCGAGGTCGTAAAGAACGCCGCTCAGCGCACTAGCAAGTCTCCCGCGCAGGTCTTGTTGAGATGGGCCACCCAGCGAAATATCGCCGTGATCCCGAAGTCCAACAATGTCAACAGACTGAAGCAGAATCTGGAGGTGACCGACTTCGATCTGACGAAGGAGGAGCTCGAGGCCATCAGTGCCTTGGATAAGGGCTTGAGGTTCAACGACCCTGGGTTCTACCTCCACAAGCCGTTGAGGATCTTCGCATAAAGCTAAAGACCGTTTCGGGCATTCAACCACACAGATTGACGGAACACGTCCGCATCCCGCATTCCCACATAGTCTTTTCCGTTGGAATTTTCCGCATCTCATGGTGCGATAGCGGCATTAACAGTTAGCTAAACTGGGGAACGTGGGCCGCACCCTGTTGGGAGCAAGGATTTATGTCACAATACTCCGAATGTACCTATGCCATGGATAGCCGTTGGTCATAAGAAATAAATAATAGACCATAACTTCGGCCTTATTTCCGTAAAGATCTCCGTGTGGTGCAGTGTCTGGGAAACTAGCAGCGCGTAAATGTGAACAATATTAACCTCTATTGATGACTTGACGTGTATCCACAGGCCATACTCCCGCAATCTAGATCCGACTAATTATGCTTCTCTCTTTTGGAAATCGTAGTTTACTGTACTACAGATCATGCAACGTGCCAACGACGACCATACCTGTCTTCACGAGATCGATGCCAGGATTCGATCCTCACTCCAGTATATTGGTACTCACCACTCATGTCACAGAATATCTGTATTTCTTGGCGTTTCCCCACGGCTTCATTCCGTATTCGATTCTATACTCCTATTCTTTCCCTTTTAAGGAATAGATCACCATTGTAAACCATATAAAATAGCTGCAGGAACAGCCTGTTTTCGTAGGACCCGGCTCTTCAGGATCAAGTTCAATCTATCTACGCTCTTTTGGAATCTAACGGGGTTTTCCCACCGTGTCGCTGCATTAATTATCCGAATGAGCGAAACCGCTATTTATCTCACATGTCACCTCCCCAACCTCTGAAAATTCGGTCCCCTGGTAAATCCATGTGGCGGATCGCCATAAGCAGCCTGACGCAAAGACCGGGATATAACTGTCGGCATAAAATCCTATTCCCAGCATTCAGGTTCACAACAAAAGAAAATTTCTTCCCCGGCCGATGACTTAGTCGTATCGGTATCCACTGACCCCATCCCCAGCCGACGCAGCGCTAAGGTACCTAGAGGCATTTCGGCATCCCTACCCGGCATTGAACCGGATTTCCCATTATTTTTTGGTTGAAATGATCGGGATGCGCCGATGCGAAGCCCCAGTTCCCGATGACAGAAGGCGAGCCCCGTTAGATGGCCGTCCAGGCCTCTATGGGAGGGTAGCGGCTAATGGTTAGCGGTTTTGAAGGATTTACCCCCTTGCGCGTACGAAATTTGGCGTTCGAGATTTCGAGTCCTGCAGGGCGGCTGAAGGCCGGAAGCAGTGTTTCTTTCATGATAGCCTAATCTGTAGGCTGAATTCGCGACTGGTGGGGACTGTGGTCAATCGCAGTGGATTGTATATGGATATTTCGTGCCTATAGAAAGCGGGATTTAGAATAGGCTTATTTCACCGCTAATTTAGAAGAAACCACAATATACGCATGAGGTGAGGACAATTTGAAATGATCTTTGATGATCTTTTAAGTTCAACGGGTCAATGCCGAAGGACTTCACTGATTATTATTTGTCTATAGTTACAAGCTAGACTTTTCCTCCAGACATCTTCTCGCTGATGGATTCAATCGCAATGTTCTCAACGGAGGCGTTCAAGCCAACTTCTTGCCGTGCTTCGGCAAGGAGAATTGCATCCTCCGCACCAACCTTGCTGCCAAATACCCGGTCCATCTCTTCGAGAGTGGCACCTTTAGTTTCAGGAAGGTAGAAGAACACCCAGGCGATACCAGCAGCAAGGAAACCGGCGAAGAAGATGTAGGTACCCCACTCCAAAGTTTCGAACATAGGGGGAACGTAGAAGGCGACGGCAAAGTTGTTGAGCTGGCCTCAGTTAGTAAGGCGATACGAGAATCAGAGAAGAGATACACACCCAGTTGCTGGAGGCACCGATGGAAGCACCCTTCGATCGAATCGACAGAGGGAAGATCTCCGAAACCAACGTCCAAGAGACAGGTCCCCAAGTGGCACCAAATGCACCGACATAAACCCAAATGAAGGCCACCGCGACCCAACCCGCGACCTTGTTGGCGACCCAATCATGTTGGCACTTTGCGACGATGATTCCGGCAAGGACCATGGAGACCAGCATCACCACGGAACCGACGAGCAGCATGGGCTTTCGTCCGACTTTGTCAATGATGACCATTGCGGGCAGAGTGCTGACGAGGAAGACGACGCCGGTCACACCGGTGGCAAGCAGCGCCGTGGTCCCGCCAGTCAAGCCGAGGCTTTGGAAGACTTGAGCTGCGTAGCTAGAATCATGGTTAGATTGATTCAAGAAAGGTGATTTGTATGAGGACTCACTAGATGATGGCGTCGATTCCTGACCACTGCTGGAAGAACATGACCAGCCACGCCGTGGACACGCGCTTGAAGTTGTCCCACGTTCGGACGATATCCCAATATTGAGCGAACTCGCGGACGAAGACGTTCGAACCCTTCTCAGCCAGGCTAGGGAACTTCTTAGTGAAGTTCCGCTGCTCGAAGATGCGCTCGGCTCTGATTTCCTTGAACTCAATTTGGACGAGCTCGTCATCAATGGGAAGCTTGCGGAGGTATGAGATGGTGTTTAACGCCTCCTCATCCCGTCCTTGTTTGACCAGCCAACGAGGGGAGAATGGAAGCCACCATATACCGAGCGCAAGGAGGACGGCAGGAATACCTTGGATGATGGAGGGGAGCATCCACGCCAGGTTTGTCTGCCCTTCACCGGTGCCGCCAATGTAGTTGGCGCCATAGCCAATCCAGAAGGACAACATGATACCCAAGATCGTGGCGAACTGGTAGAATGATACCAGGAGACCACGAAGCTCGGGGGCAGCGATTTCAGCGTTGTAGAGTGGCCTATCAATAATGAGCGAGGAACATCGTACACGTCTTGAGTCAGCTTACCCAACACCACTGAAGGTTCCTACACCCACACCGGTGAAGAACCGACCAGCGTAAAGCATTGCCGGATTGTGGTAAGTAGCACCAATATACAGGTAGCTACCAAGGATCACCCAGCAACAGGCAGAGAACATGGTATACTTCCGTGAGAAAACCTCGCCGAAGATACCGGCGGTAAGCGAACCCAGAATACCACCCAGTTGAAGGATAGAAGTCAACCACCCTGTTGCACCGGGCGAATTCACGATGGACGGGAAATTGTCCACGAACTTGGTCATGACCAAAGACTGGCCGAGGACACCCTGCTGGTAGCCATATTCAAAACCACCAAAGCTGGAAGAGAGTCAGCAACACGGACAATCAAAGGGAAATCGGGATGCATACGAAGCGAAAAAGGCAATGAAGATAATCTTCGGATTATTCCAAAGAGTCCGCCATCGGTTTTTGTACGCCAACTCGGCACGGAGCTGCGCGCTAGTTGGTTCTGTGACTTCGACGCCCATTATGAGTATTAGTGAAAGCAAAGGAGATGAGACACAGAAGGGAGAAGGGAGAGGGTAAGGAAGAATTTAATCATCGTGAGAAGGGCGAATGGAGTAGTTATACACGCATCACCCCCAGGCAAGGGAATAATGTAGCGGTATGATATCCATATTTTCCCTCCAACAATTCCATCCCCAGTCCCCAGATTCCCTAATAGCGAATGAACTTTGCGGGTACCCCGGATATCACATGAACATGCGGAGATTGCAAAAACGCCCTATCGTGGAGTCTCCGCTCAGGTCCAAGGCTTAGTGAGAAAAGCTCGCGTGGTGTTGAACCGAAGTTGACGATGGCGATCTTTGCGTAAAGTGGTTGAGCTGTCGGTTCGAAGAGCAGCGAAAGGAACGGTGTCGCATCGGCTTCGCGCTAAGCACCCTAGTCTCAGTTACATCGGTCGGCTTGCCGCTGAGGATGCGATGCTGGTGGCTACAATTACCTAATTCGGACCACTTTTGTGGGTACTGGAGCAGTCTGGATTTCCCTGAAAAAGATTTTAAGGCGGAGAGTTTTGAGAACATGAAGAAATCAGACGACTGTGGAGTACGCCATGAGGCCATGGGACGTTCAAGACGGCAAGACTGCTGGCTTTGAGGGATATCTCATCTCCCAGCTCCATGACTGGCAGCCATACTCAAAAGTGCTTTGCAGTCGGACAACGCCCGAGAGAACATTGAAACGAGCGACAGAAGCGCCGGCAATAAACAAGAGCTGACGGTTAACGCCTCGAAATTGCTGTGGTCACGGGTCTAAAATAGTTGACATACTGTTGGATCGAGAGAAATGGGAAGTGAGAGGCTATCACGGAAAGGACTTGGAGTTACACTTGGGAAGCAGTAACCGAAGGATCTCGGTCTCGTATACGGTATATCCCACCAGGTATAAGATGACGGGAGAAGCCAGGGTTGTGATTCCTCGAGTCGGAACTCCAGGTACATTTCCACGAAAGAACCGTGGATAGACGAGATCTCTTGTCCGTGATGGCAATGTGCCCGATGGCGAAGTTGCAGGAACCGACTGACCTTCTCAGCCAGAGAACAGGTTAGAGCGTCTGCAATGTGAACCCCATGATCTATACGGAGTAAAACTTGTGAGCTGTGCCTCCTTAATAGTGAGCCTCAGCACGCAAGTCGCAAAGGGAAGGAGGCCGGGTAAAGGGAGTACTCCCGAGAGAAGGGTAGAACTCCTACAGGAACCGCATGTCAGGCCTCAGCAGTCAGCACCATGTGTCCCCGGTTCTGATCTCCACACTCCACAGTCGACGCCTACGAGAATACCCGACGGCGGGATCACAGATCGACAGAGGGTCGACGGCGCATCGCTGCTGTCGATGCGATCTCCCGACTCCCCGGGGTCGGGTCGTCGAAGGCCTGATATGCAGGATCGGTGAACGATGCACGTTCCGGATCGGTGGGATTGAATACCAATGGGGAATGGAGATCATGAAGATGGAGTCGCATGTAGACTAGGCAATGGAGAGGCGTGCCGTTCCGCGATCGACAGCTATCGCCCTGTCGAGTGTCGACAAGGTAGAGGCGGACAATATCGGGTAGGGGTCGTCAGGACACAGGGCCACTCTTATGGCACGTTATGGCAAGGCAGGGAACCCAGCCGAATATTAACATGCTCCATTCTTGACGTTCGCTTTTCATGAAAGTTAAAGTGCTGCCTTATCGTGGTATCCATATCCGGATGCGGAAACCCCGGTGGCCAATTGCGTCACTCGCATTTTACCCGGACACTCGTCCACCATCCCATTCCATATTATCCACGCTAAAAGCCGAGACATCGGTGAAGACTGAAGACTGCAGGATCCTGGGATCGGATCGGATCAGATATCCACATCAATCCCAAAGTCCAACTCCCCGATAATCTCATCGTCCATCTTCACCCTCGCGAACCCGGGTAATCCCTTTCGCTCCTTCTTCGGCGCCGGCGTGCTCGCACCTGACCGCGCTGCGGGAGTGGCCGTGCGGCTAACATCGCTCCCGTCCCCGAAGAGCTCGTCCTTGGGCGCCAGCAACCCCCCCTTCTTCTCCCGCTGCTCCTTCTCTAGCAACGCCTTCTGCTCCTCTTCCTTGGCCTTCGCTTTCGTGCCGGCGACTTCGCGAGCGGCGAGTTCGCGTTTGCGTTGGTGGACGAGAGCGCGGCGGACTTCCTCGGCGTTGGCTTTGCGGTTGCGTTCGTTGATCGCGGCGAGGCGGTCGACTTTAGTGGCGCCGTTGCGCGCGGACTTGTCGTATTCGTTGATGTCGTATTTGTCCTGGCGGCGGATCTTCTCGTTGATTTCAGAGTCGGTCCAGGTGTGGTTGAGGAGTTTGTGGATGCCGTCGCAACGCGCTTCAAGGTAGGAGAGCTTGGGGATCTTGGCCCCTTCGGCTTCGCAGACTCGCAGCCAACGTTGGTATTCAACCTGGGATTGTTAGAATTGATGGGAGCATAGTCCTAGAGTGGTCATACTTCGGTGAACTTGGAATCGGAGCAAGACACGAAGGGCCACGACTTGTCCGATTTCCCGTAGGTAAGGATTGCCATTTGATCGGTCATGAAAGGACCAGTAGGACCTTCCATCTTGTACGGCTTGCCTGTGGAGAATCCTGTATAGTTGTTAGCAGATTGTCACCGAGCCAAGGTTTGGGTACAATACCTTTGATCTGAGCCATCCGATAGACATTCTGGCGGGTGACAGGATCAAGGCCCACGTTGACGCGACAGAAGCAACCGGCGATGGCCTCATCGAATCCGGGATAGAAACACACTTTGGCAAAGTTGGATCGACCAACACGGATCCTCTCGAAATCCTTGAGTTCCGGCTGCGGTGCACTGGTGACCGTTCGAACACCCGAGTCCCATTCGACGTCACTTTCGCCATCGGCATCCCGTTCGGAAGATTCGCGAGATCGCGAGGGGTCTCGGACGCGACGGTCTTGATCGGTTCGACGTTGTTGGTTTCGAAGTTCGCGTTGACGCTTGTAGCTCTCCAGCGACTCGCTCGCCTTGGTCTTCGCTCGGGAGCTCTTACGAGGACCCTCTTCCAATTCCGCGGTGGCGGCCTTGCGTTTCTTCTTCTCGGCCTGTTGAGCTTCTTCGCCGCGTCGGCGTTGCAGGAGGCGGCGGAGCTGCATGTCCTGGGTCTTCCGATCGACCTCCGCCGCTCGCTCGGCGAGGATCTGCTCGCGCACGATTTCCGGGAGTCCCTCAATCATGGCTTTGTCTTTCTCGTGGAGATATTTACCTTCAAGTGGGAAAACAAGTTTATCTGTCTCAAGGTCGTCGTCTAGATCGTCGATGATGGCTTCGGAATCAGATTCGATCATATCACCCGAACCGAGTGAGTTGTGAGATGGTGCAGGCGAGGATCTGCAAAAAAAAAAAAGGATTTATCAGTTACGCCGCCTGACTGTCACGGATTACATTCACTTACGCCTCTCCATCTTCTTCCGACTCCAGGTCTTCTGCCTGACTTTGTCGCCTTGCCGCCTTATTCTGTGTTGGAACCTTCTTCGTCGCCACACCTCGTTGACCATTCGGTGATTCCGATGGTTTCAATTGTTCGGTCTGTGGAGGCGGTGAAGAAGAACCTCCGGTTTCTATGACGGGAGGTAACACAATATCATCAGCGGGTTCGCCTTCCGCGTCGGGAGAATCAGCGGCCAGCGCGAGGAGCTGCGCGTCCAGATCGTCATCCGACATCTTGATGGATATAGCTTTCTGTTTAATAAGACGGTCCTTTGGATCGCGTGAGGTGTCGGTACCCGTGGACTCTCGACGGCCAGGAGAAGCAGTCAGGATGACAGGTCGCGGTGACAGGTCGTATCCACCGGGAGGTCTAAAGTCGGTCGGCGTCGTCGAAGGAGCGCAAGCACTCTTCTGAAATTCGAAATGAGATGATAGTGGGAATTATGAGGATCCAATATTGAAGTCGAAATGCTCAGTGGAAATTATGGTATGATTACTGTCAATCTTCAAGATCTATGAAGCGCAAGAAGTTAGAGTTGAAGTCCGATGGACGCACGGCGCTAGAGTACTGAAGATATACCCGAAGTTCTGCCGGTTTATGTTGCACGCTCATTGGCTGAATGGATATCCCCTACTAGTCTGAGTCTCCAGATGCATTATCATTATCGTCATCATTCGAATTCACAAGTTCTTATTGAATGGGATCAACGGGGGAGGCAGCAATGGATGGTTCCCTTGATATGGATTATCGGACAGCTTCACCATTGCACTGCATATAACATTTCCTGTTGATTGCTTAAATCACGACTTCTTTGGCTGTCAGGCCATTCGCCATTATCCTGTCGGGATGTCTCGCCCGGCTGCACAAGGTTTCCTTTCCCGTTGTGAAGGGTTGCATAGGCGTACAGGCCTTCAGCATGGGGGTTCATATAATCGATATCTAGCCCATTGTGGTGGGTCTAGGTATTTGTCCTCAAATGTCTCATCAACATCGCCAACGTCACCCGAAAGGCAAAGTCCAGCTCCGGAGCTCAGCAAGGAGCAGAAGGAATTTCTAGACAGCGCAGTATAGGACATCCACCTCCTACTTTTGACCATGATACTGATGTAATGCAGCTACGAGTCAATCATGCCGGTGAACTAGCCGCGATCCTGATCTATGGCGCCCAAACACCCCCGATAGTCCGCGCACATCCCCATCTTCGATCTCTCATGAAGCATATGTACGATCAAGAAGCTGGACATTTCAAAACCTTCAGCCACCTCCTCACCAAACATCGTATCCGACCAACGGCCATGTACCCCGTCTGGACCGTGGCAGCCACGGCCCTCGGCTGGAGCACGGCGATGATGGGAAGGGAAGCAGCCATGGCATGTACGGAGGCGGTAGAGACGGAGATAGGCGAACATTATAACGATCAGGTGCGAAACCTTTTGGAGTGGGAGAAGGAGTTGGCAGCCAAAGGGCAAGAACCGTCGCAGGATATGAAGGACCTTTTGGCGACGGTCCGACGAATACGGGATGAGGAGCTGGAACATTTAGACCATGCACTCGAGCATGATGCGAAGGAAGCGAAGCCGTATGAGCTGCTTACGGGTGTGATTAGAGCCGGATGTCGCGGTGCGATTTGGGTCAGTGAGCGACTTTGACCGGAAGCTGGTTTATCGAGAAAACTATCGGTTTTCCTCTATGCAACAGATTCGCCCATCTACAGCGCGTGTACAAATATCAATGTACTATACCTGCACATATTTACGCTTTATGGATCACACTCTACACTATCATACTGCTATAGTGGTTGCTTTGCGGCCCCTGAATCCTTGACTTGATAGGAGACCATTGACCCTGCAATAGAAATAGCCATTCAAAGTGGTCATGCGAGAATTATTGTTAGAAATATCCTGGTTTGAATAACTTTTGGAGTCAATTAGGCCTCTGATTCATAAATCTCTTATGCGCTCGTGCTCTGGTACCAGACCTCTTGCCGATCGGCAGCTGCGTTAGCTCATCCATTGCGTGGAACCTTATCACTTCAATCCCACGTTTACCGGTGGACGCATCCAACTTCATCTCCGCCATATCAATCAACGACCTCTCAATAAACAAACTATTCCTAGTATCGTTAAAGATGGAAACCGACGGACAGCCAGTGTTCCGGCGACATGACATTCTCTCCATCAATCGGTACAACTGGCAGACCCTCCGCTCCCAACCCCTCCGAGAGCTCTCCGGAGCGTTAGGAGATTTGGGGACTTTGCTACCCCTGATGACTGCTCTCACAATGAATCATTCAATATCTCTCCCCACGACCCTCGTCTTCACCGGCCTCGCCAACATCGCAACCGGAGTCCTATTCGGCGTCCCGTTACCCGTTCAACCCATGAAGGCGATCGCTGCCATCGCCATATCAAACCGCTTCTCGAAAGCCGAGACCACCGCCTCGGGCCTAATCGTCTCGGCTGTCGTTGGGCTACTGAGCATTACGGGACTCCTTACCTGGTTTGCTCGAGTCGTGCCGATTCCGATTGTCAAAGGCATTCAAATGGGCGCCGGACTACGGCTCGTGATCGCAGCTGGGTCGTCCCTTCTGAAGTCCCTGGGATGGATCCATCCTTCGTTGACCGACAACCTAATCTGGGTGATTGCAGCTTTCATTTTTCTGATCATATCATCGATGATGGTGCGTATCCCATATGCACTGATTCTATTCATTGTCGGCCTCATAATTGCTTTCTTGCATCTCACCCTTCCTCCGGACGGCGATTATGGTTTTCATATCTGGCATCCTCATGTACATGCAAGCTTTGAGAAGGAGACTGTGTTGACTGGGTTCTACTCTGCTCTTGCCCAGCTGCCGTTGACGGTGCTGAACTCCATCATTGCGACCGCTCATCTGAGCTCCCATCTCCTCCCCTCGATCCCAGCCCCAAGTGTGCATGAGATCGGCATCTCCATCGCAGTCCTCAATTTGATATCCTGTCCCTTTGGCGGAATGCCCGCTTGTCATGGCTCAGGCGGGCTTGCTGGTCAGCATCGATTCGGCGCTCGATCCGGCGCCAGCGTCATTGTTCTCGGTCTATTAAAGCTTGTTCTCGGCTTGTTTGTGGGCGAGGGCCTGGTTGACTTGTTGCAAACGTTCCCGAAAGGCCTCCTCGGAATCATGGTCATCGTTGCTGGCATCGAGCTAGCGAAAGTCGCCGCGAGCTTGAACGAGGGGATGTCGGATAACTGGCAGGTCGACCAGGCGAGCGGTCGTACAGGACTGGGTGAGTCCCGGAAAGCGGCTGAATACACTGGATCTGAGCGGATGGAGCGGTGGAATGTGATGCTTGCCACCGTCGCGGGTATGCTCGCCTTTGGCAACGATGCCGTGGGGTTCGCCGCGGGTGTTCTCTGGCATCTGGGCTTGAAAGGAAAAGTACGGTGGGAACGATGGCAGCAGCAAAGAAACGCACCCAGCATAGCGATTCGACGACCATCATCACCTATGGATAGGAGAGGTGAAAGACAGAGTCTGCTTCATTCATCCACATGAGCAGGTCAAGGCATGTGATGGTCACTAGATCAATTTCACGGATCGACTCGCGTGCTATTTCGCATGAAGTGAATTGTTCCGTCACTTTTCATCTTACTCCAAGGTCTTTCTCCGTCCGCCCCATTTCGACATTCACCTTCGGATTATACCTTCACTCATCCTTCAATCTTCACCTTCCGACCATACCATCACTCGTGATCCACTTATCCTCCCGATTATCTTTTAGCATCATTCAAGGCGTGAAAGATTTTGTAGTCAGTTGTGAATCCATTCAAAGGCATCTGTGTAATTACAGTTAAGATGGGTCGAAAGCCAACTGGAAGGCCGATCGGCCGCCCAAGGAAATCTAAGGTCACACCGATTAAGGGTATGTCATAACTCTCACGACTTCCAGCACTGATTTTCGTAACTAACATTCAACCAGAGGAGGAATATACCTCTAGTTCCTCGCCGCCAGTGGTGAGGACAGACACCCCTCAAGTTCGATGGAGATACCATGACCGAAGTACGAATAGGTCCACCATTAATGGACTCCTCCTGAACGATTGACTGACTGATATTCCGCAGATGTGAGCTCCACCTTTGCCGGCGATTCCCCCACCCCCGATGAATTGGACCTTCCACGTACGTATCCATTCGAATGACTTTGAGTTCATGAACTAATAATAATTCAGCGGTTCCCGACTCCTCCCTCGATATTCGACCTTCCCTACCTCTATCATCTGCCCTCGATGCGCCCTTTCCAGAACGGCCAATTCAAGCTTTCCCCGAGTCGACTATCCCGTACAATCCCTGCATCTCTTTCCAATGTTCGGATTACGTTCCATCATCCCCCATTGCTGCCGGGTCTGATCCAGTCGACTCCTCCGACTACTCTTTGTCTCCCCAGCAGACTACAAGCCCCAAGCAGGCCACGAGCCCCCAGCCCACCACCAAACCCCAGCACACCACCAGCTACTTCGTCCCCACCCACCGGTTCCCGCCCGGCCAGCCCAAATGGATCGAGGTGGAAGGGATCAACCCAAACAAGATACCTGTGGAGCTGAAATTCCTCCTGGAGCAGTACGACACGCTTCCAACGTGCTTCATCAAGGTGCCCCAAGGGCGGATCCTCGAGTGGAGGCGAGGGACCAAGACGATGAGGATCAGGAAGCGGGGGCATCCGAAGGTAGGGAGGAGGACGGATCAGGAGAGGAGGTTCTGCCTTCGGAAGGTGCTTTAGGTGGTGAGACCGCGAAGGAGGGGAATAATACAGGGTTTGAGATGGGGTAAAGAAGGAGGAAGATTGGCACAAGACTTGATCATCGAGTAAGGAGTGGCAATGGAATTATAGTGAGAACGATGAGAAAACTTCAGTCAGCGTGCCATGGACATTGTGCCATCAGCAAAAGAGTGTGTATGGTTTTAGACCTAGTCTTCTTCATACCGGAATGACAAGCCATGAATTAAGGCATTGATTCCCTAAGGGATGGCTAGCAAACTTACTAGCTAAAGAAATTGGCTGGACTTGTTCTTGGCAAGAGAATTGCTTCGACTTGGATGATAAAATTAAGTCCAGGACGGCACATGCACCCAGCATATTACAATGCTTTACTTTCATGACAGAAAATTCGCCTTACCTCAATATCACTAGATGCTTGCTTCTATGGGACCAGTATTTTAAATTTATGAAGTATGAAGTGTATGTAGGTCTTTGCTGAGATTCAGGCTATTGGAGTATGGTTATCCTCCTCTGCTGCCATACCTATCACCAGTGCCCATAACTCCACCAAACCCGATCCTATAAAGCTGAATCTGGCTTCAAAGTACTCCATGAGAAAGAAGTAGTATTTCTCAAAATAAAAAAATGAAAAATGAAAAATGAAAAATGAAAAATGAAAAAAAATTGACAAGGACGAGATTCGAACTCGCGACTGAGGGGAGCTGTTAGTTGTGATATTTTGAGTAGATTTTAATTGGGTAGGCTTACGGTTTCCCACTGCGGTTTTGACTAATTGCAAAGCCTAAACACAGCGCCTTAACCACTCGGCCACCTTGCCATTTGCAATATTCTTGAAGTAGTCGGCAATTTCAAATTTATGGCAATTTTAACTTTGGTCTACACTACATGATCGATCATTCTTTGCAAATTCATGTGGAGATACCTCAACAATTTGCACGACTATTTGGTGTACACAGTCGAGAGAGTATTGGGCATTTCCTATAATAGGAATGACAGATGATCAAGCGTTTCTTTACACCGTAGTACTACTATCCTCCTGTTAACTTAAGTTAACTTAAGTTAACTAAGTTAGTTAACTATGTGTTTGCTATGCCTAGTTGATATTTTGATGTCATTTCCTTCGGTTTGAAATATTTCAAAGCAAGGCATGCATTCTATGCGACTGTGCTGGCCTCAAATTTGAAGCAGCGCACAACACCCCCAAAAATCATCACATCATTTGGTAAATTTCTGGAAATCATCCTCAAGCAAAAATCAAACCTTCAATGAAGGTAAAAAGAGCAAAAATTAATGACGACTCGGGGACTCGAACCCCGGAATCTTTCGAAACTAGTAAGTAACTGAGTCACCTGAAACTAGCGCCATAACCACTCGGCCAAGTCGCCGTCAATAAAGTTTTTTTACGCATTTTTGTCTATAAAATGGTCCGCAGTCAAAACAGTATACCCTAGTTTCCGTCCTTAATTCGGCCTATTTCGAGTCAAATTAAGGTTTCATTAGTCTCCTTCCTCATTTCATTGCATTTCGCATCGATTGTGCCCTTGAAATTTGCCTTGAGCGAGGATTGAACGGTTCCTTGATAGCCACGAAACATTCTGCGACGTCGCCGCAACTGATACTTCAACGCTATAAGCGAGTTACTTAAAGTCTAATATCGCGCACCAGTTGTCTTGTGTTATCAACTCTGCGACAAGATTTATGCGAACCACAGGAAAGCGTTTATTATCTTTGCTGGATGCCAATGTTTCTCGCTTGCTTGCCGCCGCGGTTTCCTTTGAACCTCTTAAACTTTGAACTGTACTACTCTCTCAACTCAACTCCTATGAATGATGAAATGCGCCACCCCGCAGTCACTCGCCGCAATATATTGCATCGTTCTGCATGCATAATCGCAGTTGTCTCGGCACGACCATTCGGGGTACATGAGAGTGGAGTGCCTCTCGTTAACGCTGTGAACGATTCACGACAGCCTTGAGTTTGGTCGAGGTCATGTTGGCTATATGAACTACATGGCAAAGGATGACGGTTTATTTCATCGTATCGCTATATCTACTTTCGTCCGGCTTTCAGCGATATGGTATTGGAGAGAACCACCTACCCCTGTAAGTCAATCGTAGTTTACATCTTCATGAGCATCACGCTGTTCAAGCACCATGCCTGTTCTATAAGGCGCTTCGCAATGGGATTTTCATAGGGGACACACTCCCGGTAGACCGGTTCATCCAGGGTCTCATCATGCCTTATTCAGCGAAAGAGTGCTTTTCGTATTCCAACATGGCGTGTTGCGGCGAAGTGTTTCAGATGGTGAAGGATCCTTGCCCTAACCCATCACGATGGGACGGCCTGTCAGGGTCTCCGGCTTGAAGCTGAATGTTCGCTCACAATTCAGTCCAAGTCCTTGATCATTGCTCCAGTTTAGCGTACGATAATTTCCTCGAAAGTGTGTCAAGTTGTGCAGCTGGCTTGCATATCTACTTCGGCCTTCAGGACCTAGCAGTCCTTGTATGCAGGGGCGAGGTTACCCTCGAAAGGTCCTCCTTCAGGATATCCAACTCGAGGGTGACCAATCTCTGTGCCCCCATTGAATTTCCCATAAGTTATTGCATTGTCCAAGCCATAATATGGAAGGGTTTTGTTCCAATTTGTCTTGCATGTCTTGTTCCTCATTCGAAGTACATCCTCCCTGCGATAGGGGATGTCTATGAACTTGCAATGTTGCCTATGAGTAATTTATATATCGGACTACACCTTTTGGCGCAAGTCGTGTCAGCAAGTGCTTCCACTGCCAGGCTTGATGTCTTGGACGGTATACCAGCTGTCACACTGAGAGCAGCATCGAAGAGATCTGATCTGCTAAGAAGAAATGAAGAGATCACTGCTGGAGCGAGACTGACGCTCTCATACTGTGAAGGTATGAACCCATCCAGCAAATTCCGGTGAAAATTCGGACATAACGAACATTTCACAGATAACCCAACCCGCGAGACTGTATTTATCTCTACAGTTAGTGTTAAACATGAGAAACCAGTCCTGGCTATCGAAGAGATCGAGCATTTGCTCACAGGGGTCGATTGCACCAGCTCGCAACTGATTTTAACCTTTCGATCAAATGATATCCTCTCTCAAGCTCGGGAAGTGTTGGAAGGCGTTCGCGGATCATTCGCCATTACTGCGCATCATAGCTGTAATGAAGATGGAGAAAGGGGTATCTACAGGTAAGTCTTGACGCACTGCATGAGCTAAAGAAACGTTGCTAAGCTATATAGGGTCGAGGGGTTGGATATAATGAGCGACGCCAACTCCGCTACTCTCCATGTCTCCGAAGCGGACTGGGCCGAATCGTTTCAATCGATCCATATCTCAATCAGCCAAAGTAATCCATCTCACTACATTACGAGGACTAGAGATTTACGCCGACGCCAAAATACGCTACCGACATCTAGCAGCTCCTCCGTGATAGCGGTACCTCTGCCTTCCGGAAGACCCAATTCGAACCAGCAGACCGTCAACCTAACCAATTCCATAATGGATTCCAATCTCGAGATCCCGGTGGGGCTAGCCGATGTTCCTGTCTCCATCGGATGCAAGGACTGCACCACAACAGGACTCCTAGAGCTTAGGCAGGGAGAGTTCGAGCTCGGAAACTTCGATCTGCCCGACAACGAAACTGATTCCGCTTCGTTGCTGGAGTCGGGGTCGATTGAGCTCCGACTTCTTGGGTTCGGTGCGCATATTGAACTGCAAGGAGAGATCGGAGCTAATGGAGCGATTCCTTTTACTCTGTTTAAATATCCCGTCTTCGGGTTTAACGTGCGTACCAAGCCTCTTCTGGTTTTGATGGTCATACTAACGGTCCACGAAGATACCGGGTTTGGGTGTTGCTGGACTGACCGTGGCCCCCGAGCTAATTGTAAGCTGGGAGACTGAGCTGAGCCTGAATTTTTCCTTCGGATTTGACGTTAGAGTAAGCAGGTGCTTCAAGCCTACTGGTAGACTTTGGTGTTGACATTGACCAGGCGCCCTATGACTCCGGGGTCTTCATTGACCTGGCGAATCTGACCAATTCATCCAGCGTCGGATTGTAAGTCACGCATCAGAAACCGGCATGAATGAACCGAACAGCCGCTGACCCACCTCCAGAAGTGACGTGACCGTCGACGCCCTCCCCTTCACCTCCAACCTTACCACCGGCAGCGACTTCAGCCTCCAACTCTCCTTCAAGCCCAAAATCGACCTCGGCTTCCAGCTCCTCCAAAACCGCATCAAGGCCGTCCTCTCCCTCGGCCTCGACCTCCCCGCCTTCAACGCCTCCTTCTCCTCCCGCTCCACCGCCGCCTTCGACGCCTCTTGCGCACCGCTAGCCGCGCCCCGACTCCTCGGCACACAGACGCAGACGCTCGACGCGAACGATTCGGCGAACATCCCGGATCTCGTGGCAGGAATCGTGGGAAATATGACGCATATCGCGCCATCATTCGAGTCGGAGCTGGAGCTGGCGTTTGCCTTAGGGGCGAGCATCGGCGTGCGGCAGCTGCCGGAGTTCAATACGGCCGTGTCGCTGTTTGATACGGCCGTGCCGCTGCCGACGCGGTGTCTTGCATTCGATACGGAGGTGGGGGCGCTGATTGCAGCGACGAGCGTGGCTGCGAAGGCGGAAGAGTCGATCGTGGCAAGTGTTAGTGCGGCGGCTGTGGCGGCTGCGTCGAAGAGTGCGAGCGCGACGGGAGCGGCTAGGAGGCAGATGATGGGAGTTAGCGGGTGGCATTATTTTTTGATCGTCATCGGGGTCCTCTGTGCCCTGGGATGAGGTTTTAAGATGGAGTTTTGGTCGGAAGCTCGTTAATGATGCCAGGGACTGATTTTCGACCATTTCTCAGTTAAGATATGGATGCCCGCTATTGCAAGCACGCGAATCAGTATATATCCCAGTTCACGTTATTTGGTTACAGCCGAGGGTTAGTGTTTGTCGTGTCTCACGAGTCCTGTTCCAATTCTCTATAGTATATTTTCAACTTATGATAGGTAGTACGATGAAATAAAGATAAACCTGATCTGTTACAATTGTAGTCCGTGGATATCAATCGGCTAAACAACAAACCGAAGTTGTCTGACCACTCCGCCCTGCAATGAATGCCTCCACTGTAATGAAACTTGATCCTTGCAGGCCGCAGGACACTACTCTAATTTTAGACAACCACCTGATGGATCTGATGACCTACGAGTATGGTACGCTAGTGCTCCAGTAATAGCCACGCTAACCATCGTCCATCGAAAGTTACTCTTATTCAGCAAGAAGACGATCATAAATGGCGAAGGTTCTGGTGTCTCACACGGACTTTGAAGAATCACTCACTCATTACGAACCGTTATCGCGCTGTTCAGGTTGGAGCAAGGGACACTGTTTGGTGACCGTAGTGTAACAGGGTCATAAGGTGCAACGGTACGCTGTATCCAGGTACAAAGCGTACCTACGAAAGGGGAACACGATTTGAATGTCTTCCAAGTTCCAACCATTCAATGATTTCGACAACACCTGCTTTTCGATATTGACGCTGCACGAAGGTGTCGGAGTCTGAAGCAAAATTACGAACCTGCAGGCTCTAGCGAAAGGCACGGTATATGGACCGCTCCAGCTTGCTCCCCAGCGGGATATCATGGTGTTGGTACCCGAGACATATTTGGGAGTTCATACCTTCGGAGTTCGGAGCACAAGATCAGAGGGAACGATCGGGCGGTATGACGCGAGATGACTGGAGCAACGATGGGTTCATGGCCGACGGGAAGAGATCATCGCACAGCCAGCGTTCGATGCAGTCGATGATATCATGAGAAGCTGTATGGAGTATATCTTCGCCATGTAAGGGTATGTTGGGTGAGGTATTCCGATACTCACTTGATAGTGATGCGGCGCAGCGGCGGAGAACTGCGAGGAGATCAATTACGATATGGTGGTTGGTACCTAATATCGTACAATTCTTATCGGCCATGAGATCATGTGTGGAGTAATTCCCCGGGAAAGCATCGTAGCCGAAGTAGAAGATCGACTTGATATCCGGCACCACCGGAGCAAGGTGGATCCTTCGAGGAGATAATTTCAAGCTGTGGTTTAGAGACCTGCTCGTTCCATTAGCAGCTACTCTAAGTTAAGTTAGTCAGCGCTGATTTCCGAGGAGATGTGACCACTGGCCAATTCCAAGATCCCTAAATATTAGGACCAATTTCACACCCCGCTGGGCTGAACCGGAAAAACACCGGTGGCGTCCAGGGCCAGAGCTTAGAAGGATTTTGGAGGAGGAACTCCAGGGGCTTCAGGGTTGTAATCCTGACAGTGGTACCGGTAATACTGGAATACGGTAACTAAAAGCGCCTAGCAATCGGCTTACTGCGCCCCTGCACAGGCCGAGCACTCGTTGTCACGCTACGCATCTCCCAATCATCCGTCTCCCGTAATAAACTAATAAACCCTCCCATCAGTCCATACTCCATCCCAACCGCTATCCTTCAAATCCACCTCGCCATCATCAATTTCAATCTTCATCTCCCTCCGTCCCCCCTCTCCTCTGCTTCCGTCACCTCCTCTATCGTCACCGTCAACTCGACGTTGATCGACCCACATTCCTTTCATAGCTGCCATTTTACCCATCCTGCGAGTTCACCCACCATTTTGTTTCGTTTCGGTCGAACGACGTCGGCATCATGGTCGAGTCGTCGCGGAAGGCCACCATGGGTGGCGTCCCGCTGAAATACATATCTCTTGTGACGGTGAGTGTGTCTGAGAACTCAGAAGCCGGATTCGAAAGGGGTGCTAACGTCTTGACAGCTTACGGTTCAGAATTCTGCCCTCATTCTGGTACGTCGGGAGTCGTCGCGTGCTGCGCCAATCAGCCGATCGCTTCAGTCGAAGTAAAATAATGCGGAACGACAGTAGCTAACAACGAGGAATAGATCATGAGATACTCCCGAGTAATGCCTCTCGTGGACGGTAAACGATATTCCGCGTCAACCGCTGTGTTCCTGAACGAGGTCATCAAACTCACCCTATCCCTTGCGATGGTCGCATACGAAACCTCGAACTCCGCATCTGTCACCTCGACTCCCTTCTCCTTCACACACACCTTCTTCTCCTCGCTGTCGACCGGCGATAGCTGGAAATTGGCCATCCCCGCCGTCCTCTATACGGTCCAAAACACTCTGCAATATGTCGCCGTCAGCAATCTGGACGCCGCGACGTTCCAGGTCACCTACCAGCTGAAGATCCTCACCACAGCCTTGTTCAGCGTCATTATGCTCCGCAGGTCGCTCTCAATTCGAAAATGGATATCGCTGGTGCTGCTCATGGTCGGGGTTGCCATCGTGCAGATGCCCGTGCCGGAGAACATGGTGCCCCAAAAGCATGCACGGGGCGGCATCGAGCAAAGCGAGCATGCGCAAGGCAGCGCCACGATTGGGTTGGTGGCCGTCATGATCGCCTGCGCCATCTCCGGCCTGGCAGGCGTGTACTTCGAGAAAGTCCTCAAAGAGAGCAACAAGAACGCGTCGCTCTGGGTGCGGAACGTGCAACTGTCCTTCTACTCGCTGTTCCCTGCATTTATTTTCGGCGTTATTTTGAAGGAGGGTCGCGAGATCCAACGGGATGGGTTTTTCGCGGGCTACAACTGGGTGGTCTGGCTAGCCATCACCTTCCAAGCCCTCGGCGGGCTCATCGTGGCGTTGGTGGTCAACTATGCCGACAATATTGCGAAGAACTTCGCGACCAGTTTGAGTATTGTCATTAGCTTCGTGGCAAGCGTTTACTTCTTTGGGCTCACGATCACCATTAATGTGAGTACAATCTACCTTTTAGATTGGGATAGATGCTGATATTTTCTAGTATGTGATCGGTACCGCCGTCGTACTATATGCGACCTACCTCTATAGCAGCCCTGACCGGAGACCTTCATCGAACCCTATCATCGAAGAAGAGGAGGGCCGAAATCACGAGGAGTCCACCACATTGTTTAATAGCGACCATCGTTCACAATCATCCATGGACGGCTCGAGCTCCGAATATGAAAAGGAGTCGAGGCGCGACACGTCAGGAAGCCCCGAGCGAATACCTCTACGAGCTAGCAACGAATACGACCAGCGCGACAAGCGCGAATCATGAATTCTTCGATTCTTTGCTTTCCATTGCGAAAAACAAACAAAGTCTTCCAGCGACCCGAGCGTTACCCGGCGCTACGACGTCCACCATGAAAATGCGGTGCTTTCGATTTGCGGATTTGAATTCTAGACGCCGCATCTCATTTCGGCGCGAGGCTATTTTGGGGTGATTTGGAGGATTATTTGCTTCACGGGCCACACAGCGAGCGTCTGATATACGATTTGGCAAGGAACGGCTTCCAGGCCGAGCATTACGATCTCCGTTGCAGGCTCGAGAACCCGTCCTACTTGCGTCGGGTTTCCTCGACTTGTTAGAAGACTACAGGTAGCTTCTGACTCGGCGCACCGCACCGAGCAACAGTTTTTTGTTTTGCGGAAGAAATGGTCTCCATTTCCCCGATTCGCATCCCTTGTGCACCAGAGCTTCGAAACCCCTGCAATCGTGAGCTCAATGACATGTACAACTCATCGATTTAAGATACCAATTTACTAAACGGCTTTTTCAGCCGTTGCATCGTGTTCCATTTCGCCGCTTGATCTCTTTGCTGGTGAAGTTGATATTCGGTAGGCCGTCAGGCAACAGCTGTCGCGACTTCCTCATCTGGGGATCACCAGAATCCACGACGTCATACCATGTTCAAATTTCGCTTCACATCGAGTTCTATTCAGTCCGCCTTCCTCTGATCTTCTTTCCTCATGTTCACAGTCAATCTGTTTTTCATTCATAGCCGGCGTCCGTTGTCGCGAGCGAAGTCCGGGTAGTAGAGCGTCACTGTCAGTCGAGCGCACAGGAGCAGCAGCCATGGACCATTCAGACTCAGTTTTCGACCTGCTCGACAATATTGAGCGGAGACATGATCAATGGCAACGAGCAGCTGGGTCGGGATTTCCTCCCAGCGAGCATGTCCCGTATGGGAACCAGGTCGTGCAGCCGATGGACGACGTGCCGTATGATGAGGTCCCGGCTGAGTATGGGTACACAGAGCAGTTTGACCAGGAGGCCCCGGTGTACTACGATCCTGAACCGCCTCAGTTTGATTCGTTTGGTCAGTATGAGTTCGGGTTGGTCTGGGGAGTGCATTGCTGATGATGAGGAGACTACGCCATGCTTCGGCAACCTACAGAGTCGAGTATTGGACACGTTGTTCAGGGGCGCGGTCGCTTGCCGTTGCCGCCCCACCAGACTCAATACAGCCATGGACAGACTCCTTACCTTACTGAGAACTCATATCATCCCCGTGATATCGTTTATGAGAACCAAGGCCAATGTGAGTGAAGGCGCCCGGTTCAGGTCATTGATATTGACCGACACAGACTCCATCGAACGAGTCCAGCGCACACCAGGTATATAATAGAGATCTAGAGAAATACCCGGGAAAATTTAACGGAGCCGCTATGCTAACCCCATCAACAGATAGTCAGTGGCAGGAATCCAGATTCTTTTCCAGTCCACGGGATTCATCTGGACCAGCTGGGCAATCTAGTCCGGTATTCCGTGCTAATCAGCAGCAGCGAAACAGACAGAAGCTGGTTGAGAGAGATCGGAAGAAACAGGAGGCAATTGTCCATCGTAGCAACCCAACCGAAGCACGGGATCGCGTGCCTCGATATAAGTCTGCTCAGACTGTGCAGGGCATCATCTTGGTCTCGACACACGAGTTACCCGATCGTCTGCGCAACGTCTTTCCGTTTCCTGTCTTCAATGCAGTCCAGTCGAGATGCTATGACTCAATCTTCAACACCGATGACAACTTCGTTCTCTCGTCTCCAACTGGAAGCGGTAAAACCGCTGTCTTTGAGCTCGCCATCTGTCGAGCGATCAAGCAGTTCAAAAATGAGGAGTTCAAGGTCGTCTACCAAGCACCCACGAAGGCCCTCTGCTCCGAGCGGAAGGAAGACTGGACCAACAAGTTCCGACACCTAGACTGCAAATGCGAGGAGCTGACGGGCGACTCCGACCACTGGCAAATGAAGAATGTTCAGGAAGCAACCATCATCGTGACGACGCCAGAGAAGTGGGACAGCATCACGAGAAAGTGGAAAGATCATATGAAGTTGATGAAAATGATCAAGCTCTTTCTCATCGACGAAGTCCATATCCTGCGCGAGGACCGTGGCGCAACTTTGGAGGCAATAGTCAGTCGCACGAAGTCGGTTGATTCCTCGGTCCGGTTCATAGCCGTTTCGGCGACAGTGCCAAACGTGGAGGACATTGCAGAGTGGCTTGGACGGAGTTCGAACCGAAGTCGCGAGCCTGCACTACTCGAGAAATTCGGAGAGGAGTTCAGGCCGGTAAAGCTTCAGAAACATGTCATTGGCTACGACATGAAGTCAAGCAACGAATTTGCTTTTAGCAAGTTCCTGGACAAGAAGTATTAGCTACTCTTTCGGTTTCAAACGCTGAGCTAACTTTCTGTGCGGGTTGCTTGAGGTTATCAGTCGCTATAGTCAGCGGAAACCCATCATGGTGTTCTGCTTCACGCGACGTTCTTGTGAGGAGACCGCGAAGGCTTTGGCGTCGTGGTGGGCAGGAAGCGGGCTAAACAATCGACACTGGGACGGCCCCAAGGAGGTCGTCAAATCAAAACTGCAAGGCTTGAGGGGTGAGTGGAATGACTGGCGTTGTTATTGTATACTGAACTCTGCTAGACTGCCTCACATCTGGTGTTGCGTATCATCATGCCGGACTGGACCTCGATGACCGTCGCGCAGTCGCCAAAGGGTATATGAACGGCAATATCAATGTGATCTGTTGTACTTCAACACTCGCCGTTGGGATCAATTTGCCATGCCATTTCGTGGTACTCAAGGGCACTGCATCCTACTCAAACAATGTGATCCGGGATTACTCGGACATCGAGGTCATGCAGATGCTGGGAAGGGCTGGCCGCCCGCAATTCGACGACTCGGCCGTCGCCGTGATCATGTGCCGACCTGGGCAAGTCGGACGCTATCAGAAGATGGTATCCGGACAGGAAATTCTCGAGAGCTGTCTGCATCGCAATCTCATCGAGCATTTGAACGCAGAAGTTGGCCTGGGCACCATCACGGATATCGCCTCCGCGAAACGATGGCTGACTGGCACATTTCTCTATGTACGGCTGAAGAAAAATCCTACATACTACAAGCTCAAGGATGGGGCCCGGATCAACAATCTGGACGAATTGCTGGACGAGATCTTGAGCAAGGATATACAGCAACTGCAAGAGCTAGGGTTGGTCGAGACCGAACCACGATACAAGGCGACGGAGTATGGCGATGCCATGGCCAGGTACTACGTGTTGTTTGACACGATGAAGAGCATCTTACAGTTGCCAACGAAGGCCAAGGTGTCGGATATTCTGTCCGCGATCGCACAAGCGTCCGAATTCCGTGAGATCAGATTCCGCTCGGGAGAAAAGCAGTTCTACAAGGCTGTGAACAAATTGCCATTGATCCGGTTCCCGATTCCAGTTAACTTGGATATGCCTGCGCACAAGGTGTCCCTCATCATTCAATCCATCCTCGGCGCAATCGACACGCAAAGTCTTCCTGACAACAAGCTGCATGCCCACCAGTTCACCGTAGACAAGGCCATCATCTTCCAGAATGTTCGTCGAATGATCCGATGTGTGGTAGACTGCAAGCTCCACATAGATGATTCGATCTCCGCTCGCAATGCTCTTGCCTTCTCGCGCAGTCTTGCCGCAGAGGTATGGGATGACTCACCTAATATCCTCAAACAGCTTGATGGTGTCGGGAATGTCGCGGTACGAAAGCTTGTCAATGGCGGCATTAAGGACTTCGAAACATTGGACCAGACTCCGGCCCATAGGATTGAGATGATCATGTCCCGAAACCCACCGTACGGCCAACGAATGCTAGACAAAGCTAAACTATTCCCAAAGCTGCGGGTTTGTCTGCAAATGAATGGGGCTCCCAGCATCAAGCGTGGCGAAGGGGCGTCCATCAATGTTCGAGCGGAGATCGGCTTCATGAACGACATCGTCCCCGCCACGTTTAACAGGCAGTCGGTCTTCATCTGTTTCCTTGCCGAGACGTCGGATGGGCAAAAGATACATTTTTGCCGAATCAGCGCCAAGCATCTCGATGCCGGGAAAGATGTGCTCTTTTGCGCCAACCTCACGAGCACGACGCAGATGATCTTTGCGCACGTTATGTGCGATGAACAAGGTGAGCTGCCCTTATATACTAGTTTCGCAAACTAATGCCGATCACCTATAGCCGGGACGCTGAGGACTGCTTCGTTGAAGCCGACCCTTCCCGCCCATGCTTTTCACCTTGTGGAGAAGAAGAGCGACCAGAGAGATATTCGCGGGATGATGCAATCCCAGGAAGCAGAGAAGAAGTCCAACAATCTGTTCCCGAATGAAGTTCCCGCGGAAGAACTCGACGATGCCGATTTCGACTGGGATGATTTCGATGCGGCTGCTGCTGCTGTCAATGATTTCCAAGATATCGACGACTTGATCGCCGAAGGGCCAGAGAAAAGGTCCCAGCAGCAGAAGGTCAGCTTCTTCGCCGCACCGGATACATCGGAGCCAAAAGAACCCAAGAAGCTTCCAAGCGGCAAATGGGAATGTAATCACCCTTGCAAGGACAAGGCGAAGTGTAGGCATCTTTGCTGTAAAGAAGGGGTTGATAAGCCCCCTAAGCAACGGAAGACCAAACGACATCCAGTTGACCAGGCAGCGTCGACGGCTGAAGCTACGGGCTCTCAAACCAAATCGACAGGAAGTACGAAGGAGTCGAAACTTTCGAGAAAGGATACCATTGCACCGAAGGCAGGCAGTGGGCAGAAGAAACTGTCGTTTCTCAATCTGCCTATGATTGACTTGACGGGAGCCCGGGAGGTCTCTCAACAGCACCACAGCAATAAAACCAACAGAGGCGGTACCTCTATCGCAGTAAGTCCATCAGTGGCGGATCGTATGGTAGCGCCAGGGCACGTCGATATACGTCCCTTCATACAGGCAAACATGAAACCCGCACATCCTACTTCGCCCAAAAAGAGCGATTCGCTCGATGACGAGTATGGAGATTTCGACTTTGATTTCGACGACCTGACTGAAATCACTCCTCTAACCAGCACCAAAGAGGATGATTGGGCCAATATGAAGGAAGTATGGAAGACAGAAGGTCCTCAGATCATGGACGGACAAATCGACAGCTCTGACCAGGCCATACATGATCTGTTCCCACGTGCGGATGAGTTCCGAATGCAGGCAGCTGACGACAACGGATATGAAGGTGACCAGCAAAAGGAGGATCTCAAATTTGATGTAATGCACAGAGGGAATGAGGTCTCTATGTGGAGCACATCTGATCAAGAGGAGCCATACGCAACGGACGTGAAACCTAGAAAACACGGCTTCCACGTGGGCCACGGTGGACGAGACGGCTTTGAAGCGAACCAAAGCGAACCCGGCTCCAAACGACGCAAGACAATGTCAAATAGATGGGTCACGTCAGCCGTCGATGAAAATGCACTAGGAGAGACCGGCGCCCATGATCAGAGTGCTGAAACGGAAGAGCCGCAGCCGGCGACTGGTGGAGTGGTGGATGAAGTGGTGGATGAAGAATATGAAGAGCTCAAACGATGGGCGGTCGAAGAGCTCGGCGATCACTATCAATTTGTTTAATGATGTGCCGAACCGGGAGAAGGCATGAAATGAGGCCAAGAGAGATGAATACAGCTAATTATGGGAAATAAGAGGACAGACAGGATCGGGCAGGGAGATCATCGCATCTCATATGTGATACTCTATGGTAATGTGGCATTGTAGGAACTGGATCACGATTATCTGTACAGTATATTCCAGGCAGCATTCGGTCTATGAAATTGCATTTATAGCGAAATGACATATTTCCCGAGTCCTTAGACATGTCGATGTGCTGTGTAAACAATCATTCAAAGAGCTGGACGATTAATGAGGCGTTTAGAGTCGGCCGAATCGCTGATGACACGGCGGCAGGCCAAGCCGAGGCCGAGGTATCTCCGACTACATCCCAACACTCGTCATACTGTCGACGGAACTTCATGACTTCCAGCACTGGCATTGACTTGCGATTCTTTATGACCGTGTTCACAGAGGTTCTGCGTGCCAACTCCCGTCATCTACGGGGCCAAATACTCACGCCCAAGCACATCCAACCGCCTCGGAGGTCATCCGGACCAATCCCCTCCCGATTCTCCACAAGTCCGACGTGCCGAGACGATGGCGGTCGAAAGTCCAACAACGATGAACGCGAAGAGCCGGGAGAAGTGGGCGCCATGTCCCGTCGTCTGTCCCAGATGACAGAAGAGGCAATGACTACAAGCGGTCGCGCGGGACGAAAAGCCATCCAGGAAGCCGGCTTCGATGCGGAGCTGCGCGCGAAGCTCGAGGAGCGAATCGCCACGGCGGATTTCCGGTCCCATAATGCTAGCGCATTCGCGGAGGTAGATATTCCAGGAAGCGCGGGGAAGGGGACTAGGGACCTGGCTGGGGCGACGCCGTGGACTGGGACAGAGTCGGCGGAAGATACGGCGTTGAGGATGCTCACGGATGCGCATAAGCCGTTGCAAGGGGAGATCAAGGCAGCGCCTTTCCGCGGAGTGCCTATCAGGATCCATGTGGGACGATCTGCGAGCCGTGCATCAGTAGGGCAACGCATTTCAGAAGCGAAGGAGCGGTCGTCCACGTATGGCATGCTGAAGGACTCCAGTATGTCGGAGGAGGAGAAGGAGGGGTTCCGGAAGGAGATGTGCGAGCGGTTTTCACCCGGCGGAAGGACCATGCCTACCACGGTCCAAGGGCTAGCGTCGCTTGCGAACGAGCGGATCGAGGACGCGATCGCACGGGGACAGTTCAAGAACCTTCCGCGGGGAAAGCCGCTCGAGAGGGATTACAACGCCAGCAGCCCGTTCATCGACACAACGGAGTACTTCCTGAACAAGATCATCCAGAGGCAGGACATCGTGCCGCCGTGGATCGAAAAGCAGCAAGAGTTGGTATTGGCCGCCGGTCGGTTTCGCTCGCGGCTACGCAGCGATTGGAGGAGGCATGCGGCGCGCATGATGGCTAGTCAAGGGGGGACGCTGGAGGAGCAGGTTCGTAGGGCAGAAATGTACGCCGAGGCCGAGCGACGGGCGAACCCAACGGTCACGAAGGTGATGGTGATACAAGAGATTATAGACAAAGATCACGTATCGGGCATCTCGTTGACTGGAGCATTAAGAGGAGGGAAGCAAGGGGTGACGACATCGGATGTGGTCCAGGTATCCTCGCCGACAATCGACACGAGCACAGAAAATCCCACAGTCACGGTGACCGCCGAGGTAACTGAAATTCCTGAATCCGCGCCACAAGACCCACCGCCATACTTCAGTCGACCATTCCGCGATCCTGAATGGGAGAAAACCGAACTTTCGTACCTGGGGCTCAGCATCGACAACCTGAATTCCATCACGCGCACCTACAACCTCCAAGCGCCCGATCTTGCTAAGAAGCCATACTACTCTCTCGAGCGGGAGTTGAACGCTTGCTATGCTGACGTCGCGCCCCTTCTCGCCTCCGAGATAGTGGAACGAGCCCGTGCGCCGATCAAGAAGGGCGATTTCAGGTCCGGCGAAGGAGGAGTGCTAGCTGCTATAGGAGGGTCGATAGGTGCAGGCAAAACGAAAGTGCATGACGAGGGGAGGGGGAAGCAATACGGGCTACGAGAATTTTGGCGAGACCTGTGGGGATGATCCGAAATGGAGGATCGATTCCAGGCCAAGCGATAGGCGTTTCCCTCAACATATTAGCGCACCGGCACGGCTGCAGCAGTTCTCAACAACAAAGTGAAAAGGAATACGGATCTGCATTGGTATGCGTCAAGGGAACTCTAGGGTGTGATTGAGATCTCTGGCCTGCCTGTTCAGGTTGTCTGTACATGAACGACTCTCGGCGCTGCACCGTCGCTTGCCAAGTCCAGCTTCGCATTACAGCAGCAATTCCTCGTCGCCCAATCGATCGCCCGCGACTTCCCCTTCTTCATCGCCTGCCGGCGCGCTCGCGTCGCTCTCCTCTCCCTTTCCCTCGCATCAGCCACCACATTGTCTGGCGTCCTCACCTGCGGCCTGTCCGCGCCACGCCGCGGCGTCGCCACCCCTGAGAGCATCCTCGGTCGCGGATTCGCGGCGTTGTCACCTCGCCTGGGTCGTCGAGCCCTGTCCGCCGGTTCGTGCCTGCGAGCTGCCTGCAGCGGATGAGACGGTGCCATGGCGAGGGTTGCTGGAGCTAATGCGACGGCGTGGAAGGGGTGTCGGTCCAATGCCTCGAAGCCGCAGGTGGCATGCCCGCTCCGGGGAGGTTGCCAATACGCGCGTCCGACTCGTCTCGGTAAAGTAGCGCGGCGCCTGGGGCCAGTAGGTGAGCGAATCGGCGGCCGGGATGGGGAAGGGCCGCCAGGGGAGGGGGAGACCGGACCCGTTGGATGAGCTCTGGATCCCCTCTGACTCCTCAGCGACCTTGTTCGCAGGAAGTCGCGGACGCTCGAAGCGAGGGCTCGACCGGTGGAGGGCAGTGAGGGGTGTGTCGGGGGGATACGACCGATGTCACCTGGCCACCGCGGACGTCCAGGGGGCGTTGGGGTGCGTTTGTGCGGGGGATGGGTAGGCTTCGTAGGACAGGCTAAGGGGAAAGTGGTGTTGCCGAGCGTGGAGGGATCGGAGCCTGCACTGGACGGTTGAAACGTGCGGCTACGGCGACGGATGATACTCTCGTCGAAGCTAAACGAGTGGCGTGATCGAAGGCCCAGAGGGACCTGGGCACTATAGCTGCAACGTTGTTGAAGGGACGGGATGGAGCGGCCGGATGATTGGGCTCTGAGCGTCAGAAAGGAGCGTTGTTCGAAGATGGTGGTGAGAGTCGTGCCATGCGGGTTGTTGATGAACCGAACCGCTGTGCGAACAGGTGGTGTGTCCGATGCAGCGGCACCGCGGCCATGGCTGTGTCGACTTGGGGGTCTCTCGGATGTCGGCGTGCGAAGCGTTGGGGTGGCCTCAGATGTCTCGGAAGCTTCCGTATTCCCACTGGATATACGGTGGACGGCGTCACATATGGAACTGTGCTCGCTTGGGAGGGTCTCAGATGAGTCGAGATGGGGGAAATGGAGGCGTTTGGATTGACTGCGACTTAGTATGCCTGGATTCTCGAACGTACAGTGGCGAGACCGTGGCGGGGGGTAGCATGTATTGGTGTGATCTGTCAGTGGGTGTGGTGAGAATGTAGTCGGAAACATGCCGAAATAACGGTGTGATAGGGTTGGGAATGATGCTCCGCTCTACTGGGGTGTCACACAGGAGAACCGTGGATGAGTTATTTTAGTATTAGATTAGCGAGAGATGCAATGTGGATAATAGACTGGAGGAATTCATCAATCGTTCATATGATCTGATCCAGGACGGCTCCGAGCGCGACTTCCATGGCGTGAATATCCAATCAGCAATTGCACCTGAGATCTCAGGAGCAGGAGTGAACGTGGAGGGGCTAAGTACGGTACTAATTATTACGTATAAAGACTTGTGATAGGTAGACTGGTAATAGAGAGGAGGGAGATAAAGGAGAGGTCAGAGGCGAGGAGCAGTATATCCACTTGCAAGCCTCCTGCTCCTCCATGATTTTCGACATCTTAGCCCGCAGACGAACGATGTCCAGGCCACGATCACGCTAGAATCGTATGTTGTTTGAGAATTGGAGGCACTGAGGGAGCGGATAGGGCTTTAGAGGCGTACCCAGGCGTTTCCAGACGTTTCCAGACGTATCAAGATGTATCACAACATATCAGCGGCGTATATCAGGGGCATCAGAGGCGGGACAAACACAAAAATGTCAGGCCATCAAGCCATGTGGCCCCCTTGCTTGTACAACCAGCGACACGTGGGCGACACCCTCGATCTGCCCGTTGTCCTGTTGTCCACAGTTTGTGCCGTGTCTCCAACTTCACAGTTTAACAGTTCAACAACCTTCTAGTCCTTTCGTTCGCCTTGCTTCTTCGGCCGGTTGAGTTCTTCCGACCAGCGCAAGCCAACCGGATTGGGATAGACTGTGGTGGTGGCGGTCGTGGCGGCTCTGCGGTTGCATCACCTCGTTAGCAGTTCCTCCATCAATTCAGCCCTGCCTCTCTCGCTCTCTCGCTCCCCACTATGATTCTATTCTTGTGTTGCTAGCAGAGTATCAGGTCCGTAAAGTGTAATATGATGTTGTCTCAAGTGAGGAAGCAGTCTGCAGCATAAATCGAGCATACACTAATGCCTTCTAGTAATATCCCTTAGCACTTAGCAGCGTTTTTGCTATGGGATCGAAACTCGCCATGATGCAAGCCCAGGCAAGGACTTGTCCCATTCCCGAGTGCCGTCCTCTGTGTGGCTTACGCCCTACTTTCCACTACGGGTACTGTACCTACACTACTACAAGGTAGACTTTGTGGATGGAACAGTCTTACGGAGTCACCCTGCGGCAATGCGACGATCTGGAAAACTATTAGCCTGTCGCGGTTGTACAGGCTATCCTGGATCATAACGCGCCAATCTCATTATCTGATCTTATTTCGGCATCGATTCTCCAGATCATCCCAAGGAGCGATGCAGGGTCGCTGGCGACCGGCAGCATCACACGATTAGCGCTGTCTGATGTGGACTAGTGCCATTGATACCACTGATATTGATCACCAATCGACCCTAGTCAAAGCGCTTTAAAGCACTCCAGTGGAGAGAATTTACCAGCCTCTCATCTGCAGGGCGCCCGCTTGAGACGTTTTCCATGGACATTCAGCCCAATACAGCACCAACGTGCTTCTGCTTCCAGCTGCCTCTACCACTCGACACCCTTCTTGTTCTCCCTTTTTTCTCTTCTTTTTCCTCTCTCCTAGCATGATGCTTGTAGAACGCTGAGCCATCATAACACAAACTCTCGCGTGGCTCTCGCGTGGCAAGTTTGTGTCATTCAGGCTAGACAAAAGTGCGGCGGTGCATCCTCGAGGCGCCTTTGTCCCACAAGTCATAACAGACTTAACATTTCGTACCGTCTTGTTGCTTTTTTCGTCTCGTCTTTCCCATAGTCAAACAAGCCTTGTCCATCATATTTGTCACTATTCAGTCTCATGCATAAGCATGGGGCCTTGCATGTCGCTTGCATCAACCACCATTTTTTCGAAGAACCCCTTCGTTGGTGTGAATCCTTCAAGGCCTTCGTCTGAAAGAGGCAATGATTATCCATACCTGTCAGGGTAATTCCTCTTTCCTGTATAGCCACATATCGATATCACAACAGGGACCCTAGCCATCTTGTACTACGTTTGGAACCATTCACAGAAGGTTCCCATCTCCACAGTCTCGATTTTCTCCACCGCCTATGAGGCCTAGGAGGCCCAAGTTGGCCAGGGAATAAATTCAGGACGAAATTATGTGCCCGCCTGATGGAAAGGAACCAACCGACAACTGGCGGTGGACGGATGCATACTCTTCTGTCCATTCTAAGCTTCTGGCGCATCCACAACTGCATGTTCTCGACGTCGTGTCTCCACTTCCGCAGGCTGAGTTGTCCCCGCTCGGAAGTCGGAACGTCCCGCGATGGATCCCGTCTTGAGCATGTGGTCTGCCTGCGGAACCTGTCACATCGTTGTGGGATAAAGTATAATCCAAGTTCCCATCCTTGAGGATATGCCTCAGATGAGAGAGGAATTCATTTCTTTTTCTCTCGCCAGGAATGGCTGACGAATCGTGCTCGATGGATCCACCTTCGGTGCATTTGGCGCTAGATTTTCCGTATTTTCCACTTTGAGGTGCATGGGATTCTGAAAGTGTGCGTTGGCCATGCTTATCGCCGCCCTGCTATATCTTTGCCAGCCAGGGGCTCCACACCATCAATTTTAAGCATTCCCCGTCTTGCATGAGAAATAATGGTCCAAACTGCACAGGTCGCAACGCCTCCCTCGATATTCTGCTTGCTCAGATGTCGTCGTGACTTGTGGGGATGAAGGTTGTCAGCCGGACTTCGTCTGGGCGCTTCCAAATGGCGTTTCCACAAAGCGCTTCCACGTCACCAAGGGAATTCGTCACTTTACGAGAGCAAATGTTGGGGCTACTCGATACCGGAATTCCCGAAACCATCCTTCTCACTGGATGTATCAACCCAGGGTAAAGGTCGGGCGTGGCGTCCGCTACAATACCAGCCAGTCCGAAGGCCAGACAACCAGGCCATCTCCGCTATTGCCACCATGGAGTTTTGAGTTTGCGGTGCTGAGTGGATGCAACTATGCAAGCTATGACCGGTTCAGCCAAAGGGTACACATTACATTGCATTAGCGAAGATCGTCCACTAGGCCCTGCCGCTGGATCCACACCTAGTCATGTAGGGTGGTGCTTTCAACAATTGTTCTTCTTGTCATGAGTCCACAAGCGAATCAACGTGCGGCGTCGTCTCGACGAGTTGTCGTCATGCTCTGATTCGAGCTCCCTCGGAGCCTTTTTCTATGATACGCCAACGTTATTGTTCTTCTTGGCAGTTTTACCCGAGAGGCCCGGTATGATTCAGTGGCTTGATGGTGCAAAGTCCTGTTCTTGTGTCTCATGCGCCGTGGTACTTGACGACTGAATCCTGGCGGTGACACTAAGTTGACATATTTTCTGCGGTACAGATCAACCTCCTGTCTATTGGGTTCCATGGTCTCGGTATTTGAGAGCCTGCCGCTGAGCGGCATTGGTGGACTGTGTTATATCTTACATAGTATGTCTACTCGATCTTCCATGCACACTTCATTCGGCGTGTCCCGACCCGCTCAGTCCAATTGCCCACGTCACGTCCCGCCCAGAGTGGCTTCCCCCATTCGCTCTCGCCTTCATATGCCCTTCTGACCCATCGTCTCTCACCTCTTGATAAGCCGTCACCGACCTCACGTTTCAGCACGACTCACCCGTCGCCCACGCCTTGCCATTTGCCTGTTCGAACACCCTCACATTTGCTAAATTGCCCCTTGGTCCCCAGTTCGCTGCTAGGCGAAAGCGAGGACCCTTCTCCCAAGATTTAAACATTAGACCACCGATTTTCGTCTGCCATCCTAAACGTCTAACCATGCCGTCATCCATCCTCTCCCCCATCGCCCCGAGCCGCTCCAAGGAAGACCTCTTCCACGCGCTTAACTGGTCCGAATCCAACGAAGCCCACCGCCACCTCTACATGCTGATGATGGTAAGATCCCCAACCCCATGAAACACCCGTGATCGTGTCCCCTTGCAAGCCGGACACCCACGCGATCCATGAGCCTAGTGAACTAATGCCGCACACAGGAAGAGGCGAACCACGGCCGTGAGCGCGCCATCCATCGTGAGCATCTCCTGCACGGGTACCAGGCCACCACGCACGTCACTGAGACGAGCAAGCACATAGAGATTCAGGAGATCTTCCGGACCGCGAGCCCTGCGACGCGCTCCGTGTACAATCTCGGCGTGCGCTACGACGGGGAGAATTGGGAGAATTGGATCATTCGGTGGACGTAAGTTGCGCTTTGATTTTCGTTTCGTTGACAAGACATCCCCCCAACCCCCTGCGTGTGTAGATTCGGGAATGCACGGGTGATTGATCGGCTCGGCAGGCTTTGGCATTCGTTTCGCTATCGTGATGATCGGAATCGGAATCGATATAGTGCGAATTACTACCCATGCGGCGATGCGGCGGCCGCGCAGCACGCGGCGTATGCGCCTCATGCGTACTACGGTAAGTTAGCTCCATCTCCACTGGTTTGGTTGACGCGTTTGTCCGACCTCTTGCGACGTACCTGGCGCTGATATTATTGCAGCACAAACGGCGCACACTGGTACTTCGTACTATGACCCTGTGAGGGACACTTAGATTGCATGGGAGAGGAGTCTGGCACCTGCTTCATGGTGTTCTTAATGCGGTGCCTCGAAGGTTTTGGTATTTGATCGGAAATATTTTTAATATATGGATAGTTGGTAGGATGCCATCTCAATCGCATCGAGGGAGTGTAGTAGATTGATGTGGAGGCCTGGTGAAACCCTGGACCGCACGTTGTTACGACAGTCTCACGATCCTCCTTTTTAGGGCGGGACGTTGTGAATATTCCTTTAACGAGACTGGTTGCAAGTTTTCTTTAGATCCATCCAGGTAGAACCGCCGAATATGAATCGTTTCGAAACTTCTATCCTTGCAATCATGGAGCCGTCTTTCGGTCCCGTGGGCCATGTTTCCAGCTCCAGGAGAGTATCTCCCTCGAAGGGGTAGCCAGAGCCGTAGTTGCGGGACAAATGTTCTCATCGGTCAGTCATCGGCGTATCACGATCACCACTGTCTCCGACCGCCTTACTTAACTGCGTCCTCAACGCTGCCTCAAACTCCACCCGTGCCGCATCAATCGCCCTCTTCGTCGGTGCCAGCAACTGATTCACAACCGCCGCTCCTCCCTTGATTGCACCGACATTAACCTGGCCCCTCCTCCCCTTCCTTCGCATCCGCTCCTCCTCCTGCTTTTGCAGCGCCGCGACCCGGCTCCCCCGCTCCTGCTCTGCCCGATCGGCTATCATCTGGATGCGATCGAGGCTCTTATCCAGCGTCTCGACGAGCTTCTGCAGCTCGCCGGCCCGGTCTGCATCGCCCGAGTGGAAGACCACCCAGAAGTAGTGGAGGAATTCGATGGTCGTGTTATGCGTGATGAGGAGGGAATCGATGATATCCTGCGACAGGCCGGTGTCTGTGAGCGGGACTGCGCCGAAATTTGCGCTGTCCATACCGCTGGGTAATACGTCGGTGTAATTCCGTCGTTGGCGGATCGTCCCGATCATGTCGTTTGTGGCGGCGGTGCGGCCGGCTCGGCTGCCGATGCGGTCTTTTAAAGGGCGTGGGTCGTCTTCCTCATCCGAGTCCTCGTCGCTTTGTGGGCGTACGTTGAGCGCGGCATTCAGATCGAAGGGCTCGGTGCCGAACTCCGCACGCAGGTTGTCGACGACCTGTTGGGGTTGCATCTTGGCGAAGCGAGCAGCTTCTTTGGAGACATGGGAGACCCCGGCGGCGAGGAAGCGGCGCTGGTCTTTGATGTTGAGGATGATACGGTTGTCGGCGCCATTGGCATCGAGATCGCGCAAGCGGAGTTGGTTGAACGTCTCTTCGTCCATGCCGACGGGATCGTAGAGGTTATCGGATGGAGCAACTTCCGTCATCATCTTCTCGCTCATTCGGTTTAACACGCGAAGAATGGGAACTCGATCGTGGTCTTGGGGACGCATGGTCCAATCCGGTCGGTTGCCTTTCTCCAGAGTGATGTCGTTCTCATTGCCTTCTAGATCGATTATGTGTGGCACATGAGGTTCTAGGTCCCTCCGCTGCGTTGAATACTCATCCTGGTTCAAGTACTTGTCTAGGTCTTTGTCGGTGGAGTCAATCTCGGTGATTTTTTCCCCCCTGAGCTTTTTGCATAGCCTGCTGACGAAGAATCGAGACCAGAAATCCTTCTCTTGCATCGGCGGCACGCTCTCATCGTATACTCGCTTTACAAGCGGATGTTGTTTGAATATCAGAACGATTTGCTCCTTGCTCAAGTTCAACCGCGCGGTGCCGTCCACATTCTTCGGCTTCACTTCCGATAGTACGTTGTAAACGCCATGGGATTGGCTCTTTCCAACGGCATGTGCTCGTAGCAGATGCACCCTTGTCGACCAAAATTGTGCGCTGAACTGCGACATTGTAATGCCTTCCGGCTTCTCGGCAAGCGACTCATTGAATCGCTGCCGAAGCTGAGCGTTCGCGTGGAGTAGGGAGCGTTGTAGGTTGGCGTCAGTGGCAAGACGCGCATCGTCGTAAAGGGGATCGGTCCGAGGTGTACTGGACACAGTTTGGGCGAAAGCCATCGCGCCTGATTGCCCGTCCCCTGGTGGACCAGCCGCAGCAGTTGAGGCTCCATCGCCGGCTCCGTTTTGTGATTTGCTTGCCTCGATCGCCTTGCGGATGGACTCGGTTATGGTGGATTGCTCATTTCGGGCGTTCGGTGATGTAAAGGTGAAGACGAAGTTCTCTGGGGTAGTTTGGTTTGGTTTCTGGACGACAACTTTGGTCGAGACTTTGGCGCTTGTGGCTGGTGTTTGCTGGAGGTCTTCGGGTGGCTGTCAGTCTAGGCATACTTTGAATGCGTTAGAGGATGTTCGAACGAACTTGATATCTCTGCTACGGATAGGACAATCGGCGCGTTTGAGGCCCCCTGAGCCGTTGGAGTCCAGGTGATAGACTTCCTATCCGCTGACAGGATGAGCGAACCATCTTGCTTTTTGTATGAGGTAGCGACAGAGGGATTTGAATTCGCCATTTGAGCGAATATTAGCTTCAGGTGGATGATATGAGTTCTCTACTAGGCGTAGGAGGCGGACATCAATGAGAATCTCGTCAATACCGTCCCTGGGTCACAGATTGCGGAAGGCCTAGCTTGGAGAATCCAATCCCAGAAGCTGGACGGCAAACGTATTAAGTTGATGGCATCAACAGTCGACTCAATGAGCATTCGATAAATGACCTGTGATACGCTGTGGCCTAAACATCCATCTTTTGCATCATGACTAGTGTCAGGAGTTGTAGGTACCGTAGGGCTCAATCCTGCTCGATCACACCCGGATCGGAGTTGTCATTAACATATGTAAAGGACTTGGATGTAACATCCTATTCTAAGACGTCCCCTTTGGTCTGACATAGAAAAATCTGGGGATCTAGCCTCATGTTCAACTGTGATCATGACATGAAGGTGATAGTTGTACAATCATGATCCGCGATGCTGGATGATCTTTTCGTCACGTGCTTGCCAGGTCTCGATTCGATCTGACTTGGCCACGTCCAAATCACCGAGTGTCACTTGTTTGTGATCAATCTACGACACCTTTTGTCCTCTTCCCAACTATCGAATGAAAGCTCTACTTGTAGACTAGCTCGAATACCATTAAGAACTGGGATATCGCCATAGTTCCATTCGGTCCGTCGTATAGCATGGGTACATCCGAGCATATATCATCTTGAACTCCTAGTAAGGCTCTCAGGAAGCTTCTGATAACACTACCATACCTTGTGGTCTTCAAGCTGCCGCAATTCCTCCTGTTATAATCATTACTCTTCCATTTAGCGCTTTCATGTGAGCCTGGCTAACAATATCTCGTGGTTTTACTTTCAGTATAGGACCGTCCCGTGTCTCTCCTACACCCTGGCCACATGCTCCGAGTTACGCCTGGTTGACCGATCTGCTCTCCACGCAGGAAACCCCTCATATATCCTCTTATTCCCCCTGGGATCACATCGGCCAACATGTTTTGGCGCTTTGGGGGTGGATATGCGAACATTTCCACCCTAGACTCGATACTGGATAAACCCGATGTTACTCTTGAGGAGCTGCTGGACGAGTCGGATCTTATCCAAGAGCTGAAGCAGCAGAACTCGAAGTTAATAGAGTATCTGCGCGACGACAATATACTTGACCGCCTACTGAGATATGTAGTTGCGCTGAACCCGGAGCCGACACCGGACGAAGATGAACCGAGCCCAGCGGAGAAGGACAGGCCATCGAGCGGCGGCGCCTTGGACAGCTTCTTCAGCAAGGGAAGGCGTCGATCAAGATCGAAGTCATTAGGCAAAGACGACGGAGATGGGGAGGAATCGAAAGAAGAAAAGCAACGGCTGAAGTACGCATATGTGGCCAGTGAGATTCTTTCCTCGGAGGTCTGGTCCATCTCGGAGGCTTTGATGGAAAACCAGGAAAGCTTGCGCAAATTCTGGGATTATGCCAAGCAAGAACCACCACTTGACGCCGTCCAAGCTGGATATTTCATGAAAGTCAACGAGTCCCTGTTAGATCGAAAGACCGAGGAGATGCTGGATCTATTCAAATCCATCGATAACATCATTCCGGACATGTTGCAGCATGTCGACTGTCCCATGATCATGGATCTCTTATTGAAGATCATCAGTTTGGAGAAGGCCGAAGGAGGACAGGGCATTGTTGATGTAAGTTTTTTATTAAAAGCTCCTGATTTCGTCGCTCATCGCATCTCTATAGTGGTTGCAAACGAAGGACATGATACCCATTTTGCTTTCATATTTGTCTTCTAAGCAGTCCTCTTCCACCCAAACTTCGGCCGGAGATTTTCTTAAAGCCATCATTACGATATCAGCGAACGCGACGAGTCAGGATCAGAGTGTCATCGGTCCAAACGAGTTGACACGACAATTGGTGTCCGAGGAATGCATCGGAATGCTGATCAACGAAATGCTTGGTGGCGGCAATCCTCTGACTGTTGGCGTTGGTATTGTCATTGAGGTTATCCGAAAGAATAATTCCGACTATGACATGGACAACCAAATAGGCCCAGTTCCCAAATCTTCCGACCCGATATACCTTGGCACCCTTCTTCGCCAGTTCGCGCAGCATATCCCCGACTTCATGAGTCTTATCCAGCACACTGCTATGGAAACCGTCGAAGAGAATGGCGTCAAGGTTCAAATACCCAAGAAAATCAAATCGGCCTTCGGCGAACCATTCGAGCCGCTTGGATTCGATCGGTTCAAGACATGCGAATTGATGGCAGAGCTACTCCATTGCAGTAATATGGCTCTTCTCAACGAGAGGGGGGCAGAAATGGAGATCAGGGCAAGGGACGCCGAGCGTGCCAGACTTAAAGCAGAAGGAAAGTTGACCTCCGTGAAAGAGTCTGCTCTCGAGAATGACTTTGGAACGAGCGTTGACAGCTCCGGTTTTCATCACGCGCGACGGCCTTCGAGCTTAGAAGGTTCCCCGGAACTGATCAAACGGTTGGAAGTTTCGAATAGCGGCGAGGAAGACGAGTTCGAAAAGGTTGCAGCGTCTGATGTCTATGGCGAAGAGGTGGAAACCGATCCTGGCAAGGACGATACGGCTCATGCTCTTTCAGAGAAGGACGACTTGTCAGATGGCAGCTCAGCAAACACCGAGAAAGTCCCTAATGAGAAAGCTGAAGAGAATGAGAGCGCAACCGAGAAAGCAGCAGAAGATACGAACCACGACGGCCCTACATCCACCGACACGGAGTCCTCAGGATCACTTAGCGAAAGACTTGATCAGCTGAAGCTAGAACAAGGCCTTGGTCTGGATACAGGAGCCGAACCTACGACCGCAGCAGAGTTTGTGGATAGCCTACCTCCAGGGGAAGAGACTGACACCGGTACGTCCCATTTAACCAACTGTATCATTACCTGTACCAACAGTTCCCCAGATCGTATGCAATATGAACCTAGCTTCGAAATCTCTGCAGCAATGCCCGCACCATTATTCTCGAGCAAGCCAAGTGTTTCCAACAACATAGAGCATGACGGTCCGGCATCAAAAGAAGACGCCATGGACGAAACTGAGAAACGTGGAACGGATACGGGAACGGAGTTTGAGGATTCCCAGAGCTCACATTCAGTCATTCTTGCAGGTCCCCCAGAAGAACCCGCACCTCCGTTTGAGGTCGACGTGGATGGTGCACCCGTCGTTGGGGATTTTTTGAAGATACAATTCGTGGAGAACAGAGTGGTACCTACGATCCTTGTGAGTGTTTCTTCAGCTTGATAGACCTTGTCACGGCTCGTTAACCTTGATCTAGGACTTCTTCTTCCGGTTTCCATGGAATAACTTCCTCCACAACGTTGTCTACGATGTCGTTCAACAAGTCTTCAACGGTCAAATGGAACGCGGTTTCAACCGCAGCCTAGCCATCGACCTCTTCGACAATGGCCGAATCACCGAGCGAATCATCGACGGCCAGGAAGCTAGCGATAAAGCACAGGAGGAGACCAACATCCGTCTCGGATACATGGGACACCTGACATTAATCGCCGAAGAAGTAGTCAAGTTCACCGAACGACACCCGCCCGAGCTCCTCTCCCAATCTGTCCTAGAACGGGTCATGAGCGATGGGTGGGTCACTTACGTCGAGCAAACGCTCACCGAGACACGCGAACGCGACAACGCCATCCTAGGCGGCGTGCGACCCGATCTGGCCGGCGGCCCACGCCAAGCCGTTCTGAATGCAGTCAACTCCGCGCAAGGCTACGACGGCGGGTCCTCCGGCCTCGCCGCGTTGATGGGCCAAAGCAGCGGCTCCAACGGCCTGGAGACCCTCGAACTCGCCGGCGACCCGGGAGCGGGCGGATACACCTTCGGCGGCAACACGCTGCTCAGCGGATTCAATCATTCCAGCGACGAGGAAGACGAGGAGGGGGATGAAGGGGGCGTGATTGGGGGCAGCGAGAGCGGGGAGGCTGATGTTGATGATCGGGAGACTCAACCGTTGAGCGAATCAGACCAAGTGGGTGAACTCTCATTTGAAGATGTTGAGATGGATTATCGGTGACCCCGTCACATCGATCCGAGAAAGCGCAGAGTGGGTGCGTTTTCTTTTACCTCCCATCGGTGGTGGCGGCCGTCATGTGGTTCGCTTCTATCTTGGTCTGTCTGTGCAGGGCTCGTTTTTAGCACTATTGGAGTTAATGATTGTACGAGTCATGTTCAAATTCAGACGATGGATCTTTCGTGTTGTTCTTTTCTTCTTTCTCCGTCGTGAAATAGAGGGCTAACCCGTTCGCGCCATTGTTTAGCCTAAGTCGACGCCTCCCATCGCGATCCCTCCTCCGCTGCAGGTCGCGCCGTCGCGCGCGCGCCGACAATTTGCCGCTCGGCTTGCCCAACGTCAGAAAGAGCTTGAAGCAGCCAACGCCGCATCCGTTGATGGTGACCCCGTTGCCGGGGAGGATGATGATGATGAGAAAGAGCCGGACCATGATGCTGACGATGTCAGCGCGAGCCAGGTCTGGATATCCGGGCCGCCGAGACTCGGTGATCGCTTCCGGTCTGGATCTGATGATGGAGATGACGAAATGTGATGGGTTATCGGGGACGATGGGTGGGCGGATTGGGAATTGGATGACATGGGGTCCGATCATGGTTTTGGGTATCTCGACGTAGCGGTCAGTCGACGCTAGGGATCAATGACGGCGGGGTATTGCATGTTTCGAGGATGTGACGTGTATGATATGCGAGGCTATGGTGATTGTGTAGGTAATGTTGTGGATCACCTCTCTATACCCTGAATATGACTATATTATTTCTATTCATAGACAAGTAGTCTATGCATTGGCGACCTCGAACACGCTCCTTTTCACATTCTTGACGTAGCGAGGATGTCAAAGGGGCCTCCCACTTTACATACCTACTCACATATGCCGTGACTGGCTAAGATCCCAATTTCCACCGCATGTCCAGTCCGCCAAGGAAGCTTACTGCATCCTTCGGCAGTTTCGTAGAGTGCGGAGGATGTCCAAGGGACGGTAGCTCTGCCTGTTTCCAATACCACGTTTGCCTCGTGTCAAACCTCCGCTCTGCCATGGTCATACTGACAATGCTGCGTAGGTCAGGTGCGGTAAGAAGCCGGTCATAAGTTGCTTCATTTCCTCGGTAAAAGGAATCCCACCAAGCCTCGTGGTTATCCTGGAAGTCTAGCTGCGCCACTCCATTCTGTGTACCAACGAAGACACTCGACGAGACAGACGAGGGGCGCGATAGACAGTAAATCGGAAATGTGCTTCGAGCCCTGTTCCAGCCGGTAATCCGCTGCACTATCTTGTGCAGGTCCACGGAGGTGGCTCCGAATACTTCATCAGCTTTGTTGGGAAGGTCGCCACCGTCACGGATAACGGACGGAGCTTGGACGAGCGGGCATGTCAGATCCTTGCGTTGATCTTCGGTCAACGCATCTCTCCAGTCATAGACGCGACTACCAGGCATGCGGAGGTCGAGAATCGCGATAGTTGGGCTATCGCCCAAACCGACAAGGAGACTTCGTCCACCGATGCAGCAGAGGGAGTAGACAGGTCCGGGCAACAGATCGTATAGGCATCTGCCGCCTAGACCGGGTACTCTTAAGTCATGCAGCCTACAAATGAGCTTCGTTCACGGATGAAGAGTGGGTAGACGTACCTGACACTTCCGTCTCTAAGGCCCGACACGAAGGTCCCAGGATTGTATAAAGATGAGGATTGGGGAATCGGTTCCACGGCGTAGCATGTTCCTGTGGTAATCGGCGTGCCCTGGCGCGAAAGTCCATCCTTAAACTCCCAAGAGTTTACGGGAGACTCTGAAAATCCGGAAGGGGTGACTTGATATATCTTGATCGGATGAGTGGATAAACCACCAGCAGCAGCGAGTTGGGTTTCCGACATGAATTTGCAACACCACAACCGACTGTCTTTTGTGTCGCGGAATGCCGTTACTTCGCTCAACGGATTAACATCCGACATCTGCTCATCTGGAACGCGGTAGAGAGCGATATCCGCCTTGCCCAGAGATACAGCAAATAACCCATCTCCAGCAGGCGATACATCGCCGCCTAGCAATGCACGTTGTCCCGTGCCAAAGCCAGCCAAGAGAGCGGTGTTCCTGTCGTTAGCACTCCCCTCAAGCGAGAAGCTCGCGAGTGTAAGACTGCCGGCCGCGGTTCCAATGAGGACTCTATCCCCTTTAGGAAAATGGCCTGTGGGGTCTTGCACGCCGAGGAGCTTCAGCATAGTCACATCATCGTGTCCATCCACCGCATTCGGCGGCTTGAAGCTGCACCATCTGAATGGCTTGCTTCGTTTGTTTCCAGTAGCGTTCGGATCGATCTCCCTCACGCGAAAGTAGCAGGCCGGACCAGCTCCCCATCCCAGCACCTCTCGTCGCGCCCCCCAGTCTCCCGCCCTCCACTCTTCATAGCTGTCCAGGACGGCTCGATAGCCGATCGTCTGCCTCGCGCTGGAGGCAGGCCACTTGTAGTCTGGCCAGTCAGGGGGGATCAAGATGGTGGCTCCGGTAGGGTCTAAGTGTCGAAGGGTCATTGCCTTCGTGTCGAGGTGTTGCGAGAGCGCTGCTAGCTCAACGGCGACGGATTCCCATATGGGCGGTGGGTTGAAGGTGGGGAAGTGTGTCTGGACCCAGATCTTCCATCCTTGCTCTTGAATGAAGGCAGTAAGACCGCGACAGGTCAAACTAAGGTTCCTGACTTCTTCTATGGTCGGAAGGTACCTAATGATATTGGACAGAAGTTCCGCAGGTAGAATATTCAGTATCGCTCGACCGAGATCCCCTTGTGTAGCATCGTCCGCCATGAGTGTAAGTTATCAATTTCAAAAAAGGAAATCTGTAAATATAAACTCGAAAGTTCATAGTATTATAAAAATTGGTTTCAGAAAGGATCGCTCGTTTTCTTTAGACTGCTAGACTAGTCATGTACCATTGGAGTCTGGAACTCACTGAGTTATTGTGACGACGTGTGTGGGCTTAAGCGGCCATTTCTGCCTCAGGCTCTGACATCATTTTTTCAGTAAACTGATAATTGACATGGACACAAGTTGTGTCACACAACGCAATGGGGCGGACCAAAAGAACAGCGTGGGAGATCTGCAAGGTGGATCTTGAGATAAGCGCGATTACTGTAACTCTATGCTCCAGGTATGGACCCAGAAGGGTGACGACGGCGAGAGACTGTCAGCTTACTGAAAACATGATGAGTAATTACACATGGTTGAGGAAATCCATCGTTTAATGTATTAAAATTTCATTTCATTTGATTCATTGGCCAGGATAGAATACATCAGACTGATACAAGTCTAGGCCCCCGACCCCACTGATATCCGGATATCCCTGTCCCTGTCTTGCGAACTCCGGTCGTGCGTACGGCTCCTGTCTGGGGAACGGCTCCGCAAGCGATGTCATCGAGTTGAAGACCTGTCCCTGGCTATCCCTAGGGTCGGGCAGCGCCCAGTCGCGTGGCATCCCGCCCGCGAAGTCGTACTGATCGGAGCCCATGGTTCGCGCGCGTTTGGGCGTTCGCTCCGGGTCCAGAGGGTCCGCATTGAAGTCGGTCACAAACGAGTGCTCGGCTTCGCCCTGCTCTGGCGCCTCTACTGTGTCCTTGAAACCGCGCTTGGTTGGCCTGCTAGAGGTGGTTAGCGTTCTGGAGCGTGCAGGATGCACTGAGGAGACTGACCCGAAGGCGCGAGGTTCTTTGCGGAGCCGGAGTCGAATCCCCTGATCAGAGAAGGCTCGGGACAGATATGTCGACTCATCCAGTCCGCGGAACTCCTTCTGGGTTACGACTGTCCTTGAATTAGTTTGGACCATTGAGAATAACTCCACCGATCCTACCTTTGAAGGGCTCTGAGAAGCCCTGGCATAATTTGAAGGCAGCGCCTTCCTCCCTAGGAAGTATTAGAATGGTGTCTTGGACGCAATGCGTGATTGCTCACTTTCGATAATCGTAGAGCGTAAAGCATAAGACGTGTTCTCCTGGGAGCTTCACTGAAACGTCACCGAAGACGAAGAAGCCACCATCTTGGAGGGTCAGTCTGGGTTCTTGAACGGTAACGGGGTGCTTACCATTGTTATCGGTATCTTTCACCCGGTGTAATGATGAAACCAGAGTTCCTGTAAGTGCTTTGCCACTGTTCGCCGGGACTCGTCCTGTCTTGTCATACAGTGATGCCACGCAAAACAGATACGGGTTGGAGAGGTACACCCTGGAGCAGTCAGCTAATGCTACGTCGCTCAGTGTAGATTCTCTACTCACGAAGAAGGATCGGCTTGCTGATGCACGACAAGCTGCACGAAGGGAGGGGGATCGACGGGTTTGCGCCCTGGCCTGCGGTTAGCGATGCTTCGGAGCGTTCGGCGAGAGGACGAAGTACCCTTCTCCTTCCCTTCGACGGCTACCAGAGCTTCTTTCGGCTGCTGCCGAACGAGCAACCGCACATCTCGACTGTAAGTGTCCCGGTTAGTTGATGAGTTGCTGTTTTGCAATAATGGCGCCCGCGACGGATTTCTAGCGCACCTTTCCAGCGGTCTATACGCTGGACTCGGCTGTACGATTCCGTACACAGGATATGGCTGCTGCTGGTACATCCCAGGGTTCATTTGATTCATCTTGGAAAGACCCGTAGGGGCACCTGAAGGGACGAAGTGGTCTCTGCTTAGAGAAAGCTGCCGCGGAAGGAATAACTGATCGACTGATGGAAGAATAAGATAGCCGGATGTTGATTATGGGTGACGATATGGATGCGACACAGCTCCCGAGGCCTTGAGGGCTTATAAGGGCGGGTGCCAGTGATGGAGATGACTGTTGCAGGTGCTGGGAGAACGGGACATTCGAGACCCAAATGTGACTGAGCTGTACCAAGTTTGGGGAAGAGGGCGGCTGAGTACCACAATTTCGATTGCAGCACTTCATCGAGCTGAGAATCCACGACCGGATCCGGTGGGTAGGGACAATTTGGAAACGACTTCCCACAACGACCGGAAAGTGCCGTTGAAGGTATCTTGAAGTTTATATCGGGTGGAGTTGCTGGTACACCCCACTCTCAGGACTGATCGCCACACAATGAAGATGCCGTAGGGGGGCTGCGGGATAATTCAACTAGAAAAGGGGCGTGGCGGAGCTGTATGCGATCCTCTCGTGAACCACTCGAAATCCTCCAGGAGCCTTTCTTGAGAACGGTCGTGTTACCTCTAATGAACCCAGATCAAAAACTGACGCGAAGATCACAAGCTGAACGCGTCACAGTGTAGCTAAAGGTGTAGCTAGGATTTACTTTGGTAGACGCTCGGGAAGGCGGTTTTAGAGCCCCGCGACGACCAATATCCGCACCAGCACCCGCAGTTGTTGGGCCCGATGGGGAACTCGTTCCAGTATCCGAGTGACGCCAACCAATAACGTGTTTTCACCGGCCAGGTCAGCCCACGAAGTACTATGGTAAAAGGTATTCCGTTCAACTCCAGATATGCTCAAAGCAGTCAAGCGTGTGACAGAGAAAGGGCAAATTCCGGGTCCAGACGCCCTTTCTCGACGTCAATATGAGCTCTTTCTTGTTCCCAATCGAGAAGGATCTTGTGACAAAGGGAACTCTTCGAGCCTTCCCGTGGACAGTAGAAAGAGGAATAGACTGGCTGCCTCCGTGACGGAATCGACGCAGGCAGTAAAGTGTCTGCTAGTGAGAACAGTTGGTTTCAACCAAAGGAATGTATCTTGAGCCCTTGAGGAAATGAATGGATTCGTAATCGGGACGCTAGGACTAGTCAATCCGGACTACTCGATCCTGAATGAAGATGCCCCGGCCGAACGAAAGAAAGTCCAAGGGAGACCCCGTCGATGATGATCGGTGGTCCTTGTTGTCGTTGGAGGAAAATCGTGAAGTCGTGAAGTCGTGAGCCACGGGTTTCAGCCTTGCAGGAGGCAGGTGCGATCGTACAGCCCAGAGTTGGAAGGAGCGCAATTGCGACGACAACCGATGTCATGTGCTCTCAAGTCCTCTGGTGTGCTCTCGGGCGCTCACTTAAGATGTCAGGGCCTTAGGTCTTAGGTTGTAGATATCGTTATATACTGTATGCGGAGGTGGTGGAGGCTCTCGATATCGGAAATTTCCACTTCCTGTTCCTGAGCAAGTACTGGCGGTGCTCCCCAGTGCTCTTGAAAGTCAAACCGACTCCACAGTTTAGATGCCCGTTAGACGATGCGCCTCTCCGCTCGCGCCGTAGCTGCCGCTCCTCCCCAGCAGCAACCCCGGAGGGCCTAGCAATGGGCTTGATAGGCGCTCTCGGTCTGGCGAATGGGCAATCTTCACGCTGGAGTCTCGGCGATAGAGTTTCGGGCCGGCGAGGGGGGATCGGGCTAGAAGTTTTCGGTTCCAAACTCCGGAAATCTGCTCGCATACCTGACTTCTGAGATTCGGCTGGACTTCTTGCAATCTCGCAGTGACAACAACGTGTGGATGGACTAATCTCCGGTTTCCTCCTTCTCTTGACTGATGGTTTCGCAAGGCGAGGGCCAAGGTGTGATGGTCGAGACAATGGTCTTATCCGTCCAGTATCAGATGCGTCGACGGCCTCATTCGGTCAGGGAGTATAGGCACGATGCGCCACGCTTCGCCAGAATATTCTTAAAGACGTTCGCCAACCGGTTCACAACGACTGGTTTCCTGCGACTCGGCCCTACAACGTACTTGCAAACGGACGAACAGGACGAAGCTCTCTCGGCGGATTGCCCCACATAAACCGTCTTAAATCTGCCGCCGATGGAGACGGACCGAGCAGACCGGAAAGGTCCAATTCAATCCAACAGAAAGGCAGGAAAATGGAAGACGAGGAGATATCAAACCGTGACGAAGCCTCAGAAGTTCATGTTCAGAATGGTCCCAAGTCAATGCCCCAGTCATGACAGCGGCTCCGACGGGCATTAAGACAGGCATCTCCTAGTGCGGCACAGCCAGACAGCATCAGCGGAGCCATGATGGACCGTCGAAGTTGCACATGGGTCTTCAACGGCAATCTCAGGGTCATGCAGCAAGGCATGGGCAGCAGGATGCGTAGTGGAGTCGTAATAGACGCCCTGCAGGGCGGAATCATCTGCAGGGAAAGGCATCGAGACCAAATGGAGAGCTTGGGGCAGTCCAGCTACCGTCAAACCCACTGCTATCATTCTGCTGCAACTGGTCAATCTACCGCATACAGCATATATATCACGGCGGGACCCAGCCAATCGTAACCGCTCCCGTAAGAGGCGGCAGTCCCCTGCCTCACTTGCAGAACTGATTGCTCACATTTACCACAGACGCGAATCAGGTCCACGCCATGGAAGTCTCGTAATAGGACCGTGGAAACTGGAAGGGCGACGGCGGCGAGAATGGAAAGCGGATTTCGTTGGGAGTCACCGTGGTCAACCATTGCACAGGGCCCGGAAGTGTCTGCGCCTAAACGCATCGGGATTGGTAAACGCGGTGGTTGTGCATCGAAAGAGATTCCGAACCCGATGAGAAACCCTAGCTAGAGAGCATTCAGGTTTGTTGTGCTGTGCGCGTGTTGGATGTCGCTGGTTCTGCTGGCGGCGTTAATTCGAGATCAATCTTCGTCTACTAAAAATTTCACATGCAATACGAGATGGGCAAATATTGCAATAAGACCGTCTTGACCAGCAATTAGCCCTATAGCAAGCGGATACTTGATCTGATCCGGGCCAATGGTAACAGATCGCTCGTTTATGAAACAGTTTCGACGGCCCCTGTGCTTCCTAGGACTCCAAACGAATTGGACGACTTGGACGCTGATGGGCGAAAACATCCGCTTCTTCCAGATGCGTTTGGGTTTGATCGATTCATCTATCGGATTCTTCTCATGTCAATGTCCCAGATCAGGGGATCCACTCCTTCCTTCAGATCTCGTCTCGCCTTGTTGTGCTTGCGATCGTCGTGCCACTCCAACCTGGGGCAAGTCGGCTCATTTGAGCCCGGAATCGGTAAGATGGCCCCCTGAGGGTGAGAGGGCATTGTTCACCGTCATGACGACATGTGGAGAGCACTAGGATTTCATATTTCAGAGAAATAAGTCCAAGTCCATCAAGTAATCTCGTCGGTCGGTCCAGCTGCAAAATGCGCTCTTGCAGCTGGCAGTGAGTTGAGGCGAAGGTCCGAAGGATCAACCACCGGTCACGAGAGATTGGAATATCCTGGTCCAAATGGCGATTGTCCCCATCGTCTTCGGATGTCTCGCCGCATTCATCTCATCTCCATATCATGAAGGTCAATACACCTCATCATTGCGGTCACTTCATGTCAATATGACTTGCGGCAAAGTCAATTGCTGAGATACGTGGTCGTCTATGGAGATTGGGCGAAGGTCAGGCTGACCTGCTCCGAATCATCAACACTCTATCCGCCAATCCCATGATTCGCCAACTCCGTGATGATCCAGTGTCGCCATTTTGCCTTCATCTAAATGTCATTCCAGCGATGGGCAGCTGAATACTCCGTGATGGGATCGACCTCCTATTGTGACCCCTGACTATAATGCCAAGCTTGTCCTTCAATATCGTTTCAATATCGACTCAAAATATGCCTCCATCCTCACTCATCTGGTCATCCTTGCGTCCTTCTTTACCATCCAGGCGGCTAACGTCGTCCACAGCGGCCCTAGCCCTTGCCCTTGGCTTCGCTGCATACATGTATATTAATCGTTTCCAGGAACCACCTCGAGGAATTCATTCCTGGCAATATAGGAGATCCCGAAACACGCAACCACGTCCAATGGAATTCTCCGATACATCATCTTAGCAATCGGATTCTATAGATCGCGACGGTTAGGCGACGCTCGGCTCCGGTTCCACCCTTTTGGTCTGTCGTTGAGTGAGTGTCGCATGTCCCGGTCTGGACCTCTCCTTGCTTTATCAATGAGCACGTGTACTTCTACCTAGAACGGTCAGATGTAGAGTGAGACGACCATATATCTGATCAATCTATTGATACACGAACATTGGATCGTTTCCGTGACATTGGGATACCCGGTGTGGCGAACCTCATTCCACCTCGCTTGTGCTCGTCGATCTGTCTTTCGGTCAGAAGAACGGCATGAAGGTCCCATTTCACGTAAAGCATGCAAGGAGGAACAGAAATAATCGATATTACAGCAAAAGCTGATGCCCTAGCTGGTCATGTGTGATGCACCAACTTGGGCAGGGTACGGAAAGCAGTGTACCTCGCTTAATCGCAACCCATCCAGACCGTCGACCACCCTCCGTGGCACAACCCGTCCTCCAAGCTGGAAATGCCCTTCAACGCAGCGCGGCGTCCGCAACGTAGAGAGCTTCCAGCGCCCATGCGAACCTCCCCAACCGCCCGGAAACCCGTGTTGGACAGTGGACACTCGGACAGAAAGAAAACCATTGTCCTGCACCATCCCGTCGCTCGAACCTCATGAAGCCTTTTCGTGCGACGTTACCCAACCGCGTCCACCTGGGTTTCATCCCCGTCCGCAAATGGCTAGCTGCAGCGAACGCGGTTCGAAAAGCCGCAGGATATCGCCTGACAGCATCTCCATCGGGCGGGTTTGTTGTTGGGAGCGGTCTGGTTGTTCGTGAGGTCGTTCGAAAAGGCGCGGCTGGGGTGCCCGAAACGAGCGGAACCTGGCAGGGAGACGATGGCGGACATTACGGACTTTTCAAACGGAACTTGAAAGGGGTAAGGGAGCGTCCGATGCCCAGTAAATGATGTGGTATTCAATGGCATGGAGTCCTAAGGCAATCCTAATTCTGTATCCGATGCATTAGTCATGTTCCTCCACACCCTGCCCAGCGTCCTCCATCGTGACGTCCTCCCCCTCCGCATCCGCCTCCCCATCACTGTTCCGCTCGTTCACCTCCTTCGCACGCGCACCACTTTGTTCCCCATCACCGTCGCCATCTCCGTTCACCTGCGCATGCCTCCCCTTCCCCTCCCCTCCCTCCTCCTCGCCCGCCCCATTCACCACCTCCCCCAACTTACTCCTCGTCCGCCTCAACGCCCCGCCCATCACCGGCGTCTCAAACACCCCTCCCGACCCCACCCCCATCACCTTCCCACTATTCCTCCTCACCGGTGTGCCCGTCCTCCTCCGCGACCCGAACGGTCGCCCCGGCCGCCGCCGCGTTGTGGTTCCCGGAACTGGCGGGAAGATCTCGAAGCGCGACGGCGGAATCGCGAAGGAGGCACTGCCCTCGGTGTGGATGCCGTTAGGGAGCGGGGTCCCCGGCTGGGAGCGGGAGGGAGACATGGAGCTGTAGCCGTTGGGGTGGTCGAAGCCGTTGGAAGGGGTGCGCGCGAGGGAGCGGTCGGCGTCATCGTAGGGGGTGAGATCCATGGGGCTGTCCTGGATGCCGTTAGTGTCTCGTTCGTGTGACGGCTCGGTGCTTCGCGCGAGCTGCTGCTGCACGCCTTCTTCAGGGAATTCGGCGGGTTCGTGCTCTTCCTCGCGCTGGGCGACGGTGTGCATCTGGGGCGCGTCTTCGTAGTGGGCGAGGTTGCTGCGGCCCATGACGTAGGGAACCCAAACGAGGGCGTCGGGGTTGAGTTTCGGCCATTTCTTCGCTTCGTGCTTATTGATGTACTCTTGGAAATATTTATAGTCGATGCGGAGCGCGTAGGTTTTGGTGACGGGGTCGCGGACAAGAGCTCGTAAGCCTTCCAGCGCGGAGATGATGTCGTCGGCGGTCATGCCCGTTCGTTCCGCAATGTCAGTGATGCTGAGTGGGGCCTTTTGGTCCATCAAATGCTGGCAAAGAATGAGTCGCCAGTAGTTCCGATAAGAAACGAGGCCCATGTCCGAAAGCGGTTTCTCGGGTGAACCTGTTTTTTCCTCGACGCGTGTGAGAAGGTAGGAGAAATCAATGAGCATATGCCCAAAGCCCTTTCTTTGAAAAATTGGGAGAACCAGGATGCAAGAAACATTGTTCAAGCTACTAGGTCGTTTCTCCTTGGAGAAATAGCCCACAAAATGGCAGCCATACTCGTCGTTTTCCGTCATGATGTAGAACAGGAATGGCTCGACATCGTAGTAGAGAGTTTTGGACCCAAGGAATAGTTTCGCCAGTAGGCAGAGATTCTGGCAGTATACCGGATTCTTTCGCCCGTCGACTTCAAAGAAGGAGTACCTCCCATCGCGGTAGATCTCGTCACCCGGAGGATGTTTAGCAGGACATTTGAGCTATGAATGTTAGCCAAATATGAGCTTCGATTACGCTTGATTCAGGCTTACCTTGTGTCTCCAAGCAACATAGTCCGAGCTCATATACTTCAAGCAGAACTCACAGATGTAGAGAATCTTGTTCTTGCTATACTCCTCCGGGTACGGAGCGGCATGCCATGTGTCAATGTCATAGCCACCAAAGTTGATGCTCTTGACCTTACTGGCTGTCGCTGAAGGCTTGTGATAGGGGCGCTGAAACTCCTGGCCAGCATAAAGTGCTGTCATTTTCCGTTTCCAGTCCTCTTCTGCTTTTAGTCTTGCGTCCTCGAATTTCTTCCTGTCAGCGGTATAAGGGAACGTCTTCGAGGTGTCTGCTTCAGCCTCGTTCAAGATCCCGCCGTAAGGTTTCGACTTGGAATCATCCATGTCTCGATCGTGGAGGCTGAAGAGTTGCGGACCCAACGTGAGTGGAATTGACGGGTAATGCGATTCTTCGATTTCGGGAAATGGAGGGCTACGCTGCCGCCGAGGGCGATTGTAGGTTCTTCGTTTCCTCGGCCGACTACTTAGTATTTTGTGCATGCGGGCCGGGTCTAATGATAGAGCAACGATGATGCTTGCCGGACCTTCATGGACGATTTTTGCCAAAGGCGCGGCGACTTTTCTAGTCCGCCTCGGTCTCGAACTCAGAGCAGAGCCAGCTCCAGTGCTAGCATCCCCGTTCTGCGATGCTTCATCATCAGAAGGTCTCAGGCGCTTCCGCAGCGGCCTCGAAGACGGTTCTACGTCTGATGATTTCCTCTTTCGCAAGGAACGTGAGCCATCCATGGGGTCATCATCGAGGATCAACGAGTTGAACATCGAGTGGCTATCGGGATTCATGCTTCCCCGCAATGCCGGCAGTAGATCCCGAGTAATTTGAGGTGCGGATGCACGCCTTGTCGACGAGTTTTCCATTGCGTCATTGTCTGCTTCCAAGCCGTTCTCAACACATGTAAGGCAGCGCCACTTGTCTGCGTCGTCGTTTGATACCAGTGCGTTTTCGTTCCGTGCACATTGGCGGTGGGAGTTATTTCCACAAACAACACAGGAGAGATACTCTTCGAACTCCTCGCTTGGGTCATGTTCTTCGTCCTGGCGGCAGAAACTGTTCTCTGTTAGCATGCGTCCCGCCTCGAATGCTCCCGACCCAACTCACATGCAAAGATTCGAGTCACGGATTTCCTCCACAGCATCATCAGCTCCTTCGCTTTCTTCTTCCCATTCATTCTCTTCTTCAGATTCGTCACTTGTCTCGCTTTCATCACTGCCACTGTGCCTGCTCGAGGCTGACGATTGGTCATCTATCGCCTCTTCCGCTGCGCTTTCGTCGGCCGTTTCGTCATCCTTGGGCACCTTCACCGCGCCAACGGGTGCGTTCATATCCTGGTCGTCGTCTTCCTCTCCTTCTGCATCTGCGTCTGACGTATCGTCGCCTATCCTGTCTTCTAAATCATGCTTATCCCCATTCATCTGTGGCGCGCCATCGCGAGCCTCCATATGGTCTTCCTCATCATATTCCCCATCCGCATCACTTCCAATCGCGTCTACGTCCTCCCCCTCTATTATCTCCCTGCTAGGCTCTGAAGCCATAGCGTAGGTCACCGCCGTCTTCAGTCGGGAAGTGAAGAAATCCACAGCTACGACGGACTCAGTATCGCTACTGAGCAACCCACCAGAGGGTAATATTCGAAGTACATGGGAAGGGGGTGCCGTTTCGGGTGTTGGCGCAATGTTATGAGTCCATTCGGCGGTTCGTCGTAGTGTGGCGATTGGAGGCGCTGGGGGAGGGGTGGGTGACAGATTCCGGCTGGCAGTGTATGATAGACACCGGATACGCGCTATATAAGATTCTGGGTGATATCAGCACTTGAACAGGTCCCTCGCTGGCGAGAATGAAGCCGAGTGAGCGCGACGAAGCTCCACATTCACGATACAGGTGCGACAGGGGACATCAGATTGAGCCGAACGCGATGTCAGGGTCGCCAAGGCGCTAAATATATGTCACGTGGAATATTATACTTAATGTCACGTGCTAAGGCACGTGTTAGATCGAACCCTTGTCTCAAGTGGAGACGAAGACCACACCCCATCCTCACTCTTCACTCTTCAGTCTTCACCCATCAAATTCTAAAACATTTGATAGTCTGTAATTGATGGTCCGATTGCTTGGATGTCTACGGAGTAGCACTGTGTATTTTACTCTACTCAATGAGTCTGTCGCTGGCACTTCATTCCGTGCGACAAACCTTACACTTGTAGAAATCCTCTATAGAAGCTCATCGTGTCTACGACGTGACTAGATTATTTAGGCAATTCGATTTCAGTGCAGCGGTCAAGTAGACGTCGCCAAACAGCCTTACTGTTACTATGACCATCGATGTTTCCGGTCCTTGTCAATGTAGCCCGGTCGCCAACAATGATGACACCCGCTTTCGCACGTGTCATAACAAAAGGATCCTCGAAGCTTAATTCGAAGCCGAATCTGCGACGTTAAGCGGTTCGAGGAAGCAATGGTTCATTCCTGACCGGTCCGGGATAGATCTGATTGCATCCGTAGAGATTTTTGTGGGAGCGGAGTCAGCCCGAAAGCTGCTTGCCTCTCTAATATGGACGCTAATGGCTGACAACATGAGATCCGGGACTGTGATTCTCTGCGAGACTGGAGGCACTTGGCTGGTTGACGACGGGACGCGATTGATGCCGAAAGACAACGAGGACTAGGCGAATGTCGATGCGAGTTTTCGGAGATTGCTTGACGTGCAGGGGATTGACTATGTGATATTGTCTCGGGATTTACAAGACCTGGAAGAGCGAGTACAATTCGTGATGGCTGCTCACGGAAGCCAAAAGCAGAGGGCGAAAAGTAAAGATTGAAGGACGCGTAAAAGCCAGGGGTAGGGAAGAAGCAGTTAAAATGATTGTACGACAGGCTCAAACCGCCTGTAACCGGCTGTATTTGAAAATGTACCGGCCATCTCAGCTAGCGCTCATAACAGTGATTATGACGCCTGCAGCGATCGCCTTGTCCCCATGATCTCTTTGAAAGGTGTTCAAATAGCTGAGGCCTCAAGCCGGATTATCAGTTTCTCACCCTTTGGAGGAGCCGTGTACGCATCCCTCTGCTCAATGCCCTCGTCATCAACGATCCTCGTCGTAAAATTGCCATACAAGCACGCCATGATGGACTTCATCTCTGCATAAGCATCAGAGAAGCAAGTTCGCAGCAGGATACCAATCCCACGAACGACCCGGGATATACTCACGATACATGGCCAGGTTACTGCCAATGCACATCCGCCCACCACTCCCGAACGCCCAGAACCACCGATTCATCTCTACATCATTCCGCACCTCTAACCACCGCAACTCCCCAACCCCCACCATCTCCACGTCCACCACCTCCCCTGCTCGTCCGCTCTCATCCCTCCACTTCAACCATCTCCCAACCCGCCACTCCTCAGCCTGCGGAAACACCTCTTCATTCCGATGAAGACTCCACGCCTGTGCGCTGATGCGTACGCCCGCAGGGATATCGAAATACTCCCCGCCATTCGCCGCGGTGCCGAGAATGCAGGGTTTTCCGGGGGTAATCCGCGGCTGCGCCCCGGGGATCGCGGCGTGAAGGCGGAGGGTCTCGTAGAGGATGGCGTGGAGGAGGGGGAGGGCGTCGAGGGCTTTTGGGGAGGGGAGGGAAGGAGTGGAGAGGGGGGTGATGGGCGGGGTGAGGGTGGTGAGGGAGGAGCGGAGGAGATTTTGTAGATGAGGATGGTGGCTGAGTTCGTGGATGGCGTACGTGAGCGTTATTCCGGACGTATCGAAGCCCTAGAGGGGTTACTTTATTGGTCGATCTCGATGTTCGAAGTACGCTTACGGCGGCGAGCTGGTCGAGCATCTCACTGGCGATTGTGAGACGCTGTAGTGGAGATAGAGCTAGGTCTGAGTCCATATCTTGTTTCGATCTTCCATCGCGGATAGCCGAATCAAGTTGCGCATATACGATGGGAAAATCGGGAGAGCTAGGGGCGATCTTGGAGGAAGGCTGCTGGCCGACGGCTTTTGATGCCCCATCGCACATTTCCAGAGTCCATGCTAGACACTGTCACCCATTCCCGTTCTTCGTTCATTAGGAATACTGGTTAAACTCACATTCGATGGTCGCGTTGGCCCCATCCACCCACTTAGGAACCAGCGGTACACAAGCCCATTTCGCAATTTTTGTAAGATTGGGAAGCTCGTGAGGCCAGAAGTTATACTTCCGTCGACTGTTATACAGTTCCAGAAACCAGTCTCTCCTCTCATCGTCCATCGTCAAGTTCGAGCTCGATGCCAGCCCGAACAAAAATGCGGTCACAAAATCCATGGTAATGGCACTGGAAACTTTGTAGATGTCTACATCTTTACCGGTGCTGGAATATTCCTCAAATCTCACCAATAGCCGCCGGTAGATTAATTCGGTGGTAATCTCGATCATTGCTTTGGAGCCATGCATGTATGACTTCGAGTAGACGTTCGACATCATTCTCTTGCGGACCGAATGCGGCCGCCCTTGGCAAGTCGAAAACATGTTCGGCACGCCATAGTTGTTAAAAAGGTTCGAGTACCACGCATGCTTCTCGAATCCTCCGGCATAAACCGTCGATATGCCGCCCTTGACGCAGTTCACGCTAATATCATTTGGCCCCAGACGGATCACCGGTCCCAATTGGTGATGTTTCTGGTGTAATGTGCGGATTTCCATACTCTTATATCTCGTCCATAGTATCCAGACGGGACTGAGAGATGTGCTCCAGTGAGCGCCGGGGATCCGTGATAGCGGGGAGAACAACGCTGGATGCACAACATATTTGTACAACAGGAAGAGAATGACCGTTAGAACGGCCAACGTAGGAGCGAATGGGGCGGATTCTGATAGCATTCTGGATCAATACACCTGTTAATAAGCTGAACGACTTAATTTCTCCATGGACCGGAGTGCCAGAGATGGGGTTGGAATGAGACCCGACATGGTGGGGAGCTGTAGCCACACATATAGCTGTAACATACAGTAGCCGCACGACAGACATCTTTCTGATAAAGGTCATCAGACTCATAGCTGCAGCTACCGTTCTTATCTCGAGCTCCACCTCGCCGCCTTCAGATTTTCACAGTGGCTCCGCTTCAGTGCAATCGAACAGCTAGTAGAAACTGTAACATCTGGTTGTGCGTTGTCCATATGTATGCAGTTGGATCAACAGATTGTATCAGCGAAGCCGAATTGAAGGCGAATAATATTAGAGCCTAAGGCAGAAACTGGGGCTTGATAGCTGAGGTCACGTGAAAGGTCCAGCGTCCATCATCCAATCAACATCATCACGATTCGAGCTCATCGCAACGAGCCGGAAAGACATCAAGCTTCCGAAATCCGAATCCATTTGGCACCTTACTTTTAATCTACAACCATCAATTAGTCCGCCTGCGCGAGGTTTCAGTCACGATGGCGATTCCATTCGAAGCCTTACTACCGTATGCCGTCATAGTCACCGTATGTCCCAAGTAGAATCCGCTGCAATCGAGACTGTTAACACGACCTTAGTTCTTTGGAATCTCCGGAGCGGGCCTTCTACACGTTCAGCGCATACAGAACGGAGGCAAGAAAGGAAGGAGAGGTGTTGATCGATGGGACAGCGTTCGTTCATGCAATTGGGTTTTGATCTTTGGGAGATGGTTGCTAACAGTATCACAGCAAAGTATACTCGACCGGTATTCCGTTCTCGCGCCCTCCGCTAACAGATCTAGTGATGCAACGCGATCGACGATTAACCGGTTTCCTTCGTGGCCAGACCGATAAAGCAGCGGCCCCGGAAGGATTCGAGTTCAACAATGCTTGGAGGGTGAGTTTTCCAGTCCCCCAGCTTGAAAGAGTTGGCATTAACAGCTTGCCAGGTCGAGAAGCGCTTCTCCTGAAAGCTGCATAAAGTTGCTACGCATTTAGCCTATGATACATGGATACGGAGTTGGGGTTTTTATGTGGCTGGTTGTCGAGGAAGCCGATGCCTTGTACATAGGGAGCATACCCGAGGCCATGCCAATTGAATGCAATTACTCTGAATACATTTACCAGGTCCTCTTTTAGAACTAAGATGTAGTTCGGAAACCCAAATTCATACCGAAGAGAGTAGATACGTTCCCCAATGTGTGTTTTGACTGGTGAATGATTCACTGTAGAGGGGAGCGATATGGTGTATTCACCGGTTTCGCCCAAGCCTTTCGATGTCTTACTAAGACATACCCCGACCCTCTGTAGCTTTAATGAGTTTGAACAATGGCATGCCGAGCTCACGCCGAAACCAATGCTAAGACGTGGCTAAACTCAAGTCCATTTTGAATTCAGGTTCATTTTAATCAATTGAGATGTGATATTCATGCCTTGAAGCCTGAGGTTCCAATCACGGGATCTTCCGGCATTCGCTCTGGTCTCCCGAACCTCTCGATCATCAAAAGTCCAACAGCACTTTACCATCTCTCATCCTCCATTGCAACTCGCCAATTCCCACCCATCCCGTCCTTTAATCAACGAATCGGGAGCATGTCGCCCACACTCTCTCGCGCTGTCCTCCGACAGCGGCAATTTGCCCTCCGGCGCATCTTCTCGCGACATGCCTCAACCGCCGAAGCCGCCCAGGCGAAAACCTCGGAGGCCGCGTCAAAAGCATCGGAAGGCCTGTCTCGGGCACAGGCATCGGCTGGATCGGCTTTGAGCAAGGCTGGGTCGGCTGTTGGCGCTCTTGGGAATGCAATTGGGAGCATTGGCGGCCGGACGGGCAGGCTGGTCGGATTCGTTAACTGTATGGGTTGATCGTCCAACATCTATCCTCATCCACTAACATTATGTACAGCCCTCATTCCGCCAACGATACACTACTCGAAAGTCGGACTTGAGCTTGGAAAGCTCATCTTCGAGGGAAGGAAAATGAGCCCACCGTATGCGACCTCTCAACACTACTTCCAGCTCAATTACTAACGTCCCCAGATCCATGGCCACTTTCCAAACATATTTCCAATCCGCATTCAACAGCATCCGAAGTACTTCTGCTGCCAGCGGCACCGCCAACCCCCGAAGCGCCCTCCAACAGGTCCGAAACCTCAGCACCGCTGAATTGACGGCTGCCGGCGTCGTGTTGGCCGAGGTGCTCGGGTTCTTCTCAATTGGCGAGATGATCGGACGTTTCAAGATCATCGGATACCGATCTGCCGAGCATGGACAACATCATTAAAGGAGTTGATCTAGTTGGGACGGGCTGGAGAGCGTGGGGGAGCGTGGGCATCATGGTCATCATGGTCGAGACTCGAGTGGGCAGGTGGCCCTAGACTTAACCAAAACTTTCCGCAACTGTACTATTCTGGCGACATTGCGCGCTATAGATTTCCTATTTGTGCTGAACCTGTACATCAGAGTTGGGGATGGTCACTTGTGCATGTTGGTAGAGCAAAATATACACCGACTTGTACTTCCATCTCCGGTGGCGGGACACTTGTAACCACAGTATCGAAGTGTATTTGTGTTCGAACCATTAAGCCTTAAGCCCCGAAAGTGGTACTCACCAGCCTTAAAATATTTCAATCACTTCAAACAGATGTTCCCCTAAGTCGATGGACTCTCCCAACCATTGTTGAGAATGAAGCGATTTTGCTGTATCCCACGTGCCAAGACATGTCGATGAGAAATTCCTGTCACAACCAACCAGAACACAATATTCTCAACTTCATATTTTGTGCCACCAACATCCGAAAGTCGCGAAACAGAGGAATTCATGGGTCGATGCCTTCTTAGGCCATAGTATAAACCCGATGGACGTTTTCAAGCTCCTAACGAGATCTACCAAGATTTCTCGGTCCCAGACCGCCCGACCGTCCAATGCCAAACTTCCCTCGACAGGTGCGCCGTCCAATCCACAGCTGTTCGGCAACGGCGACGACTCGCAGGGCAAGTCCAATCTAGGAAAGAGGAAGAGAGGCGGTGCGGCGGCCAGCGAATTCGCAAAGAATGCTTCGGAGCCAGGCGATCGAACGTCCATGTCGAATGGCGATACGAAAATCCACACAAATGGGGAGGAAACATCTGGACAGGTCTCGGGACGGCCTACAGGCAGACAACCACAGGAGGAATGTCTACGGATATTGCGGTCTCACAAGGTGAAGATTGTTGTCCTGGACTCCGAGCCGAAACAAAGCAAAGAGAGCACCGGATTGAAAAAATCAAAGAAGGAAAAGGGATCGTCCAAGGAATCTGGATCGGGCTCGAAACATAAACAGGAGCTTTTTCCCCAGCCTCTCGTGTCCTTCGACCAACTTCGGACCCAATACAATATCAGCAGGAGGCTACTATCGAACATCAAAGACCAAGGCTATGTGGTCCCCACGGAGGTGCAACTCGCATCTATACCACTGCTCCTGGATCCAGCCAAGTCTTTGGCCAATTCAGATTCCTTCGTGGACACCGATGCACCGGACTTACTTTCAATCGCCCCCACGGGGAGCGGCAAGACCCTCGCCTTTCTTATCCCAATTCTCCACCGGCTGATCTCAGAGCGAAAGAAGTCTAAGAGCGAAACGGAGGAGCATGGGTTGAAAGCCATCGTACTCGCGCCGACCAAGGAGTTAGCATCACAGATTGCTAACGAAGGCAGAAAGTTGGCTTTGAATACGGGAATTAAAGTCACGCTCTTTCGAAAAGGCATGAAGATTGGCACCTCATTGGAGCGTGTTGGGGACGAAGAGCAAAGCGACAATGAGAGCGATGTGGATGATCACGAGAAGCGAGCTGCCTTGGAGATCAAGTCACATGTCCTAGTGTCCACCCCGCTGGCGCTATTAAATTCCTTGAGCAGTGACGACGGCAAGGAGCGCTCTCTCCCAACCGTGCAACAACTAGTGTTGGACGAAGCCGACGTGTTGCTAGACCCGCTATTCCGAGACCAAACGTTGGGGATATGGAAAAAGTGTACGAATTCGAACCTACAGTCCACTCTCTGGTCCGCAACGATATCTTCAAGCATTGAGGAAATCGCCACCAACTTTTGGAAAGACCGACGGCGCCCCTCTAAGAACGATGCTTCATCAGAATCAAAATCTCTACTCCTACGATTGGTGGTCGGCATCAAAGACACCGCCGTCCCCAACATCGACCACAAGCTCGTCTACGCAGCCACCGAGCAAGGCAAACTCCTAGGTCTCCGCCAACTAATCCACCCCTCCGCCCCCCAGGGCGAAGCCGGCCCCAGCCTCCGGCCCCCCTTCCTCGTATTCACCCAAACGATCCCCCGCGCCGTCGCGCTGCACTCCGAGCTCCTCTTCGACATCCCCCCAGAAGCAGGCGGCGCCAGCCGCCTCGCCGTGCTGCACTCCGACCTCTCCGAACAGGCGCGCGACCGCGTGATGACGCGGTTCCGCAAGGGCGAGATCTGGGTGCTGATCACGACGGACCTGCTGGCTCGCGGGGTGGATTTCCGCGGGGTGAATGGGGTGGTGAACTACGACATCCCGAACTCGGCGGCGGCGTACGTGCATCGCGTTGGGCGGACAGGCCGGGCGGGGCGGGAGGGCGGGGTGGCGGTGACGTACTATACGAAGGAGGACATTCCGTACGTCAAGAACATCGCGAACGTCATTGCGGCGAGCGAGCGATCGAGGGGCGACGAGAAGACCACGATCGAGCCGTGGTTGCTGAATGCGCTGCCGACGCCGTCGAAGCGGGATAAGCAGTTGTTGAAGAAGCGGGGCGTGCCGGCTCGGTCGGTGAATGCGCTGAATGGGAAGGGTGACGGAAAGGGACCAGCTGCTGCGCGCATCAGTACGAAGAGTGGGTTTGAGCGGCGGATGGAGAATAAGAGGAAGGCAGCGAAGAGTCACCATCAGTCGGATCGGAATGATGCTGTTGTGAAGCATGTGTTGGAGGAAAATGAGAGTGAGTTCGAGGGCTTCGATGACTGATGGGGTCAGTATACAGTCTGGTGCCAAAAAAGAACTGCTTCAAGCATAGTTCGAACTCGTAGCCTCGCACTACTAGATTTTCGCTTACGTAAACACTCGATGTACCTTTTGAACCCCTATACCAGCCAGTTGTCCATCAAAACAGTGAATTTCTTGCCGGTCAACCACAGAATCAACCGCAACTCCACGAAACATGATCGGATCGTTTCCAACCCCAGTTCAATCGACTCTTTGTGCGATTCTGTATTAAGAGCAAAAAGCAAAAAACGATAACCTACCTTCGAGGGCAGGGGTAGAAAATCAACCATCTCGCAGGCCCCAGGTGTCTGTTCCATGGGACTGGTGTCATTTTTTTCAGCTGTACCTGATCCGCATCAGTCGTTAAACCAACATAGTCATTTCCGCTGGGAATTAATTTGCCAGGTTTAACCATAGACTGCATTTAATTCACCCTCCCTTCAAAACATACGATGGGACACGATAGTATTCACCCTTCACACTAGGAAATCCACACGTGAACACATTGGATTTTCTATGGATGGAAACGACCGAACACCTTATTAGCACGACGTGATGTTCCTCGTTCTCCAAGACTAAGTCCCTCAGCAGAGCTATGCCATTCCATCTGTCCAAATGCCCACATCCCTCCTGATGATGACATGGACGCCAGGGACTCGACAGTAGCCTTTCCTTTGTGGTGCACATCACCTTCTCCGCTGTCAAAGTCCGGGCATAGAGTACCCGAGAGGAACGCCTGTCTCTGACGAGCGAGGAACTGCGCATTTCCCTCTGTGAGAGGGCAGGTCGGAATATGGATGACACTGGAATCACTGGTGCCTCTGTGCACGTTGTCCACTACATGGATGACTGTCTCCTGATAAGTCTAATTGTCGGAGGCGTGCTGGAGCGTCAGACAATGGACTTACCGTCAGTGTCAGGCAACGTAATCTCCTAGTTTGACCCTTGGTACATGGACTATGGCCTTATCTAGTTGCAAATGTGGGTGTAGATTGGGCTTCAACTCCTGCCCGTCCCCTGGATTTACCCCCTCAAGTAGACTCGTAGTCTCCAACTCAACTCTCCAAGTCTCAATATCCAGATATTCCTCTTCCGATACCACTTCATCTCTTCCCTTTACCTCCTCAAAGAAGGGTCGACGAATGTAATACGCCGGAGCCGCATTCACGGGTGGACACACCAGCAACTCCCCCTCACCAGGCTCAACATCCTACATAGAAACCCACCCCTGTACCATCCTAGATATATTGCAAGTACCAAACCCATAATACAAGTCTGATAGCACCGGAGACCTACCGCTCGCCTCCCATGGATCAAGCCGCTCCAATTCACCGCGCCAGATAGCATCGTACACTGTTCTAAGTCCATAGTCATTCTCTCCCCAGCGCTCCACGCTTCCACAGTCGACGTGCGGACTTAGGGCGAACTAGTTGTGCCCGGGTAGACGAATCCGAAGACAGTCGACGTTGAGGGTTGGATGCGCGGTGGAAATGGGGATGGAGAGATCAAGGTTGTGCTAGATGGACATGAGGAAGCGCATGGCGTTCAGGAAGCGAGGATTGGAGCGGGTGTGACGTTGGAGGGGGGGCAGTAGAGTTCGTAGACTTGAGGGTTATTCAGGGTAACGCTGTATAGTTGCCAGCGTCCAGTATTACGATAGTGGGATGACTCTTGTACCTTTTTTATGTCGATTGTCTTCGATGTACTTCTTGAGGATTTCTTTAAGCTGCAATGCTTCTGTTTCGGGGATTACCCTTCGAATCACGAGAACCCCACGCCTTCTGTGCTCTGCACTGAACTTGTCCGATGGATTATCGAACTCTGAGAACTTGATCTCTGAGATTATACTTAGGCCGACTAAGGCTACCGTTAATACCTCATCCTATAGATGGCCTAGGAACCTTCTTGTGGTGCTTCCACTTCTTTCTCGTGCCCTAGATCAATCTGCTTTTAAGATCTGCATATCATGGCACAGGGGCTTGAAGGGCTTCCCCGACAGAGACACAAATGCATCTAATATATCCCGTGCTCTTTTCTGAGTGCCTGTAGCGACTCCTCTACAACAACGGAACCACTTCTGGAAACCTCTTGCACGCTTCTGGATCGGCCCAGATAAGATCGTTGAGTAGATAGAAGTTAATTAACTTCTTTGAACTCTGGTCCGGGCATTAATCAGACTAATCGCTGCCTATACCATCCCTTGCAGAGTTCGGACCATCAATGTCATTAATATCATCCCACTAATCACTCTCCTCCAAGAACTGACTTCTCAGGAAAATTTCATCTCCAGTCACAGTCTGTACCTTGTTATAGCCAGGGCTGAGGCATTTCTGCATGAGTTCGCCCGTCTCCACCACGTCGTTATCATCCACACTGACAGTAGTCGTCTTCGACATATTCTTCGCGAGGTATCGTAAGATCGGCCCCAGCCATTCAATCCATATCTGCGTTTCCTGCTCGAGGGTAGAGCCATCGAAGTAGGCCCCGGCCTCCAATGGCTGCTCCGCGACGAGGCAGAGCTGCCTCAGACCCGTAAGAAGTGGAGTCTCACGAATCTCGAATGGAAGCCGAAGGAAGCCACTCGGTCGGTTGCCACACTGGGACAAGGTCCCAGACATGTTTGTTTATGGATTCAAGGTTGGGGTTTCAATGCATGGAAAGATAGCTGAACCCATTCTACAATGGTTGGGTGATTACCGTGAGGTGACTCGTGAACAATCGTGAAGAACTTGACTTGGATGTGGTGCCACCAAGCTGCTGCCCTGCCAGGGGCTGTGGTGCACTCTCACTGGCAAATATCATGAGTGTCGGGTGACTCTGAAAATTGCCAGATTCTATTGGCTGAAAGCTTTCCCCAAGCAACTGTTTACGTGTTGGGCTTTGGGACGGAGTTTCCATCCTAATGTCCACTATCTGTCTTCCACACCACGTCATTATCTCTAGTCACTAATCACTCCCATGAATTCGGATGAATCCTTCTCTTTCCACATTTGCATGTCCACTATTCTGGCTACCGGAGATACCTGGGTACCTCTCTAGGTTAGAATTCTTTATCTCCGGCGATATTGATTTCTCCGGTCGATGGTTGCACTCAGCAAGGCCTGTCGTCTGGTTGCTGTTTTTGATACCGCTTCACTATTCAGATGTCTGGACTTGGAGATTGTGCGACTCCGGTGCTCGCTAAAAGTACTCTGGTTGCACAGCTCTGGATTTAATAGACTCTGCGAACCGGGCCGATGAAGGCGAGTAGGTATAAAGTCTTCCGTTTGTTGCAGTCTTTTTCCGGCCCATCAATCAGTCAATCCGTCAATCCTCCATTCCGCCAATTACAGCGTCTCAAATCAGTTCAACTATCTCTCCATCGTCACATCATCATGGCTTTTGGAGACATGCCCCCCATTAGCTTTGGCGCAATCTTATCAACAGCCAATGGTTCACAACCTCACCGCTTCCAACCCAATCCTTCGAAGGTCAAACCATCATTGTAACAGGAGCGAATACTGGACTTGGGAAGCAGGCAGCCAACCACTTTGTTCGGCTCCACGCAGCTAAAGTGATCATAGCTATCCGAAGCCTGAAGAAAGGGGATGAGGCCAAAGAATGGATCGAACAGGAAACTGGACCGGGGTCGTGGAGGTCTGGCATCTCGACCTCAGTTCGTATGCACTATGCAAGCGTCAAGGATTTCGCTGCGAAAGCCCAAACCCTCGACCGACTGGACGTCCTCCTGGAGAATGCTGCAGTATCACCCGCACCGACGGCTGCGAGCTACTCCGTAGCGGAAGATAACGAGGTGGCAGTCACCGTGAATGTCGTGTCGACGTTCCTTCTTGACGTCCTCCTTCTCCCCAAGCTCCGAGAGAGTGCAAAGACTTTCGACATTACGCCGAGGCTCGTGGTTGTGACTTCTGAAGCGCATTTCGCGACCACTCTCAAGCCCGAAAGGAACCACCCGGACGGGATATTCAACTACTTGAACGACAAGTCTACGGCACGGATGGCGGGCCGGTACGCAGCGACCAAGCTGCTAGAACTCTTCGTTGTCCGCGAGATGGTTAGAGCGCACGCACCCATTGGCTACCCGGTTATCATCAATCTGGTGAACCCTGGCTTCTGCCATTCGGAGTTCCTGAGAGGGCAGGATATAATGGCCGCTATCTTCAGGTTCTTCCTCCATGCGCGACCGATGGTACTCGGCGCAGGGACCCTCGTTGATGGGCCGGGCAAAGGACAGGAATCGCACGGCCAGTATCTCGCCGACATGCGCGTCGCTCCAATATCGCCATTCGTCTTGTCGAAGGAAGGCCGGGTTACTCAGGAGCGGGTGTGGAATGAACTGACGGAGAAGTTGGAAGCGATCCAGCCTGGGATCATGAACAATTTCTGATCCATTGCACCATGTTTCCCGGGATTTTCTTTTTCGTCACGGCTTCTTGGTCTACGCAACGCTACTTTACTTGTATGATATCAATATGCAGCGATTTTTTAGGAGAACTATCAATCAATGAATTTCAGTCGGGCTATCCAAATGCATCAGGATGTCGTAATTCGCGCCGTCGACTATCTCCCCTGTAGGTGGGGCCGGTTATCGCTGCTCTGTCGGCAGCTACCTCCGCTTCCTGCTGGAAGACTATCTAAAGCACGCTATGCACAATTGTTCCTTTCGTAAGTTTTTTTCGGTCATTATTCAATTCCATTCTTGGTAACATATAAGTTATTTCTATTATGAGATCGTCAGTGCAAGATGAGCGGCAACCTGGCAGATGGGACGAAGTCCGGAGATAAGATTGAATCCCCATTAATCCCGATCCAAGATACCCCACAGCCGAAGTCGAACGTTTCCGAGTCAACCTCAACAATCCAAGAAAAGCCACATACATCCACGATATCGGGCGTGGATTTGGAACCCTCAAACCGGGACCAGCCATGGACTGGCCAATTGAAGAAAGCATGGAGCAGTGTCGTATGGTTCGTGACCTGGACGCCTCCAAGATGTCGCTGGGATCCGGAGAAGCCACCCACCTTCTCGATTGGCCTAAACGTACTGTTCGCGTTCGCGGCGGCCTTTTCCGTGGCGAATCTCTATTACACGCACCCGATTCTAAATGTCCTCGCTGCAGATTTTGGGGTTCCGTATGAGAAAGTCTCGCAGATCCCTACCGTGATGCAGGCTGGGTATGCGGCGGGCCTCCTCTTTCTGTGTCCTTTGGGAGACTTGCTCAGGAGAAGACATTTCGTGCTGGGTTTGGTGTTTCTCACTGCGACGCTATGGTTGGTGATAACGGTTGGAGAATTCGTTTCGGCATGCTAAGACTTCCGCAGGATAGTGTTGTGCGTCACCAAGTCGCTAACGCTTTTCACGGCCATTTCGTTCATCACCTCGGTGACGACGGTCACTCCGCAACTTGCTCTACCACTGGTCGGCGACCTTGCTCCTCCAGAGCGTAGAGCGGCCGCGCTGTCAATCGTAGTTTCAGGACTTATGTTGGGGATCTTGATCGCCAGAGTGGTCTCGGGGACAATGACCAACTTCACCTCCTGGCGTAACGTGTACTGGATGGCGCTCGGTCTGCAATATTCGATCCTCGTTTTACTCTGGCTCTTCATGCCGGACTATCCGTCGACCAACCCCGATGGACTCAACTACTTCTACATGCTGTGGTCAATCGTGCAGATGGTATGCCAGCACCCCGTCCTCGTCCAGGCCTGCTTGATCGGCTTTTTCTCCTCCGCGACCTTCACGAACTTCTGGACCGTCGTCACTTTCTTGCTCTCGGGATCGCCATATTTTTATTCCCCGCTAGTTATTGGCCTATTCGGCCTCATCGGCGTCGCGGTAATGATCCTCGGGCCGCTCTACGCCCGTCTCGTCACGGATCGCTTCGTCCCATTATTCAGCGTCCTAGTCGGAATAAGTTTGGCGCTTGTCGGCATCATCATCGGGACGTATACGGGGACAATTACGGTGGCTGGACCGATTATCCACGCCATCCTCAATGACTTTGGGATGCAGACCACGCAGATCGCGAACCGTAGCGCTATCTATTCGATTGAACCCAAGGCACGCAATCGACTAAACACGGCGTTCATGGTGTCGGTGTTCTGCGGCCAACTGACTGGCACTTCGGCTGGTAGTCATCTTTACGCTGCTGGCGGATGGATTCGCAGCGGCAGTGCCAGCGTGGGCTTTGTTTGCGCTGCGCTTTTAATCGCCCTTGTCAGGGGGCCGCATGAGAAGGGTTGGATCGGATGGGGTGGTGGATTCGGACTCAGAAATAAAAAGGAACCTATCACCGATATATCGCTGCGCAATGATAGTTCAGAGGGGGAGAGTCTCCCTGTTGAAGTGGAAGTCTGTGAAGACATGGAAAAAGGCGCCGTCGGGAAGAAAGAATAGATCATGTAGATATCAGCTCGGCGACTTTAATAGATTGTATATAACTCTAGAACCAGTGGGAAAGGGCATGATACGTCAAATGCAAACTTGAATTCAATAAAACACTCCAAAATATGGACGTCATCTGGTCTCTTTGATAATCTCAGTCGTTGTGACACTGATGACCAATTAGCGTATTTCAATAAACATGACTTTAAACATTGATGCAATATTGCACCATCCTCAGAAAGTTCATTTCTTCCTATTTTCAAAGAAATAGACGTCGGATTTAAATGTACTTAGACCATTATACACTAAACTAGTCGCTGCAAAATTGCTGCTGCACTCCATGGAAGACGAGACAAGTGGCCTCTGGCTTTTTGGATATGGGTACGTGTTATCCTCAGATTCTATGACATGCAAGACGGAAGCTGATCATGATGCAGGAGTTTGATATGGAAGCCTCCACCTCATTTCGGTGAGCGTCATCTACATCGTGTTTTAGACCATAATCTCATACAGTCCATCAGATAGGAGAGTACCCGGATATATCAACCGCTATGTTCGCAGATTTTGGCAGGTGAGCGACGGGCCGCGAAATCATATTAAATATCGGGATGCTAAGGAAACCTCGATATTGATGTAGGCAAGGTAAAGAACAAACAAACATTATTACCATCTTTCTCAATCTAATTATCCCGCAGCGAAGATCATCGTGGGACGCCTCAGGCACCCGGTCGGGTTGTCACGCTCATCGATCATGATCACTGGAAATCACTTTCCGACCCAGTATGTAGCGGTCCAGCTATTAGACATCGACTCCGAAGAATGCTGCTGAATAATGTCTAAGCACGCCAACGCCCCAGAGAGAGTATGGGGCGCCGCCTACCACATCCCCCCGGCTCGCACCCAAGAGGTAAAAGAATACCTCGACATCCGCGAAATTAACGGCTACTCGATCCAATACACACCGTTCTACCCCGCCGAATCCGTCCGACAATCCGACGGTTCGCTCCCGGAGAAGTTCTCATGCCTGGTCTACATCGGACTCCCCGAGAATCCGCAATTCGTCGGCCCGCAGGATCTCGATGCGCTCGCGGCGCATATCTTGAAGAGCGTGGGTCCGAGTGGGGAGAATAAAGAGTATTTGTACATGCTGGAGATGGCGTTGGAGACGCTGAGTCCGGAGAGTGTGGATGAGCATGTGAGTGATTTGGCGGGGAGGTGTAGGGAGTTGGAGCGGGCACGAGGACCTGAGGAGCGGGATGAGGAGCGGAAACATGTTGGAGAGGGGTTGACGAGGGTTAGGAGTACGGAGGAGCAGGAAGAGGTCGAATAGTCAAGCATTCGTAGGTGTATAAACCGAATTAGATGCTTGCAATTGTTGGCTTAGGTAGTACAAGATCAGGTTGAAGACTGCTCACAAGGCTCCAGAATCGCTGCTGCTTCCCGCTGGATATTTGCGTCCTATTTCAAGCCGCTGGCTTGTAAAGGGCTTAGGTGTTGTTTCTCGAGGAACAAGTTACTCTCCCATGGCCGTGGTATTTTGTTCATTATAGGCAGTTTAGTGTGGCAATTGGCACATGTGAACTCTGACAATTTCGGAAGCTATCGTTCATGATGGTCATGTTAGCTACTTGTCCCCTCGTTTGACAACCTACACAGTAACTTTCTGGCACCGAAAGCGGAAATTAGGAGCCATATTAAGTGGAATTGCAGAAACTGTTAACTCCAAAGACCCATAAATTGCTCTACTCCTTGAAGGGCTGCCCAGGAGTCTGGGATAAATTTACAAGCAGGTGTTGTAACTGATGTGGCTGATGTGACTGAAACTGAAATATCAAATTCCGGGGCCAAGAGCTGGAGATATCCAGCTCAAAGCAGTTTGAACTAACTGAAGCAAGCTACAGTAAGGATCATTCATACTTTCTACGCAACTATACATAATCCTCTACTTTGGGACATGGTTTTTCTGAATTCAGGGGTTGACTACAGGAACTGGGAGTTTCCACACCTGTCAACGCAGTAACAAGGAAAGTTCCACGAAAATATTCCTTAACTTGGTGAAGGAAGTCGTTTTTGTTGGTCATATGTGGAGCCGATTGCCTACGTTTGCTTCCTCTCCTGACATCCTGAATGCTATGGTGAACCCACAGCCAACTCACCGGTGTCGTATGAGAGCAAGCGTTGAGCCACCGCCCATGTCCTGCGCTTAGGGGCTTCGCAGACGGGATTTCATGCCAACACACGAAAATATCGATCCCCTTCAACCAACATCCTCACACCCACCGAAACAGGCGTATGACCACTCGCCTCCCTCTCCGTCTCCGAATCCCAAATCTCAGGCCCAGCCGTCCGTCCCTCCGCGACTAACGATCTGGAAGCAATCGCTAAATCAACCCCATGACAACGCATCACCCACTCCACATGCCCTGGAAAATATAGATAGAAAAGACGCCTGCCTCCTCTCGCCCCCCCTCCAAAAACATACCCCAAAAGTCCTCCCGAAGCCTCCCATGTCCCCTCCACCTCCGGAAACCCCTCCCTCCACCCCATTCCTGGCGCCCCGTCCAAATTCCCCATCACAACCGCATTGCTCCCCACCCCCTCAATCCGCTTCTGTTTAAGAGAGAGGTGGGCAGGGTTGGGCGGACGTTGGATTCGGGTTCGGTGTTTGGGGATGAGGAGGGGCAGTACTCTTATAGGCAGAGGTGATGGTGGAGGGATGATGCTGGTGGCCCGGGGGCTGAGTTGGGTTTGAAGAAGGATGTTCGGGGCAGTTGGAGGAAGGGATGATGTCGTTTATGGGCTAGTAGTACATCCGGACGATGAATGGGTCGAGAGGTGTTGGGTGCCTGCGAGGGATGTCCATCCATTTCAGCCAGTGATTGATTTTTCTAGGTTGGTTCTGCGTCGCGGCAGCGGCAGAGGCGTGATATCGCGGCCGATTTGCTCGCCGAGGATACCGGATTCCTTCACTTAGCTATTCGAGCACTCCGTACTATAGGTGATATCCCGTCATCGATTCATGGCAATTCCGCAACGAGAAGACCGGTGTCGAATGTCTTTCGTGGATATACCAAGATGGCTCTGCATTTCCTTCGATTGTTATTTAGACGTTTAGTAGCGGTTTGGATGACATGAGAAAACTCCCGTGAAAAGCCTCGCTGGCGACGCACAGCTCGGCGAGCACGACTGCCAGACATACCTGCTCGATCAGAAACAACACCTCCGACTCGGTTTATAAAAAGCCAACTCCAAATCTACCATGTCCAAAACACCACAAAGCATCACCTCCACGTCGGAAAAATAAATCGTCGCAACCCTCCCCCACTACTACGTAGTACGATCCAATTCTCGACGATCGCTGCGATTTCCGGTCTGGACCTGAGACTGGGGCGCCGATCTCCCAGCCACCAGCGCTTTATCCTACCGATAGGGGCTGCATTCAGCGGTCCATCAATGACGTCGCCGATGCAGTTGCAGGGAGGCATCTCAAGATTGGCGACGCGACGACGGCGGTGTCGATCTGGTGGTGAGGCCCCAGAATTCGATGAAGGACTCCATCGATTTCAGAATTCAGCTGTTTGGGCTGGTGTGGTTAGAATCCATTAAGGATAGGGGACAGAGAGCGTATGGCGTATCGGATGACGGACTCAGGCCTTGTCTGGTTTCTAAATACTACGGTATACAGTCAACCTTGGCAATTAGCACGGAGCCGATGCGGGCTATTTGTAGGCACGTAGTACAGGGCACAGATGCCGCTTAGGGAGTTCTGTCAGGGCAAGGTGGCGGGTATGAGCCTCTGACTGGGATGATTCACGATGTATCAGAGGCCCCGAGTCGGTTCTTCTAAGCCAATAGACCACATTTGTTTCACTGCAACCCAGGCATAAAATAAAAGTATGAAAATAAGATGACTAACGATGACCAAGAGATTCCCGTGGTCGGAAAGAGGAAGCGTAGCATCAAGCGTGACCCGACCTTGGGACAATGGGAGAGAAAGGTGGTGATAGGACCAGACGTGGCGACGATGTTGAAAGTTGAAACATGTCTCAGGAGGTCAGGAGTCAGGCGGGTTCCTCTCATGCGCACGAGAACCTAAAGGTCTCAAGCTTTACCGGCTGAAGTTCAACATCCGGCGGGTGTCAAATGTATCCTCGTTTAGCATCTTATCTGATTAGCCTAGAATCTCCTGGATGGTTCAAGATTCGCCGTTAGCCCGCATCGCTTGGCCGCTTGGGTGGCATTATTGGCTTGCGCCTCGTTGAATTCGTCATCGATCCATGCCCACTCTCCAGCCCATTGTAGCACTGAGCTGTCTTCGCACTATGACGGGGAACTGTGGTGCGGGATGAAGAGGGCTAACGAGAGTTACCGGTAACCTGTCGATGGCTATCCAACTTCTGTTCATTGAATCTATGATTGTTTGCTCGGGGATGAGGAGAAACTTCCTCAGTGCTCAGAGTTACCTCCCAACTTACCGTGCCTCCTTTCGTTGAAGTCTTAATTAAGTCCATCCTCCTCGGCCCGGGTCTATCACCGTAGCGGGCCAGATACAAACGATAGTTACCAGGAAAGACAAAGAATAGCCACGACGCTTGAGCTAACAATTGGCGAACCCGTCTGGATCAACCGTTGACTTGGCACCCGTCCGTCTCCGCCATCGCTGCGGACACGATGACAGGATGACAACAGGACTTTACAGGAGTTCATTATATTGGGCCCTTGGAACTTCCTTGATCTTTCAGCTTCTACCCGCCGCTCCTCCTCCGCCGCCGTCGCCGCTAAGTTAAACACCATCGCATTCCCTCTTTGCTTCAAGAGAGAGAGTTTGTGTGAGAGACCTTTCAACTTCATCATATCCCCTATTTTACACTCTTCGACCTCTTCCACCTAGACAACATCTTCCCACTGTATTCTTTGTCCCTAAACCGTCTAACCGCGTCATCATCGCCGAATCCCTGCCCTGGAACTGGCCGAAAGCATCCTAACCCGTTGGGCATTCGTTGACGGCGTTCACGGCTCCCGGTTTGTAAATACCTCGATTCCACCAATATTGCCAATCTCCGCAGCATGCCGACGATTTGTACCGGATCCGAATCTCCATAAGAGCGGCTCTGGAACCCCGAGTTCGACCTGATTGAAACACATTGGACTTCTTCGAGCCCGATCCGACCGATTGAAACGGTCCTGAGCTACTTCGGCGTGATTGGAGAAGAAGCCAAAGGCAAGAACCGGGAACGTATTCCATCCGTGGGACAATATGCCGCGGTCTAGACGAGGTGAGTGCTTTTCCATTTATTGTCCAGTGTGATGGTAAGGCCGGGCGTTGCGCAAATGCGCCTCTGTCTCTCACGGTTTATTATGCTTGGTTTCTTCTTCCGGTTATGATATCCTATTGTTTCTCATCACAGCATCATTGTCTTTCGGTTGAATGGGTAACGCCATCACCAAGACTTTAGCTCATTACCCCTCTACTCTGTTCAATCCCGCGGTCCATGTCCTCCAGAGACGCCAGCCCAGGATTCCCCCCATGACCGTTGATGAACTGCTTAACATGCGAGTCCCTTAATTACCCCAACCCCAGACTTTGGCACATGATCCCGCGCCTGTCCATATCAAATCATATATATTCGCTTTCGAGGACCCTTCGCCGCGAGAAGATGTTCAATGACGCCTTGCTAATCTCTCCGTGACCCACCCTTCGGGTCGCTTCTGCCACGTAGTCTCCTCGTTGTTCTCTCAATGGGCGCCTGGGCATCGTCGCTCTTCATCCGCCCTCGACCGCGACTCACAATCAGCCCCAAATTCGGCCTCTCCTTCAGCAGCCTCTCTACCACACGCCACAATCCCCCGAACCGGACCTGAATACGCCATTCCCTCCGTGGATCCGGCGAAATCTGACCCGGACGTCAGCGCTACTGCACTCCCGCCTGCGACCTTCACTCCCCCGACCGGTTCCTCCACCTCCATCCAGCGCACCCCTCCGCAATCGAACCGATCCTCCGCACAACCCGACAGCTACGCAGGATTCAATTACGAGCGCGCATCGCCGCAGTCGCATCAGCGGAACCGGTCGAATTCGCGGACGTCGTCGCGCCCGTTGTCCATGGTGCAGACCTATCAGCCGCCGGTGATGGAGGTTGCACAGGATACGCTTCCGGAATTGCAGCCGATTTTCACATTCCTCAACAGCCATGGGAACAAGCTGTACCAGGAGGGATATTTCCTGATGTTGCACGACCTCGATTCACGTAAGATCCGAAACATCCCCGGAACGGAAAGGGCACGTTGCTGACCTAGCGGATGAACAGGTGGCAGACCAAGCGGAGACCGGTCATGGAAGGAATGCTTCGCACAACTCGTCGGCACAGTACTATCATTGTGGGATGCAGCAGCACTGGACGCGGCGGGGGATAATGGAGAAGTGGTTCCAACCTTTATAAATCTTTCGGATGCCTCCATCAAGATGGTACGAATAGCGCAAATGAAATCGGCGTACAGTGCTAACATCTTTAGATTGAGTCATTACCGATGAGCAGTTCAACCGGACAGGCTCTCCAAAATGTCCTTAGCGTATCCACCGCCGCCAACAACCGATACCTTCTCCACTTCAACTCTCTTAACTCCCTCACGCAATGGACTGCCGGTATTCGGCTGGCCATGTTCGAACATTCGAGCCTGCAAGAAGCCTATACCGGATCCCTCATCGCCGGGAAAGGGAAAGCCCTCAACAACATCCGACAGATCATGGACCGGACGCGTGTGAAACAAGAAGATTGGGTACGCGTACGGTTCGGTGCGGGCACTCCATGGCGACGGTGTTGGTGCGTCATTTCCCCGCCGGACGAGAAAGAATACCAGAAGATGCAGAAATCAATGAAGAAGAAGTCGTACGGGAAGACGCCGGTGTTGAAAGGCGATATCAAATTCTACGATACCCGCAAGGTCACGAAGAAGAGCATCCCCATCGCGACCATCACCGACTCGTACTCGGCCTACGCCATCTATCCGCAATCGAAGCCGTTGATCGACCAGTCGACGCTGCTGAAAATCGAGGGGAAGATCACCATCCACACCACCCCCGAATCGAGAATGGAAGGGTTCGTGTTCGTGATGCCGGAATACCACGCGGCGGTTTCGGGGTTCGAGATGCTTCTTCGGTTCTTATTCCCGGTCTGGGACGTCTTTAATCTCTATGGACGCCCGAATCGGCTCGTGGCGGACGTGCTAGATGCTCGAGGTCTGATGTTCGCCTTGCCGAAAGACAAGAGATACGGATACCTTGACATCTTGGACGTCGCGGGTTTGGTTCACACCGAGGGCAGCACCAATTGGAGCGAGAGAGCATGGCGCAAGCAGATGAAGGACCTGACCAACAAACGCATGCTTGCCGGACGCAGTCCCGTCGGAAGTCGAATCGGCAGCCGTCGCGATAGTCGGAGCAGTCTTCCCGCGTCGAAAGGAGGTATTCGGTTCCAAGCCCCCTCTACCCCCGCATCCGGACAAGTCTCTCCCGTGCGTGCGAGCATCGATGATCCGACGCGAACCGGTTCTGCGCCTCCGAACGGCCTCGCGCAGGCGATGCAGCACAAACGATCGGCGTCAGAAACGCCGGACTTCAAAGGTGGATCAAGGTTGGCGTCGGGAGAATCGGTTGACGCGGAAGGCGTTCGATTTGGCGACAGTGATGACTCTCCGCCACCTCCTCCGGCTCACCGCCAAGGTGTGCCGTATAGTTCGACGGCGTTTGGCCAATCTGCATACAATCCCACTTCATCGCAGGGATCGGACGGATATGGTGGTGTAACGCGCGATCGTATGACGCCGGAGTCAGACGGCAGCGGATTGAGCGGTGGCAGGCCGAGTGAGATTCCCGAGGAGCTCGCAGCCGTCAAGGGAGTTCAAGCCACTCCAGCACCTGTTGCCGCTCCTCCGCAATTCCAGCACAAGCCCAGTCAACGACCGACCGCACAACTCTATCCCGGAGAAACCCCGGGACGGCAAAACTCCCCCATGGACGAGGCAACGCTGAAGAACCTACCTTCTGGAGGAGTCCTTGGATCTCTGGCCATCGCTGGTGCCGCTTCGGCATGGAAGAACGATCGGAGAACCAACGGAGCCTATCCTCCCGGACGCCAGAGCACGGATGAAGCCGACCCATTTGACCCGTCGCAGCCCCAACCGCAATACATCGCGCCCCGCTCCGGCTGGAATTCCGGGCCCTACCAACAGCAACAGCAAAGCCAGACCCGCCTTCCCACCATCCCGGCCTCTCCGTACGTGCCGCAGGCAGGGAGTCCCACGCAACCGCACGCCACCAAGGAATATTTTGCTTCGAATGTGGGTCCTCCTCCTCCCGTCCCTGAACATGGCCAAGTGCACGCGACTCATCTTCCGCCTCAATCTCGCAGCCCGGGAATGTCCGCCCAGGAAGGCCTGCCCCGTATGCAGGCTAAGCAGGACCACGTAGGCGACGTATCTCCAGTAAATACGTCGCCGGGTGGCGATCGGCTGAGTGGTGGACAGCCGGTTCGGAGGAAACCACTCCCTGCCCATGCACATGCTGAGCCACATCTCGGCCGTGGAGCTGGGAACTACGGATACCGTGGGATGGACGGTGCCGATGGGGATGGAGATGGAGCTTCCGGAACCACAGACTACGATACCCCACCATCAACGGACCGGTCCGCCAACCCATCCAAGGAATCATTCGACGCCCCTCGTGCCGGACAGCTACGAACCGTGGGGAATGTCGAGCCACAAGACATTCGAGTCGGAGATACCACATACACCCCCGGAGCGTCTAAGCATCCCGGCTCCGACATCCCCAACGTCGACTTCGGACCCACCTACGCCTACCGACCCAAACCCCCGACCGACAACTCCAACCGGTTCACCCATAACCCCACTGCCACCGCCCAAGTTGTCCGCGAATACCTCCCCCCCACCGAAACCACCCAACCCAACCCCCGCCTCCACTCCCGCTCCCCCACCAAACCCCTCCCCACCCCCTCCAATCCTCAATGGTCCCCTAACCTCGCTCCTCCCCCCGGCCAATCCCCCCAATCCACCACCCCCCTCTCCCCCGACGAATGGGTCCGCCAACGCGGCGAGGCCGCCAAGCCTGGCCCCCTCTACACCCACACCCGCAACAAATCCTCCACGAACCTCCTCGCGAACCCGAATTCCCGCCCGGGCTCCGCCGCCGGCGTCCGACCCGGCACGGCCGGCGGGCGCGTCACCCCGACGCCCGATGAGCTGCTCGTCATGCGCGCCGCCGCGGGCAGCCGCGATGGGTTGCGGAGTCGGGACGGGCCGCGGCATGAGCGTAATCCGAGCTCGTTGAGTCTGGGGGTTGGGGGGAGTCCAGGGGCGAATCCCCGTGCCAGCAGCCCAGGGCCGAATGTCGCGCTTGGGGGTAGTCCTGGGCTGGTGAATGTGATTGCGGGGCGGGAGCAGGAGCGGGCGAACGCGGCGGTGGAGAGGGGGCGGATGATGCAGATGGCAGTGGTGGGGGCTGGGGGGAACCCGAGGATGGAGGCGGGATCGCCGTCTCTATATCGTGATCATCAGGGGGTACATCCGCCTGGTCAAGGTCCAGCGCATGGGCAGAGGCCGCTGCAGATGTATCCAGCTCCTTCGGGGTATTATCCGCAACAAGCAGGACCGGGCCAGGGGCCGGGACCGACACACCCGGGCTATCAGCAACGACCACATATGATGGGCGCGAATCAGGCGTACGGCATGTATCGATCGAGCAGCCGGCAAGGACACGCGCCGCCGGGCGTGGCGACGCGGCCGGGATATGCACGACAGAATAGCGCGGGGCAGATGGGTGGTGGGGGTGGGGGATATCATCCTGGACCTACGTCACCACAGCAGCTGCATGCTATGGGACCTGGGATGGCGCCGAGACCGATGTCCCCGAGACCGATGTCCCCGATGGCGCCGGTGTCGCCGATTTCTCCGGGGAGTGGGCAGTCGGATCCGAATAAGATTCGGCATTTGCAGCAGCAGGTGCAGATGGCGCCGCAGGCGTATGGGTCGAGTTATTTGGCGCAGCAGGGTGGGCCGCCGGGGCCGGGGGGGAGGGTGCCAGGGACGGGGGAGGGGGGGTGGATGTGAGCTGGAGAGGGAGGAGATAGGCGGAGATGAGAGGTCGCGGAAAGGAGATGAAAAGCACGGCTACGATAGTTATGAGGATAGGTTGTACTTTTCGTTGAGAAGGAATAGCATTGCATAGCATGGATCGGACCCCGATGTTACGGGTTGGAAGTATACATGGACGGCTCCCTTTTACATTTATGCATAGCGTGATGGACATAGTGGCAGCATTGAATTGATTATGGTTATAATCAGATAAATATATTACCACAGTCGACTTTCTTGCTTGGCCTTTTCTTCGGGATCGTCTTCTCCGTGCTCGGTGAGCAATTCCCGCCGTCTCTCTTCTTCAACAACTTGCTCTCCCTCTCCACCTCCCACCTCAACCGTCTCCTCCACCTCTTCTATCTCCATCTCCTTTCCCTCTCCATCCTCCTCCTCTTCATCCGCCTCCTCCACCCCTTTCCCCTCCCTTCTCCCCCTCCCATACAACCACGAACCATACATCCCTTCCATCACCACCGCCCCTGCCACCGCCACCCCCAAACTATCCACCCCCACATCTCCACCCACCTTCCTCCCCTTCGTAATCCCAAGAAACCCCTGACACCGCTTCAGAAGCGCTGGCCGCAGCCCCTTCCCTTCCCCACCTATCAGCAAAATCACCGGGCTCTTTCCCAGAGGATGCGGTGACATCTCGAACAACGGCTTCGCTGGCGCCACGCCGCCTTCCCAGCGCGCGGAGAACACGACCGTCGAGCCTGGGAGCTCCGGACCCCTCCGATGCTTCTCGCGAGTCGACGACGACCGCCATCCCATCGCCTCGCCAATGTTGGCTGCGGCCTCGGGGCTCGCGGCACCGTAGACGCGCCAGCCGTTGCGGATGCTCTCGTCGAGGAAGCGGGCAGGCTCGGAGACGGCGAGGATGCGCAGGGCGTCGGCGGCGCCGGAGGCAGCTTTGAGGGTGGAGGCATTGAGGGGGGCGCAGGTGCGGGTGGAGAGGAGGACGGAGGGGAGGCCGAGGAAGTGGACAGAGCGGAGGAGGGAGCCGAGGTTGCCTGGGTTGAGGACGGTGTCGAAGAGGGGGAGGAAGGGGAAGGGAGAGCGGAAAGCGTGGTGATGGCGGGGGAGGGGGATGGTGAGTGAGGGGGAGGGGGTGGTGGTGAGGGAAGGAGAGGCGGCGTCGATTTGGGTGGCGCGTTGGTCGACGGGGAGGAGAGCGGATACGGGGGGTGTGGGGAGAGGGGATGCCTCGAGGATGAGGCCGTTGTGTGGTCGGGCTTCGCTCACGCGGTCGAAAAGGGGTAACCAGTCGCGTTCCACGATCCGATATGGGCAACGGGCGTTAGATGCCAGCTTCAGGATGTCGTCGGCGGTCAGGGACGAGTCGTCTTTCGGCATCTTGTCGTGGACGATATATAATTGGTAGAGCTGCCGGCGTTTCGCACGGAGGGCCGCGACGACGGTGGATGTGCCAAAGAGGAATTGGGAGGTCGCAGACCTGTGGGGGAGGACATCGGGAGGTTCATCGTGACGGCCACGAGATGATCGAAATCGGGAGGTGTGGCTATCGTCTCGCCGTCCTTCAGTAGGTTCATCGTGGTGCCTAGAAGGCAGTCCAAATCGAGACGGGGCTCCGTTATCGTCTCGCCGTTTTGTAGCAGGTTCATCGCCACGTCTGGAAGATGATCGAAGTCGGGAGGTATATCTATCGTCGCCTTGTCGGCCTTCACTAGGTTCATCGCGATGTCTGGGAGATGATCGAAATCGGGAGGCCCTTCTATCGTCGCCTCGCCTTCCTTGAGGAGGTTCATCGCGATCTCTGGGAGATGGACGAAACCGGGAGCTGTTCCCATCGTCGCTTCGTCTTCTTTCATCAGGCCCCCGCTCTATGAAATGTCGTCGGGAACGAAACGAATCCCCCTTCTCGTCAACATTCTCTTTCCATACTCCGCTTTTGATGGCAGCGATGGTGGACTTGCGGCGAGTCCATGATGCGTTCTGCAATTGTCGGGGCCGTATGGTACGGCACAACACCAACCTCATCGCTCAGTTCGGGGGATGCAGCGCGCCATTTCTTCGAGAGAAAACGACTAGATTTATATGTACGGTTCATAAATCTTGTATCGAAGAAAAAGATCGGACAACCACCAAGCTCTGGACTAGATCACCAGAGTCGACGATGTCACGTGATATGGTATCAAATCGATGGATCACGGGGTTACGTGGCTTCCATGTGAACCGACGCGTCTCGTGCCTTTTAGCGCGTTCAGTGTTCATGATAGTTAACTAATAGCCACTAACTAACTAAGTTAAGTTAACTTAGTTAACTATTGTGAGATAAATAGCAGTTTCGCTCAATCAGGTGATTAATGCAGAGACACGGTGGGAAAACCCCGTTAGATTCCAAAAGAGCGTAGATAGATTGAACTTGACCCTGAAGAGCCGGATCCTACGAAAACAGGCTGTTCCTGCAGCTATTTTATATGGTTTACAATGGTGATCTACTCCCTAAAGAGGGAAAGAATAGGGATAGAATCGAATACGGAATGAAGCCGTGGGGAAACGCCAAGAAACACAGATATTCTGTGACAACTATAAGTCGTCGTGTATGTCTGGCCATGGCATCTAGCACCTTCATATCCACATTTCTTCACAATACCTTAATAAGTAACGTTTGTAACAGGCATGAACATAGAAATTTGAACGATAATGATAATAATTAGAACTGCACAACCAACAAGTGTCAAGTGGTGGAATACGGGGCCACATGATAGTTCCGTGACCTATCATTTCATGTGGCACGTGACCTGTTCCAAAACGCGTCGTTTGAGTCGGGTGTGAATCGCGTCCTGGGGAGCTTCATTAATACCGGAATTGGAGGTACTTCGGAACTTGGCCGGAACTTGGGCATTTCTCACTTTCATTTCTTAACTACACTTCATTTTCACTTCCCACTTCTTTTGGTGTTGGCAGGTTCCTCATACTTTCACTATGCCTCCACCGCTATCCACCGCACCATCCACACATCGATGGCTTGATAGACACCACACCTCGCTCTCCACGACCGACCTTTGATCTCAAAGTCCTTTTGTAGTATTCTGATTCCACTATGTCTGAACGCGACTCCTCCGAAGAAGGGTCTTTGGACGCGAACACCGCCCTCGCGTCCTTTCAACATGACGCTCCCCGACCCGAGAAGCAGAAAGTCGTTCATTCGCCACCCGGGCAACTGTTCGTGGCCGAGGGTGAGGAGAGCTCGCCGCCTTCAAATCGACTTGGATTTGAGGATGGTATGGATATCGATGATGTCGACAAGAAGGATGCCGATGAAGAAGACTTGGCCGTCGTGTCTAGTGCGTTTGTAGGAGTGGTCATTCCTCCGTTCAAGGGGAAGGGAGTATATCATGATGATCCGGACGAGATGGTTGTACGAAGGGTACTCGATGAAGTGGACGACATCGACGGTGGACTGTCTTATAACATTCGATTCGCGTATGGACGGGAACAGATGGTAAGTCCGATTCCTTCTGCCCGGTCTCTTCATCGGTTTCCTTACACTCTTTGACACTTCTCTGTCGTGGTCTCGGTTCCCCCCTCTACTCCTCACACTCAATTCTCTCGATTTCTTACCAGTCTACTCACGCGCTCTTTAATTTCCTCGGACTGTTCTCTAAGTCCTGCTGCTTAAAGTGACTTCTCACCTCGAGCGCGTCAGGGGAGGCGACTTGGCCATGAGATGAACCTACCAGGCGCATTTTAGAAGTCGCATCAGCCCTGTGACCTCAACATCTTCCTCTAATAATACGCCTTACTCGATTTCTTTTCAGCCACTTCTGCCTAACCATCGCAAGGTGACATATCTCACCCCTAGATATACTCATCCCTCACTTACTGTCTTGCTTCCTCTTCACCTGTCTCAATCCGACCCCACTTAAATCGCGGTTTAAACCCAGCTTTCTGCAACATACAAACGATATCAGTCACTAATCATTAGAGCTAAAGGTCATCTTTGACAATCTGCTGAAGCTCACCAACGGTAGAGCGGCACTTCACAGATTTCAAGCAGACGAACCCGAGAGTGACGACAGCGAGATGGCTCAACCGAGACAGACACGGAAATCAACCATGCGAGAGGGCTACGTTGATTGGGTGGATGTGGAGTTTTCAGACGGCGAAGGCCCCAGCAGTCGCTTTGCAGGGCGTCATACCTCCAAACGCCGAAGAGTGACCGGAAACCAGCGACGCCATCGAGATGACAGTTCGGAATCTGACGGTATCCATTACCCAGTGAGCGAAGATGAGACTGAGGGGAGCCCTAGCAATGTGGATGAGGATGACTACGGGCGCCCGCGGCGTAGCAAACGCAAGATACGCAAGGTACAGAAGAAGACTACACGTAACGGCAATATCACCAGGCGAAGCGAACGGTATTCTTTGCGCCGGAAAGATTCGGACGACGAGGGTGAGGACGGTAGCAACAACGCGTTCAATCTCTTGCGCTCTGATGTTCTACTATCGAAGAAGCGCAAGGGACGCTGCAATGACGGTCCTACCCGGCGATCTGGTCGTGCAAACCGCCATCAAGAGGACATGCAAAAAATCGATGTTGAAGACATCTACCGAGACGATTCCGGCAACGAAAAGGCAGCGCCGAAAGTTCAGGTCACCAAGGAGATCTACCAGGACTTGCCCACGACGAATGAGTTCCGCAAACGACACTGCCAGTATTGCGATAGCTGTGGCCTGCCTGGTGGACAATTGATCTTTTGCCAAGGTTGTGTCCTTGCCTACCATCCGCAGTGCATTGGTCATCGGACCGGCAGAGAACACATTGTTTCCAAAGTTGCTCCTGACAACTTTGTCTTACAATGTCGTCGGTGTGTGAATGTGGCCCGCAAGAAAGACCACACCGCTCCCGATCACGGCCAATGTCAAATTTGCAAGGAGACCGGTCCGGCTTGCGCACCCTTCCGTGAACGCAAGTCCACACAACAAGAGCAGAAGGAACGCCAAGAGAATTTCGGAGATGATCCGATCATTGATGTCGACACGAAGCTGATTAACAACGTCGATTGCGTGCTCTTCCGCTGCACACACTGTTGGCTGGCCTTCCATTTCCATCATCTGACACCTCGAAACGCGGTCCAGATGTCGGTAGATGCTCAAGATGTCTATGAACTTGCCCAGACTCGATTCTACGAATACTCGCGGGACTTCAAATGTCAGGACTGCTCCACGATGCCCGCGAAAGTTTCTGGGATGATCGCATGGCGACCCATCGATCCAGATACGTATGTGCAGGGCATTGGAGCGAGTGAAATGTATCAGGAGGAGCTAGAATACTTGGTCAAGTGGGAGAAGCTCTCTTACTTCCGTGCCAAATGGATGCCTGGTGGCTGGACCTGGGGAGTGACTGCCCCTGCAATGCGGCGCGCATTTACGACCAAAGACACTGGCCCAAAGATGAGGACTGAGGATGCTATCCCGGAAGACTTCCTCCGGATTGACATTGTTTTAAGTGTGAAGTATACGAATTACGTTGACGTCCAAACCGAACAGGTCGACATTGCTCGCATGAAAGAAGTCGACAAGGCTCTGATCAAGTACAAGGGTCTACCTTACGAAGAAGCAGTCTGGGAAACCGTCCCCACCACCGAAGACGGGGAACGATGGGATGATTTTAAGACTGCGTATAAAGATTGGGTTGTGGGGAGGTATATCCGGATCCCCAAGAGCGGCCCACTCAGAGGTCGTTTGGAAAAGGCCCGCGCACAACAGTTCATCAAGCTTGAGCTGAAGAAGCAACCGCCCAACTTTGGTGACCTCGAGAAAGACATGAAGATGATGGATTATCAGTTGGAAGGTTTGAATTGGATCTACTACCGATGGCATCAGCAAGCGAACGGGATTTTGGCCGACGAGATGGGTCTGGGAAAAACGATTCAAATCATTGGTTTCCTTGCGCATATGGTGCACGAGTATCACTGCTGGCCTTTCCTTGTGGTCGTTCCAAATTCAACCTGTCCGAACTGGCGTCGCGAGATCCAAAAATGGGCACCGAATCTTAAAGTCGTCACTTACTACGGCACTGCGGCTGCTCGTATGCTATCTAAGGAGTATGAACTCTACCCGGATAAGAGCAAGGATCTGAAGGCGCACATTGTCGTCACTTCATACGATGCGGTTTCCGACGACGACGCTCGAGCTCCTTTGAGAGGCGTGCCGTGGCAAGGACTTATCGTGGACGAAGGTCAGCGGCTTAAGAATGATTCTGGACGACTGTATACCGCATTGAAAAGCTTCAAGATTGCCTTCCGCATCCTTATGACCGGCACGCCGCTGCAGAACAACGCCCGCGAGCTGTTCAATCTCCTTCAATTCCTCGATGATCAGAACCACGCCGGGAGCCTGGACGCGCACTTTGAGGATCTTACGAACGAACGCATTAAAGAGCTGCATGAACTGATTCGGCCTTACATCCTCCGCAGGACCAAGGTGCAAGCTCTTAGCGACATTCTTCCTCCGTTGGGTCATGTCATTGTCCCGATTACAATGAGCTTCCTTCAGAAAAAGGTTTGCAAGTCGATCCTGGCCCAAAAGCCCGAGTTGCTCAAGACCCTGGTTAACCGCCAGACGGTACACAAGAATGATCGTGCGAACCTGAACAACGTGCTGATGCAGCTTCGAAAAGTATTGTGCCATCCCTTCGTCTATAATCAAGAGATTGAGGAGCGCAATGAATCCTCTATCGTGCTGCATCGCAATCTTGTCGAGGCTTCTGCAAAGCTCCAGTGGCTTGAGATGATCCTTCCGAAGCTCAAAGAGCGTGGGCACCGTTGTCTCATCTTCAGCCAATTCTTGGATATGTTGAGCATCGCGGAAGACTTCCTTGATGGTCTGGGCTTACTTCATCGCCGCCTTGATGGAACGATCTCCGCAATGGAGAAACAGAAACGAATCGATCAGTTCAACGCGCCGGATTCTCCGTACTTTGCATTCCTTCTTTCAACTCGGGCAGGTGGTGTCGGAATCAATCTTGCCACGGCTGACACTGTCATCCTTCTTGACCCGGACTTCAACCCCCATCAAGACCTCCAGGCCATTTCGCGAGCTCATCGCATCGGTCAGACTCACAAGGTCGTCTGCTTCCAGATGATGACCCGTGCCTCGCCAGAGGAAAAGATCCTCTCCATCGGCCGGAAGAAGATGGCGTTGGAGCACGTCATCGTCGGTACACTTGACGCCGATGACCTCGAGGACCGTGATGTGGCCTCTATCTTGAGGCACGGTGCCGCCGAATTGTTTTCCGACGAGAAAAATGAGGAAGTGGAGATCAAGTACGATGATACCGCCATCGAGAAGCTGCTCGATCGGTCGATGATCGAAAGCACGAAGACCGGAGCCAATCAATCGGCCGACACGCAATTCAGCTTCGCGCGAGTCTGGGAGAACGACGGGTTACAGGATACCCTGGACGACAAGTCCGATGATGAACCGGACCCTACCGTGTGGACCAAGATCCTTAGTGAGCGTGAACGCATGGCTGCCGAGGAAGCTCGTGCTCGAGAACAGTTGCTGGGGCGTGGAAGGCGGACCAAAGCGGTAGTTGACTATTCCGGAGGCAATCATCTTGATGCGGAAGTCGTTGGAGATAAAGATCTCCCGCCGATCAAAAAACGCAACCGCCGCATGCGTGATGCCGACAGTGCCGACAGCGACACGGACTTTCAAGACGAGGGCGCGGAAGAAGAGGAGAGTGAAGAAGAACCGACTGTACCTCTTCAGCCTGGTGAGTTGGTAGAGAGGTTTGTGGCAGATCCAAAGGGGGGACTTGCTTTTGCTGGAGCGACTGCTGAACCTGATACTGGACCCGATGTCAGAGCGTTTCCAGGGGCTGCGCCTCCCTCTGTTCTTAAGTCCCAGGCACAGGAACTTTCAGGCGGAAATGGGAGGGTCAAGTATGGATCGAATTCTGGTGAGTATCTTGTTTCCACCACTTGGAACTCTGTTAATCCTCGGCAGCTCCATTCAAACGCGTGCGAGTTCCCAAAGCGAGGCTCCTCGCTCCGCCGATCCCCGACCCCACAAATCCTCACAAGCCGCTACCAAAACAACGCGCCTGTCCTGCTTGTTCACAGGTACATGCCGTCGGATCTTGTCCGTTGAAAGTCGCTGGTGTGGAACACTGTCCGCTCTGCGGCCTCGCTCACTATGGCCAAGGTCGAACATGTCCGCATATCAACTCCGAAACCCAAGTTCGTGAAATGATAGCTTGCCTGCAGATGAGCAACGAGGACCAAGAGCTCGTAGACGCGGCCATCAAGTATCTCCGTGGTGTGAAAGGCCACTTGGTCCAGCGGAAGAAGAAAGAGCGAGAGAATAAAATGGGCATCGCTGTTCCCGGACGGGACGGCGCGGCGAATCAAGCGAGACAAACCGCTCATCACGCGGTGTCGGGCCAGGTGATATCGAACAACCCCGCGGTCGCACGCGGACTGCAGGCGGCTAATATGTTGATCAATCAAGCGCAGCATGGTGGCCTGGGTGGCTTGAACGCTCTGCCCTATTCGTACCAACCGCAAAGTACGCAGCAAGGGTCACGGCCGCCACAGAGTCGGCCGCAGACCATGGAGGAGAGGTTGGCGAATGCTATGCAGGGGGTGGGGTATCAATGAGAGAGGATGGATGATCGACACATGCGCGCAATGAGCACCTCTACGGAGGAAGAAGCTAATGGAACGCGTGGAGTCTAAGGTCATGGTTTCGGACCTCTGACGGCGTTTCACGGCGTCACAGCACTCTTTCCGCAGTGGAAGAAAGAGTTGAAGCGCCCATGCGGCGACAGGGACGAATCGCTTCGACCCAAAAATCATGGAAGAATAGCATGGATTCCGGAGTACTATTTAGAGTAGCATCTTCCAGTTCCGATATTCGCATACCCACTAAACAATGAGAAGGCTATTGCCTTGACCTTTTCGCATGCCGATTGGTACGACCACCGTATTACTCACGTGAATGCCGCTACATTATTTCGCCCTTCGGAATGGTTTTGTGAGTTCGTATTGGATCCTGTATCATACAATTGATTTCCGGGATTCATAAGCGTCTGTAATCGGGACCCGTGGGGTTTGCCCTGCTTACTGCTTCAGGCGAGTCTGGGCCTTTTTTCATCCTGCGAACTATTTAACCAATGCTTATGTGCCTAGGTAAGGGACCAACGGTCTAGTTTATATGCAGATTCCACGCTCTCCTTACGGTTAAGTGCAATTGCAGGTGAAAAATTCCCCGTAGATCTCGAGCGGAGACGTTCCAGCAGATTTATGATATCAGCCTTTCCGGATTAGGCAAGTGATATTGGACGTCAAAGTCATCAAGCTGCAAACCTGATACGTACATCAGATGCATCTCACAGTCTTCTTTTCAAGAACATAGAAAAGGGATATCTACTGTTTAATCCGGTACGAGACCCAGACTACGGAACAGAGAGTGAATGGTATAAGCCATCATCATCACACCCGCTAAGCTTTTGGTTGCGCATTCGATCTTTTTGGTACTCAGACACGGTGGACGACGGAATCGAAATGTTCGACCAACTCTTCAACATGGAGGAGTTCGAAATCACCGTCGGGGGACTATTCACTACCTTGTTTGCCTTCTTATTCACGACGGTCCCTCTTCTCATTTACTTCTTCGAGACGCGGACTCCCCAGACCCCCGCACCAAATACAGAGATTCCACTGCCGCCACCCACCAAGATAACGGGACTGTACACCTATCCCATCAAATCATGTCGTGGAATCCGCCTTGAGAAGTCCAAGATGCTGAAGACCGGCCTGGAGCTCGACCGTCAATGGATGTTCGTGGACGCAGCGACCAAGAAATTCCTTACCATCCGGGAAATGGCAAAAATGACGCTCATCACCCCCGTCTACGACGCGAAGTCGGATGAGCTGGTGGTCACCGTCCGTCCGTCGAAAGTTCTCCCGAACCCACCCGATGTCACGATCCGCATCGCCGCCCACCCGTCGGAGAAATGGCTGAAGCAGAACACCGAACTGGTCCCCACCATCATCTGGAAAACCACCACGGACGGCTGGGCGTATCCCGCTAGCATGACCGCGCCCCTCACCGAGTTGTTCGGTCGCGAGGTCCTCCTAGTGAGAAAAGGCCCCGAGAAGCGCGTGCTCCGAGGGAACGGTAACCCGGAGATCATCGGGCGGGAAGAGTACATCGCGTACCCGGATATCATGCCGGTGATGGTCACGTCGGAAGCGAGCTTGAAAGATCTGAACGCGCGGCTGGAAGAGGAGGGAGAGGATCTGACGTTGGTGATGGAGCGGTTCCGGCCGAATATCATCGTCGAAGGCGGCGACGCGTGGAGCGAGGATATCTGGAGCGAGGTCCGGATTACCGGCGCGGAAAAGAGCGAGAGCAAGGATACGCTCGATATGCAAGTCATCTCTCGTTGCTTGAGGTGCAGAGTGCCGAACGTGGATCCGGATACGGCCGAGGAGCATCCCAAGCAGCCGTGGGACTTGATGATGGAGTTCCGACGGATCGATCATGGATTCACTTTCAAGCCTGCGTTTGGGATGCATTGTATCCCGAGAAAGGAGCCGACGGAGATCAGCGTTGGGATGACGTTCAACGTCACGGCGGTGACGACGCAGCATAGGTACATTTCAGGGATGAAGTGAGTCGGGCGGATTTATCCTCCGTAGATCATGTTGCCATCAAATGGCAGGCCTGATATTTCAGGACAATAGTCTACATATCTATACGTTGTCTCTTTTCCGTTTCGTAGCATCTTCGCTGAGATGAGTTCCCAAATAAATACACCGTCCCAATCAAAAACCAGTACCATCAAGAGAAGATTCGTGATATACACAATGGCATTCGAGCGTTCGGATCCAATCGCCAGAGCTAAACCGCGGAAAGAGGTTTTAAGTATCTCGTTTAGAGAAGACCTTCCGAATATCCGGGAGGGAAGCCAATATCGACCTAGGCTCCTTACCGACCGCCTGTGTCATGGCTGCTCCCGTGTCGTCCGCCTGCGATGACGGAACGGCCGCCTTCTTCCCTAATACCACCGCCTCCAACTGCTCGATCTTGCTCTGCAATTCAGTTTTCTCCGCCTCCAAAGCCTCCAACCGATCCGCGACCATATCTCTTCTATTCAACTCCTTCCTTCGGCTCCTCCACGACTCGAACACGATGATCGCTCCCGCGACCAGGAACATGAACGCCTCGCTCATGAAATTCGCCCCTGTTTCTATCGCCTTCGCCTCCGACAGCGGCCGGATCCGCGGTATATGCTTCTCCGACCGCACCTTCTCCCGTATCCCCTGGCGCTCCCGCTTCGCTATCTCCTCGGACACGAGCGTTTCCGATTCGGTCTTGACCGTCGGCATGTTCTGGAGCGCGAGTCGCTTCGCCTCGGCGTCCTTGATCTCGCGCTGGATCTGGCGTTCGATGACGGCAGGGTCCTGGAGGAGGCCGAGGCGGAGGCGCATGTCGATGCGGTGGAGGCGTTGGGCGAAGGAGATGCAGCCCCTGCGGAATCGGTCGTGCTCGTGGGCATTTCTCTTGATGTAGTTCTAGATCACGCGTTAGTTTCCGGGCAGATACATGTGGGTTTGTACGTACGGCAACCGGCTTGGCGAAGGTTCGAATGGCAAGCGATCCAATCTTTAGAGTCAGAGACATCGCGGACGAGGATGCCTTGTATCGAGCTCAACAAGCAGTCAGGTTCTCGTCTTTCCAGTACTCTATAGTTCGCCCATGTTTCAACAATTGAGAAAGTGCTCACTAAAGCCGCAATTGGCTACAGAAGCGTGCATTTGAGTCATTTGAGATCGTCGACGTTTCTTGTAAGTAAGAGGTACCTTAACGTTGCCTATGATGAACAAGATGAACAACACGACGCAATGCTGGGGCTGTTCTGAAAGTAGCGTGGTATTTTAATCCCGAAGTGGTTAAGTTAGCTTGAATTATCTCCTGAAAGCTGCTCAACATCGATGTATTTCCTACCTGACCCCAAGACCAAGCAGACTTTATGATTTTGACTTTAGTTTCCCTGAATTTCATACTATTGTTTTATGGGTAAGTCCAAAGTGTAAGTTACCACTTCTAAAGCTTGTAAGCGGATACCTACTCGTACTAATACGTTGCTACATACCAACGCAACCTTCTCTGATTGATGTCCTTCTTTCTACACAATCTCTTTTCCCTGCGTTAAAATGCTGCTTTATACATCTATGGGTTTCTTTAGATATTAACCAGAGTCGGCCTACCGGGACTGTACTATTTTCTATGCGTATCATCACCTACTGTAGTGCCGACGATGGAGACTGCACCCTCGGCCAATATCATCAACTTGGTGGCTGCCTGCGTCTGTATCCAATGGTAGCATCGGATTTCCTGTCAAACACAGCCTCATTATGGCATGAAAGGGCGTCAACTCGCAACGCCAAAAAAAGCGATCAAGTGAGGACTTGGAATGCCTTGTTCTCCAGATTTTACTTCCTATTTCGCCTTCTAAGTCAACTAACCGCCTTTTACGCCCCTTTCATCTATCGAAGTACAGATAGTCCAAGAAAGAGAATGCCTGTTTATCGATACCGCCCGCTAACTGAAGGTGAAATTCGCCTCGTCCGACTTCCGGACATATCATTCACGCCGTCCACGATTACTCCGGAGGTTACTATCATCCACACTCGATCGGATACAGCGAAAGGACCCTTCGAAACACTGTCGTACGTCTGGGGCCCCAACCCTGATAGACAGCGCATCGCGTGCGGAGATGGTAGCTTTCTCTGGGGAGGGACGAATCTTGTCTCCGCTCTGGGTTTTCTAATATTACGGCAGAAGCGGGAGATTACATCGTCGGCTCTGTTCTGGATTGATGCTCTCTGTATCTACCAGGATGATAAGGAGGAGAAAGAAGTGCAGGTGGCCGGAATGAGACACATTTACCAGTCAGCGAAACGTACTTTGGCATATCCCAGAGAGCCAGGGGATGATAGCCATTTGGCCTTTGTGTATTTCCACAATGCAAGCGCAGCGATTGCGCACGACTTCCGAACAAGACTCAGATCCACCGACCTAGCCGCCGAAGTACGGAAGACGTATTACTTGGCAGTGGACGACTCCAAATTTATGCAGTGGGCTATCCAGCTTCGGAAATCAAAATTGTTTTTGGACTGTGTCCATGCCTGTGCATCACCAGACGAGAAGTTGTTCGGTCCATTCCAACCATACCGCACACGCATCCTCACAGCCATTGCATCGCTACTAGCACGACCGTTCTTCCAGAGGATATGGATAGTCCAAGAAATGGCCGTTTCTACAGAGGTCGTGATGGTTTGTGGTCAAGACCTCTGTCTACTCACCACTTTCCAGGCCCTTCTCGAAGCCTTTCGGGAATCCAAGGTACGCTGGGATGATTTCGCGAATGAGCCAACGAAGCTAGAGATATATAAAGGAATGACCCAGTTATCTTCCGTCAACACCCTACGCAACGATAGGATGGAGGGTAAGGACGGCAAAAGCCTTTTGCTACTCATGCAAGGCTGTAGGACTGGTCGAGCCACTTTAGCCGTCGACAAGATCTATGCTCTCCTTGGCCTGACCAGGGAGAGATTCCCTGTGGAGTATGAGATGGGAAATCTGCAAAGCGTTGAATTCAAGGTAAATGTATATCTCCGGCTGGCGAAGTATTTCATTGCTCGTCATGAAGGCGATAATCTCTTGTATGAGGCGGCAAGGTCCGATCTTACCACAGCTGATTGTCTGTCCTGGGTCCCCGACTGGGAGCAGTGCCCCATCAGGACCAACATAGGGCACACGATGAGCATGATGACCAGGTGGTATTTCGATGCATTCGGCCATTTAAAGAGGAGGGATCAAGAAACGCCTAGAAAATCGGCGCCGGACTGCGAGATGAAGCTCTCAACCAACAATACTGAGCTCGTAACAGAGGGCGCCATTCTTCAGAAAATCCTGATCGTTGGGAGCGCGTCTACGGGGTAAATCAACGCAGCGTCAAACGCGATGCACTTAGCCAACGTCGTGGCCGAATTATCCACCTTCAAGGAACGTCTCACGCAATACCCCACGGGCGAACGGATGGACTCAGCACTCGCGACTCTACTCGAAGTCGACCAATTTCGAGACACGAGCAGCCTTGCGAACTGGATGGAGGAGCCGGGTCCGAAGATGTTTCTATATGAAGTTGATCTCGAGGTATTGCGACGACAGATCGGCAATCGTCGGTATGGCTTGCAAAGACAATGCATCGGCAGGATTTCACCGCCATCCAGAACATGGCCAAAGCGACCGTAGGGAGGCGGTTTGCGGCTACTAATAAGTCATATGCGGCTCTTGTCCCCGCCGCTGCGAGGCCCGGTGATGTGATTTGCATTTTGCGAGGGGCACGAGTCCCGTTCGTGTTGCGCTCGAAGGGAGCCTACTACACTCTGGTTGGGGACTGCTATGTTCATGGAATCATGCTCGGGGAGTTTTTAGGAGGAACGGAAGAGGAATTGCCAGCGATGGAAGCCATAAGAATACGATGGTTTCCAGGAGATTCAGTCGGTCTTCTTATCCTCTCCTTCATGTGTAGATCCTTTAGCCACCCTTGCTTATTAAGCGACGTTGCGATACAACTCATAAGACTACAGTACTTCGATCCATACAATCTTGAAACAAGTATATTAAACAACCTAATAATGGATGAAATAAATGTAAGCTTGCATTTCGATATTGTGCGGGGGAATTTATGCTTGATATGACTATACGGCACTCTCCAAGTCGAACCGGATATACGCGATAAGTTTGAGATTCACTCATTCATTCTTCCATCCACGTTTGTTCCACGACATCGCTTCAACGTTGTCATCAACCGATCCCAACAATGTCTCAAACGGTTCCTACACAAGAAACTTTGCGAGTCGAAGAAGATGTGAGGCAGCCACTCTCCCCATATCTTCCTAATGGAACTTCCTCCATGCACACGACCCTCACCTACGCGACGTCCCTCGACTCTGCCATCTCGCTCCAGCCCGGCGCTCCCACTATCCTCTCTGGACCCCGCTCCAAGGCCATGACCCATTATTTACGCATGAAGCACGATGCCATTCTCGTTGGCTTCGGCACCGCCGCCGCAGATGACCCGGGATTATGCTGCCGAATTGCCGGTGCGACGTTGGAACACCAACCACGTCCCATCATCCTGGATCCCTCTGGCCGATGGAACTTCAGTGCGGATTCCAAGGTCATGCGCCTTGCACGAGCCGGGCAAGGGAAGGCGCCGTGGATAATCACGGCGTTGAACCAGCCGCCAGCGGACCGGGTGAAATTGTTACAAGAGTTGGGTGGGAGATACTTGCGGTTACATGTATCTGATCATCGCAAAGGTACCTCGCAAGCATTCAATTGGGAGGATATATTGCGTTGCCTATCACAGCAAGGGATTAAGAGCGTGATGATGGAGGGAGGAGCGACCGTCATTAACGACCTGTTGAGCCCGGCGAATGCGCAGTGGGTTAATTCGGTGATCGTCACGATTGCGCCGACGTGGTTGGGGAGGGGAAGCCTAGTAATCCAACCTGAGAAAACGAGAGATGAAAGAGGAGGATTGGGTCCGGCAGCACGGCTAAAGGATATCAGATGGATCACGCTGGGGGAAGATGCGATCGTTTGCGGGAGGCTGGAGCAGAGATAGGACTGCGCACCGAAAAGTTCTGTGGGTGTGTGGGAACCGATTTCAGACCTCCCTTCTGGGGACACAGCACGGAGTATTGACGGGCGTCTGCATAGTGTTGTTCTAAGTCGATTCAACTCGTACCTTCCTACGAGTACTTTACGCTACCTGAAACGTTGTAGCAAACAATTTCTAAAGCATGCATCCGGCCTTTCGCAGGGCTGACAAGTCGCCCGGAACGGGCTTAACTTGGGCGATTGGGCAGGGAGAAGAAGGTCGGATGTGACATATACATGGATGAAGGCTCGTATATGTTGTAATGTGACACACAATGGCAAGTGTTGTCCATGTGAACAAAAACATATGTCGAGGAAGTTCCGTAAACTGGACGGATCACGGACGTGCTGTGGCCTGGCACGGCTAGATACTTATGCGATGAAACCCTACAGATTGTTATGGAAAGGATGCTCGAGCTGACGCTCGAGCTGGAAGCTTTACGCTCCGATGTGGCTTGGACATTCTCCAATAATTACCTATAATATCATAGAAGTACTATGATCGAAGTGCGGACCATGTTGGACGATCACCACATGCAACCAGGAGGTTCACGGGGTGGGGTGGTGGTCATCGGGTCACAGCCCCAACCTCATCTGATTACCACATTCTCATCTTCCTCGCTAACATTGAACATCAATCCTCATCTCAACCCCCTCAGAAGATCGCACATCTTATTCGTGTTTGCTTAAATGGAGATTCCACAGCCAAGTACTTGGCGATGTTTGGACCTTTATTATGTTCTTCTCCACGGGTAAGACGAGGCTGATATTAGGAATGCGCTGCCGGACCAAGAACGGTTCAGTTACTAGACTGTCTTGCTTGAAGAGCGTGAGGTTCATGGACGGGAGGCATGATAGCATCAGACACCATGCTAGTTTCATTGACCGTCGGACTGTTCGAGATTCTTGCCAACTGACCCGCAGAGAATGCCATGATAGGACGTCTTGCGCGCTATTCCATGCCTCACATTACGTTACCGGCGCCGCGCTACTTGCTAAAGGGTACTTGCTAAAGCGCTGACACCTAGTAGAGGAAGTATACGTTCACGTCAATTCAAAGTCCGAGTACATGTCGGAATTCATTCTTCGTCTCTCAGTGGTTCTTTCCGGGTCTAGACGGATGGAAAGCACGTCGCGCTGATCCCAACATCAACTGCAGGCATACCGCTGTGCTCTCCATTATTACCCCGACCTCCAAGTCTGTGAAGCATGCGGGGTGTTTTCTTGTCCGATGCTGCGACCACGAGACGCAGGCTTCCCGTACTATCAATATATATGTTTAGCTTCGGTTCTTGATACATATTTGCATTCGCTATTCAGTCCCCGTCAGCTTCTCTCGCGATGCTGCTGCTTTCATTCTTCGTCGGGGCTTTGCTAGCCGTCGCCAATGCCTCAACCTTCTCGCCGGCACGGCCGCCGGCTATTCCTCTCGCTGTTAAATCGCCATACCTGAACACTTGGCTTCAAGCAGGAAACGATGGAGCAATCCTACCGGGCCAGTGGCCGCAATTCTGGGAGTCTGTCGTCGGATCTATAGGACTCAAGCTACTTCTATTAACAAACTTGTAGGGGCAGAATAACCGCGTGGACGGGTATGATTCGAGTCGATGGCAAGGCTTATACATGGATGGTAAATTCTCTTGCTGGCGTTAGAAAGGAGACTGTTACTGACCAGTATACGTTTTAGGGCAACCCAAATCCAAGACCCCCATTAGCAACCCAGACTGCATTTGAGTACACGTCCACGCGAAGCATCTTCACCTTCAATGTCGCCGACAAAGTGGAGATGAAGGTTGAATTTCTTTCACCGGTGTATCCCGATGATCCCCAGAGACAGAGCCTCGTCTTCTCCTATCTTGAAGTCCGCGTGACGTCGTTGGACGACGCTCACCATCAAGTCCAGTTGTATACAGATGTGTCTGCCGGTTAGTAGCTGACCGTCATTCGGAAGCCTCTATCCACTAATAATATCTCAGAATGGGCATCTGGAAACCAAGGTGCTGTTGTTCAGTGGAACCGTGGCGATACCGGAAATGTCACGTATCACAGCTTCTCTCGACAGGAAGAACTGGCATTCACTGAGAACCGCGACCAGGCCGAATGGGGCACATGGTTCTACGCAACGGACAATACACCCGGGGTGACTTATCAGACCGGATCTGATGCTGGAGTTCGGTCCACCTTCGCTCTGATGGGAGTCCTGAGCAACACGGAAGATTACCAGTACAGGCCGATCAACGATGACTGGCCCGTCTTTGCTTTTTCCAAAGATTTTGGAAACTGTGCACGCTCGGAGGTTTCTACCCTCTTTTCGATTGGTCTTGCACAAGACTTTGTAGTCCAGTTCGAAGGCGCAGGTCCGTATGAACCGCTCCCTGCTTTGTGGCAGGCCTATTTCCCAGATGGGATAGCTGCTGTGAGTATTCTGTTGTATATTGAAAAGGAACGATGCTAATGTTTTCAAAGCTTGACTTCTTCCATCATGACTATTCCACTGCGGTGACCATGTCGGATGCCCTAGATCAGAAGGTCGCGAAGGAGTCGCGCAAGGCGGCCGGACAAGATTACCTGACGATTACCTCGCTCACAGTCCGCCAAACATTTGGAGCCACCCAACTTGCGGGTTCAGCGGATAAATATTATCTCTTCCTAAAGGAAATCTCGTCCAATGGAAACATGCGTATGTCATCCGCTCCAATGTTCAACCCCTCCACTGATAGTGTCGCAGAAACCGTCGACGTAATCTTCCCTGCATATCCCCTATTCCTATACTTTAACCCTTCTCTTCTCAAACTGCTCTTGGATCCTCACTTCGAGAACCAAGAAGCCGGGAAGTACCCTAAAGCATTTTCAATCCATGATCTCGGCGCGCATTATCCGAATGCGACGGGACATCCTGACGGAGTCGCTCAAGAAATGCCTCTGGAAGAATGTGGCAATATGATCATCATGGCCCTCTCATACGCCCAACGCAGCAAGGACACCGATTACCTGAAACAACATTACAAGATTCTCAAGCAATGGGCGGAGTTCCTTGTGGATGAGGCACTGATTCCTGAGAACCAGCTTTCGACTGACGACTTTGCTGGGTTACTCGCGTACGCTATATCTGGCAACCCAACAGGGCTGCATCGAGCTAACAAAGTGCACAGAAATCAAACCAATCTCGCGCTGAAGGGCATTATTGGAATTGAGGCAATGTCTCAAATCGCCGACTTGACAGGAGCTCACGACGAGGCGCAGAACTACACCAGCATTGCGCACGAGTACATTTCCAAGTGGCAGACCTATGGCATTGCGCATGACGCCAATCCACCGCATACGACGCTGAATTACGGCAAGAATGAGTCATTCAGTCAGTTCCAGGAGCCAACCCCCTCGATCCAGCTAACCTTGGCATCGCAGATCTCCTCTATAATTTGTATGCGGATCGTGTATTGGGACTCAATCTTGTACCGCAGTCCGTCTATGACATGCAGTCATTGTTCTATCCTACCGTCCTGAACGAGTTCGGTGTGCCGTTGGATACCCGCCACCTCTGGACTAAAGGTATCCATACTCATCCGACCAACGCGTTCGCTCTTGCTGTATGCTGACTTTCCTCTGTAGCGGATTGGGAAATATTTGTGGCCTCCATAGCGTCGGTAGAGACACGCGACTTGATCCTGAGCACGCTGGCCAGGTGGGTCAACGTCACCACGACCGATCGGGCGTTGACTGATCTGTATGAATCAGATACCGGAGGGTAAGTCTGCCAGCTGCTAGCGACATCATCTGAGGGAGTGGAACAGAAGCTAATCCGGCACACCAGGTATCCCGGATTTCAGTTCGTAGCTCGTCCGGTGATGGGAGGAAGTTTTGCGCTATTGGCTTTACCGGAAGCGATGAAGACGAAGCATTCTAGCTAAGATGGAACTCTGGAGAAGCATCCCTGGAATGTGAAGCACCTTTATATACGCCGTCCTATAGTTGAATGGGTTGAATGACACCTTGGTTACCGACCGGAAGCAGAAGTGATCACGATGCAAGAATGGTGGTCTTTCAGTATCGAGATTTCCAACCGTCCCCCTTACACACTGATAGTAGTCTAAATCCCACCATCTGTATTCCGTAAGCCCATAATTATCGAGCATCGATCCAATCACCAGCTATGGAAAACCCCAGACCGAGCATATCCATCGCTGTGGCTTGTATCATGTATGGTAAGCGAAAGCTACCAGGCCCAACCTTGCTTCACCAGTTCACCACTAACTGACGAAACGAACCGCTAACTAACCCCAGCTTTCTCCCGATCTCCCTTACACCAAAACCGAGCATCAAATTATGCATCTCATCCCACCCTACACGCAATCCTGATTCCTCAACAGGACAGGTATCCCCTCCATTCAACTTTTCAACCCTCTCGCGCATCGCCAGGTTATTTTTCTCCGCCTCGCCTGCATTCCACACGTTCCACGGCCAAGCTTGATCCTACGAACGATTTCGACGCCGTTATTGATTGAGCGTAGATGTCTCTGCTTGGAGGTGGGACAACAGCTTGCTAAGCCATTGTTTGCGTATGGCTTGTCGCAAATTCGTGTCGTGATACAATCCAGGCTGGTTGGTCACGATATCGGGATTTTCAGCTCTCTATCTATACCTTACGATATTTTCCGAAGGAGGACAAGAGGTCATATATATTCCGAATCATACCATACTGTTCCTCGTCCCTCGTTAATCATCATCCCTATCAACCTCCGAGTCCATACCGTCTACATCCCAATCGACTATGCCGCACGATTCACACCACGATTCAAACTACAAGAATAAGAAGCCCGAGACGCGGTCGACCATGAATACCTTCGTCTACGATGTCGTCGTCTGGGCCTTCTCCATCCTCTTCGACCTCTTCTTCCGCGAAGTGCATCCGCGCAGCTCCTGGAAAATTCCGCGCAAAGGGCCGGTGATCTTCGTCGCTGCTCCGCACGCGAATCAGGTACGTTTCCCGATTCTGGTTCGCATCGTGAACGGTGAACCGTGTTCTAATGGTTGCCTGACATTCCTCTAGTTCGTCGATCCCCTCATCCTCATGCGCGTCATCCGCCGGGAAGCCCACCGCCGCATCTCCTTCCTCATCGCCGAAAAGTCCATCCGCAGAAAGTTCGTGGGGTTCATGTCGAGGAGTGTTGGCGCGGTACCAGTCGGACGGGCTCTGGACAGCGTCAGGCTGACGAAAGGGCGAATCTACTTACCAGACCCGGAGAACGACCCCACTCTCGTCCGAGGCGTCGATACCAACTTCGAGAGCTCCGAGTTTCGGGTCGGTGGGCTCCTAGTCTTGCCTGCAGTGGACAATATTACGGCAAATGCAGAGATTCTAGAGATCAAGGGACCCGAGGAGATTCGGGTGAAGAAGCCATTTAAGGGAGATGTGGCTCTGCGACAGCTGACGGGAAAGATGTCCAAGGAAGACGGGGCGAACGGAGCGCCAAGCAGGTCTGACCAAGGAGAGTTCAAGGGGATCGAATTTAAAGTCGCGCCGAAGGTCGACCAGACGGAAGTTTACGATGCGGTCTTCAAGAGGTTACATAGTGGCGGATGCGTTGGTATCTTCCCTGAGGGTGGTAGTCACGATCGCACGGAACTGTTGCCGTTAAAAGGTAGGTTCATGCATGCCGAATCGATTTACTTGACTAACACGTTCACAGCTGGTGTGGCCATAATGGCCCTTGGTGCACTAGCAGCAGATCCGAACTGTGATCTCAAAATCATCCCGTGCGGTATGAACTACTTCCATGCACACAAGTTCCGCTCCAGAGCAGTGGTGGAGTTTGGCACTCCGGTCGAAGTGCCGCCAGAGCTAGTGGAGTTGTATAAGACAGGCGAGCGACGAGAAGCGGTTGGAAAGCTCTTGGCGAATATTTACGATGCGCTGGTTGCTGTCACGGTTACTAGTCCTGACTATGACACTTTGATGGTACGTACTCCGACTGCATGATTTCCCAATCTAACATCGATCAGTTGATCCAAGCTGCCCGACGGCTATATAACACGAAGCATAAGAACTTCCCACTTCCGATGGTGGTCGAGCTCAACCGTCGCCTAGTCAAGGGCTACACGATGTACAAGGATGATCCTCGCATTATCAACTTGAAGAAATCCGTGTTGGATTACAACCAGCAGCTGATGTCACTCAACATCCGGGACCATCAAGTGGAATATGCGAAGCTGTCGTTTCCTAAAGTGTTCTTCACCCTGGTATACCGTGTGGGGAAGCTCTTGTTGCTTTCTCTGGGCGTGCTACCAGGGCTGTTCTTGTTCGCACCTGTTTTCATTGCCGGCAAGCTCATTTCCATCAAGAAGTCCAAAGAGGCCTTAGCCGCTTCGACGGTCAAAATCCAAGCACGCGACGTCATAGCGACCTGGAAGCTGCTCGTCTCCTTAGCCTTCGCACCCCTTCTCTACAACTTCTACACCATCCTCCTCGCCATCTGGACCTACCGCACCCGAATCGGCGGTCGCGTCCCCGACTGGGTCCCCCTTTGGATGACCTTTCTCTTCGGCTACATCTTCTTCCCGGCCATCACTTACGCGGCGCTCCGCTTCGGCGAAGTCGGCATGGACGTCTTCAAATCCCTCCGCCCCCTCCTCCTTGCCCTCAACCCCACCGCTGGCAACGTCCTCGTCAAGCTGCGCGCCCGCCGGGCCGCCCTCGCCCACCAGGTCACCGATCTCATCAACACCCTCGGCCCAGAACTCTTCCCGGACTTCGACGCCGCGCGCATCGTCGCCGACCCGTTCCGCCCAGGCGACCCGACCACGTCGTCGAACCCGTCGCGCAGTCACGGCCGCGTCGACAGCCGGGACGTGTTCAACGTCGACTCGCCGCCGACATCGCCCGGGAGCGGGGGGCAGCCGCCGGCGAGCATCGGCGGGGGGTCATCGATGGCGGGGAACCTGCCGCCGAACGAGTCGTTCAACAACCTGGCGGGCATCGGGCTATTCGCGACGCGACCCGCGACGCCGAGTAAGAGCCGCAGTCGGGCGAGCTCGAGTGGGGGGTTCCCGGTGCAGGCATTCAGTACGCTGGATTCGAAGGGGTCGTTCGACGAGGTGTCGAAGAAGATTCGGGGGGCGATGAAGGAGCGGGGGCAGAGGAGGAGGAGTGAGGGTGGGTGGGAGAGTGGAAGTACGAGTGGGAGGGAGACCCCGGGGGTGGAGGGGAAGAAGGATATGTAGGCGTGGGGATGTGGCTTTTGATATGCAGGTAAATGGGTTTGAGGGGTTTGTTTTTGTCTGGGAATTGGTTTCATGGAGAGTGAGCGGCGGTGTTCGGGTGTTTGGGGGCCCCTACTGGCCTTACTATTATGAGGGCTTGCGTCATGTGTCCGAAGTAGTTGTGTAAACACTTGGTAACAGTAATTCTGGAGCTTTTAGTTCAAGTTCCACGACTGAAATTGCTTTTATTCCCCCTTCAGTTAAGTAGTATTGTAATTATAAGGCTGCTGTACTCCGATATCGTGAAAGCAGTTCGAACCGATCCTGATATTGGGTCTAAAATGCCGATTAAAAATACATATAGCCGAAATCGAATCCAATTAATTAGAAGAACCCTTCACGGCCCAGGGGAACCACATACGCTTTACTGCCGGATTTACCTCCCCACAATGGAGAGTTTGCCATACTGGTCGATCTGCGGCCGCTCGTCCCCCAAACATATATATGAGCTAATCAAATCAGTAAATAGCGAGATCCTTGTTTCACCATCGTCACATACGTATTGCTCCCGTGCTTCAGGTCGAACCCTCTAGGCCACTCCTGCTCCATGCGCTGCCGATGAGCCGACTTCGGCTTCCCCTCCTTCAACCTCATCTTCTCAAAGAAGACATACGCGCCATAGAACACGTCCGACGTAGCCCCGGCGTTGGCGCCGCGCTTGTTGCGGAAATTCTGCAGGCTGCTCGAGGAGAGGGATTTGGGGGGGTGGAACTGTGCTTTGATAGCGCGCATCAGCGCGGCCTGGGTGACGCCCGGCTTGCGCAGCTGGGCGTCGACCTTGCGGCGCACCTCGTCGCAGGTGTCGTAGACCTCGACGGCGTTGGCGTCTTCGCCGTCGAGGTGGATGGCGCTGACGTCCCAGTCGACCGCGACGGGCTTTCCTGACGCATCGACGTCCTTTTTGGGGCGCTTGGTGGTGATTTTCTTGCCCTTGCGCGCGCGGTACTGCAGGTAGGCGAGGCCGTGGATGTAGGTGTTGCTGTTGTCGCCGCCGCGGGTCTGCCGTATGAAGTCATTGTATGACCTGTTACTGACGCCGATCTTCTTGCAGAACTCGCCGATCTTGAGCTCGCCGCTGTCAATGAGTCGGCGGATCTGGGTGCGCACTTGGGCGGGGGTCTTGGTGATGGGGATGTCTTCGATAGCTGCGAAGAGGTCCCAGTCGCTCTCGTCGTCGGACTCGGCGTCAGTGGTCGCGTCGGATTTGCGCTTGCCGAGGGTGGATTTCAAGCCTTTTGCACCGGCCTTGGGGGCCGCAGCGTTGTCGGCGTTTATTTGTTGCACAGCCTCTCGATCCTTTCGCGAGAGCAGCTGTCGACACGTCAGGGGCATATAGATGGGTCGAAGTTCATAAAAACTTACAGCCAGTGTGCTAGTATCCGCCATTCCGGTTGGATAAGGTTATGTATCTAGCTGATGATATTAAAGAGGGTACGCAAAGAATAAAGAGGGATCCTAGTTGTGGGAAAGATCGAGCGGATATCAAGTAGAGGTATAAAACGGAGTGTGCCGGCTGACTCGGATGGGACGAGGGTTTACCAATCTATTCATGCAGGAAGCAGGTTCTGAACGAACAACTCTTGCAAATGATGAATTATGAGTAGCTAAATCACTGAAGGAGATATAATATATTGGTTGTAAGGGTCTAAATTAAGGTGCAACGGGATACCTGCTGTACACATAAAAATGATGTCGCGACCCCCAATCATGTCTATGTCATGGCGCACTCGGAACGATGTGTGACGTTGAAGAGACGCGTTTTATGGGCCCAGAGCTCACACGTTATCACGTGCTTTAAGCCTGAATGCCTGAGGCTTAAAGTTGGCTACAACCTCTAGTCACGTGCAGAAATAGTTGAAGGATCCCTCCATCTGTGTTTTAAGGCATAAATTTATGCCTTAGACATAAACATCGACTCAGCCACAGTCCCTCACCAACTGTAACCACCCACTCGTCTATCGAAATGAAGATGCTAGACAGACGGCTAGAAAATTCTACAATGTGCTTGTCACTATCCTTCAGCTTATATCTGTTAGGGGATTGAAGGATCTAGACCAACAAGCACCAAAATGGCCGTGATGATGAAGGCCGATTGCTCTTGTTGCGACATGGACTCTCACTGTGAATAGGCAACATCCGGTTGTGATCGACAGCCGTGGCGAATGGAGGGGCAGAATCAATGGAGCCATGGACCCTGATGGATTCAGAGAGATTCCAGCAGTCAAAGGATGACGATGTTCCGACTTCAGAGCCTTGGGCTCTGGAAAGTTGTGATGCACCTCATCCTCCTGACATACGGAGTAGATGTTCAGAATATAGCAGCCTTTGCATCTTTTTTCGATGCCATCAGTATTAGATTGATCCTCAAGCTGGTATCTCCGATAATCATGCCTTCGTGATATGCGACATGCACTGCTCTTGTGTCCAATTGACCACCGTTCATCCCCAAAGTCCTGTCATCATCAATGAGGTCAAAATTATCCGTCAAAAATCTCCATCAAAATTATCCGACATTGTGGGCCAAGTGCATATGGATTGCTGGGATTCACCATTCTGGCGTGTTCTCACTCGTTCGTTGGCGCTCGTTGTCACGGCAAGCTGGAGTTGCATGGAAGCGCGTGGAAGCCAGGCGAAACACAGTGAATCTCAGTGCTGCCTCTAGCCTTTTCCTGCCCCAACCCACGACTTCCTACTTAAACACAAAATTCCCAGTCATCAACCTCTCACACACACTTCTCCCACACTTCCATCAAAATACAAACACTTACTCCTACACCTACACTCTCTACCACTCCCGTCATCTGTTGTCTTGTTGAGCTCCTTCTGGCTCCCTCGCATCAGGTTCTCTAGATCTGATTATCCCTGCTACGTCACTTTAGCCCCTCCACACTTTTCTCATCCTCATATCCCACCACAATGCCGGGCCCCGCCATCGGTATCGATCTGGGTACCACCTACTCATGCGTTGGTATCTTCCGAGATGACCGCATTGAGATCATCGCCAATGACCAGGGAAACCGCACCACCCCGTCCTTCGTGGCTTTCACCGACACCGAGCGTCTCATCGGTGATGCCGCGAAGAACCAGGTTGCCATGAATCCCACCAACACCGTCTTCGATGCGAAGCGACTCATCGGCCGCAAGTTCGCGGACGCGGAGGTCCAGGCCGACATGAAGCATTTCCCCTTCAAGATCATCGACAAGGCCTCCAAGCCCGTCATCTCCGTGGAGTTCAAGGGCGAGGACAAGACCTTCACTCCCGAGGAGATCTCCGCCATGATCCTCACCAAGATGAGGGAAACTGCCGAATCCTACCTCGGTGGCACCGTCAACGATGCCGTTGTCACCGTCCCGGCCTACTTCAATGACTCGCAGCGTCAAGCAACCAAGGACGCTGGTCTCATTGCCGGTCTCAACGTCCTCCGTATCATCAACGAGCCCACTGCCGCCGCCATCGCCTATGGTCTGGACAAGAAGACCGTCGGTGAGCGCAACGTCCTCATCTTCGATTTGGGTGGTGGTACCTTCGATGTCTCGCTCCTGACCATCGAGGAGGGTATCTTCGAAGTCAAGTCGACCGCCGGTGATACTCACTTGGGTGGTGAGGACTTCGACAACCGTCTGGTCAACCACTTCGTAAATGAGTTCAAACGCAAGCACAAGAAGGGTTAGTTCATCATATCTCATTCCACCTTTATCATCGTCAAAACCAGTTGCTAACTCACCTACTTCAGATCTGACCTCCAATGCCCGTGCCCTACGACGTCTCCGCACCGCATGCGAGCGTGCGAAGCGCACTCTCTCATCCTCCGCCCAGACCTCCATCGAGATCGACTCGCTCTACGAAGGCATCGACTTCTACACCTCCATCACCCGTGCTCGCTTCGAGGAGCTGTGCCAGGACCTCTTCCGCTCCACCATGGAGCCCGTCGAGCGTGTCCTCCGCGACGCTAAGATCGACAAGTCCACCGTCCACGAGATCGTCCTCGTCGGTGGATCCACCCGTATCCCCCGCATCCAGAAACTCGTCTCCGACTTCTTCAACGGCAAGGAGCCCAACAAGTCCATCAATCCCGATGAAGCCGTTGCCTATGGTGCCGCTGTCCAGGCCGCCATTCTCTCCGGCGACCAATCATCCAAGTCCACCAACGAGATCCTCCTGCTCGACGTCGCACCGCTCTCTGTCGGTATCGAGACCGCTGGTGGTGTCATGACCCCGCTCATCAAGCGCAACACCACCATCCCTACCAAGAAGTCCGAGGTGTTTTCCACCTTCTCTGACAACCAGCCCGGTGTCCTCATCCAGGTCTACGAGGGTGAGCGTGCGCGCACCAAGGACAACAACCTCCTCGGTAAGTTCGAGCTCACCGGCATCCCCCCGGCGCCGCGTGGAGTCCCCCAGATCGAGGTCACCTTCGACGTCGACGCCAATGGCATCATGAACGTCTCCGCGCTCGAGAAGGGTACCGGCAAGACCAACAAGATCGTCATCACCAACGACAAGGGCCGCCTGTCTAAGGAGGAGATCGAGCGCATGCTGTCCGAGGCCGAGAAGTATAAGGCCGAGGACGAGGCCGAAGCCGCCCGCATCGGCGCCAAGAACGGCCTCGAGTCGTACGCCTACAACCTCCGCAACACTGTCTCGGACCCCAAGGTCGACGAGAAGCTGGACGCCGCCGACAAGGAGAAGCTCAAGTCCGAGGTCGACTCCGTCGTCGCCTGGTTGGACGACAACCAGACCGCCACCAAAGAGGAGTACGAGGACAAGCAGAAGGAGCTCGAGGGCATCGCCAACCCCATCATGATGAAGTTCTACCAGGGCGCCGGCGGCGCTGAGGGCATGCCCGGCATGGGCGGCATGCCCGGCGGTCCCGGCGGCTTCCCTGGTGCGGGCGGCCCGGCTCCGGGCGCGGGTGGCGATGACGGCCCGACCGTCGAGGAGGTCGATTAGACGCCTCCTCTCCCCCAACCCAACCCTGCTTTCTCGCACGCATACCCCTCCCTTTTTCCCGCTCGGGTGGATTCACGGACTTTGACAACGGGTCCTAGGAATCTCGGAGTTTTTCACTTTTTCGTTACTGCTGCGGCATGGTCGCTTAGACATTGACATGGGAATCACGAGTTTCATTTGATGGATGGTGGTGAATACATGGGGACGAAGGATGATCGATCATGAATTGGTAACGTGGAGGTGGTGGATGAAAAAATGGCGATGGCTCTTCATGATTCGGGGATGACCATTCGGGTAGATTTCAAAACAATGAATCAAATTTCAAACAACTCTTGCCTTGATGAAAACTGATTGGTAGATCCGTGATGGATTCCAAGATCCGCTCCGTCCATCCGATCCAAACCCCAGCAGAGATTGTGATGGTTTTCTCCTTCCCATATCGTACAACCACCTGTCTCAAACTATAATACATATCCCCTATCCCAACTCCGCTCCCCTCACACCCCCTCCGGATCCCAATCCCACGCCCTCCCCACTCTCTCCCTCCTCCCCTCCCACACCTCCTCACTACTCCTCTTTCCCGCCCCATACCTCTCCCGCTCCCTGCTCTCAAAGTAATCCCTCACCGCCTCTTTTTTATAGTTCTCATCCTTGCTCTTGATGCGCATGCAGAACCAGAACTCGGCCCAGTGGTCGCTACACGAGCGGAGGGCGCCGTGGCGGTAGATGTCGTTGAATTTGCCGCCCAGGGATTGGCAGTAGAAGGCGGAGTCGAAGGAGGCGCGGCAGGAGAGGGTGGTGGGGAGGGTAGCGGTGCGGAGGGGGGATGGGGGGGTGGTCGTTGACGATGATGGGGTGGTGGTGGAGGTGGAGGTGGTGGTTTGGGGGGGTGTCGAGGGAGGTGGTGATTCGGTCGAGGGCGCGATTGTGGACGGTTGGGGAGGTGAGGAGGATGATGATGAGGGTGAGGAGGGTTTATCTGAGGATGTCCATGGCCAGCCCATTTTCGGATCTAGAATATAGATTAGCATGAGATATGGTTGGATATATTAGGGGACTGACGATGTGGTTATGTGATGGCGACTGCGCTCCTCGCTATCTCCAGACGCTCAAGTTGCGATGGTACAGAGATCCACCTGGGTTTTCTGCTTCCGCAATAACGTATAGAACGAGTGTCGTTGTTTATAGATGCACAGCACAGGACGGCAGGAGTAATTCGTGATATCCAAGAGTCGCAATCATTGGAATAAATTTCTGGAGAGGGGTGAACGTCTTCTAAGCAGCCCTATCGATTAGACCCTTTTGTAAGATCAGGCCAAGATACAGGATTTTGGGGAATAATTGTTCTGGTGATTGATTCCTGCGCCTGTTCGGGCCAACTTCGGTCGGCTCACGTGGGGGATATTTGTTCTGGTTATGACGGAGACGTCGGGCACGTCTAGAGAGGTATTCTGCCTTTATGCCTCAGGCATTTAGGGTCAGGTGACCACCCCATCTATTTCTGCGCTCCACTCCGTAATTAGCCTCCATAGTAATCCACATCTTTCTTCTTCTCCTATTGTCGTCTTTGTAACAGTTAATCATATATTATGAATACTTCCCTCCTCCAATCTAGTATCTAACGTTCACGAGCACTTACTATCGTACGACAACACTAAATCGTTCTGCCAAACGTCAGGGTAAGGCTGTAATTACTGTCGAAATGAACTTCTCGAATTACTATTATCAAGCTCGTCTAGCTACCCGTCTATAATTCGTGATATCGAATTGCAAACAGAGCGACCGTGTCTTCAACAGCAGAACAACGCCTCCTTCATGGCATTGCAAACAGCGGGGTATCAGGCTCGCAGGAAGTATCCAGCGCAGGCAGTGTGCCGTTGATAAAGTAATCCGCAATGTACTTCGACGTACATGATGAGATCTGCGCAATCGACATGTGCTATAACAGGTTAGCCGTCTCGTTCGATCAAGGCACACTGGAGCAACCGGAAAGCGGGGTACATCACTTACACCGTGCCCATTGTGTCGCAGCACGACGCTTCCCTCGAATCCGCTGCTGATGTTAAAGGCAGACTTGATAGGCGTCACTGGGTCCCAGGTATTGCCAATGATGAGCGCAGGATAACTGGTCTTGACCTGGAAGTCGCCGTCGTAGCGCTCCTTGGCTTCGAAGTCCCAGCGGGCGCACCCTGTCATGTCCAGGGTTGCGGCGTCCCCAAACCGGGCACTGGCCTTATAGATCTCGTCTCGGAGCGAGGCCTCCAGGGGCCCGACGTCGTCGGACCGCAGGAACTTGTCGCCGCATTTGATCCCTTGTTGGGCCTCGGGGGATGCGTTGGCAACCGCCGGTTCCGCCGAACCATGTTGGGCGGAAAGCGCCAGCGCGAGCGTCGTCACATTGCGGGTGAGGACGGCCTCGAGTGCAGCGACGAGGAGGGTATACTGCTTTGGGTAGTAAAGTTTTCCCCAGGTAAAGGATTTGACCATGGTGTAGTCCACGATGAACTCTGTCCCAATAGGTATTGGATTGTACTTGATGTCGTCGAAGAGATCATCCAATATCTTTTCTAAATCGGCGGTATCACTAGCATACTTTGAAAAGGGGCAATTGTCCAAATTCGCTATACAAGCCGATAAGAATTGTTCCCAGGTTGCGTCGCTATCAGTAAATCCTGCGGGATCGCCACTGGGCAACAGCCATTAGATTCTTCCTCAGAGAAGTGGTCGGAAAGCGGACTCACAAGGTATGGTAGTACTCATGAGGATTCTGTACTCCATGCGGGAACATTGAACTTCTGAAGGGCGGCCAGCTCAACTCAGACTCTAATTATATGTTAAAATTAATAACTATCTTCATTATTATAAACTTCTAGGCTTATACCTCAAGCCTTAGTTAATACTCCTCTCTAAAAGATCTATACCTTGTGATGTATCTCCCGATACCATATCACAACATAGTGAAACACTGAACGCCAGAGTGGTCTCGATAGAGTTGTATTTGTGTGAAACTAAGCTACAGAAAAGGAAAGGAAAGGAAAGAGTAATCCACATTGAGGGATAGAAAGACCTGCATGTCTAACACAAACGCATACGTAGCAGAATCTACTAGCCACACTGGTTCAGCCACATAATTAGTTAGAACAAGTAGTTAGTTATATAAATTTCAATATTGGTGGAGTTATTATACAGAATCTACAGTCCTCTGTTGTTGGTGTTGCTGCGTGTGAAGTGGTTACAAATCGGGGTGGTTACAAACCGGGGGTCCTGTTCTTACCAAGTTTCGTTGATCTAAACTGAAGAGAGAGAAGGAAGAAATCTCCCAGCGCCTCTATAATTACGCGAGATATCAACTCTTCTCTCTGCTATCTTAACACAGCTCCTTAACACAGCTCCTTAACACAACTCCTTAACACTGCTCCTTAACACTGCTCCGTCCTAACACACTGCTCCCACATAAACCATCTCCTTGATAATCCTCTATGCCATCCACTAGCCACATCCCTGTGGTGTCAGCCACATGCATACTCAAGGGTCCAGGCCACAGGCCAGGGACCATATAACATATTGAGATTTGTCTGTTTCGTCTCGTCTCGTCTTCTCTTGCCTTACGCAACTATTCTAAGTTACCAATATTGGACAGTCATACAGATAACTAGAACAATAGCTTGTTACCATTGTTCTTCATCCTATTTCCCTTGAATAGTATGGAGTTCTCCCTTACTGTGTCGTGGGCCCAAACCACGAAGGATTTGGTAAGCTGGTAACGCTGTTGAATTGCTAAAGAGAGAAGGAGAAGATCTCTCTCACTGCGATCTGCTATTTACATCTGTGGGCATACGGTCTACCCATCCCTTCTGCCTTAGGCCGCAAGGCCACAACACACAGACTGGGCAAAGCCCAAGACTGTCACATACTGTGCTATAGATTGAGCTGATATAGTTTAGTCCGCAAGGTCTGCAAGTACTGATTCCATTCAAGCTAAACTAAAGAAGGGAAGAAGAAGAGGAAACATCTCTGTCGTGCGAGAGATAAACCTCTTAGACCACTCCTCTACTTCGTTAACACATCTATCAACACATGTCTACCTCCTGATAGTCCTCGCCACCCCTGGCTTTAGCCACACATTGCGGCCTGTGACCATATCTCGATCTTGGAAGATTGGGCCTCTTCACCACTTCAGACATTCCAATCTCAACAGCTTCTTTTACTTTCTTGGGCTTTCGTAAAATTAGATAAGCGGACTTCACGATCTCAAATTCTTACAAATTACCCACGTCCTTATACTAATTTTAGTAAGGATTCGGAAATTTTTTAAAATCACGTAGATTATTTTCTCTGAAATCCTAACTATAACTATTCATATCTTGGCGTAATATTACAAAAGGGTCCTGTCGATTGATGTCAAATCGGCAGTCACGATCCTCCCTCACGACTTCCCACTTGGCACCCGAGCTACGTCACCGCATCATAACCTAATCTACAGCCACCTCCACACGTTTCGAACACCCAACGATGTGGAATCTTCCAATCTCTACCGATAATCCTTCATCTTAATCCTCTCCAAATTTGCCATTGCGCTTGAACTGTCCACGAAACCCGGTCGGTTGTAGCGCGGTTGTGCAAGTCTCTCCGTTACCCGTCCCAATCTTGGGGATACGTACCGGTACAGGTCCTGAATGAGCCAGCTGCACCCTCTGTACTATTAAGTTGCGGATATACGAAAGTTATCGTAGCAGCGGCATACGGGAAGTCCAGAGTGACGTGACGAGCCTACGATGAGTATCATGGGCCCAAATTGAACGACGCTTAAACATCACCCGAGATACCGCCCTTCGACGACATCTTCTTCCCCCCACATAATTCTTCTCTCTCCCCACCGCCACGATGCTCGAATCCGTCGTCGCGAACCTGCTCAACAGGTTCCTGGGCATGTACGTCCAGAACTTCGATCCCAAACAGCTCAATGTCGGCATCTGGTCCGGCGACGTCAAGCTCCGCAATATGGAGCTCCGCCGCGAGGCGCTCGACCAGCTCCGCCTCCCGCTCAACGTCATCGAAGGCCACCTCGGCCAACTGACCCTCCAGATACCCTGGTCGAACCTCCGTGGGAAGCCTGTGCGCGTGATAATCGAAGACGTGTTCCTGCTGGCGGCGCCGAAGGTCGACACGGAGTACGACGTGGACGAGGAGGAGCGGCGGCAGCACGCGGTGAAGATGGAGAAGCTGGATAGCGCAGAGTTGCTGAAGGACCGGAATACGGAGGGGATGAGCCAGGAGGAGCAGCAGAAGAATCAGAGCTTCACGGCGAGCTTCGTCACCGCCATTGTTGATAATGTGCAGGTATCGGTGAAGAATATCCATATTCGATACGAGGATTCGATATCGCATCCGGGCCATCCGTTTGCGTTGGGGATCACGCTGGAGGGGTTCGACGCTGTCAGCACGGAGGCGGATTGGCGACCGACATTCATTCAGAGCACCTCGGGGACGACACATAAGCTTGCGTCGCTGAAGTCGCTGGCTGTATATTGGGATACCGATAACGAGCTATTGAGCTCTGGCGTCGGTACCCAGGAAGGTCTGGAACACGATGATTTCGTCGAGAGGCTGAAGTCGATGATTGCTCGTACGGATGAGACCGACTTAGATTCGCATCAATACCTACTCAAACCTGTCACCGGCCGAGCAGGTCTGGAGATAGACAAGTCCGGCAAGCTGGATCGTCCTAAGATGAAGGCCAAGCTCCTGTTCGATGAACTCGGTTTCATCATGGACAACGACCAGTATCGAGATGCATTGATGCTGGTGGATCTATTCCATTATTATATCAGGCACCAGGAGTATAGAAAGCTACAGCCGAAGAGCAAACCAAAAGAAGACCCTCGCGCGTGGATCCAATTCGCAGGACAGGCGGTATTGGACAAAATCCATGAACGCAACCGAAGATGGTCCTGGGAGTATTTCAAGGAGCGGAGAGATGACCGCATCCGCTACATCGACTTCTTCAAGAAAAAGAAGAAGGACGTTAAGTTAACCCCCGACGAGGCCACGGATCTAGACGAGCTCGAGCGCAAACTCACATACGAAGACCTCCGCTTCTGGCGCTCATTAGCACGGAATCAGCTCCGCAAGGAGAATGTCGGGGTCAAGAAGGAGCCACCGCAGCAGACCTGGTCACAATGGATATGGGGCGCCAATAAGCCATCACAGGAGGAGGCCCCCGAGGACCGCCAGATGACGGATGAGCAACGAAAGGAGTTGTATGAGGCCATCGATTGGGACGAGAAAAAGTCCATCGAGGAAGCCGTAGACGTGCCGAAGGAGTATGTCAAGCTGCAGGTCGAGATGAGCCTTCGCACCGGTAGCTTTACGCTACGGCGACAACCGCACGGGAAGAAGACGGAAATCCTCAAGCTGTTGTTCGACTCATTTAGGACGGAATTGTTGAGGCGGACGGACTCGATGCTGGCGAGAGTCGACCTCGAGGGAATGAGACTGTACGATGGGACCACGAAAGGTAGTTTGTTCCCGCAAATAATCTCGATCAAGGACGCCCCTGCAGTTCCCGACGAGGAACGGATCAAGGAACTTGACGATGACGAGATGCTGAAAGAGGGCGAGAAGTCCGACGGAAATCAGGACGAGGATGCAGCGGAGGACGACCCCTTCTTCCATCTAGAGTTCGAGAATAATCCTCTCGATGGGAGCGCGGACACTGCCTTGACGGTTAAGCTAAAGGCACTTGAGATCATCTACAACCCCAAATTCCTGGAGGGGATCGTCAAGTTCTTCAAACCCCCGAAACGACACATGGAGTCCATTGGCGCACTAATGGAGACGGCTGGTGCCACAGTTGAGGGCATCAGGAAGCAGACACGCGCGGGACTGGAGTTTGCTTTGGAAGAACACAAAACCATCAACGCGAACCTCGATCTTCAAGCGCCCCTGATCATTATCCCCGACTCCGTCACCGAGAAGAGCAGTCTGTGCCTGATCGTCGACGCTGGTCACGCTAGCGTGCGAAGCAAACTCGTCGACAAAGGCACACTGCGTGACGTCCAGAATAAGCAGCACCAGCGCTATACAGAGGAAGACTACCGGCGTTTGGAAGGGCTGATGTACGACCGGTTCCTCCTTAAGCTTGATTCCACGCAGCTGCTGCTTGGAACCACGATCGGTGAGACGAAGAAGCAATTGGCGGAAGACACAGAGTCCAGGAGCTTCCATCTCGTGGAGCGGATCAACATGGATTTCACACTGGATATCTGCATCATCCCGAAGGCGTCAACGTTAACGAAATTCCGGATATCGGGACACTTGCCAGTTCTACACGCGTCCGTGTCGGACAAGAAGTACAAGAGCTTGATGAAGCTCATTGATGTGGCTATTCCCAAATTCACCGATGAGAGTGAGCGAAATCAAGAAAAGAAAATTGCGAGATCACCGAGCCCACCGCCAACCAACACCGATGAGCTAGGCAGGCCACGATCGAAGTCATTCCAGTTCTCGGGCGACGAGGTGGCCCAATCGCTCGTCGTGGATGAAGAAGAATCAGACACCAGCAGTCAGCGAGAGAAAGCGGAGAGCGAGAAGAAAGACGCCGAACTCCTATACAAGCAGCGGAACTTTGAGTTTAATTTCACAGTTGACAAACTCGTGGGATCGTTATATCGGGCTGATCCGGAAGGAAAGAAGGCGGATGACCTATTGGTCGAGCTCGTTGCGAATGCATTCTCTTTGCAATTCTACCAGCGTCCATTTGACATGGCGGCCGAGGTCAAGCTGAAGAGCTTGGTGGTTGAAGACCACGTCGAGGAAGATCCGAGCCCGGAGTTCAAGAACATCGTCTCGTCGGACGATCTGAACACGGCGTCAGAGAAAGACCTCTTCTACCTGAAGTTCACACGCGTTAATCCCAAATCGCCAGAGTTTCAGTCCGTCTATGATGGCATTGCGATGAATGTTGACGCAGCAGTGTCAGCGATCAATGTCATTGTCACACGACGCACTCTGTTGACGCTCTTAGACTTCGTCCTGACTACCTTTACTGGTGGTGACAATCAACGTGTTTCACAGCAGGTGTCAGACGCAAAAATGCTCGAGGACAAGCCCGAGGAACAAGTTGTTCGACCGCAACCAAGTCAAGATAAGATACGGGTACGAACCGAGCTCAAGAAGATCTCTTTGATCCTAAATAACGATGGGATCCGGCTCGCAACCCTGAGTTTGAGCTCCGCAGATGTCGGAGTCTTCATCATGGGCAAGTCCATGCGCGTCGGAGCACGCCTCGGAGATCTCTCGCTCATCGACGACGTCAACCAAGGCGTCCCCGAGGACTCCTCGCTTCGGCAACTCGTCACGATCCAGGGCAAGGAACTGGCGGACTTCAGCTACGAGACCTTCGATTCGCAATCAGAGTCCTATCCAGGCTACGACAGCTCCATCTTTCTCCGCGCCGGTTCCATCAAGGTCAACTTCGTCACCGAGCCGTTCCGGAAGATCATGGACTTCACCGTCAAGTTCGGCAAGATGCAGGCGATCTTCAACGCCGCCAGGCAGGCGGCCGCGCAGCAAGCGAGCCAGATGCAGGAGACGGCGAATAAGATGCATTTCGATATCTTGGTTAGGACCCCGATTGTCGTCTTCCCGCGGATAGTGTTCAAGGAGAATACTGAGCGCGACACTTTAACCGCGTATCTGGGCGAGATCTACGCCAAGAACGAGTTCGTGGCGCCCAAGGGCGGTGACAGTGAAGAGCATTCGAACCACATCAATGCTGGGATTCGGCATATTCGGATGGCATCTAACTTTCACTATGGGGACGGCCAATCTGAGGCGCTCCAGCTACTCGACAAAACCGATCTAAGCTTCGAGGTCAACTACATCGAGCACAAACCCGGCATGGAGAGACCCGACATGGAGATCGCAGGATCGCTATCCGACACCAACCTTCGAGTCACCCAGGACCAGTTGAAGTTCATCTTGGAACTGTTCCGAACGATCCCTCCCGCCTTCGCTATGGATCCCGGCGACGAGATGCAAGAGGATGTATACAACGAGCTTCCGGAAAGCACCGCGGCGCCTGCCAGGGCGCTCACGGAGAGGAGTCAAGAATCATCCGAATCTCAAGCATCAGACGAGCCGCCGTCCGGGAATTGGACGACGCTCGATCTGGTGTTTAAAGCGCCAACAATCGGCGTGGAATTGATCAACGCGGCTCCGAACGAACCGGTGAAGGATCTCGAGGACGCCAGTCTCTCGAAGTTCTCGCTAAACCGGACGCACGTCAAGCTGCGGATGATGAAGGACGGGGCGCTGGAGTCCGAGCTGCTCATCCGATCGTTCAGCATTCGCGACAGCCGAACGCGGGACTCGAATAAGTTCCGGAAGATCATGTCGCTGATTAACAATGATGTCAAGCAGCAGTTCATGGCGAGTATTTCGATCTCGGGTGGGAAGGAAAGGAGTTTGGTGGCGATGTTGACCATCGATAGCCCGAGGATGATCCTCGCCTTGGACTATCTGTTCTCTATCCAAGCGTTCATCAATGCGGGCTTGACTATCGACGAACCACTCGAGGTTGATGAGGAGACCGAAACCACAGCCACAGACGCGGAAAGCTCGGTTAGCCTTCACTCGGAGGGCCGGAGGACTAAGGGAACTCAAGCGGTGTCCAAACTGGATACTCAAACGGGCAAATCCGAAGGACGAGAGATGCAGGTATCGTTCCGGGTGAACGTCGTCGATGCACAGGTCATCCTCTTAGCCAACCCTGCCATTACGAACACGGAAGCCGTAGTCCTTGGCACCAAACAAGTGTTGGTCTCCAAGCAGAATGCCATGACCCTCCAGGTCGATCGGGTGGGAATGTTTCTCTGCCGAATGGACCAATTCGAAACCACCCGACTGCGGATCCTCGACGACTTCAGCGTCCGCACGTCGTTGGACATCCAGACGCAAGGCAAATCCACCACGCGGACGAACATCCACGTCGACGTCGACCCACTCATCCTTCGTTTGTCGCTTCGCGACATCCTTCTCGCGATGCAGATCCTGGCTCGCGCATCGGAGATGAGCGGGGGCACGGAGAAGAAGATCGAGGATCATGAGCCGAAGAAGCTGAAGGAGATCAAAGGCACCTCATCGAAGTCCTCGAGGCCGAAATCCTCTCGCAAAGACCGCTCGACTGCCGGTGCCCCGAGAGCGAAGTCCCTTTCTGCAGCGCAGTCGCAGGCCATTTCGGCGGACGTCAAGTCAGCTCGACAGCCCGGCGTGATCCAGCACGAGGAGATGGATATGGAAATCGGGGGCATTCGAGTCGTCCTGATCGGAGACAAGCATGAGCTCCCGATGCTAGATTGGAGCGTCAAGAAGTTCAACGTGCAGGTGCGCGATTGGACCGGCGCGATGACCGCGGATACCTCCATCGACACGTATTTCAACGTCTTTAACTTCTCCAAATCGGCGTGGGAGCCGCTGATCGAGCCGTGGCAGCTGGGTTTCCACATGTCGAAGGACCAGAATCCGGACAAGCTAAGCGTGGAGCTCTACACGCGCAAATCGATGGAGGTGACGGTGACGGCGGCGACGATTGCGCTGGCGTCGAAGTCGGCGGACTTTTTGTCGACCGATGAGGATGTCCTGTCCAAGCCACGGGGAATGGAGGCGCCGTACAAACTCAGGAATTATACCGGCTTCGACATCAACGTCTGGGGAGTGACGGATTCGAGTGATGGTGGTCCGGCGGCCAAACTCACGGATGGGGACGAATGTCCCTGGAGGTTTGAGGATCCGCTAACGACTCGAGAGACACTGTCGCCCGAGGGTGCCACTGGCATCGTTGGCGTGCGACTCGAGGGCAGCGGCTTCGACAGCGTCGAGAAGGTCCCCGTCAACCGGGAGGGGGAAGTGCTGTACAACCTGCGACCCCGCAAAAACAAAGTCCAGCATCGCCTCCTCGTCGAGGTCTCGCTGGGAACCGACAACGTAAAATACATCACCTTCCGCTCGCCGCTCCTCGTCGAGAATAACACACAGATCCCTATAGAGCTGGGCGTGTACAATCCTGACGAGGGCCATATCCTCAAAATAGAGAAGATCCCACCCGGTGACGCGCGACCTGCGCCCGTCGGTGCTGCGTACCTCCATTCGCTCATCGTCCGGCCCGATCAGGGTTTCGGGTATACGTGGAGCTCCGAGCGGTTGTTCTGGGGAGATCTGCTCAAGCGGCAGACCCGGACCATCACCTGCCATGGCGAGCACGACGACCATGCTCCCCCGTTTTACTTCCAGATGCACGCGAATTTCGATAAGAGGAACCCGATCGTGGGGAACTACCCGTACATGCGGATCCGCCTCTCGGCGCCCGTGGAGATCCAGAACCTGCTTCCGTACGATTTCAAATACCGCATCTTCGACCACCAGACCAAGAAGGACTGGACGAACTTCCTGCGCAAAGGGGGGGTCAGTCCGGTGCATGTCGTCGAGCTGTCGCATTTGTTGATGATGAGCATCGAAATGCAGGATACCCCGTTCAAGCAGAGCGAGTTCGCCGTCATCAACTCGTCGGATCGCGAGAACTTCCGGCGGGAGAAGACGATGGAGGTGAAGGATAACAATAACCTCTCGTTGCAGTTGAAGCTGCATTATTTCAATATCCCTGATAGCGGAGGTGCCTTTAAGGTCACATTGTACAGCCCATACATCATCCTCAACAGGACAGGGCTTCCGATTGATCTGCGAAGCAAGGTGTTCATGGGCTCGACCAAGTCTGCTGCTGGCCAGCCTATGGATGCTGACAGTGACGATGCGAGAGCGATGCCGCTGATGTTCTCCTTCCCGACCGACGATCGCAAGAACAGAGCGCTGATTAAGGTGGGAGATTCCCATTGGAGCAAGCCGCAAAGTTTCGATGCTATCGGTAGTACCTACGACGTCACGCTTCCTTCCTCTACGGGTCGTTCGGAGATGCATATAGGTGTATCAGTAGCAGAAGGCGAAGGAAAGGTAAGTAGATACATTCAATCTTTTGGGATAGGCACTGACGAGAACTAGTACAATCTGACGAAGGTCGTCACCCTTGGTCCCCGATTCATCGTCAAGAACCGGCTTTCGGAAGAAATCAATGTTCGAGAACCCGGATCTTCAGACATCATGACCTTGAAGCCTGGAGATCTTCTCCCCCTCCGGTTCTTGCGACAGCGAGCTGGCCAACAACTCTCGATCTGCTTCCCGGGTGTCAACAACACCTGGTCGTCGCCATTCAATATTGCGGATGTCGGCAGCGTCCATGTCAAACTTGCGAAGTCCGGGCAACGGCAGAAGCTTATGCGCATCGACGTGCTCATGGAGCATGCCACGCTCTTCCTCCATATCAGCACGGAAACGAAACACTGGCCGTTCTCGATGCGGAATGAAAGCAATACGGAGTTTATCTTTTACCAGACCAATCCAAACCTAGATGAAGATGAAGAAGAACGTACCACTGGCTGGAAACCAATCCGGTATCGACTTCCGCCTCGCAGCATCATGCCATATGCGTGGGATTACCCTGCAGCACGGCGTAAGGAGATCGTCCTGAGAGCCGAGGGCAAGGAGCGACATGTCAAGCTGGCAGAGATTGGCAATCCGCCACCGATGAAGCTGCCTCCTACAAGCCCATCCGGTAGAGGAAAAATCATCGATCTTAACATCGTCGCAGAGGGACCTACTCAGTCCCTTTTGCTTTCCAACTACAAGCCATCCAAGAGCTTGTATCGTCAACATTCCAATGCCGCCTCACAATCGGGCTCGACCGGGTTTGAGGTCAAGGACGTGGACACGGATGTCAACTTCACGGCTCAGATACGGTTCGCTGGACTTGGCGTGTCGTTGATCAACAGCCAGCTTAAAGAGCTAGTCTATGTCACACTCCGCGACATCGAAATCAAGTACTCGGACTCTCCGCTATACCAGACCGTCAAGTCCACGATCAAGTGGATCCAGATCGACAACCAGCTTTATGGTGGCATTTTCCCCATTATACTCTATCCCAGCGTGGTTCCAAAGACTGGAAAGGAGATGGAAGCTCATCCGATTCTGCATGCGGCGATCACGAAGGTCAAGGACGATTCGTATGGCGTGATTTATATCAAATATTTCACCGTCCTGCTCCAGCAGTTAACGATAGAGATCGACGAGGATTTCATCTTTGCTCTGCTTGACTTTGTGAAGATCCCTGGCGCTTCGTGGTCGGAAGAGAAACAAGGGAAACTCTGCGATGAGGCCCTCGATATTCCGGAACCTACGCAGGATCAATCTAGTCAGGATATCTATTTCGAACTCCTTCACTTGCAGCCAATGCAGTTCGACCTGTCCTTCGTTCGGACCGAACGCATCAATGCGGAGGACACAGCAACTTCGAACAATCCTCTGATGTTCGCGGTCAATGTCTTGACCATGTCCATTGGCAACGTCAACGATGCTCCAATCAAGTACAATGCTCTCATGCTCGAGAACGCGCGTGTATCGATGGCAACTCTGATAAACAATATCCGGACGCATTATGTCCAGGAAAGTTTGCGACAAGTCCACATTGTCCTTGGTTCCGCCGACTTCCTCGGAAATCCGGTTGGTCTGTTCAATAACGTTAGCTCCGGTATCCAAGATATCTTCTATGAGCCATATCAAGGTCTCGTAATGACCGACCGCCCTCAAGATCTGGGCATCGGCATCGCCAAAGGTGCCTCCAGCTTCGTGAAGAAGTCGGTCTTCGGCTTCTCCGATAGCATGGCGAAGTGGACCGGAAGCGTCTCGAAGGGGCTTTCAGCTGCGACGCTTGACAAGGAATATCAGGATCAACGGAGGATGTCTCGCGCGCGAAACCGACCGAAGCATGCACTTTACGGTATCACCTCCGGCGGCAACGCATTTGCAAGCAGTCTCGCAAGCGGTATTGGTGGCCTGGCGCGTCATCCAATCCAGGGCGCAGAGAAGGAGGGAGTCGCAGGCTTCGTGAAAGGCGTCGGGAAAGGGTTCCTCGGCCTTGCTACCAAGCCCGCCATTGGTGCCTTCGATCTCGCATCCAACATGGCCGAAGGCGTCCGCAATACGACCACCGTCTTCGACCAAGAAGGCCTCGATCGCGTCCGCCTGACCCGGTTTATCGGCCAAGACGGCATTGTCCGACCCTACTCGCAGCGCGAATCGCTCGGCCAGTTCTGGCTGAAGACGGTTGACAATGGGAAGTACTTCAACGACGACTACATCGCGCACCTGGAGCTGGAAGGGCGGGACATGATCGTGATCCTGACGTACAACGGGATCATGCTGGTCCGGTCGAAGCGGCTCACGTCCGAGTGGGACGTCCCGCTCAAGGACATCCAGACGATCTCGAAGGAGCGGACGGGCATGAGCATCACGCTGAAGGGGGGGACGAATGGCCCGTTCATCCCGATTCAGGATGAGCCGAGCAGGAATTGGCTATACAGGCAGATTGCCGTGGCGGTGAATGCGTACAATGATAAATGGAGTGCTGCCACATAGTCGATTCCCTAGGGGGGTACCTTTGAGGCTTTGATGGGAGAGGTGAGGTATGATTTCTTGAACGGACGGATAAGATTGTGTGGGCATTGTTTCTGTTTTTTTGTACTTCTAGCTACCCGTAGATAAGAACGCTTCTAGTCATTTACTATACTGCGTCGCAAGACAACGAACTCCGCATGTCATTCCATACATCTGATGATTCTGAATTGTGAATGACGTGATTTATCTCGACGTCGAAGCCCACATCGTTCGTTAGTCTAATTCCCGGCACCAGGAGTTCGGTAATGATACCAGAGTCCCCTTGCTGCATTAAGATTGGGGGTCTATTCTCTCGCATAGGATGGCAAGTGGGCTGACCAGGAGGATTGATAGATGGATAAATTGAATACGCACGATTTGAACCGCGAACACACCTTGTCTTTTTTTTTTTTTTTTTGAAACCCTACTCCATTTCAGCTGGCTTTAAGAGCCGCTATGCTGGGTATTTCTATGTTACAGGCGGGAAGCCTCACCGTCTCCAGAACTGGATAGCATCAAACAAATAGGAAAAAGCCCTAGGAAAGGCCATAGACAATGGTAAGGGTTCTACAAGGAGAGAAGGTTAATGCAATATAACTCCCGCCTGGGATACTTTATCATTAGGCTTTGTTTGTTTTGGGACGTTGGTACTATCCGTCTTCACACGGTGTCGGTGGAGATTTACTGTTGATGTTGATCAGAGATACAACATCGGTGCCGTAGATGTTGCTTACGGACCGGGGCCCCATATAGTTCATCCGCCCTTGACGTCTGGTTGGGAAGTAGGCGGCGGCTCCTACTTGTCCGTTTAGATCACTTCCATCGGTGTACACACCTTGTCTTTAAAGTCGGGCTGAACCTGATTTCAAACCGGGGTTTAGCGTGCTAACTTTAAAGTTCTTCCCGCCCGTATTTAGCGCCCCTTCCCCCCTCCGGTCCTGCTGTCCAGTGTCTTGGCCCCCCGCCGGTGTAGGACTCGGATGGGTGTGGTTGGGTGCGGTTGGGGTTTTCGAGACCTTGCCCCCCAACCCCAACCGCAATCCCTGCGGTTTGTACCGCACCCATCCAGGCCTACGCCGGTGTTGTAGTCACTCCGCGGGTGTTTTGTTGCCTCCACCTGCGTTTTGGCCCCCCGCCAGTGAGTTGGCTACCCGCCCGTGTTTAGGGCATGGAACCGCCTATCTGGATATTAGGCACCGGGCCTATCTCCGGGGCATTGACCGAGTAGTCATGATTTCAAATGTTAAGATGCGTGTTCATATATCAATGCCGGTCTGGCCACCACTTCAGCTCGAAAATTTATATTTGATTTAAAGTCGGTCTGTTCATCACATTCACTTGAAACCAGAACCTTTGAATTTTGTTTGATATTTCAGTTGACCAAAGACATCAGTGATTAGCGCCACTGTAGACCTTCGCTGGGCCTCTCACAGCGTACCCACAGTGAGCTTAGTCTAATTACCCCGGACCCTTAAACATCATGACATCCCCCTCCAAACCCCCCCGCTCAGTCCTCATCACCGGCTGCAGCGCCGGCGGAATCGGCGATGCACTCGCCCAAGAGTTCAAGAGACGCGGTCTGCGCGTGTTCGCGACTGCCCGCGACGTGGGCAAGATGGCGCACCTCGAGAAGCTGGCGATCGAGCTGCTAGAGCTGGACGTGACGGACGAGGAGAGCGCGGCGAGGGCGGCGGCGGAGGTGGGGAGGCGGACGGGGGAGCGGTTGGATATCTTGGTGAATAACTCGGGGGCCGGTAGGTGGAATTGAGGAATTAGAATTGGGATGGGTGGGACAATGCAGGCTAATCCGTGATATAGGATACATGGTCCCGATTACTGATAGCAAGCTATCTACCGCTCGGAATCTCTTTGAGACCAATCTCTTCTCCATCTTCATCGTCACGTCGGCGTTCATGCCCTTCCTCATTGAATCCCGCGGCCTCGTTGTGAACAATAGCTCTGGTAACGATCGGATCCCGTCCGCATACCACTCCTGGTATAATGCCTCCAAGGCCGCCGTCACCAATCTGGGCGATAGCATGCGCCTGGAGTTCGCGCCGCTCGGGGTGAGGGTCGTCACTATTGTCACGGGCAGTGTGAAGACCAAGTTCATGAGCAACGTGGTGAACTTCAAAGAGGCGGCCGTGACGCCCACCGAAACCGAGGCCGCATCCCAGGAATCGGCGCCGGCCCCGAAACCCTCGGAATACCAGCTAATCCCACCGACGAGCTACTACTACCCGCTTCGCGACGTAATCGAAAAGCGGGAATGGATGTTCGAAACCATGAAGCCCCTGGATGTGGATATCTATGCGCAACGAGTGGTCGGCGATTTGCTGGGGAACCCGTCGCCCCGGATATATCGTGGATCGGCATCTAGCTTGGCCTGGGCATTAGCCAAATTCGTACCCCAAGGATGGTTGGACGGTTACCTACGGAAGATGAGCGGGCTTAATACACTTGAGCCGAATTTCCCGAAGAAAAACCCGGCAGAAACGAGCTGAGGATTGGTGGCTGCGTTGCGCACCAGCTTGTTTGAAAGTTGTTCGAGGAGAAGCTGAGCGTCGATTTCGTGTATATTTCAGGGGCTGCTACGCAATATACCCATAATATAGCTTTTCCATCAAATCATTAACCTTATGCCTGGACGAACGACGTGTGAACATGCCAGTTCAGACAACGTTCTTCTCCAACCACTCTAGCCATTGCTCCTTCGTGAAGCTGCTCGAGATGCTATTTTCCACAATCCCATTGAAGATTACAGTCGGCGTCACATGGACCCCGACGAGCCGGTTCTGTTTCACCAGCAGCTTGATATCATTCGTCACCTTGTTCCCGGTATTCGTGCTCCCATCCGCCGCCGGCTGATCGCTGATCCGTAACGCGTCCAACACCTTCCCCTCATCCACGCCCACCGTGCCAGCCAGTTTCGCCAGTCGTCGATACGTGTCGTTGCGCACTTCGTTCACAACCTTGACGTCGAAGTACTCGGTTTGCTGATCGAACAACGCGGCGGAGAACGCGGGGAACTTGGCCGGTGCGAGCTGCAGAACCGCCACGCCGGCTTCGTGGACGAGTGTCGAGGACGGGTGCCAGGGTTGGATCTGTTGGCGCAGGATGATGCGGACATTGGAGGAGATCTTGGGTGGAAGCGACGGGACGACATCGTTATAGACAGTGTGGAACATCTTCTTAGAGAAGGGACAGACGTAATCGAGGACTGTTCATGGTGCAATAGAATCAGTAATTGGTGTCACTGTCATTCGAGCTACTGAATAAATAGTTGTGGGAGGATCATACAGAGCTCGAGAGTGTGGACGGAGGACTGCCCTCCAGAGACCAATGCCTGGCCGGCAAACTTCGGCGCTAATGCCATTGTCGAAGTCGTCTTATTGAGGAGAAATTCGCGTGCTTTTTGTAGGTTTGGAGCGTATAGTTGTCTGAAAAAAGAGAAAAGAGGAAGTGAATTCGGGGAAGAGAGAGCGACTTTAATGTCAGTGTTATGGTTCTGACGTAGTCCAATTCATCCCCGCAATAATAAATGTCATCACGGAACTGATTACCAAACGAAAATGTGGGGTGTCAAAGGTTCCTAAGGCTGGCATGGATCACGTAATTATCATTAGATATTCCGAGTTCCTTTTGAATTCCATCCATAGGATAATTAATCGACCGAGTTGCTTTGATGAGCATGCGAAACTCCCCATATACGAGACGAAGGGTATGTGATATTACTCCTCGAAGCTTGTGTTAAACCCAGCTCCTAAACTCGTTCTGCCGAAATATGGTCGATACCAGATATAAGAGAACACAATTATTATGATAGAAAGACGCGCAAGGAACTGAAGAACATAATAGGAAGTGTGACTGATAAACAGATGAGGTACTTCCTTCACTGCAACAGCACCTCATCACCCGAACTGAACGCGACCTTCAGATCGATTTGGAGGTTTCCATCGAGATTTATATCTGGATACTTCTCAGCCAGCAACCGATGTAGTCGAGCATTCATTCTCTGCAGTTCCATGCCACCCGGCGGGGGTTGTAGAGCGTAATATGATTCTCTAGCCGGCCATCCCCACTGGATCCGGTTAGTGATGATGTTCAGCTTGCGAAGCGATGTGCGAATGCAATCGAGGGAGGCTGATATGGCCAGTTGTAGATTGTGGAGGCCGCTTGGTTTGTCAGTTGCAATGGTACCAGATAGGATTGGTCTTTGCTGAGATGGAATTTGTTCATGTTTACTCATAAGCTCGACGCTGCTAGCACTGGGGATTGGACGGTTTGATCCGGCGAAAGATGGTTGGGAGAATGGACGGTATGGTGATGGATGCTGTATTTGTTCTGAGGTGGCTACCGGTCCATGACTATGTGTACTGAATACCGTAGCTGGTGGATGTGCGACGTGTTGCAAAGGCTGAAAAGCAGTCCTGAGATCAGCTGTGGTGCGTGGAGTCTGCCGTTGCCTCTTTCGGAGTGGATAAGTTGATCCATCCGGTTCTGAACGGCTTGGAATTCCCCATCTACCCATGCTGCGAGGTGGAGGGCGTCCCATTACTGACTGCGTTGGAGTAGAATTGCTTCCTCTATCATATCCACGCATCTTACGAGCCGAAACGAAGTTGCTAAACCCCCCTCTTCCTCGAGCCGAGCGAACAGAGCCATATGTGCAGAGGACACGGCGGGAAGACGGTGATGAGCTTGATTGGTGATCTTTGATCGGCAGTGAGTAGGAGGGATAAGGACTGGCGATACGAACTGGTGATGACGCCCGTGGCGAAGGTGGCATTTGGTTGTGGACGGTTTGAAAGTTCTTGGGCGAAGGGAGTTGAACGGCTGACCTGTTCACGAGATTAAGATGCTGTCGGGATGTAGTCATTTGAAGTGCGAGACTGTCAATTAGTCCTGTCCGAGCATTTAGTCGGGATAAAGTCCAGGGATTCAATTCTGTTGCGTCAGGATTTTGACTCAGTGCTGAGTTGGAGCCTTCGCGTTGAGTATCCCCGTCCACGTTATTACGAATTTCCTGAGTATGGTGGTATGTTCGGAAAGCGCTCGAAGGTGTCATAGGAAAAGCCGTGCTCGGGCTGCCAACATCAGCCAGGCCTATATTTCGAGCGGGAGCTTCCCCAGAAATCGACGGAAGAGGAGACGAGGACACGGTCGCCTCGACATCTGTCGCAGAAGATGGCTGAGCTGCGTCTTCTCCATATACCTGCACCATAAACTTCTGAAACGCCCCGAGCACTTCAGCGGCACCGTCAAAGTGTGTATCATCCTTCGCCGGCTTCACATTCGGATTGTAGATCCCCGCCTCGCAGACCACGTTCAGCACCAGCAGCGGATCCTTCGCGCCAGCGAACTGCGGGCATTGTCTCTTCAACGTCTCTCGAAACAATGAGATGAGCTGCTTCTGGGGCCATCGGGTTGATGACACGGGTCTGGCATCGATCGAGAGAAAGGATCCAAGACGGTCAACTGCCTGTGGATCGGTCGCTGTGGGGCTCGGGAGAAGCGCTTGGAATTCGTAGCGGTCGTGGTGGAAGGTTTCCCAGGCGCACATGGCCACCGGCGCGGTGCCGAAGAGCTTCATTGCGGCATCCTGGACCGTTGGCTCCGCGGCAGGAGAGTAGGACCAGCTGCCGTCAGGGGTCTCCAAAACGCATAGACTAAGCCGGACGCCGGGCCTCGCTAGGGCATACATTTTCAAGAGTGCCTTGATCGTCGCATGCGTTTTGGAAACCGTCTTCAGCGCAGCCTGCTTCTGTACCGGAAACTGCTCGAGGAAGCCTTCAACGTGGACCGTCGTCCCCACCGGCTGCGGCGTCGGCGAATGTCTACGAACCGACATCAGCGCCAGCTCGTCACGCGAAGACACACAACCCACCTCGTCGGCTCCCCATCTGGCCCATACCAAAAGCACTGCCCCACTGACTCCCCTTCCACCTTCGAACTAACCCTCACCCCCCTACTCACCTCCGCCACGCTCGCCAGCGTCTCCCCGCGAAACCCCAACGACTTTCTCCCCACCTCACTTAACTCGTCAAGATCCCGCAACTTGCTGGTGCAGTGGCGGCGGCAGACGAGGCGGCGGTCCTCGGGGATGATGCCGTGGCCGTTGTCGCGGACGGAGAGGGAGGAGAGGGAGTCGGCGGCGAGGTCGAGGGCGATGGAGGAGGCGCGGGCGTCGAGGGCATTGTCGAGCAGTTCTTTGAGGGCAGAGGGGGTGGTGGTGATGGTTTGGGTGGAGCGGAGGGCGCGGGGGGCTTGGGGGGAGGGGGGAGGGAGGAGGGTGACGGACATGGTGGATAGGCAAGATGTATAAGGGGTTTTCACATGTTAGGATACGGGCAGAAAGATGGGATACGGACTGGACTTTTACTACTAGGACAAGACTAAGAGAAAGAGAAATTGAAATACGACGAGGAATCGGGATTACCAGACGATGAACTAAGCAGACCGAAAAACGGCAGTCACGACGCCACGAACCCAACGCGTGTTCACGTGCACCTGCCTCCATGCCTCTTGGCTGACTGAACCACCCTCAACCATTGCTACAGACCGGAAGAAAAATACTGATACATGAGAGTCGATCCTCATCCGTCCATTCTACGTGTATTGCATGAGTGTCCCATTCGTGCGGCATGTATAACAATCGCATCTTCCATCGACGGTTTCGGCGGATCGTCTCGGCATCAATGAACCGAGCATGTCGGTTTACCTCACCCCATCGACAAAGGTCTGCCGCCCGCCCCGGAACGCCGTATCGCGATGATGAAAGGATGAAAGGAATATCTCGAAAATGCAGGAACTGTTCACCTCCCGACTCATAGATCGCAGACTCCGGACGCACGATTCTCATCCACTCCTCACTCCGCATCCGCCATCTCCACATCCTGCGCCTCCGCCTCCGCATCCACCCGCCCCTCGATCTTATCCTGAAACGCCTTCTTCCTCGCCCCGACGTCATCAGTGCTCAGATCCTTCATCCATCGCGCATTCAGAATCAGCCGCTCGCGCCCCGGGTCCGCGAGCCGCGGCGCATCGAACCCGGGCGTATACATCGATGGGACATACGTCTCGCCCTCGCCCGCGTCGCTGGACGGCACAGCGACGCCCGGGAAAGTCGACTCCTCGCCTAGCGGCTTGAACTGCAGATGATAGTCCTCGGACTTGAGGTGGACCTGGAGGGATTCCTGGATGCGGGCGCGGCGGATGCGGTCGGTGTAGGCGCGCTCGTGCTCGACGAGGTCGGGGGGGAGGCTGCGGTGGAGGAGGGGGAAGGCGACGCGGCCGACGTCGACGCCTTCGGTGGGCTTGAGGGTGCAGAAGGCATGGATGTAGAAGGCGAAGCGGCCTTCTTCGCTGAGGGCGGACATGTTGAAGGTGAGGTCGCCGGTTTTGACGATCTTGACGCCGGCGGATTCGTCGGCGGTGTTCTGGTTGGGTTAGATGGTATGGACGAATTCGAATAAAAAGATAACTTACCCATGATATACAGAAGAGCTCGCCTTCTTTGATTTGCTTCTCGACATGGGTCCGGTACGCCAGCTGCTCCCCTGCCGTCGTTTCCACCTTTGCCCGGTCCTTCTTGAACGAGTTCCAGATCTCCTTGTCCTTCCCATCAGTATCGGCCACTGTCGCCGCGTACTTGTGCAAGTTCGAAATGAGCTTCTCGAAGTTGTACAGCTGCCAGCCGTGCTGCATGTAGAACCGCCGCAGGGTATCCTCGATGTCCGACATCGGCAGGTCGCCCACGAGCTGCTGCTCGAGCATGAAGACCACCTGCTCGTAGAAGTTCGCCGTCTCTGAGATGTCTTCCCAGTAATCCGCCGCCAGCTTCTCGAACACCTTGAGGTCCTTCGCGACCAGATTCTGCTCCATATGCGTGACCTGCCGCCGCGCCTCGGCCTCATCATTCCGGATGTTGCACAGCCGCTCGTACAGCGTATTGAAGCATCGGAAGAAGAAGTAGAAGTTCTGGTTGCAGTATAGGTCAAAGATCTTGCGCACGTACGGCGTGTTCTTGTCCATCGCCGCCGGAAGCTGCCCGTCCGGCGTGTTCAGCCACTTCTCCGCGCTCATCGCGTTCTCCACCTCGCTCTCCTCCGCGGGCGGCTGTTCGCTCGTTTCGACCACATCGTCGTCGGGCGCCGAGGACTCGTTCGGCGACGTCGCCTGGCTCGCCGACGCAGGACTTTCGTCGCGCTCGCCAGCCGCTTTCTCCGCACGACGCGGATCCACGGCTTTGCGAAGCAGCTCGGTGTTTCTGGAGCGAGCCGTCCGCGGAGGCTGCTCGTCCTTGTTGTCAGGACTATCGGCGGTGACGCCGTTGTTCGCGCGGTTCTCGCGTCGCGCGGCCATGCGCGCTTCGAAGCGCTGCTTATCATAGTCGAAGAAAGTCGTGAGGAACTCCTTCATGAAGGTCTCCACTTTCAGCGCTTCGAGCTGGTTGTTCGTCTCCGCGTACACGACGACCAGATACGCGACGTCCAGCACCACCTCGGCTTCGGTGAAGGAGAACTTGTACTGATACGCCGGGATCTTGATCCCATGGACGGTTGCGCGGCGCCGATGCTCGTCGTAGATAGTCGTGATATCATTCAGGAGCGTCTTCGGCTGGAACACGCGCTTGTCTTTCTTCTGCTCGGCACTCTGATGGTCCAGGCTCTTCCAGAAGTTCTTGCTGGTGAGATCCAGCCAGATCTTATTCCACTCGTACCGCGCGTTGTTCCAGTCCTCGAACTTCTGCTTGAGGCGGAGCAACAGCGGGCCGACGACCTTCCACGGCTCTTTGAAGAGATGGTCGATCACCTTCGCGCCGGTCTCGCGTCCGTACAACTTCATGATCACGCGCTTGTAGATGGTCTGCGACTGTCCACCCAGCCCCGGCGGAAGGACGAAGGAATGTCGCTGATCGTGTGGAAGCTGGCGGATGTGCTGAGCAATGGGCTCGAGCAGTTGAACGGTCCGGCCCAACGCTTCGATATTCGAGTCATAATCGTGGCGTTCCTCCTCGATGCGGTGCAGCAGTTCTTCGAACGAGTTCTTCTTGTGCGCCACGAACCCCGATTCTTCGGACGCCCACGTTGGATGGGATGTCCAATGGTCATTGAGCACTTCACGACAGAGATTATCTCGGCCCTCGCAGGGTACAGTGGTAACCTGCAGCGGAACGAGTCGATAGCTAGGTCCAAGGCCACGGCATCGGTTCAGGTCTGCTCTCGCACCCATGACGGCGTTGCTGCTGCCTTTCGTGCTGTCCGAAATCCGCTTCCACTCATCATACCTGACTGCGCGTTTCAACAGGTTGAACAAGTCTGGGTTGCCACCGATGAAACTATGCGCGCGATGGATAAACAACACCGTGTCGAGAACATCGCGGCTCCATAGCAAGCAAAGTTTGAGGAACTCGTTCATCTGGGTCTTGTTATTCAGGTACTTCTTGACCCGCTCGAACAGCTGCTGGTACTCTTGATCGGATTCCTTGCTGGTCGGTGGAAGCGGCGTAGGAAGAGTTGGGACGAGGCTTGGGGCGACGTCTGGTGCTGACGGCTCGGCAGCTCTGACAGGCTGCGCTTGCTTGGTTTTCTGCGAGGGAGCCGAGTTAGCGAATTGCGCCTCCAAATGAATGTAACTCCAGCTTTAGGTCATGTAACAGTCCGCATAGCGATGAGTAGCTGATGGCAGCGTTTAAACGAGAAGCTCGTTGTGAGACATAGCATTTGAGCTTCTTGACTCCTGCAAGAAGGGTTTCGGACCTCAGGCTTAGGCGTCTCGATCTTTTGGTAGATTTCGGAGGCATTGGGATGACTCAAGCCGATTCGGGGGTGGGGGGAGGGTATACAGCGGGTGGAGCAGAGCATATATGTGATGGACAGGTTGGAAGTGGGGGAGATTATACGCAATGCAAAACGAAAGAAGAACATGAGTATCCGGACTTAGCCCAAATACCGGGCCAGGAGTGACAAAAGAGGCGACGAGAACAAGCAGCCAAGAAGACAATGAAGCGCGCTCAACAGAAACAGCAGGAATCACACGCTCAAAGTGAGGGATACCAAACGAATGAAGAAGAGTCGCGACTTGTAAGACAAGTGTTAGAAGAAAGTCGTCACAACGTACCTTTGACAACCCAGCGGCCGCCCCAGTACCTCGTCCTCCCGTCTCCTGCACCGTACTAACCTGCCCAGCTGCCACCGTCCCCACCGGCTGCACCCCGCCCCTTTTCCTTTTATTATCCCGATTCGCACTCGGTGTCGGCGCAAAGTTCCCCACCGGCGGCAGCCTACCCTGCTCGGCGCGCGGCGTCTGCTGCTGGACAGGAAACGGCGTCGCACCGGCGGGGTATGCCTGCTCCCCGCGAATGTTGCTCACGGGGGCCTGCTCGTCGGCAGCGGCCTTCGCAGCGGCGGCGGCACGGGCGTGGGCAGCGGACTCGGGAAGGAACTGCTTGAAATCCTCGAGGAGGTCCGGGGCGGTTTCGAAGAGCTTGGTGACTTGGGCGTAGACGTCCTGGATGGGCTTGGATTCGCGTTGGTAGGTTTGGAGGATTTCGAGGAATTGCTTATAGATGTCGGGTTGGGTGGCGAAACGATTCTGGGGAGGTTAGTGTTGCCGTCGTCGGAATTTGGGAGGGCGAGGTTGGCTTACCTTGATCTTATTGACATAGCTGATGGCGTGGTTGAACTCTACCGGGCCCCTCCGCTCGGAACCAACTCCGCCTTGCTGCATGGCCAACCCGTTCATCTGTTGTGCTGCCACAGGTGTAGCCATGGCTCTCGGAGGCGAGAGCACATTCGGTCTCCCAAATGCTCCAGTCCCAGGGGTAGTTTGCAGTTGCCTCGCATCTTGTGCGGGAGTCGCAGCGATATTTTGCTGTTCGCGTTGCGGATCAACGGCTGCGACATTTGCGTTTGCTCCACCAGGAGCACCAAACGCAGCCGCTGCAGCGGGGGGGCCGTTTGGACTGTACGCGTTTTCCGGTGCGCTGCCGGGGGGACCTTGCCATGCGTTTCCGGGCGTTCGGCTGTCGTAATATTGTCGGTCGTTCTGCACCGGGCCGGCACCGTTCATAGAAACTTGTCTTTGGTCTGCAGCTGGCCGTGGTTGAGGCATGGTAGACACAGTGGTTCCCATAGGAGTTGTGACACGGATGGCGTTGGGATCTTCGCTTGTGCCGCACTCGATCTTGTAACCGGGAGGAAGAAAGGTATTGAAACCTTGGATAAGATTCGCGTTGCCAGCGAAGAGGTTGGATACGCGATCGATGACTCCAGGTGTGTCGATGCTATGTGAAGAAGCACATGTCAGTAATTATTCTAGAATAAACAGAAAACACCAGAGAAGACTCATTTCACATGAATTATCAGTATCCACAGGCAGGATCACTTACGCTCCACTCTTAAAGTCCTTCATGATGTCCAAGAAGCGATTATACACGTCTGGATTATCGACGAACTGGACCTTGACTTGATCTAAGTAGCTGAGGGCATCCTAGGACCGGTTAGCCTTCCCTAACAAAAATTCCTAGAACCAACATACATTAAGAATAGGCTGTTGCCCTTGCCCTCCCATTCCGGCCACCTGCTGCAGGTTAGGCGGATACGCAGCCATGACCGACAACGCCTGCTGTTGAGAGGGCGGCGCAGACGCGGCAATATGCGAGCCGGGATACACGCTCGGAGGCGCAGAGTTGGGGATGGGCGTCGATGCAGCGTTGCCCGCATTGCCAGGAGCCGCGTTGCCGAGCAGCCCGTTCGGACCATGGATGCTGCGCACATGCGGCGGCACGGCGACCGGCTGATGTAGTTCGCGTTGCTGCCGCTCGCGCAATTCGCGGTCCCGCTGCTGTTCGGCATCGCGCATGGAGACGTCCTCCATATGGCGGTCGGCCATGTCCGCGTCACGCGGGTCCCTCTGTGGGTCGCGATCCCGTTCTCGTTCGCGATCTGGGATGTTCGGTGGGACGGCGTGCTGTTGAACGGCTTGATCGATGCGAGGGAGCGAGTAGCTGGTTAACGGTTGTCCGAGGCCTTGATTTCCGGACGGCGCCTCTTGGTTGTAGCTTTGCGGTCGGCCCGGTGACCCTTGGACACTCGCGAGGTTGGAAAGCGGTGGCAGGCTATTGCTCGGTTGAAAATACGATGAGCCTGCATTGTGGAAAGTGAAAGGTTAGAACTTGTGGACAAGTATTTCATCATCGGATGAATGCAGATCATACCTGGAGGAGGTAGGGTGGGAGGTCCTTGCTGAGCGGACGATGGCGGTGATTGTTGCTGCGATGCGCCGGCACTCCTATCAAAATTCACCGTCAGCAAATGTATCCTATTGTCAGTGACCCAACCATGGCCTCCTATCGACTCACCCAAAGGGACCCATCGGTCTTGAATTGGGCGGTTGCGCCTCATTCGCACTCGGAGGCGGGTTGACGGACCAACCCTCTCGGCTGGAAGGATTCATCTTGTCACGGGCGTAGATAAATGGTTCCTAAGATGATCGTAAATGACATGAGCTGATCTTAGCCTCGATCTAGCGGTCGAGATGCTGGCGAGGGTCGCAGAGGGCGGGTGAAAAGCGCTTTGTAGGGGCGTGAAGCACTTGTCACCTGTTGGCTGGGAGCTCGCAGTCGCGGAACGGATCCGGGCCCCGACGGTCAAAGCATGTCCACTTTGCAGGATATGGCGAGTCGGGCGATGGAGGGGATGGAAGGCAACAACTGGTAGCTTTGGGGTCCTGTGAAAATGAAATAGCTCAAGCCGGAGGAGTGATTGAGATGACGAGATTGAGTTTACGTGCAGCACCGAGAACGCACCACAGCAGAGAGCGCAGCGTTATCCGCACACTAAAGTGGATCGCGACAAGCTCCACCAACTGAACTGAAGGCAGGAACCACGGAGTCGATCAAGGAGATCACGTGTAACTGGACTCGGAGTCGGGTGCACGATGTTCCGTCCCTCAAACTCCGCTTAAGACCGATGGAGCTGGTCTATGTCTCTATGACCTAGTCAACTGGGTTCCTGGACATCCCAGCTACATATATGTCCATGGACCATGGCAGTACGAGTATACAGCGAAGAAATCATCAAATCCAATATGCATCGAGAAAAATATACCAGTCCCCTAGGAATAATATTTAATATCAATAGTGATGATGTTTCAATTGACCAATTCCGAATCTGCTCCCTGCAACATGTGGTCCAGCCGTCAGGGGCACCATCAATATGAAGCAGCCAATGGACGGCTCCGTATTAGCAACCTGATGATGAATAACCCCATACCACGGATTCCTATCGGATTGTTAGATGATGTTGCACATGATGGAGTCCCCTTCTTTCTTTCTCGCCTTCACTAGGTCAGTCTTATAGATAAGATATGCGTTGCGTTGGGAGCAGAGCGTGGTGCAGCTGGATGCAGGTGGCTGTCGATCCGGGCGACGCGGGAACATGGTACGAAGCCGGTGGTGTTCCTTTGGTTAGAGGGACCTCGTAATCGGGAACAGGGAGCCCGGCGATGGATATATCAGCGGCTAAGCACGTCGATGGGTTTCAAAGGGGGGGGCTGAGGATCCCGGTCTTTCGGGCCGGGAGTTTTCACACGAGACATATCGGAAAGAGAAATCGGAAATTCAGGTCATTAAATCTCTTTCGCATGTCTTCTACAGGGAGAGAGAGAGGTTGTTCTGCCTTCCCACCCGAAATTCGCGTTACTCTAGCCGATAATCTGTGATCGAACCCGGCACATCAATCAATAATCAATACAGGTACAGCAAGTAGTTAACATCACCACGTCGTCGTCGCCGTCGCAGCTCAACACAAAAAACAAAACAAAAACCCCCCCGGAACGCCCAGCTCGATCTTTCTATTCATGGAAACCTCGAAGCCATTGAACACCACGCTCCGGACGAAGGGGACGGTTATAGAGGATGAGAACACTAAGGAAATACAGGAGGGGAAGAATTTGGGAATTCATTGGGGGCAAATATTTTCGTTCGCGTAGGCCCGGTAGCGGTCGAGGGCGTCAGACATGGCAATGCCGTCTCGTTGGGGGCCGAAGCTGAAGTGCGAGACGACGGCGCGGCCGTCGACTATGGCGTCTGCGTTGCGGTCAGTATTCTCGGTCATCGGGAGGACCAGGTGAGGGAAGGAGAGGAGAACATACGTCGCTTCAACCGCTTCGGCATCTCCTCCGAGAAATAAAACTCATCATCCCAATGCAGCGGCTTCCCCGCATTGATATCCCTCCCCATAATCGCGATGAACTGAATCCCCATCCGCCGATACTTATAGTCCCACATCTGGAACTTATACCGCCACAGCTCGTTGTTCTCCAGGTGCTCGAAGAACGAGTAGTGCAGCTGCGCCGCGATCGTCCAGTGGAACAGCGTCGGGCTGAACGCGTCGTAGGTCGTGGAGCTGGCCGGCATCCCGTCGATCGTCGTGCCTTCGGAGCAGGGGAGCCAGCGGTGCCCGGCGAACGGGGGGGCGAAGGTGTCGGTTAGGGTGAAGTTGTCGGGGCCGGTCCAGTGGGGGAGGTCGGAGGCGCGCCAGGTGGGGTCGAGGGCGGAGAGGTTCACGCCGGGGGGGGAGTGCAGTTCGGGCATGTAGGGCCGGATGGTGCCGAGGTGGAGGTGGACCCAGGAGAGGGAGGGTTGATTAATGATGTTAGCGGAGACGACGTAGTACTCCGGGTGTTCGAGGCGCGTCTGCACGATGCTAGGGATGGCGCTATCCTCGATGAACACGACGTCGTCGTCGATCTTGATATACATGACGTCGTCCTCGCACAGGTCGTAGGCGTTGGAGTAGTCCCGCCCCAACGGCACCACCGGCTGCTTCCGGTACGCCTTCGTCGTCGCCAGCAGCCCGTCCAGCCACGCCAGGTCCTCCTTGTTGTTCGTCCGCGCCAAGAAAATCACCTCGTCCAGGAACCCGCCGTTCTCCGCCAGGTTGCGCTTTAGGTAGCAGTCTAGGATCGACACGCTCGCCGGCCTTCCATAAAACACCAACCCCACGATCTTCAGCCCCCGAGGCTTGCGATACCCCTCTGCCGCACCCTCGAAGTTCTTCCCCGTTACGCTCCAGTAACGGGGGAGCGTCCCGCCTGCGTCAGGGGGTTCCTCTGCGGACACAACGGTCGAGCGCAGGTCGGAGAAGGAGGGGGGCGCGTGCACAAAGTTGAGGGCGAGGAGGAACACGAGGAGCACGGCGACGCCGAGGATGTGGTGTGGGTAGATGGAGGCGCTGCCAACGCGGAGGGGCGCGGACCCGCGGATCTGGGGGAAGAGCATCGGTTTCGTGGAGGAGCGCTCAGCTTGGGATCGGGGCTGAACGAGGAAGGGAGGGAGATGCGCGAGGAAGCGCTGGATTCGAACTCCGGCGAGGGAGGGAGGCTAGACCATTGTTCGGTGATGGAACGGGTTCGTCGAGGACACTGAGGGTTAATAGGAATGGGAGATCTGGAGGTGAGGGTGGACGTTCGAAGGATGGAGCATTAGCATTGGGGTTTGGGACAGCGGCGATGTTTGGAACGTAGTTGAGGATACGCCCGCAGGCGATTACACAGTCATTTAATCATGGAATTCCCGGGTATCAAATTTTCCGATCCTGCGTTCCGTCGATTCGGCTCCAACGAACCACCGAGTCGAACTTATTCACGCCTGGGTGCAGCGAGCTAAGCCGTAAAAGGGGATGGAAGTGCTTAATTTCTGAAATACGTCTAAAAGCTTGGAGTTTCAAGACTGAGGCGTTGGTGGCTCCGTTGGTGCAGGGCTATTAATTAATTGGGACGGACGATCTACGGCCTAAGCTCTCCTACGGACTACGGTCCTACCATCGATTTTACTATTTGGACTTCAATTATCGCTAGTTAGAGTATTCTCGTGGATTGAAGAGTCGACTCCCATCGATTCTCACCATGGCAACGTGAATTCTCCCTGTTCTCACTCGAGGGCGGATCCCTAGTACTGCGTACTCCGTGCTCGGGATCACTAGGACTCCAGGATTCCATTACCCATAACTGATACCACTTACCAGTAACTAATAGAACTAGTTTAGTGACAGTAGTAAGCACTGTAAGTCTGTTGCAGACTGGTAGCGCACAGGCGGCAAAGCCCCTTTTCTGATGAGAATCGGGATGCCTATCCAATCCCAATTCTCTTACTTTTCTTATTTACTAGCTGAGTAGAGAGGTACTGCTGTGCCAGGGAGAGGGATGCCTGTGTGTTCCGTATCTAGATCTTTGTTTAATCTCATGTCAGGCATTATTCCATATTGGGTAAGGATATGCCGTTGTAACTTGTAAGCCGTCCCTTGGTTGGACGACAGGAGTCTACAGTCTAGCTAGTGTCCACAGTCTACGGAGTACAGTCTACAGTCTACCGTCTACAGTCTGCACCGGCACAGCAGCAGGCCAGCTACCTAATGAGACTGACTAATAGGTAGGTACTCCGTCGTAGAACAGGACCAGTGATATATGCCTTGGACAAGCTCTATGATATGTATGTTGAACGCTCCACTAACCGTCCACAAACGCCTTCCGCAAATGCATCTCGACCATAAATCCACCCCAAACCTCGTCCTCCCCCCAGCACCCCCTCCCCTCCCTCCCCTCAAAGCCCTAACCCCTTCCTCACATTCGCCCTCACAATACCCACATACTCCTCCCGCCGCTCGCGCCACATGCGCGCCGCGTCCACGTTCGCCGGCGACTCGTCATTCGGCTCCGCCAGCATCGACATGACCGAGATCAGGATCTTCTCCACCGACTGGATCGGCGACCACCGCTCCGACGCGTGCTCGTAGTGGTTGGGATCGTCGCCCGGCGCGTGGAGGATCGAGATGCAGACCATGCCGTTGGCGTAGACTGAGACGGAAGTTAGCTATGCGCTCCTCGAACCTGTTGTACAGAAGCGGTGGTGCCCAGCAATCGGACAGCCGACGGTAGAAACCCCTTGTACTCATACCATTCGGATGCCACATATCACACGTAAACTTCATTGTCGGCGGCGCGAGCGGATAGTCCTTGGGAAACTTCAGCTCCGCGGGAAACACGCCACCCTCGAACGGCGTGCCCTCGGGCCCTTGGATGAGCGCCTCCCAGACGAAGATGTCGTCCTCGTTGACGGGGCCGGCCGTGATGCCTTCGGGCGGCTCGTTCGTGAGGGTCTTGTATTCGGAGAGGAGGCGTTTTTGGGCGACGGAGGACATGGTGGCGGTGGTGGTGAGGGGGTGAGGGGGGTTTGGAGGAGGTGGATGGTGGGATGGAGGTTTGGTGTGGGAAGAGGACAGGTCGTTCAGATTGGTCGTTAGGTTATAGGTACATATACTGCTCGGGAGCGGCCGCTTTCGGTGGAGAATTGGGGTTCGATGATTAAACTTTAAAGAGTAAAGGTCGACTTTGGAGATGCAACTTACATCCGGAGTACCCGACTGTGATCGCTGGAGAATGGAGATGGTGGGATATCTCAAAACGCCAAGATTTATACACCCAGCTTGACTGAATTGATATCCCCCCCCATGCGCAGCGGAGCTCTCCCTCGAATCGCCGCATTGTCAAAAAATATTGGGAGTAGCCAATCCTCTATAAGGTATATAGTAATCTACATGATGATACAACCCGACTCGATGATCGGTCACTCGTCCCCGAAGAAATCCCAGAACGAGAATCCCCCTTCACCACCACCCGATTCCCCGCTCTCTCCTCCATCCTGCTGCTGATACGGGTCATCCTGACCCGACCAAGGATCACTCTTCTCCCCCCACGGATCCTGCACGTTCTGATCCGGTGGATCATCCGCCCACAGACTACTCTCTCCGTCCTGCCCGCCCTGCGGACTCGCATCATCAAACGTTTGTCCCGGCGGCGCGTTCCCCTGCTCCGCTGCCGCCACCCCTCCCGCCCCCCGCCCTCCCTGCATCGTCTCATACACTGCCGCCCCTCCCGCTCCCATCATAGCCCCCTCTCCCATCCCCCCCGCCGCCCCTCCAACCCCTCCAACTCCTCGCGCCCCCGCCCCCACCACCGCCCCCGTCGCCGCCTCACCCGCGCCCGCCGCGCCCGCAGCACCACCAGCCGCACCCCCCACCGTGCCCGCCTCCGACGACCCCCAGAACATCGGAAATGGCATGAACCCGCCACGACTCCGCGAGAAGTAGTCGAAGTCGATGCTCACCGCTGTCGCGAGCATGATGGCGCGCTGATCCAGCGACAGCGTCGGCACGTCTGCGGGCGGCCCCGACTTCTCTACTCCCTCCTGCGCCGTGCCTGCGGCCGCCTCCTCCGCAGCAGCGTCCATGCGTAACACATACACGCCTGTATCCGTGAGGAACTCCCGTCCTAACCCCGCCCAATTCCGGTCGACGTTGCCGATCACCCGCCCGTCCTCGTCGCGCAGCATGAAGCTCCATGAGAGGAACGCCTCGTTGATAGAAGCGAACTGCGCGAACTCGCCGGGCCCTGCGGGCGCCGAGTGGTGGTGGAAGAGATGGTATTTGCGGCGGAGAGGCGCCCATTCGGATTGGGCTTCGCCGATGATGGGCAGGGAGGAGAGGGGGGAGGGGGAGATTTGGGGGGAGGTGAGGTGTTGGCCGGGGGTGAGGGATGTGGTAGTGGGGTCGGGGCCGGGGAGGGAGGGGTCAGAGGGGGTGAAGGCGTCGTGGATGGAGATGCGGGATTTGATGAGTTTGATGGGTCGGTGGATCTAGCAGCGGATTAGCATCTGTTCAATGTATGAGTGTTGGCGTAGGCCCTACCCGCAGAACTTCCTTCCCTGTCCGATCCAAAATATGCGACGTAAAACTCCGATGCGTCCGCATCATCTGCCGCGTGATCCCCTTCCCGATCCCGCCCCCCGTCTCGAGGATATACCCGATATGGTTCCCCTCCGGATCATGGATCACGTACTCGTTCGCCTGCTCGAACCCCAACACCACGTTCATCATCTCCAGCTGCCGTTGGATGACGATCGAGGAGTTCTCGAGGATTCTGGCCGCTGGGTGGTCCGGTTGCAGGACGCCGTGGGGGGTGTAGTGCGTGTGGACAGTGCCGAGGAGGCGGGATTGCCCCGAGGAGGCATCATCGCGGAGGGCGTCGGAGAGGGAGGGTTTCGGCTCTGTTTTGCTTGGGTCATCAGTTGGAGGCTGTTGACGCCTTGGTGGGGTGGATGTTAGGGTTCGGGTGACAGTCGGTGAAGGGAGAAAGGGTCGAGGTCGGATACGTCGGGATGCTAGTGAGGGTGCTTGGGTTGAAGCCAGCCGTGATATTCGGAACATCCATCTTGATGGTAGAGACATTGTGACAGCTTGCTGGTTGTATTAATTAGAAAGCGAAATTGGAATGGATGGAACTGGTCATTAACTTTCCCTTGCCACAGAAGATCTACGTCGAAGCTTCTTATCGATAAGGCGTGCAGGAACAATACCTGTTAACCAGCCTGCCAGCATGATTCCAGCACCACTACAATACTAATCAGGACCGATACTCATTCTCTCGAAAGTGAAAGCCTTCCAATTGTAAACCAGGTACATCACCGATGTATAACCACAATCTCCCCAAACGCCTCCCTCAACCTTCCCATCACCTCCTTCTCCCCCATCCTCAACTCTGTGCAAGTCTCATCCAAGCAATGCGTCCCATCCACATACTTCGCCAACGGCAACCCCATCCCCAAACTCCCTGCCGCCCCTCCGTGCCCATTCTCCCGAGTGCCCCCCGGCGTCGCGAACCCCCTCACCACACTCGTCGCCCGACTGTCGATTGCATCCAGCGCGGTCTGTGCATACGCCCGTCCTCCCCGGCCGTTGCCCCACTCCCCCCGCCCCGACGCGCCAGTCGCGACGACGTATTTGTGCACGCGGTAGAGGAACCCCTTGATGATGCCGAAGGTGATCAGGCGGCGGACGTCGAGACCACGGAGGAGCTCTTCGTGCTCCACGACCCACGTGCGCAGCGTCTTGCCCTGGCCCAGCGAGGTGTACAGCTGGATGAGCATTGTGGGGTCTAACGGCTTGGAGATTCCGTTCGGGTCGAAGAGTGAAGGCTGACCGTGCGGTGGGGAGCTGGGGGCGGTGGAGTCGGCGTCACTGCCGCTGCGGGAGGGACTGAGTCGATCGGAGGAGTTGATCCGGCTGGGGAAGGAGAGGGAGTCGGGGTCCGGGACGGTGATGTAATTGATGCCTTCTTGAACCATGTCGTCGTCCTCGACGAGGGAGGAGATCTCTGAGGTGGGCGCGTAGGTGGCGCCGAATTGGAAGATGTCTAGTAGGAGGACGCAGCCGTAGTACAGGAGATGCTGGATAGCTTTGCGGGTAAGAGAGAGATCGACGTCCGCGAGATCGGCGATGCGAGCGACGCTGTTGATGCCGTTGATGGAGGGGAGGATACGGAGGAGGGTTAGGTCAGTAGAAATCGTCTGATGGGGGAGCGTGATGGTGAGTAGGGGGACGACGTAGGACGGGACAGGAGGTGGGGGTGGTTGTGGAGGGAAGAGCTTTAGATTGACGGTATTGGCGTCATCTGCATACGGTTAGTAGGGGTTGCTATAAACTCAGTTGAAGGGGATTCCTGACCTATGGGTATCATGCACTCGCAATAATTGTTCAGATCTTCCATAATCATCTCACAAAGCGCATACACCTTCCCCCTCCCTCTTCTCCCCGCCAACCCGCTCCGATCCGACTCCTCCACCACCTCCTCCTCCTTCGACAAGAACCCATTCATCTCCTCCAGGTTCCGAAACAGCCGCGCCAACTTCCGCACCACGCTGACGTACCCGCTCATCTCCACATCCTCCTCGATGACGACCGCGAAGTTGAAGATGTAGATCTTCCGGTCATATCGCGCCAGGTCATCGATGCACACCGGATGGCTGACGATCCGCAGTTTGTTGATGCAGATGGTGAGCGGCCGGTCGCAGAAGGGGGGGCGCGGGATGATGTACTCTGAGATGGAGTTGAAGTCAAATAATGGTGCCTGGCGAGGCGATGGAGGCGGGTGGTTTTCGCCATTGATGAACGACGCGGAAGGGGAGTCGGTGAATGGGACAATGGCCCCAGCTGGGACTTGATGAAGAACGCGAGAGCCTGGCAAAGTCAGACTTTTAAAAATATTATGATTTAGGGTTAATCACCTTTGGTCTCATGGAACCTCGTGAAGAAGACTGCCTTGATCATCGTGATGTTGCTGACTCAAGGAGAACCTTTGCGCGGTGTAGAAACTGAGAATCTCCCGCATTTCTACATGGTATGACAAGGTCAGCGGGTATAATCGTTAGTCTTATCTTTCCCTGACAATTACATTAAACGATATGCATATTTTCGTTCCACGTATGCGGATAAGTCCATCCCGCACGCCTACAGCTTCATGATATGATGTTGTTGGCTCAGGATTGCGGCCTCAGCGCCTCAGAGCCAGGAACGGAAGTATTTACGGAACCGTATGTCAGGGGCGGTCAGGGCGATTCTGATGCACGACGGGAGTTCCCGTAGTCCGTTGGTGGTTAGTACGGCAATTAGATTCAAAGATTAAGTACTGCAGCTAAAATCATTAAATCAGGGATACGGTCAACGGCTCCTCGGTGAAATGATAGTATGATAGCTCAGTTTCTACAATGAAAGGTACCCATTCGTCCCAACATATCCATCGACATCCTCCGATACTCTGTATCTCGCAATATCGACAAGCAACCATACCCCCTAAACGCCCCAGCTCGATCTGCCTCCCAACTCCACTGCCGTAAACTGTAACAACCGGACTCACAAACTGCCTCCCAACCCCCACTCTACCCTCTAACCCTCCGCTTCCTCGCCTCCCCCGCCCCCCCACCCAACTTCTTCGCCACCCCCAACCGATTCTCCTTCCCCTCCACCAGCGGCGCGATCGCGTCGAGCTTGACTTTCCGCGGCGGCACGAGCCGGCTCTTTCGCTCTACGGGTCGTGGGGTCGGCTCTTTGACGGCGGGTTCGGACGCAGCGTCGCTGCCGTTGTCGGCGTTGAGGGCGCCCTCGGGCTTGGTGGTGAGGGCGTTGGTGGTGGGAGGTTTGAGTGAGCGGGTTGTCGGGGTGCTTTCTGAGACGACGGAGAGGGAGACGGCGGGAAGGGGTGCGGGTTTAGGGAGAGACGAGATATTGGACTTTGAAGTGGTGGTTGTCGTTGGCTGCTTGCCACTTTGCTCTTCCGCGGCGGTCGACGCCTCTTCCTGTGCGGTGTCGAGCATCGAATTCTTAGGCACTTTGCCAGGCGTGCCGTTCGTGGAACCCAGCCCTTTCGTCCGTTTGGTACGCGGTGTTCGTTGTCGTTGCGAAGCGCTACGGGCTCTCAACGATCTTCTGGCGGGGCTGGGTACCACCAAATCATCGACCTGAGCCTCTTCCGTAGTGCTCGGGACGGCGTCAATAGCCTTAGCTGCAGCCTCCCGGATCACCTCCATCTCATCAACGCTTTCATGCCATTGCAATTGCTTCCGCTTCTCGGACGCATTGACTGATTCTCCGGGAAGCTCTTCGAACAAATTTTCAGAGTCAGTTGCCAGGGACTTGAGCCGGTACCGGACATTCTGCGCCCCGAACTTGTTCCGGCCTGTATTTCGTCTCGTCATGTTCGCCAGTTCTCGCGTTTCGGTTCGGAGCTTAATCGTCTCGTGGGTGTCGTTCAAGGAAATCTTAATCTTCTTGGTTTGGGTTTGAGGATCAACCGGAGGCCGTGCTCGAAGCGAGCGTCGTGGATTCCACGAGCTGGTGATTGTGTCTTCTTCGCCTGTCCATGGCTTGTTGCTCACCGCATCATTAGCTCCATCCGTGCTAAGTGATAGCTCGATGGTGGAATTCTCTTTAGGAATATTAGGAACCATAGGCATTGATGGAAGCTCTAAATTCATCGTCGGTGACGCCAATTCTTTCTCCTGCAGCGCTTTCGTGGGCGACGACAGAGCCTCACGGACCTTATCGGAATCCCGACGATTCTCGATTGATTCCCTCCTCGTCGCATTGGTTGATTTTGATGCCTTGCTAGCCGCAGCGCGCGACAGGAAATCTTTCAGGATCTCGGTATCGTAGTCGAGATGGATATTGGGAAACTGCGGTCCCGTGAGAGTCACCTCCTGCGTGGGAGACATCGTGTCTTCATCTAGCGATGCGGCCTCATTCTCGTCCGTAGTTGTGTCAGGTGCGCCGAGGACACAGAGTTCAGTGCTGTTGTCTACGGCTGGCGGAACCATGAAATGCAGCACTTGGTCGTTTTCTAGACGCATGGTCTCAGTGGCTTCATGCTCAGATCCTTCGTTATCTGTTGTAGATGTCTCTGTTTCTGCATCATTGGCTACCCTTTCATTCACCAGGGGATCGTGCTCAGCACCTGCTGTGGCATATTCAGAGTCGCTGGGTGACTGTGTTTCCCCCGCTTCAACTGATGGGTTCCCGCTCTGGCCACATGACTCTTCGCCGCCAGTGGATACAGGATTGGGCCCTTCCATGTGATCAGTTGCCGTAGTGTTAATGATGTTTTCGCAGGAGTTGGCGTCTCCTTCAACAACGGTAGGTTCAAGCGTTCCATCACGTTGAATTCTGGTTGGCGTTGATGCAATCTCACCCACGGACACGCTGACAGCACCGGTGGGACTGTTCGGTCCAGGAAAGTCTTGCACAGCTGAAATTTGCGGAGCGGCACGTTTCCCTACGCCACATTAGCATCCATATCTCGAACCCATCGATGCGAAACCTACTCCGCGGCGTCCCCCACTCCTCCTCCTCCTCTACCTGCGTCGACCTCCCCTCCGCGCCCCCAATCTTCTGCCTCTTCACCGCCCTAGCCGCCCCCTCAACCCGCCGAACCTCCCCGTCCGCGTTCTCAGTCGCCATGCCCCCGACCAGCTGCGCGCCATCGTATCGCTTCCAGATCTTATGTGACGGACCACGCTTGACGAACGGGGATTCCGGGGCGCGTTCCCAACCGCGATGGACTTTGGGGAGGGGGAGCGCGCCGGGGGAGAAGATGGGGTGGTAGGGGTCGTGGGGGGGTGGTGTCGAGCGGGACGGGCGCGAGGGCGGGTCCTCGTTCGAAAGGGGGAATATGAGTTCCACCGGCATGGTTGTGGAATAATTTAGTTATAGACAATATGGTGGGGACGGCATGAGGATGGTGGATGGCGTGGAAGGGAAAAACGTTCGGAGGAGTTGTGTCTTGACTTGGTGATGAATTGGGTGCGGAACCCTGGAGGTGTAAACAAACTGTTGGTGGGTGACCTGCACGACGGCACGTGACCGCAACCCTTATCATCCATTTCTGAGAAACATCCGACGTCACGTGACACCATCCATCCCTGCAAATCACCAACTTCAAGAAGTTCAATCCATCAATCCAACCAAGATTCTGATCCTCACGCCGTCAATCGACCCTGAGCGAGCGCCTTCCTCTCCACACCATGTCATAGCCTCTCCCACCGACATCCCACCCTAATCCTCTGCCACGATGGTCCCCAAACCCCCCGTCACCGGTCGCCCGACCGCGCTGAAGGCCCCTCGGCTGCCGCCAATGCACAAGTTCCGACTGCGACGACCGAATAAGATGTCCGAGAACCCGTGTATTACGATCATGTCGTCCGTGCTTGGTACGTGTTGGGCCTCTCCGCTCTCGGTTTTCCCCGGGCCGAAGGAAGTCACGAAGGAAACATTTGGTGCTAACTGATTTTACTACAGGATGCTGGGCGTCGTCGGGATACACCACGTCAGGATGTATGGCCATGGAACAGCAATTGCGGGCATGTATGGACGCACAGGTAACATCCCTCTCTTCTCTCCCCATCTCGTTCTTGCCGCTCCTCGATGGCAACAAACCATGGTATCAATTGGACGAAATGGCTGATGTCGGGTGAAACAGAAAGCGCCGCAGAAATCGAAGAGCACGATCAATTACCACCTGGCAAGGATGTATCGATATATGAAGGGGCCGCATAAACGGGGTTGATTGCGGCTACGGGAGAAAGAGAAGGGCGGTGGAATCAGCGTGTACCATTACTTGTATACAGTGGGAGCTTTGAAACCGCATCATTATATGTTAAGCGGACCGGCGCAATGAGAAATGCATGGACGGCGCAATCCGATGGGAAAGAAACCCTGCGATATCGACACAGCTCGGAAGGAAGATCGTATGGTCAGGATACCTGCAATGCGCAAAGGATGGGAAACAGCGCATTTGGTGATAGATTACATTGGATGGGACATCGAAAGAGCAATCTCCCGCATCCGAAAACGCCAACGCCGTCTAGTGCAATGCTATGCTATCCGACATGAATAATATTATTTCGGTCTCTCGTATCTCCGTTGCCCATCTCGACATCCCTCGTCCCTCTCTCTTTTATTTTCCCTTCATCTCTCCTCTATATACCCCCTATCGATCCACCACCCAATTTGCCCACCGACACCCACACCCCGCATCCCCCCCATCAATCCCCCCGGGGCCCCCCTCCCCCACACCCACCCTCGTCGTCTCGAACGGCCCCCGACTCGGATTCACCGGCGTCCCACCAAACGACCGTAACTCCACCTGAATCTTATTGCTGTCGCCGACGATCCGCCCCCGCGCGTCCAGCTGGTAGCAGTAGATCATCTTGTTCTGCAGGTCGCCGCCGTGCCGATCGAGGGTGATGGTGAGGGGGTAGGGGAAGGAGCCGGGGCGGAGGAGGGCGTTGGCGGAGGAGTCGGCGGCGCGGACGTCGGCACGTGAAGAAGAAGAAGAAGAAGTTGTCGAAGTCGAAGTTTGCGCCTTGTCGCCGCCCTCCGCATCCATCACCTTCACTGCGCCCTCCCCCCTCGTCCAAATCTGCACCAAAAACCTCGTCTGCGCCCATGTACACCTCGCACTCGCCCCTTCAAACGCAGCCCCACCATCCTCGTCCGCCGCGATCTCCCCCAGCCCGGGGTCGGAGACATTGACGAAGCTGACGGACTTGAGGAAGATGCTGCGCGGGAAGTAGGTGTAGAAGCCGTAGTGCTCGGTGGGACGGCCGCGGTTGTAGAGACGGAGGGGTTGGGCGGAGGGAAGGGGGTGGAGGGAGGCGGGAGCGGCGAGGCCGTTGGGGAGGATAGAAGGGAGGGGGATGAGGGTGCCGAGGTTGAGGTTAGAGATGGATGTGGAGGTGGAGGTGGAGGTGGAGGTGGAGGTGGAGGTGGAGGTGGAATCAGTGGAGGAGTCGGGGTCCTCGTCGGTGGTTTGGCGTTTGGCGAGGCCAGGGTCGTCGGGAGCGAGTTCGCTAGCGGGGAGGAAGGTGATGAAGAACGGCGTCTCCTCACCCTCAAAAGGAAGCGTATTATTATCCGTCGTGTTCCCCAGAAACGCCTGATCTTCCAGGCTCGGAGGGTCCGGCGACGGACGGAACAAAGAGTCCGTGAACGCGTCGCGCTTCCCAAGGACATCCGTTCCAGGTAGGCCCGTCCCGTTATTGAACCGGATCTCTAGCCGGAAGTTCGGCTCATCCGGGTTGTTCGGCGCGATAGATGGCTGCTCTTCTTTGGGGACGGAGCAGCTCCACATCGTCGTAGGGTTGACGCAGCCGTTCACGATGGAGTCCAGTCGCGGACGCGCAACAGTCATGACCCCGGTGGGGATGGGTGGGTAGTTGGTCAGGTTTAGCCACTGGGACTGCACGGGCATGTCTTTCGGGGCGCGTCGCGTCAAGGTCATGGCGAGCGCGACGATCAGGGCGACGAGGGCGAGGAGCGAGATGCAAATGCAGCCGACGAGGCAGCATCTCTTTCGCCGCCGCTTCTTCTCCGTAACGGTCTCGTGCTTTCGCTGTTTTTTCCACGGGAAGAAGGTGAAGTTGAAAGTCCGCTTGGGCTTTTCCTTTACCCTACCGCTCTCCCTTTCGGCCTCCCGGACGTAGGCTTGGTACTGTTCCATCGGGATCACATACTGAGTTGGATAAGCTTGCGCTTCTCGCGGGTTGGTGCGGGAGCCAGAGCTGCCCATGTATGAAGGCAGACGACGTGGGGAAGACGACATGCAACTTGATATGCCGCTCGACTGTTCTGGCTGAGGTCTTGACTGTGCTGGGGGTGCACGAACGGGCGGTGGGGGCGTAGGTGCTTTTATAGTCCCAGGAGCCACCACCGTCCCTGTTGCCGCAACGCCGACCACCGGAGACATCTCACTCCTATGCGAGTCCGGCGAAGCGATATCACGTTGCGGACCGCGTGAAGGTACCATACCACCTCTCTCCCGGGAGTTCTTTATCTCGAATGCGATTTTGAGGTCGTGACCAAGGATGATGGGCACCTCGCGATCGTCCGGGCTGATGTAGCTCGCGCGAGAGGTATTGATCTCCTTCTCGCGCATCCTAGCCCTAGTCGGAGGGTTTCGTCCGTAGAATCCATCCGGGTCCATAGGGGTAGGTGGCAACGACCGATCCAGCGTCGCGCCTAGAAACTCCGTCGCGTGCTTCTCGTCCATGGAGCTGCGTTTTGAATCGATGTCGGTCGCGGTATCGGAGTCTGAATCGTGTGCTTTATACTTCTCCGCGATCTCCGGCACGATTGGGGTGCTCTCCCCATCTTCTGTCGGCGTGCCGAGCCACCGGGCGCTGGCGGAGCGGGTGAGTTCGAACGGCGTGGTGATGACGTTCCACCAGCCGCGTGATCTACGTGGCGTTGGGAGGAGGGTGGTATCGACAGTCAGATTCGCAGTCGGTCGGTTTCTTTGGGCGTTGGGTCCGATAGGTGTATCGTCCTCCTCAAACAGTGTCGCGGTTGACTCTACGCGTCTTCTCGTTTTCCCCTCTGACTCCTCTTCGAACACAGTGGCTGATGAGTCTCGCGGATTTCTTTTCGGCCCCCCTGGTGTACCGACCGGGAGCCCAAACGCGGAACTGTCAGCAATGTAATCTTCAGGTCGGAATGTGGGCATGGGTGGGATGTCCTCGGTCTGCCGATTTGGTCGATATCCAGCCGTGTTCACCGAGTAGATACTCGACGTTGCACGTGGCCTCCTTCGAATGGTCGATTGCGGGTTTGTGGCACTGTCATCTTCCTTCGCTGGGGTAACCAGAATTGTTGGTGTAATCGGCGAGTTCGGTGACGGGTCGCTGTCGTAGGATCTCTGCGGCTTTTCCTGTCGCTTCACCCGCGTCTTCCGCTTCGGCTTTTCTTCCGATGGATATAGTTGTAAGGGAGGTACGGCTCGATGCCGCGAAACGCTGGTGTCGACTCGGATACCGGGCTTTACCGAAATTCCCGCTCGAGCCAATGCTTGCCGTGATTTCAACCGCCGTGAATATAACCGTTGGCTCCCCGAATTGGCCCTTGCCCTGGATATTCCTAGCCCTCTCAGAGAGCTGGAGGCGGGTTTTTCTGGAACTGTCAGCCCGCCTTTGGCGCCGCGGCTGTAGTCTCGGTAGTATGCTTCCGGTTCTTCGATCTCGGCCGTTGTACTGTGTGGAGTTTTGTCGAACGTTTGCGTCCGATAGTTCACATGGTGAGATTTGACGTCCCCGAAGTGTTTCGGAGAATCCGAATCCTTCGTGTGTCTAAGGCCGATTTGGTCCAATGTCCGCATGACGTGAGTAGTTTTTGCGTGTGAATATTAGAAATGCTAGTGTCCTGCACGAAGGCAAATCGGTGATCGAAAGAAGGTGATGTAGAACAAAGGAGAGGTTAGGGTGAGACTCTGTCGAGGACCTGTCTAGGCATTGGGAGCGAAAGTGACAAAGAGTGATCGAGAGTCTCGAGAACAAAGAAGGTCGAAGCTAATAAGGCGAAGATGCTGCTCTGGCTATCAACGTTCCTATTGTCGAGAGCCGTAGGCAGCAGGTGAAATGGTAGAAGGTAATTCAATACTGTAAGCGAAGGACAATAGCGATCAATAAACAATAGCAACACGCAACAATAAACCCTTTCGAAGAACACGACAATAACAAGGTTCAAGCACGAGGAAGAAATGAGAAGTCTAGAAGTCTAGAAGTCTAGAAATCCCACCCATTTGCCTACATTTCCCTCCATGACGCGGCTACACGAATCATCCACCCCAGACAACCATAGAGCGGCAGATCCAATGCGTCCTACAACAGCTCATCCGACACTCACGCGACGAAGGGCGTTTCATTCGTCCAAGTAAATGGAGCCTCATTGTCGAGCGGTTGCAGAGAAGCGGAAGGACGACGAGTGGTTGGATAAAGAGGAAGTTGGTGAAGCGGGATGCCAGTCGGATGGAGGCCATTGGGCGCTTGCGGTCGACGACCAAAAATAAACCCTGGCACGCGACCCAATAGGACAGGCGGCTCGGCGGTCGAGATGCGGAAAACTGGATTCAGTGGGCTGCTGCACGACATTCAGTGTTTCTACTTTCCAGCGTGTTTCTTCCATGGCTATAGATATTGTTTCCTGTAATCCAGTAAGTCAACGTCTCTCCCAGACTGAGGAGGTTCGAGATGGCGAAGAATCATGTAAGCCTCAACATCGAGATTCGAGTCAGGTGACTGGATGACAAATATGAAATGGCATCACGTGCCACGTGGTGTGCCCGTGGAGCCCGGTTGGGAAGGAGCAAGGGGCTTTAAGGAAGGCGCCAAAAATGCCATTGAGAGCCGAGAGTTCAATACTTTGCCAATTGGATTCGAATTTCTACCAGAAAAAATTCCGGAATTCCCTGGATTCCCTGAATCCCCTTAAGCTATTGTAGTATGTTTAACTAAGAGTTTTGCAGATCCATCGTTCTTAGTACCAGTCTGGAGGTCAGGATGTCAGCAAGTCATCAAGTCAGCAAGTCCTTAATTAACAAGCCACTCGAATCTTCCAGGCTGCCCTTCACTTGACTCGCTGTGGCTCCAGAGTAGCTTAATATGGCTGATTCAGTTGAGCGATGAAATGCCTGGTTGAGATCCATCAACCAAAAGACACGACACCCCAACGATCAAGGTTCCAAGAACCCCTTGTATGAATTAATTATTTGGTGAGATCGGATCTGATAGATCAACGTCTGACGATGAATCCAACATAAATCCGAGTCCACCTCCAGAGCGACGGGAATGAAAGCACGCCACTCGATTGTAAAGCCTATCAACTCGTATCAAGCATCCAAGGGGGACCAAATTAAGATGAGGAATCCCTGACGTTGCATTCGTTGTTCTTTTCTTGGAGAGTCTTGATGATCCCCGTTTCTGACATCGAGGGTCATCAGACACTTTGCTCTCTCCTATTACGCATAGGTACCCTTCGGTCTTAAACCCCCCTCCTCCATCGCCATTGCTCACAGTTTCCAGCTTTCATCGGGGATTTGCAATCGATGGTGAAATTGCTGAGAGGGAGAGAGTTCAATCCAGACATCGACAGAGGCAGCAATAATAAGGTGACTGAGCAGCCAGGGCCGCCGATCCTTGTATGACCCCCATCCCTGTTCCCTTCACCAGTGTTGAACCACTAAGGGTCTTGGACTTTTCAAACTCCATCTCTCAGGCTAGAAACTTTGTTCCCCCATTCACCGTATTACTCCGTATACTGTACCACATTGCTCACCGAACAGTAGACCTGCAGCACCCGTACAACCATACCTAGAATCCACCGATCGTACATTCAAATCTTCAACCGTCGACACTTACTACGCTCCTCGAACGACGTGGATCCTTTCCTTCAGCCGCATGTCGCCGGCTCTGACGACTCCCGCTCATCGTCCGCGTCGATGTGTTCGCTCCCGTAACCGATCATCCCCTTCCTGACCGTCTGTACGACTATCACCAAAACCTCAATAATATCCCGACCGTCCTCACGACCAACCATCCCCAATCCTCCACTGCCCTACGCGGCGTCGTAACCCTGGCGTCCATCCCATCCCCGACCACCACCCACTCTCACCATCGCAGACGGCCCTCCTCCCTCCACCTCCAAACATCGAATCTCACTGATCCCTCAAATCCTACCTCTGCATCGACCTCCTCCCTCCCACCCGACCGCTTCGGTCACCCTCTCTCCGCGATCCCCGGCACCCCTGCCCACCCCATGTCTCTCTCCCGCTCTCCCTCCCCCCAACGCGGCGGCGGCTGGTCGACCCCGGGCCTCATGACCCCACGCACAGGGCCCAGCCGCCGCCCCTCTCCTCGTCCCGGCAGCAGCGGCTACATGAACGGCAGCGCGAACGACGTGTCGTGGGCGACGGCGGCGGCGCGTAGCGCGGAGGTGCGCGGGTATCCGTCGTTCTCGACCCGGAACCAAGGTTTCTTCGCGCGACATTTCCGACGGATATCGCAGAGATTGCCGGAGTTTGCGCCGGGGCAGTTTGCGGAGAAGGAGAAGTTGGGGAGGGGGAGGTGGGCAACGAGGCGAGGGATGCGATGGGGTGATGTGGTGACGTTAGGGGGGAGGGTGTTGCGGAAGATGAAGATGAGGGGGTTGGTGGTGGTGGTGTTGTTGGCTTTGGCGTTCTTATTTTATGTAACACGTGAGTATTTCGGGTTTCCGGTACTTTGGAAGGGAGGCTAATCATAGGACAGCGCTGCATCGAGTGTACAGACGAGCGCCGATGTTGGGCGGCGGAAGCAATTTCGTCATCATGTTGGCGGCGAACGAGGGCGGCGGAGTCATGGAGTGGAAAGGGCCGAGGGAATGGGCGATCGAGCGAGACAGCATCAAGAACAAGAAACGCTACGCGAAGAAATGGGGATACGAGCTGGAAATCGTCGACATGACCACGAAGAAACGCTATGCCCACGAATGGCGAGAAAGCTGGGAGAAAGTCGACACGATCCGCAACACCATGCGCAAGTACCCGCAAGCGGAGTGGTAAGCCCCCTTTTTTTCCAACAAATCCATATAATTCTGACGTGAACCAGGTTCTGGTGGCTTGACCTCAACACCTTCATCATGGAACCCAGCTACTCCCTCCAATCCCACATCTTCTCCGACCTCACCCAAAACACCTACCGCGACATTAACTACTACAACCCCCTCAACATCACCCACCCCCTCACCGCCACCTACCTCGATCCCGCCACCCGCTCTCCCACCGGCGACAACCTCCCTTCCTCCATCCACCTCATCGTCCCGCAAGACTGCTCCGGCTTCAACCTCGGCTCCTTCCTCGTCCGCCGCTCCGTCTGGACCGACCGCCTCCTTGACATCTGGTGGGACCCCGTCGGCTACGAGCAGAAGCACATGGACTGGGAACATAAAGAGCAGGACGCCCTCGAGCACCTCTACCGCCACCAGCCCTGGGTCCGCCCCCACGTCGCCTTCATCCCCCAGCGCAAACTTAACTCCTTCCCCCCCGGCGCCTGCGGCGAGGGCGACGATCCCCACATCCACTATCAGGAGTCCGCGCGCGACTTCGTCGTCAACATGGCCGGCTGCGAGTGGGGCCGCGATTGCTGGGGCGAGATGTACAATTATCGGACGCTGAGCAATAAGTTGAATCGGAGTCGCTGGGAGCGGTTGAAGGATTGGGTAGCGGATTCGCTGCGAAATCAGGGGGAGGCGTCGGAGGAGACGGGGGAGAACGCGGATGGGGAGGGTGAACAGTAGTCGACTTTCGTCCGTGAATTTCTTTCGGCTTATTTTCTTACTTGCAGATAGACTTTGAACGGCGTTCGGGACGGCTCTGCGATGCGGATCCACTAATTCAGATGCTGAAATCTCCGCATCGGCCTAGGCGTTGGCGAGACTCAAAGGAGGGGTTCTCGGAACTCTCGATCCTCTCGAGGCTGTTCGATCTTCGCTTTTTCAATGGGAGTATTTTTCTCGCATTTTGCTGACACCGGGGCTGCCCGATAGGCGAGTGGGACTGAACGGAAGCATTAATATAGCTGGGATCGAATGAGCATACGATCGCGTTAACCTGATTTGTTGCTGCTTTGGATTTTAATATCGTCTGGGGAAATGGATACGGAGTTTGAAGAAGATCATCCTGATCGCCCGCGCCCCAGCATGTTGCGGATGCCCACTTTGGGCTAGGTCCGGGAAATTAGCCTCTCCTTTTCTGGAGTAGCCCCACCGCATATCAACCTCATCTCAATTCTTCCCCTCTGCTTCCCTGCTTCGCTTCCCATTTTTAGTGAGTATGGCTGTATGCCACGTCGATACGCGAAGAAAGTCTTCTCGAGCTATCAACGATTCGGGATGCTCTACTATGGATAGGGAACTGTGATCTGACTCCGGATTGGAGGAAGTAAGTACATACCCAAGGCGTTATGAGGTGGAGCTCTGTATTCCACGGGGCAGAAAGCGTAACCATCACCGCTTCTCATCACCGATGCTACAACTCGCACGGGGATTTGGTATGCATGACGCTTCGGGCGGCCGGGAGCGGATATAAGCGAAAGGAAGCCCTGACAAAATAAGTCTGGATTGCGCAAGGTTCCGTGAAAGTCCAACGTGCCGTACTCCCAAGCAAGCGAAGCTGTTGCACTTAGGGGATATATGGAAGCCTTAGAGCGGGTGAACACAGCCTAGACCATTTTGTAGGGCTGGTAAAAGGGTCGGGGTGGTCATCTGTGGAAGCTCGAGGGCCCAAGGAAAGGTCCGCTTGACCGAGGATCCTTGCGAGACGACGAAGATGCTTTCACCGAACGGGCATTGTAGTTGGGTATTAAGCGTCTAATGGACATCCAGTGAGAGGGCGGTGGCGATCGGAGATTCTCTAGCATTGCTCTCGCCCCAAGCTCTAGGTAAACACGTGTAAAGAGGATAAAGTATGATGAACTGAATTATGAAATGGGTAGACAGACACGTGAGACCAGAAGCGAGCAGATATTGAATGTCGAATATGTCAAATGGTTGAGAGGTATGAGAGACATGGGGCAGTGTGATTGATCCGTCATGGGATTCTGGGAGAAGTACTCAGCTGGGTGTTCCAGTCCTACTAACGCAAGCGGAATGCGAGACGCAGGCATTCGAGATGTACACGCTCAAGTACTATACGGAATAAGACGCCCTTATAATTCAATGCAAACGCTACGGTACCTTTCTCCTTGCCGCAAAACCATTTACAAGCATCGCTGCCCACATATTTGATTCATACCTGCTTAAAGCCACCGTACTTTATCCCAGTGCTCGACAACCGCGCAAAAACAACTGCCCACCAAGTCCGATAATGGTGTATCCGCAACCGGATGGCGGTCTGGTGTTGCGGATCTGGTGTTGTGGATCTTCCTTGCTAATTGGTGTTGGTCGCGTCATCTACTGCGAACCGCCCTCAAGATGACTGAGACGTCCAAGCACGTCCTCGAGCTTCGTCGCCAATGGATAACTCCTGCTGATGCGCATGTCAACTCTTTCCAGCGCGAGACACACGTCTGAGCAGCCTTGTCGGCCTCCTGTTTCAGCTCGTACAGGTGCGCCAACTTCCAGAGGCCGTAGACGGAGTCCGGACGGTCGATGCCACGAAACGCTTCGATCAATTTGATCGTCTCGAGAGATAGTTGTTCCATGTCTCCCAATCTCCCCTCTCGAGCATAAACGCGGGAAAGCTCGCCGGAACCCATCAGGACGCCTAGATGGTCTTTGCTCAGACTTCTCTTTCCTACTTCAATGCCCCAGCGAAGCAGATCACCCGCAAATTGGAGGTTTCCCATCTCAATGTGGATCTTCGAGAGGTTACATAGGGCCCACAGGGTCCAAGGATGCTCTTTGCCAAGCTGCCTTTGTCTTTGGATATAAACCTTGTTCATAATAGGCAATGCCTCGGACAAACGCCCAAGATCAAGCAGAGCTATGGCTTGATTGTTCATTGTACTAAGCATGTCGATGTGTTTCTCCGACTCTTTTTCCGAATTCTCAAGACCTTATGATGGACATCCAGGCTTTCCTGATACCGATGCCAGGATCCTAGAGTAACCCGAGTGCGGCCAGCGTTTGGGGATTATCTGGACCCATAGTCGACTCCATCCCTTCTGTTGTAGTCTTCTGCAGCTGAAGTGCTTCATCATATTTTCCATGAGCCAATACGATCGTCCTAACTGATCCATGGCTTGAAGTGTTTGCTCCTTTTTTGATCCATAACGTTTCGACCGTGCCTGTACTGCGGAGGTCTGCAGCCGAATTGCGTCTTCCAACTATCCTAGACCCCAACATACGGCTTCTAGCCTCAGCATTGCCATCATGGTCTTCTCGTTGTTCCGACCTAGTACCCAGATCAGGGCATCCTTCACCATCCGTAGGTGATGAGCGGCCTGGTCAAATCGACCCCTGTTCGCATACACATAGCCGCATTTTGCGGAATTTTCGATCTGTTCCTGGAGGAGGAACAACGAAGTAGGGTTAAAAAGCGTGAGTAGGTTTATTTTCGGCTCTCCGTGTGAACCAGCTGGCATCAAGGAAAACTGCCCAGCGTTAAGGAGACAGTGATCAAGGTGCGGCACAGTGGCTTCGTGAAGCTCCCTATCTGCAATGCCGGATTCTCTGGAAGGGAACGAGACGGACTCTAGCAACATGGTCAGAGCAATACATCCTCAAAACTCGCGTTTTTGTCCGACAGGACATCTCGAGCCCAGGCGTGGACCAATGGGTGGAGTGAGATCGTGCCGTCCTTTCTATCTTGGCTGACAAGGGAAAGACTCTCTAGTTCTCGAACCGCGCTCTTGACTTTGTACATGTTAGGCTCAGTCTTTTCGCATTTGAGGAAACTTGGTAGCGGCTTCGGCACCCTGGGGCGCCGGATTAGAGCGCTCCGTAATCTTGAAGCAAAAGAAGCGACATCTTTATCTGTGACTTCCTTTCGATTTCCACTGCTCGGAAGTAGATATCGACTCGAATGTGTTCACAATGGTAAAAAAATAGTACTTTGAGCAAGTCCGGTGCGTCTTTGTTCTCGAAGGTTTGCTTTATTGCAAGGAATTCCCAAGACACATCGAAAGTTGAGTAAACTGTCAATATGTTCCCATCTCCGAATGGTCTTGCCGTTTCTGATGGCCTCCAATGCTGCAGCTGGGACACCGCATCGCGGGTTGTCGAAAGCAAATACCCTTGCCTTTCTTCAGAAGATGGCATCGATGGCTGTTCCCAAACGAATAGACCAATTCTCGTTCCAACTAGTGGAAGCCCTTGAATCTGAATGGGAAACGCTGCAAAACATCACCGATGACTTTGTTCCTTTGATGAAACACTTCTGCATATAATTTTTCTGGGAGCAAGAAACGACGGATCTTGGATATAAGGACTTCATTGTCGACAAGGAAAGCATAGCACCCAATTTCGATGACGGAACGGTCTGGGATTTCCGCTACTCATTCGAGAATGCCCAAATTCGAGACCAATTCGGAACAAGGCTTCCGTCTCGTGGTCGCAGCCCTGGATAAGTATTGTGAGGAAGCACTCAGCATCATTAAAGCGAGATGGGCGACTTCCAGGCAGGTTCTGAGTAATGAGAGATGAAGAGAGGCAATAGATAAAGTGGTGCAGATGCCAGATGTTCAGTTTGCATCCTCATGCGACGAGAAACCCCCGGTGCGCACACAGAGGCTTCCACTTGAGAACATACCCAGAAGTCATGCTTCGCCAGATATGTATCAACTGGGAGTTTTGCTGCCTTCATTGTAATATATATGGTGCAATATTGGGATATATTATGCACATGCATTCTCAGGATGGAGAATATCCTGTACTGGCCGACTGGTCATTAAGTTAGGCGGATTAGTATAGATTTCCTCGGATGCGATCCCGATGTGCGTCGGCGATGAGAGCTAGTTTCACGAATGGTATGTAGGAAATGTGTGTGATGAGACCTTTTTATTTCGAATCCTGTTGTCGGGTCTAGTATTCCGATCTTACTGAACCTGAAGGAGTTGCAGAATTGCGAAATGATTGATGTTAAAGATGAGATTAGATGGCAGAAAGGGAGAATTGGCCAGGGGTGGCTACATGTAGGCAGGGGGCGGAGTTATGCCTGAGACATTAAGGCATTATACATCCAGTCGCCGTAGCAACCACGCCAACGTTTGTCAACTCCTCAATCATCATGAGATCCATGACTTGCACACTTTCCCCAGCAATTCAAACAAGGTCAAAATCCACGAAAATCCCTTTAGGTGATCAGATACCATGTCTGTTCACGCCGACCCACCACCAAGCGTGGTGCCCGAGCCGAATGGCATCACATACATAACCGGTGAGCAGCTGGGCAAAGGCGGCTTCGCCATCTGCCATCGGGCGGAGGTGGCGGAACGAGGGAAGGCGACCGGTCGCATTATCGCGTTGAAGATTGTGAAGTCGAAGATGGAACCGGCGAAGATGGCACAGAAGGTAGATTCAAATGAATTGACGCCAATTGCGGACAACATATCTGACGAGATCTAGTTTGTGACTGAGCTCCAATTGCACTCGAAGCTGCAACATCCGAATATCGTCGAGTTTTACCGTGCATTTACTTTCGGGCCGAGTACATATGTTGTTTTGGAAGTATGCGATAACGGCTCACTGGCTGATGCACTGAAGAGACGAAAGTTTTTCACCATGCCCGAGATCAGACGGTTTCTGATCCAGACGTGTGGGGCAGTCAAGTATCTGCATGCACGACAGATTATCCATCGGGACCTGAAAACAGGCAATCTTTTCCTAGACAGCAATATGAACATCAAAGTCGGAGATTTTGGGCTGGCTGCGGTCATGGTGAGCAAGAACGACGTGTCGCTGAGACGGACGACCATGTGCGGGACGCCAAACTACCTTGCCCCGGAGATTCTGGAGAAAGGAGGGAGAGGACATAATGAAAAAGTGGACTTGTGGGCAATTGGCATTATCGCGTCAGTCCATACCATTTGATTTAGGCGGGAAAAATACTGATGATCGTCTAGTTATACGTTAGCCATTGGAAAGGCACCGTTCCATGCCCCAAAACGCGAAGACATCTACAAGAAGCTACAGATGTGCGATTACAAGTGGCCGGACCCTTCGAAAACGCAGAACGACATCTCCAACGATCTTCGAGATCTCGTCGCGACATTGCTCGTACACGAGGACGATCGACCATGTCCGGATCAGATCGTCAGCCATACGTTCTTCAAGACCGCCTTCATCCCCGAGACCATGGAATCGAGCTGCACGAGTGTACCACCGCGATTTCCAGCCGTCCGACCGCCAACAGCCGCCGTGATCCAAAGAGGCTTCTCAGATAGCTGGTTCCGATTATGCAAAGCCTCCGGCGTCGGCGAGTTTGCGCCAGGCAAGCTATTCCCGGTCATCGGTGGCCGAAAATTGCGGTCCGTCGTTCGAGATTGTGAAAAAGAGCTCCAAATCGGCCGCCACCCGGTGGTTCCAATTCCAGAGGGAACGATCTATTTGCCATACCCTGACCGGGTCGATCCATTCTCGGTCGACCCCAACGCACAGCTGAGCGACATCATCGAAGAACGAGAGCCATCTGCCGAAGGCCGAGCGTTGCGAGAAACGTCTGCAAACGAGCCGGGAACAACGAGAGCATTGGCGGAGAAAGCAAAGCGGATACGGAGATCGAAGGAAAATACCGAGCCTGCTACCACTGCTGACGACAGAGAGCCCGAGGCCCAGTTGCAGAGGAAACCGGCTCGAACTATTGCGTCTCGAACGATGGCGTCCGCGCCAAAGCGCCGGGCGATTGCTACACAACGATCGCAGTCTATTCAGGTGGCGAGAGTACCGGAAATGAAAGTGGATTCGAAGATACCGCAAACGACCAAGGTGGTTGAAACTGTTGTAGTCAGCGCGGACACGGAGAATATACCTCCAGCGGCCCAGGAGAGTACAAGGCAGACGAGAAGGAATAAGGCAGTGGCGATGGAGACGGTACGAATCGTCGGGAATATACAGGAGCCGCCAGTAATGCCCCGTGAAACCTGCAGAGTTACGAGAAAGAATTCGAAGAGAGCGGCTCCTTTGCGAGAGCCTGAGCAGCCCGAGCAGCTCCAACTCATGGAGATTGCTCTTCCAAAGAGGCCTGCCTTGACTGTCATGCCCAAACCAGTCGTCGACCAGCAGAGTTCAAGGCCGTCATCAAGAGACGGCATGACAGTGGCTCCTAGACATGCTGGTGGCGCAGCGCCGAGGGCAACGCGCATTCCTTCGGGTGATGTAGGGCCGAAGGTCCCGTATACCGATCCCGAGACGGTTTTGGCTCGCGTCGCGAACCTTCGGGACAATATTGCTGACGCACTCAGTAATCGATATGCAACTCCAGGTCGGCTCGCCAAGCCCAAACTGCCGTTCATTTCGAAATGGGTCGACTACTCCAAAGCCTATGGCGTTGGGTACATGCTCGAGGACGGGAGCATCGGAACGGTCTTGAAGAAAGAAAAACCGAAGCCAACCTTCCCTGTGACGTTGGCCGTGGTGCGGAACGGCTACGCCAAAGTGCGTGAGGTGCGAAAGAACCCGGACGCCATGCTCTCCCTGCCATTCGAATATTACGCCGACTTTGGTGGCGCTGGCATCCGATCCGTTGGTCTTGGACCTGAAATGAAGAAAGAGAAGGTTGGGATCTGGCTAAAGCTCGTGTCGTACCTTGCGAAGCAAGTGTCGGCGGACGAGGCCGAGAGCGCAGCGACGAACTCGGCAACCGAGACGCCGGACACTATCGTCAAATTCTATCAACGGCTCGGCAATGTCGGGGTATGGGGGTTTACTGATGGGTCGTTCCAGGTTCGTCCCGAGCCGCCCCTCGTCATGAAACGCGCTAACCTTCCCTAGATCAACTTCCCCGACCACACCAAACTCAACCTTTCTTCTGACGGCCGATACTGCAACTTCCTCTGCCTCTCCAAGGGCGGTATCCGATTCCTCGAGCAACATAGCGCGCTGAACCGCGAGTCCATCAACGGTCGCAAGTCCTTGCACCTGCCCATCCACACGCTGCTATGGGATGCCGAGAACTATCCAGTCGCGGTCGACGTCGCACATGCCAACCATCTGCGCGGGAAGCTGCAATTCTTCCTCGAGGCCCTCGATGAGTGGCTCAGGTGCAAGGGTGTGGGTGTCCTATCCGAGGAAGCGAAATATCTCCGGTGGAACGGGAGCCATACGGAGGAGGGGAAGAAGATGGACTGGGTGACCGTCGGGGCTCATGGAGGAGATGTAGAGAGGTATTCTCTTTAAGAGGGGGTATATTGCGCACCTTGTGATATTGTTCTCTGGGCATACCTATTTTGGTACGGCATCTGCACTGTTTATAAGTCATTGCGCCATTTGGAATAGAGGCACCATTGGATGAGCGACGACGCAGGATTATTCATGTTGTTCGGATTAACGACCTTCAAAGATTTCTACAGGCTCTACTCAACCATGTCTCCGTGATGCTCCGCGTTCTTCTCAGTATAAAATATAAATCGCCGATACACTGGGGATTGTTTGTAAATGGATTGCCAACGGCTCTGACGGAGGGATACATTAACACGAAGCTCTTTGGGTCTGGTTTAAATCACAAGTAAAACTATATACCAAACTATACTCTGCCTGAGTACTGAAGTGAGAAGTTTCAAATCCTAGAGGATTATTGACGTTGAAATTTGATGTTGATGCTGCTGAGCTGCCACCTGATCAATACAGCTGAGGCCAGGAGAACTTCTATGCCTTGGTGCCTGACATTGCTCCTCAACCTCGCCTCAGCTGCGTCATCGTCTTTTCGGAGTCGAAAAGTCGTACGAGCAACGAAGCGGTAATAATACCGAGTTATCACCATCGAACCCTCCAGCTCCCGTTTCTTCATCTGCAGGTGCTCGAATTATGATTTCTCGGCGGCGTTTTGTTAAACACTTGGGGATTTCCTTACACTAACTGCCTTCGCTATTCTCCTAACTGTATAACAAGCTATACAAGTATTCCCTCCATGTCTACCAGAGGCAGCGTTCTCCTCATTGACGGGGAGCCCTGTCGATCCCTTAATGGAGTCTGCGCATGCACAAGGAATAGCTATGTCGTCAATATCCCAGAGCCGCGAATAAAGGAAGCTCAGGTCCAATTTGATACAAGCAGCTCCAACCGTACGTCCACCCGTTGTCTAGCAAATGGCCTTTCTCTCCATACCACTCGTGACCGCCGCGCTCGACATCAAAGACCATCCACCGCCATTGACCGACGGGATCTGACCACCCACAGGCCGCCACCAAGCCGCGCCCTTCTCCGCCTTCCTACGCGTCCCTCTCGACTGGTTCCACTCTACCACGACCGGCTTCTTCTCCGACGAGACGCACACCTCGATCCGCCGGACCTACGACGCGCCCAACGCGCCCGAGCATACGCGCCGACAGTTCTGCGGGTACTGCGGCACGCCACTGAGCGTGTGGAGCGAAAGCACGAGGGAGGACGCCGACTTCATCAATCTGACGCTGGAGAGTCTGGTGGACGGAGAGATCTCGGTGCTAGAGGAGTTGGGGCTGTTACCTTCGGGAGAAGAGGAGGAGGAGGTTGGTGAACTGCAGGCAGTACGGGCTTCGTCGAGTGGAGAGCAATTGGTGGCGAGAAAAGGGTCGCCGTGGTTCGAGGAGATGGTGGATGATGGGCGGTTGGGGAGGGTCAAGCGGCAGAGGGGAGGGCACATGTTGGCGAATGGGCGGCCCGAAGTCGAGTGGGAGGTTGTCGAGTTTACGAATGGGGACGAGAGTGGCAGGAACACGCCGTCGAAGAGAAAAATAGGGCAGATGAGCGACGACATGGACAGGTGATACGCATAATGATAATGGCGCTATGGGAATAAAACGGTTGGGACTTTCGATCAGCGCGCATTTATGGGGGTTCGGAATTCGGTGGCGATGTTTACCACAATGAGGAGTTGAAAAATGTCGGTTGAAGTACTGGCATTGGAATACATATTCCGTGTTTCAGCATATCAATCGAATGTTTCCTGTCGTTCAAGCCTATCTTGTGACACGTATATGCCTAATATGTACCTAAACTTCCCTATTCGGCATCTGATCATAATTGTAAACGCTTAACTCAAGCACAGGGGGCGTATATGGCCCGTGATAGGAATGCCGTACGGCTTGTGGTAGGTTGGCTCAGTCCATGTCAGTTACCCCGGATAACGATCGTCTGGTTTCCTACCCCAGAGAATTGGACTTCTTTTGGTTAACGTCATGGTCGAATTAAATGAAGGCCTTAAACTCACATAGAAAAGTATGCATGGATTCCTCGATCACGTATAGCGGACCTCACCTGTGCAATATGAACCTGAACGCTCGTTTCCGACCAGCCTAATCCGTGAGTCATGAGCTTGAGGGAAAAGCCTTCCAAGCCGTCCGTAATATTGACTTCGTTCCATTTGCCGATCTCCTTCAATTTCTTGGACTTGGTTAATCATGATTCTCATAAAACGATGCTCGAGTCGACTTACGCGGTCCTTCGGCCAGGGATTTGATGGCCACATGAAGTCGCGTTGCTGGATATCAACAAATCCGGCTTCGAGAAGCCTGGGGCTGTTAATTGTGTAGGCAACAGAGGAGTGGTACTCACCATCCCTTGTAGCTGTCGACTTGACATATTTCTTTGCCAAAATTCTCAGACGCTGTAATCATGTTCCTATCCCACTCTTCCAAAGCGGTGCCAGCGTATGTATGGTCGATGCACTTCATAGGTAAGATAAAATCCTTGACTTCAATATAGCCTCCAGGCGCACATGCACTGAGCTGCTCAGCAGACTTGATCTTAAAAGGGAGATGATACTTACTTACTCGAATGCATGCTTGAAGACCTGCCTCCAGTCTTTGAAACAGCCTCCCATCACCCGGAAGTGTACGAGATCGAATTTTGTACTTCCGAAGAGCCATGTGTCCTCGGCATCGTCGATGATGAATTTGCAATTCGGGGGAACGAAGCTGGGCTGGGTCGGTGCTAAATCAGTGCCAATCACCTCGCAACTGGGAAACTCGTCCGCGACGTCGATGGCCCAGATACCGGTGCCCTGAATATGATTAGGTATTCGCCTTGCGCTGGATACGGGAGACACTCACTGTACCGATGTCAAGTATGTGATGTGGGTCAGGCCCAACTGGTGCGAGAAACAACTTTCCATCAAGGGTCAGTTGAAACAAATGATGCTGCAAGTCTTCTTTCTTCAGTAGGTAATCGTTACTAGACCGCAAAGAGCTTACCCAGTCGATCGGACTCTTTCTATGCAGCCAGTCAGATACAACCGTGATGCGGACCGGGTCTTAGAACGCCTACCTCGTCACAAGGAAATACATAGGATCCAGGCTTGTATGCTAAGGAGCGAGATTAATAGACGGAGATAAGACAGATCGGTGCGGATGAGCCGCATGCCGATGGGCGAGAACAAACCATGGTAGCTTCTTCCGTTCTCGCGGCGATAGTCGAATATGCTTTCGGCCAAAGATGTGGATGCAGTTGAACTGAACCCGGTTACCCAAAACGCTGCACCCCTTTAAGTGGTAGGACATACGCATCATCAGCCAATGCGGAATCAGAATCAACCTACAGTCTCGGAGTATCAGCTTCGGCAGCTCCGTAGGATAACATTCAAATGCCCCCCATAACCCCGGACAAAGCACGAGAAACCTACATCGACTTCAACCGTTTGAGGAGCCGAATTCTGCGTTCCGTCCATGGTTGCCGTAATAAAATTATATCATTCAACAGGACTGCACATGCGAAGATCAAACCGACTGGATTGATGGGGAAAAACGGTAGATGGAAGGGGCATTCAGGGGAGAAGAAGAAACGGCCTCGCTGAGGCTATGTAGCTGTTTAAAGTTTCCGGATAATGGGCAAATGTGTCCGATGTGTGGATGCACAGCATATAACGTCGTTGTTTGGCAACCATACCCTCCATTTCAATCCCGATGTACTGGACATGACGTTTGTTCTGGCCGTACTGCTGGAATGACGGCAAAGCAAGGGAAATATTTTGACAATATCATAGTAATCCCTAGCCCCTCGGTATGTATACTAGTAGAAACTAGAAATACCATATGTGAATCAATGTCACACAAGTGACGACGGATTGCGAGAAAGGAGGACAAATCCAAACCAACTCGTGGGCAACTGGAGCAAGGCCAAGCCATGAGCTGAACCATACCATGCAATCCCATTATCCTTCGGGGAGGAAGAAATTGAGTTACGCTTCTTGGCATTTCCCTCAGCTCATCTCCACGACTTTAACCAGAACACGGCGGAGAATTCACCAAAACAGATCTCTAATTAGTAGTCGCCTAATTAACTAACTAGGAAAAGAGTAGTTAACTAACTATACGTTTTGATATTATGCTGTTTTTGAGCGAATTGGGCTTGTCTATGATGGTGATAGTGGTAGTTATCGTTAGGAGAATTCCAAGAAACGTAACTCAATTTCTTCCCCCCCAGGAGGCATATTATGAATGAAGGAATGAAGGAATGATTGATTGATTGATTGATATTAATTGATTGATTCCTGCGCCCGTTCGGGCCAACTTCAGTCGGCCCATGTGGGGAACTAGCAAACTAATCTACATGACGGTGCCCGCTGTGGAGTAGACTACACACTGCTCTCATCCTCCCTATCCAAATCCATGTGGCCGAGACGGCCGGTACTGAGGGCCGTCCAGGTTCTCTACTTTGAAAACAGTATCGGGAATGCTGTTCTTGCTCGCTTGCATGCATATTATGAGCGAGGAACTGCATGAAGCGGAGTTTGGTTCTGCACGTCTGCATAAGCGTCCTGCTAGGCCACAATGTGATCACTACCAAAAGAACTGGACTACACAGCTCCCTGACTCGCTCCACCTGATAGGGATATCATTGGGAATGTGGCTCGAAGCTGAACCAGGTAGCTGCATTTCCGCAGGCATTATAAACTAACATATAACTGAAATGGAGAATTATCAAAATATTAGCCAGCAACCTGCAACATCCTGGAAACCAACTTGCAGTCGAGCCACCGATCCAGTGAATTGAACTGATACTCGTATTAACCGAGTCACATTCTGTGCTCAAACTTCAGTCTTATGGACCTCTTGCTTGTCGGGTTACGATCTGCCCCGCTTCATATTGCGACGATCTTCCCATTCCGTCGCTCCTGACAAGTCATAAATAACCCAGAGCAAGGGACAACAAAGTCGTCGGAAATCTCACTAGTCAGGTAACTTTCGTTACTCACATTTCGGATTTTTCTTTTTCGACCAAGGAATCGGTGCAATTGCGGCGAGACTGGTGGATGTTTCGTTCAAAATGCACTTCTTCACCTTCATCTTCATTGTTGCCGCTTTCCTTCTTACTCTCAAGTCCATTAAACAATATGTTGGGCTCCGTCGGTTCAGAGGCCCTCGAGGAGCCGGATGGAGCAGACTCTGGATGCTTCGAGTATTAACGTCCGGTCGGATGCATAAATATTTTGGCGAAGTCAACGAAGAATATGGTGAGCGATCCAACCTTCCCTAGAGAACCAATACCCGCATCAAATCATTTGGTAGCTTGAACCAATTATCAGCAACCTCACGTCGAAATCCCGAGCTCTTTATATAAAGCCAAGGTTTCGTTAGTTTTGAACGAGATTAAAAAGAGTTGGAAGGGTGGATTCAAAATGGAGAGATACTCCGATCAATATTGAATCCAAATACAAAGTGTAATTCAACAGTCGTGGACGTTGCTGACGACCTAGCAGGATCGACGGCGAGAATCGCACCGTCGACTCTTTTGACCAAGGATGTTTCCCTTATCCGGCGAATGAGTGCCGTGAGAAGTCCTTACACTCGTTCCAAGGTGTATGAAGCTTTGCGTCTACATCCGGAAAGGGATAACATCGTCAGTTATCGAGATGAGGCCATACATGGTCAGCTCAGAACCAAGATGAGTCCAGGGGTAAGTTGAGTTAAGAACAACTTCGAAATAATAACGGCTGAACAGAAGTAGTACTCTGGCAAAGACAATCCAAATCTGGAAATGGAGATCGAGGAACAAATCTTGAATCTAATTGCTCTCATAGAACGTAGCTACACCTCAGACTCTGAGCGCTATAACCCTGTCGACTTAGCCAGGATCATGACTTTCTTCACTTTGGATGTGATCTCCGGCATCGCATTTGGAAGGCCGTTCGGGTTTCTCACTGATAATAGTGATCCATTCGGCTACCTTCAGAATCTCCGCATGATGCTTCCAGCCATCATGTTCTTTAGCGTGTATCCTGAGCTGCTGGGAATTTTGCGACTGCCTGCGGTTCAGTATTTTTTTCCAAAAGCTTCGGATGCGACTGGAGTTGGGAAGGTCATGGGTTGGGCGAAAGAGTCTGTGGCTGCGAGATTCGGTCCGAACAAGATCGAGCAGAAGGATATGCTGGGCTCGTTCCTAGCTCATGGGTTGACTCAAGAAGAGCTTGAGAGCGAAACATTAACACAGATCACGGCCGGTTCTGATAGCACGAGTACGGCTCTACGCCTCGCTTTAATGCATATCTTCACCCATCAGGGTCCGTGTTCCAAGCTCTTGGAAGAGTTGACCAACGGACTGAAAGATGGCAAGATCTCCAGGCCGATTATTCGAGATTCCGAGGCGCGCGAATTGCCTTATCTTCAAGCGTGCATTAAGGAATCTCTTCGACTATACCCTCCCGTGACTGGGATGTTGTCCAAGAATGTCCCTCCTGAAGGAGATACCATCGATGGGATCTTCGTTCCGGGTGGCACTAGCATTGCATGGAATAGTTGGGGAATGTGCCATGAAAAGAGCTTGTACGGAGACGATCCCTATGTGTTCCGACCGGAACGATGGTTGCTTCATGACAAAGCCAGTCCTGACGACGAAGCTAGGCTTCAAGCCATGAATGATACCGTGTGGATGGTATTTGGATACGGTCGGTTCGGCTGCCTTGGACGACCGGTCGCCATGATGGAGCTCAACAAAACTATTGCCGAGTTTGTGCTGCGATTTGATTGCCGTGCGGGAGGAGGCTTGGAGAAGATGTGGGACGAAGAAAGTTTCGGCTTTTTCCTTCATCGAAACATGTGGATGAGGATTGAGAAGAGAGATGACAAGCTCGTCTGGGGGAAAGACAAATTCCATGCCCAAGTGGAGTGAAGCACGTCCACACTCGAGACGGTCGCAGAGGCTTAAAGTCCCTTGGTGGACATCAACACAGGTCAATTCCACCAAAGGCTGTGTGCTCTTCCTCCTAAAAATAGATATATCACGAGGGCGGGAGCGGCCATCTCAAGGCATGACAAGCGTACAGTGACTTGCGAAATCAGT